TACGAGAAAATTATTATGTTGACAAAAATTCTTCACCATCTTCTTAATTAGTGCAAGCAAAATGGTCGAGGAACAAATCTTTAATGAACACAAACTTTGGAAACATTATGGACTATTTGTTTGGATGGATTTGGCTCAATAGAATTCAAACTCTTAGTCTAAATTAATTACTATATTTCCGAAAGATTTGAAATTTATTCTTTTCAAGATATATTTAAAGTTAAGTTCCCTAGTATTTGAAATTCATTGTTAATTCTAATCATTTGTTAATATATTAATTATCTTAGCATTAAAATGATCTTAATCTTGACTTTAGTAAAGTTTATTTTAGTGTTATTTTAAATGTGTTTCGTTTCCAATTTTTTAACAACATATTTTTAATTATTTGTATGTATGATACGATTGGATATCTTAATTTATGATATTATATGTATTTATTTGGTTTGATTAATGCAATTTTTGTGTTATTGTTAACTATAAATTTATTATAGTTATTGTATTACTGTCATTAATGTACGTGTACATTACAGAAAAATAATATATTTGTAACGGAATTTCGTCCCTAAAGTTCATGTAGCTAACGTAATTCTATTCCTAATTCCGTCTCTGATGTTATTAGTAACGGAAAAAGTAGATTTAGAGACAAAAAAGTTTTGTTACAAAAATAATTTTTTTTTGTAGTGGTATATTTATCAATAGAACTAAAGTTAATTGATTTTATCTCAGTATGATTTATTTTTATTTTTATTTTTTTTCTATATGTGTCATTTATTTATTTATTTATTTTTATTTTAGTAAAAAAATAATTGTATATGAATACAAGTAGTATTTTTTAACTTTTATTTAAATTACAAAAAATATTATTATACATACAATTATAATGGCAAAAATATTAAAATCTCTTATATATTTCTACTAACCAATAATATACTATTATTTTTTAGTTTATTATAAAATCTAAAAAATATATATTCGAGTGAGACAAAGAGAGTATCTTGGAATTTTTATTAATGAAAATATAATTCACCTCAGTTATATATATCCAGACTAGTACAATTTATTTTTCAATAAAAAATTATAAATTATAGGCATAAAACAAACCTGCGGGTACGGTTGGTCTAACTCTAGCCTAAACCGATGGTACCAGCCTAGCTCATAAACCAGCTAGTGTGCGTAGCTTCCTCGAGTCGGTTCAAACTGACCGGACCGCCTATTTCATTTTTAATTTTAGAATACAGGCTCGACAGTAGGTTCGACTCAGTTCGGCTCAATCCAAGACCGGTTTGGGATTATGTATACGAGACGACACGTCGACAAATATAATAGAGAGAGTTACGGTACTGATTTTAAAAATTGAAAAATATATTATTTGTTCATAATTACTATTTATACTGTAAGTATTTTATGTGTTATAAAATTGTTGTATGTATTATTAGTTCATGTCTTTTTAATTTATGAATTAGTAATTTATGTATTGTATTTATATTATATTAATATAAATAATATGCTGTTAAAAGTAATATAGTGTATTGTAATTGCACCATGCTTAATTTAAATTGTAGCTGTCCATATTCTTTGGAACTATTTTCCACCTATTCAATATTATTATTATTAATTTATTATTGGCCTTTGCATAGGCTCGTGCCACGTCATCTCGCGCTACATATATAATTGTATCAGTTACAGCAAATGGCGATGTCGCTGACTGTCAACACCTAAGCTTTTCCTGAAAATGGCTGCCAGATTCGCTCCTTAAAATGTCTGTCAGTTTCCTCTCTCAATCGCGCCTCAATTCCCGCTGCTTTGAGGAGAGGCGAGGCGAGACTGTCTCATTTCCATCTGTTTGTGAGTTTTTTTATACCCTTTTTACCGCTCTTCGACTTTGAATCAAAGCGCGGCACAAATTTGCATGACAGTTAAAGGTACTGTTACTTAATCGGCAACGGTGCTACGTTTTGAAGCCAGGTAGTGCTTGTTTTTTTTATGCTTTATGCGCTCTCTCTTTATTGACTCACTGAATGCATTTTGGAATAAAATCTGTGGCAGATTGATTGCTCCATCACGTAGTTCGAAAAAGGAGGGGAAACAGTCGGAAAAGAGATGCCGAAGAAAAAAGAGGTGCTCAATCAAATTGGCAGCGATGTGCGTCGACTGTTTTAACTGTTGGTTGGTTTGAACTCTGGTCGGATTAATTTTTGGTATTTGTTGGAATTAGCTTTGCCTCTTTATCTACCTATGAATCTATCTTTATAAATGTTTGTATGTATGGAGATTTCCGCAATTGTCGAAACATAGAAATTTAGCGCTACGAAATTGAGTAATGTGCATATATTAAGTTTGTTGTTGTGCATCTCAATTGTGGAAAATGGCAAGGAGAAGCTTGGATGTAGATGGGGGAATTGGATATGGAGGTAGGGTAAGTAAAGTAAGAAAGAGAGGATGCTTATCGTCAACATCTTCATCTACATTAGGGCAGAATTACAGGTTAAAGAGGGCATTGCTGGTTGGGAAAAGAGGGGGATCTACAACTCCAGTTCCTCAGTGGAAAATGATGAATTCAGAATCTTCATCACCAGAAAATGACAAAGCATTCAAGTATCTGGCAGGGAGGAAAGTTGAGAAGGTGAAGGAGCTGCCGGTGTCGGCCCGAAAACTGGCTGCCATTCTGTGGGAGATTAATAGGGTACCCTCACCCAGATCGAAAAGGAGCATTTTGGAGGACAAGGCAAGTGAAGTTGGAAGTGTTGGAAAAAATACTGTTGCAGAGACATCCAAATTGAGTTCTGAGGTGTGGTTGAATTTCATTTTGGGCAGAGATGAATGTTTTCAAGTCACTCAAATGGAAAGTTTCGATACAATAATGAATAATCTTATCTACAAGTTTCACTAATATCCTGTTTGCTACTGTTTATGAGCTTTGCAGGGAACAAAACAACACAAACCTGCCAAACGGACAAACAGAATCCCGGCGAGTTGTCAAGAATTGAAATCTGGTTGTAACTTGGCAGGTGCTGCTTCTCTTCAAAATGATATTATGCAGGTAAATTCTTTATCTGTTAAGTAAAATGGCTTATGCTTATTTACCTTCGGAATGCTGTTCAATCACTCTACTGACCATATCGGTTCGCCTATCAATTCATGACCCTACAAAACCATGCTTTGCAGTCTGGATTTTGGTAGTTATATAGACTCGAAAAGCCTTATCCTGAATTATATGTTTGGTGGTGCTTTTGGTGCATTAATGTTTCTGGATAAACTATTGATGGGAATTTCACGAAAGGCCGTCTGTGGCTTCAATATAAAACAGCTAACATGGCTTGTCTTCCTTATGGGCACACAACAGCCCACACTGTCTTGTAGCTATATCTCTTAAAATCCTGTGTAGTATAAACAATTTAGATAAATGGATTTATAGTTGTGAATGAGACAGGTGTAGATGATGCTCTTAATCACCATATTACTAGTGCAGGTTTGTGAGACGAAAAACAATGTCTGGAAACACTGTACACACGTACTTGGACTAAAGAATCCTCTCAAGGATGTATATGATGGTCTTGTAACCTCTAAAGAACTGCTTAAAGTAATCTTTAATCGCATCAGGCGAATTGACCGAGCAAAATCTACAAGCTTATCCCTTGTTTCGATCGTGGAGTTTGAGCTTGACAGGGCATGTACTCGTATCTATAAACTAATCCAAGGTCATATGGCAAACAAGAACAGGGCAGAGCTTTTGTTGAAGCATTTTAGGGATGAGAAATTGGTTTTGGGAGGTAAAGAACAAGAGAGGATAATACACTGTGTCATTAACTCCTTAGTTGGAGATCTCGAGATGCAAAAGAAGCTGAGGCGAAAAACAGATAAACTGAGTGAGAAACTCAGGAAAGAGTTATTGCAGACGAAAGCATCGTTGGTAACAGCAAACAAGGCCCTCAAAAGTGAGAAAAAAGCCCGAGAAATGGTGGAGCTTGTATGCGAAGAGTTGGCCCGAGGCGTAGGGGAAGACAGGGCCAAAGTGGAGGAGCTAAAGAATCAATCAGCTAAACTTCGGGAAGAGGTGGAGAAAGAGAGCGAGATGCTTCAGTTAGCAGACATGCTACGCGAGGAAAGAGTTCAGATGAAGCTTTTGGAGGCTAAATACATGTTCGAGGAGAAAAATGCGCTCGTAGATGAATTAAGGAACAAACTTGAGGCCTATTTGAAATCAAGAACCGATGAAAAACAAGGAAATGGCTCGCCGAGGTACCAGAAAATTAAGGTGCTCGAAAAGTATTTGAAGGAAACATTTCCAGGATCAGACTGTCAACAAGATGAAGAAAAAGACCATATCGAAACCATGAAAAACAAGGAAGAAGAAGATTCAGGCGACAGCGATCTCTGCTCCATTGAACTAAACATGGACGATCACAGCAAGAGCTTTGTATGGGGTGAGGCAGTGAAGAATGAATCGAAGAGGAAAATGGTCGACAAAAGTAACGGAAGGAATCCCATTCCGGAGAAGAACCAAACAAACTACGGCGACACCATTTCCTGGGAATTCAAGACAACCTCCGAAAACAATGGATTGCATGGATTCACATCACATGGTTGTGTGAAGGATGTTGAGGATGAAATGAAGAGGTACAGAATGATCAAAGATCTTAGAGACAACATCGTCTCTGGCTCCCGGACTGCATCCTCTCAAGATATGTCGAGTCCCGGCCAGAACCTTGGCCAGCCAGCCTCCCAAGGATCGTGATGCCCGTCCCCCCAACGACATCGTATAGGGTAAAGTTTCTAGTTTTCTCATCATAGTTGCAGAATATTTATGTATCTATCTATGGAGATGGTTACCAGATTTTTCACCTCAGGACACGGCATTTATACAAACAGCACACATTAGTATTACATACAGTACATGCTATATATAATAAACGTAGTGTTATTTTTTGTATTATATTAACGCATACAATATATAATACGCATACAATGTGGTGTTTGTAGTAATATTATGTGCATGTATAATAGCACGTACTGTTCACTCTATCTATCAAGTGTGTGATTTAATTTATGTTTACGCCATTTCTTTCTGCAGGACATATATGGTAGTGTGAAGTGTAGAAGAATGCTGTGTGTTTTATGGCAAATTCAGAGATGCACAAAACAGTGCATATATATATATATATATATTGATTCATTCAGGTATGTTTGTTTCTATAAGTGTGTGTGTTTTATTTAAAAAGTTTGGTGCTTAGTTATTTATATTTGTGTTTTGAATTTAAAAAGTTGTTGATTAATAACCAGTAGTATTGATCTATAATAAATAAACGGTGTAATTTAATTATTGTAAATTGAATTTAAAATTTTTCAAAATCGATTTGTATCGAGCTGAATTAATTAATTAAACTCGAAATATTGATTATGGGCTAAATGTATGTTGGGCTAATAACTTAATGAATGTTGAAGCCCACGTCGCGGCCACTTTTTATGGTACGGCCCAAATCAGGTTATTCTACGAAATTCAAATACAGTTATAACAATGTGAAATTAATCTATAAAAATCCACAATGTGCACAATTCTAGGTATGTTAAATCCACAATATAGAATTTTTTTTTTAGGAAATTATTTGAAGATCTTCCCGTTACATTTATTTTCTTTCTATTTACACTAATAACTTAGAAAATTTTCAATTCTTTATATTGTAAAAATGAGATTTGAGCCTAAATTTTATTTAGTATGGTTAATGACAGCAGTTAGGTATGGTGTTGAATTTTAATTGTACTATAGTACATTGTGTGTTAAAAACGGTATATGATGTCGCTACTATCAATACATTATTTATATTAATACAATAACACGTGAATTAATAACACGTGACATATTTTTATGCAGTAAATATTTTAAGTATGAATGTGCTAAGTGAAATAAGAGTATGCACTTTCTAAATTGTTTCTCGGCCATGATTGAAAAAAAATAGTATAATGCTAATTTTCACAAATCAACATGACAATTGAAGCTATTATAGATTTTTGCATTAACAGTAATATTTTTTGAAACAGTTAAAGAATTATATATATTATAAAAATAAATAAATAATTGGAAAAAATATATATATATATATATATAAATCATTCATTTGCTGTCACTATATTCATTAATCACTATATTCGGATTGTCCATAGTCATTTATTAAATTTTTTATTTAATAATATAGGTTTATTCACCCAACTTATTTTTTTAAGTAATAAGATTTTTTATAAATATTACAAATATACAATATATATATACATATTAACACAATATATATAATATATATACTTATTCACTATAAAAAAAAAAAAAGTAAACAATTCAATACAAAAAATTTGGTTTTTTATTATCGACACTTTCTCATATCTAACATAAAAATCATTTTCATTAAAAAATATAAAGTAAACACACATCACATATTAATTAATATTTTTACATTTTATTTAAAATTACGAGCATATGGCTCCTTATCAACTATGTTTTGGATTTTGAGTTGGGATTTGAACAGTAAAAATTTTGAATTTGAATAGTTATATGATGTGATATAAATAATTATTGATGTGATGTTGTAAAATTGTAAAATTGATTTTTAGTATAATATAAAAAATAAAAAATAGTGTTTGATTTGATGTTTTTTGGGTGAAAAAATTGAATGAATAGTATAAATCGAATCTAATCCCCAAACAAACAAACACACATTACTTATCATGTACTAGTACCAAAAAAAGACAAAAAAAAAAAAAAAAACAAAACAAAACAAAACAAAACAAAAAAGGAGACATGTTGGAAGGAATTTTATTTTTTATTTTTGTTATATTGCACCTGAGTTCTGTCCAGGTAGAGTAGTATTTGTTTATTTTGGGGGCCCAAGTGCTAAAATTATTCATACCTATTAAAATAAATTAAGAATGAAATCACTTTTTTAGTAAAAAATAAATTAATTTATATATATATATATATTTCTTATATATTTTATTGAATATTAATTTAAGATATATTTTTAAAAATAAATTAATATTTTACAATTTAATTATCATATTAAAACAATTCATTATTTTAAAAAATGTTATATACATATTTTAATTGCTTATTATCTTTAGTAGAATTAACTAATAACAGTACTTGCTAAAATAAGTTATTAATAAATAAAGACCAATTGGTTATTTGGTTTTTCTTAAAAAAAATTTACTTGTGTTTGATGTTTTAGAAATAGTTTTGAATTGAAATATTAGTTGAACGTATCATAAATAAATATTTATTGTTGAATTTTAGTATGGTAATAGTTTACCATTAATATACAAAATTTCATGTTATTACCATACTAAAAATCTAAGTTATATTTTTATTGAAAATTATGATTTACAATGAATATAATATTTTCAAAACGGTAAAAATGATATACCATTTTTTTTTTTGTATTTTTTAGTTTAAATAATATTTTGATAAAAAATATATATTTTTATTGTTTTTCTAGATTTTTTTTTTCTTTCCACATTCTGTCATATCACTTTAAAAAATTTATGAAAAATCAATGCAGTTTTTTCTCATATTATAGAATCCTTATTAAGATTTTTAAATTTTTTTATATCAATAAATTTATTATTTTATTTAATACAAATAGTGTATAATATATATATATATATATTTAAAATATCTTATATATTACAATATCATGTAAATATTTGATAAAATGAAATAATTTCTCTGTCGGCCTCCAAGGTCACATTTACATTTTGCGTCATTGTACTTAACATTAGAAATATTTTTATATTTATATAATTTCATAAATATATAATTTTTTATATTTTTTTCAATTTTTTTTTTTTTGTTTGTACTATATTTTGATATAATAATTAATATTTTAAAAAGTAAATGAGACCTTAGAACTGGACGGAGGTAGTATAATTTAAATTATTTTATATTTAATTTAAAATCATTTATTAAATCAAATTTTATATATTTATTTTAAAATAAATTTTAATTGAATAATTTATATATTCTCTCTCCTATATGTGAAAGTGAGAGGAGCTGACGAAAGATTCTTATTTAGTTTTCCTATATGTGAAAGTGAGAGGAGCTGACGAAAGATTCTTATTTAGTTTTCCTATATGTGAAAGTGAGAGGAGCTGACAAAAAATTCTTATTTAGTTTTCCTATACGTGAAAGTGAGAGGAGCTGATGAAAGATTCTTATTTAGTTTTTAGTAAGAATGCAGGTATTCTAACTTACCACATTACGCAAAATAAACTGAGAAATATAAAAATATATAATACTTCATCCGCTCGGCTCTAAGAGTCTCATTTACCTTTTGCGTTATTGTACTTAATATTAAAAATATTATTATATTTGTATAATTTTTTTAACAAACGTCATTACAATAGTATTATAAGACATCAATAAAAGTATTTTTGTCATTTTTCCTTAATTTGTACTATGTTTTGATATAATGATTAATATTCAAAGATAACACACAAAAAGTAAATGAAAGTTCTAAAGTCGAACAAATATAGTATGTAATTGTTGATAGTGATAAATAAAATTCAAAAGTATAAATTTCGGGTATGTTTGTTTTGTATTTTGATTTTTTTTTTTAAAAAATGATGTGAAGTATACAAAATTGTATATATAATATAAAAATAATTAGTGTGTATAGTATATTAATTTTTTTTAAAAAAATAGTTTTTTTCTAAAAAAAAAAAAAAAAAAAAAAAAAAAACAAACCCCTCATTATTCATTGAACTTTTCTCCCAAAACATTATTTTTAAAAAATTTGTATTGTTCATAAAAAAAATTTTTTTAAAAAAAATCTAATAAAATACCAAATAAAATATTTATTTTTATTCATATATTACATAAAAAATTATTTTTTATATTTAAAATATCATATTAAATAATAATTTTAAGTTAATAAGATATTATTTCATTACAAATTATTATTATTAACTAACTAAGTAAAAAGAATGAAATAATCTAGTATTATTTTATTATACATTATTACATGTTTAATTGATATAATATTTATAATATAGTGATATTTTAATTATTTATTTGATAAAAAATAAAAAGAATCTCGGTTTAAATGTTTTTTATGCTGAATATATGTATGTATTGAAATAAATTTTGAAAAAAAAATCATTTTACCAATTGTAAATCTTAAATATAAGTAAATAAATATTAAAAAGTAATGCATACACCATAAAATTTTAAATTTAAACAATACTTCACATAAAATTCACCAAAATAAATTATCTCCCAATAGTATGTGTTATTGAGATTTTCTTTCTTCTACGTCCTGTTATATCATTAAAAACTTAGTAAGAACTAATGCAGTTTTATCTCACGTTGTAAATTCTTATAAAGATTTTTAAATTTTTTCTTTTTTTCACATCAATAAATTTATTATTTTATTTAATACAAATCTTATAAGTATAAATTACATTATTGTGTATTTAATAAAATAAAATATTAAATTTAAAATATTTTATATTTAATTTAAAATCTTTTATTAAATAAAATTTTTATATATTTATATTAAATTGTTATTGAAATATTAATATTTTTATTTTAAAATATTTTTCAATTGAAAAATGTATATATTTTCTCCTATACGTAGAAGTTAGAGGAGATGACAAAAGGTTCTTATTTAATTTTTCAGTAAGAACGTTCTTCACATATATTTTTTTTAATATTTTATTATGATGTCATGCTGCATTGCCTCTTCACATTTTTTCAGTAAGAACGTTCTTCACATATATTTTTTTTAATATTTTATTATGATGTCATGCTGTATTGCCGCTTCACATTTTGTAGATTCTTAAATGTGAAAGAACGTCATAGGTAGGTGTTCTAACTTATCTAGGTGTTCTTATTTAGTTTTTCAGTAAAAACGTTCTTCACATATATTCTTTTTAATTTTTTATTATGATATCATGCTGCATTACCGCTTCACATTTTGTAGATTCTTAAATGTGAAAGAACGTCATAGGTAGGTGTTCTAACTTATCTAGGGTGTGTTTGTTTTGTACTTTAATATTTTTTATGTGGAGTATAAGAAATTGTATATATAATATAAAAATAAATAGTATACGTAATATATTAATGTTTTTAAAAAATTATGTTGAACTTTTTTGTTAAAAGAACAAAGCCCTCATTAGTTAAGATAAAATGAGAAATATAAAAAGATATTGTATGTAATTGTTGATTCCAAAAAATAAAATTCAAATGTATAAAATTTTTATTATTCATTGAATTTTTCACCCATGTTTACAAAATTTGTATTGTTTATATATAAATTTTTCTAATAAAATATCAAATCAAATATTTATTTTTATTTATATATTACATAAAAAAAATAATTTTTATATTTAAAATTTCATATTAAATAATAATTGTAAGTTAATAAGATATTATTTCATTACACATTATTATTAACTAACTAAAGTAAAAAGAATGAAATATTTTAATATTGTTTTATTATACATTATTACATGTTTAATTGATATAATATTGTTTTAACTAAAATACAAATATGTATTATGCCATTTACCATTATATGTTATATTAATATATATGTATATTGTATTTTTTAATAATATTTATACAAAATCGTATTACAAAAGTATTGTGTAAATATACTCATAGTATACATATTGCTACTGGATTAATTAAAAAAAAAAAAAAAACAATAGATTTGAAAGAGTTTCAAAATAGGAGAATGAGCAAAATATTCGTATTCAGTATATTTACTTGAATTAAATCAAAATTTATATTTTGATTCAGATTAAAATTTTTATATATTTTGAATTTTCGGATCAATTTGAATTGGTATAATAAAAATTCGAACAATTCGAGATTCAAAATATAACACTATACATGAATATGTTTTATTATTATATATAATGTTTTAATAAAAATATATATCTTTAATATTTTAATAGAAAGATATAAAAAAGAATAAAATTATCAAAATTTTGGATTTTAAAAAATAATATGCAATTTAGAATTTTCATTTTAGTTTGGATTTTATAATTCAGATTTTAAATTTTTAGATTTTGCATTTTATAATTAGGTTTTGGACACATCGATTAAGTTTGGAATATCTAAAAATAAAAAGATAAATCGAATTGGTTCGAATTAACAAAATATAAATTCGAGTATTCGAATACTTGCCCCTATGTAACTAGTTCAAAGAAATCGAAGTATAAACTATGACTCAATTAAAAAATTATACTAATAATATAATAAAATCAATACCCGATTCCGGGTTTGATTTTTACATTATTTCTAGCAATATGTTTTAATTATTCAGTTTATACAATTTTTATAAAAATAAAAAATAAAAAAATAAAAAAAAAATCTTTATTTTCTATCATAAAATAACATTAAAATATTATCTAAATTAATAGTAAATAAATAAACTCAATTTCTATTTATTTTGATTTTTTTTCCTTTTCAATTATTTATTTTCTTATAAAATATATCTTTTTTACAAAATATTACAGCTCACTACTATTTAAATAAAAATAAATAAAACCCAAATTTCGATGAAGAATAAATTCCAACTGCCAAACGGTTACCAAAGCTATTAATATACAAATAATTACTACTACGAAACGAACAATAATTAGTTACAATAAATAAGAAGTTATAAGACATTAATCCCATGACTTTAATGAAGCTGGTACCTCAAATAAATAAGTAATATATATATATATATATGTATATATATATATCGTTCTATTTATTTTATTTTTTTTTTAATTTTTATTTATTAGTTATTAGAAATTTAAAAATTATTATAAAATATTTTTATTATTTGTATTTTAAAAAAGATATACCGATTATTTTGTCACGTAATTGGACTTTTTTATCATTTTAGTATAGTAATTATAGTATGTCGCAAACTAGTTCCGTAATTGAATTTTTTTTTTTTTGCAATTTTAGTTTTTCGGCCGGAGATGTATATGTGGCATCCATGTGACTCGGTGGAGGACACGTGTGTCACGTGAATTTTTATTTTTTTTAAGTTTCAATTTATTTTTTTTGAAAATTTTAAGTTTTTCCAAAAAAATGGACAAAATAAATAAATTAATTTTTTAAAAAATAAAAATAAAATTCACGTCGGGAACACGTGTCCTCCGACGAATCACACAGATGATGTGCTATAAATTGTTTTTTCCCCATCAAAATATCACCCATTAACATTTGTCGGCATCAAATAAAAAACCAACAAAAGCACACTGTACCAAAGCCTCAAATTTTTATCAACTTAATTATTAAGTTAATATATTTATATCTTTTTTCCTCCGTCCCATGTTGAATGTCACGAAAATTTAGGATAAATATAATTAGTAGATAATTAAGAATATATTAGTAAAAATAATTATTTTATAATAAACATAATTATAAATTAAGATTAAGATAATTCATTAATTTAATTAAAATTAAAAAGAAATTAAATTAAAAAATTTAAAATGAGATTAAGTGTGTAATCATTTTCCAAAAAATGAAAGTGACATGAGATGTGAGACGGATAAAAACAACAATGTGGGCATGGTAAGTGAAACGGAATATTATATAAGGGTTTATTTGATTACTGTTTGAAATTGATTTAAAATAAAATATTATTTTTATTTTTATTTAAATAGTATTTTGATGTACTTCCTTCGTCTTAGTATCCATTTTTACATTTTAGTCCATTCCATAACAAAGTATCAATTTTTTTTTTTATAGTAATTTTACTATATACATAATATTACAAATACTGAAATATTTAGTTATGGGACGGAGAGAGTAATATAATAGAGTATATTTTATTAAAAACAAAATAAATAGTATTAATTGTAATTTAAAATCGCAAAATAACAAATCATAAATTACGTTTATTCCGTTTTAGATGCAATGATTTTTGGTATAATATTAGAAATTGTGTAAAAAATATAAAATATGCTTCCTCCGTTCCAAATACCCTTCAATATATTTTTCTGATATGCCTCAAACATCTTGCATTATTGTTAAAATAGGAAATATAGTAATTGATGACCTAATGGAGTGTAAAGTGAACTTGTGATTATGAGATCATGGTTTCAAACCTTGAAAGTATTCTAGTTGCAGTTCGGAGGTACCGAAGAAAAGTATATTCTCTTCCCATTTTAAAATATCATTTTATTAGTATGTCTCATATCAAAGTATCAATTTGTTATTTTACAAAAGATAATTATACACTAATATTAAAATATTTTAAATTTTTATTTAAATTACAAATATACCATTATACATACAATTATTTTATAGACAAAATTAAATGATAAAAATATCAAAATCTCTTACACACTCTCACTAATCAATAAAATATTATTATTATTTAATATATTACAAAATTTCAAATGACCGATTTGAAATGAAATTTAATAAGTATTTTTTTAAAAAAAAATTTAAAAAACAATATTGAAAAAAAAAAAAAAAAAAAAAAGCTGCAATTTGGGCTCCAGATTCAAAAAAGCAAATTGTTTATAAATAGTAAATAAGTATATTTATATAAAAAACAAAAGAGAAAAAAAGTATATTCATCCGGGCTTCTGTTTCATTACATGTCAGAAATAGTTATCGGCACAAGCAACCTCTCACCTAGTAATAATAATAATATTATAATAATAACGATAATAGTAATAAATTAATTAATCAGCGATTTTATTCTGCTCTTCCATTTCCACATAGTCAAAAAGTTTTTTCTTATTTATTTCTTCGAATAAAATATTTGGTGGAAAATTTTGAAAATTTCTCGAAATCTATACACACTGCCCACCGATACATTTTTCTGTATATATATATATATAGAGAGAGAGTCAGTGGTCACAGTTGAGTTCCTTAACCCTCGATTTCTCCGATCGCAATGTCCGGACCCGAAACCCAAAGTCCCAATCGTCCACCGGAGGAGAGCCCTAGTGGCGCCGCCGACCCGCTTCTGGGAAGCGGTTCCTTCATCAACCCGGAGAGGGCCGACATCGGCGGCGGTTCGGAGGGGGGCCAGCGAGTGGTGTTCCCGCGGGGCGTGGCTATTGCCGCCCAGCCAATTACGATGTTCATCCCCAGCGACGATAGCATGGGGGAGCCCTCCGCCCCCCGCTCGGCTCGCCGGAGGAATCCCGAGGAGATGGCGAAGCGCCCCGACTGGCTGCCCGACGGTTGGAGGATTGATCTGAAAGTGCGCTCCTCCGGCGCCTCCGCCGGCCTGATTGACCGAGTTAGTGTTCTTCCTTTTCTTCGTTACGTTTGTTACTTTCGATTGTTGATTGTGTGTTGGGAATGTGTTTTTATGTTCGTTTGTGGATTCTTGATGAAGTAACCGTCTCTGATTTGGTTTGGATTCCTTCGTTTTGGTTTCTCTGAGCACTGTGATTGATTTAGGGTTCCAAATTAGGGTTTATGTGTGTGAATAGAATTTCGAGAAGGAGGAGGAAGAAACTGAGTCTTGTGAACAAATTTGATTTGCTTAGCACTGTCAATTTGGTTGTTGTTTCCTATGGTCGATTGTTCGAATGTAAAATTGATGTTTATTTTGTTTCGGTGGAATGCTGCATTGTAGATTTAGAACACTTATTGATGAATGTTGAAGTTGATAGGGGTCTACAAATCATGTATATATATATATGTATGTATGTATGGAATTTGTTCGACTTGTTTGTTAATGTCCGTTGGTCGATTACGAGGTTTTGAGGAAAAGTTCGGCTTCGATTTGGTAGATTTGATTGATTCCTTGTTATATGTCGGGACTGAATTTTTGTCGATTCGTAATATGCTGTCGGATCATATTTGTTTGCTTTAGTTGTCGGCATATTCCGTGTGCCAATGATTGCGTAGAAAGTTCGATTTCCTTTATTGAATTAAGAGTGTAAACGAGTCGATCATTGGTTGTCGGTAGAGAATTTATGTACGAATGTCGGATAGTCGTCATCTTCGGAGTCATTGGTGTGATATTTCTTATCATAGTTATGCATATCACATGAAATTTAATTGCGTTTGTTCTTATCGACGATTACGTGATTTATCTTTTTAACTCCGCCTCTTTCGTGTTTTATAAAGTTGGATAGCTTTTCTTTTTTTCCTCCGCAAAGTACGGCAAGGACAACATTCGAATTATTACATCATTCCAACACGACCTCCTTAACGGCCAAACAAAAATTAAGTCGAACCCATATCCTAAATTGCCTAATCTTTATGTGCCTTAAAATGCTTGTTGGCTATTGCTTTGTGCTCTATAGGTTGAAGAAAACCGTATTAGACGCTTCGGTCGATAATCATAAGCTTGATTATCATTGCTGGTATTCTAGGACGATTTTGTTCCTCGTACTTGGTAATAACTTATTCTCATCATTCTTACATTTGGAATCATGCAGTACTATGTTGAACCATCGGAGCAGCGCAAATTTCGCTCCAAGAACGAGGTGCTTTACTTTCTCGAAACAGGCGATAAGCTAAAGCGGAAGGATAATGCTGTGGTAAGTAAAGAACATCGAAAACATCGTTCATAACCTTAAAGCTTCCGTCTTTTTTTTTTTTTTACTTTTGGGGTGTTCTAAATCTTGATTATCTTTTGCAGCCTTCAGCGAGTCCTCCCGGGCAGAAACAAAAGAAGTCGCGGAAATCCAATTCCGTGGATTCTAGCGCAATGTCTGACACCAAGCGCAAGAGTTCCGAGCGCGGGGATTCCGACGCAACGAGCAAGAAATCCAATGCCCCAGACTCGGGAAACAGCCACCCGACGGACACTCCTCGGGAGACTTGAGCTGGGATCCATTAAGTTAAAAAAAATATATGAACAGCGAAAAACAAAAACTGGTATCCTTTAGGATCCTTTTGAAAAAACTATAGACACCCTTTTCCTTTTTCCTTCGTTATCTTACCCGTTTTGGGCAATGCAATGCAATGGAATGCCGGGATAGAAATTGTCTGTGATTGGAATGGTTGGTTTCAATGTTGTGCATTTTGGTGGGATGTTAGTATCTGCGATCTGTAGTATATCGTCTCGTATCCTCTAGGCTTTACTTGTTTGGATCATTCTACAGTTACCTGAATAGGATAGGATACAATAGAATAGAGATTTTTGTCGGGAATTTGATTGAATTGGATTGGATCGGATCGGGAATTTGGCTTAGAGAGCAGAGCAGTAGAGCAGTGTTTTTGTGGATGAGTTAATGTTCGGAGTAGGAGGAAGAAGGTGATTCCCGGCATTGCTGCTGTTGCTGCTGCTGCTGCTGCTTTTTAGGATATTGCTATGCCTGCCGAAACTTAGGTATGTTAACTTTTTAAGGTTTGGTTTGAGCATCGAATTTATAGACAGAAAAACGACGTGTAATGTTATGAACATAAAATTTCATACAAATCATATGTGGATCCAATGAGAGAAAGTTCTGTTATTTAGACATATCATTTGATTCCTCTTTTAGGTTGAACTTAGATTTTTATAGGTGTGGATGTGATATTTGATTTAGCTTTGATGGATTTTGAAAATTTGATCTTTATAACAAGGAGTTTGGTTTTGTTATGGATTGAAAATGGTTAGGTATTGATTTGCAGTAAGAACTCAAGCTTTGACATGAACTCAACCAAGTGCTTTTGAGATTTAATTTTTCTATGAATTTGAACATGAACATACTTGGAAAAATGTTAGTTTATCGATTTGTCATCATTATTTGAATTTTTTGTTAATTATTGATGATTTTCGACAAAGGACATGAAGTATATGTAGAATATAATAAATAGAATTTAGCAAAAATTACCATTTGTTTGATTTCTTTAGTGATTTCAATGCATTGGAATTCGCTTGTTTTACAGTTTTATTTCAAAGTAATAATTGAACTTGAATAATTGGAATAATTTCCATTTGAAGTAACCATGAATTTTTTTGCCTGAAAATTTTTCGACAAAATGAAGTAGTTGAAGGGAAGAATCAATAATCAGATATTGTAGAAAATGTCACATTATGATGCATGCTAAATTTGTTTTTGTAGCAATTGATGTTAAAGGAGTGAATACAATTTTTTGTTGTTAGCATCGTTTTATATATATATATATATATATAAATAGGAAAGACGATATAATATAACAAATTGATGACAGATAAATGAAGATAAAAGTTCGTTTTATATGAATTTGAAGATATTCGTAATATGTTGATTAAACTGTAATATTAAAATATAGTAAAAAAATTATTTGATAGTTATGTTTTTCAATAAGTTGATAAAGTTTATCATTGCTTAAGTTTTTTGTCATAATATTCATTAGATAGCAAAGGAAAAATTTATTATTGTTATTATTGTTAAACTTAAAAGAAAAATCATATTTTGATATTACAACTCATTCAACATGTTGCAAATATTTTTCACATTCATATAAAAAATTATTTTCATCAATCTACGCCAATTTGATAAATTACCTATATATATATATATAACCAAAACATTGCTAGCGACGAGAAATTACATTCACGACTTCAACATCAATTACTACAAACTAATTTAGCATTAATTGTATAATGTGACATTTTCTATAAGTTGGGACCCAACTCGCACGTGCTACTTTTCGAGTACGCTTTGAATAAATATTCGATCGAATTTAATGGTATGTAAATTAAGCTCCACAAGACACATCACACTAGACGAACATGTGTGGAAAGCTAGGGAAATATATATGTATATACATAAAGGAGTGTTTCAAAATAAAGCCGTTAACGAGTTGAATTGGTTCGAATTCTTCATGTTTGAGTTCGAATAGTTAAGAACTCAAGGTCAATTTATGTTGATTTGTTAAAGAGATATAAATTTTCATCTGATTTTACTATTTCAATTTTTTTTTTCTAAAAATATTAAATTAAATATTTATTATTTATTTATTATATTATATTAAAATTTAATTTTACATGTCAATATATATTTATATCATATCCAATAATTATTTTAATTCAAAATTTTACTATTCAAAATCAAGTAAAAAAAAAAATCTATTTGATTATGTCATTTTCTTTTTCAAGATTTATAATAAATATTTATTAATGTCATTTTATTTAGGGTAAACTGTTTTTTTAGTCCCGTAACTAGACCCCTTATCGTTTTAGTCCCGTAAATGGAGCATGTCGCAAACTAGTCCCATAAGTGAAAAATTTTCACTGTTTTAGTCCTCCGGCGCCAGAGACGCCCGCGTGGCTCGCCGGAGGTGATGTGTCCGCCAGGTCAGCGACCTACACATGGATTTTTTTTTTTTTAATTTTTTTTAAAACTTATTTTTAATTTATTTTTAATTTTATTTATATACTTTTAATTTTTTTAATTTGATTTAATTTAAAAAAAATAAAAAAAAATTGAAATAAATAAATAAATCCATGTGTCCGTGTAGCTGACCTGGTGGGACACCTGGCGGACACGTCACCTCCGGCTAGCCACGCAGGCGTCTCCGGCGCTGGAGAACTAAAATAGCGAAAATTTTTCACTTATGAAACTAATTTGCAACAGCCCACTTACGGTACTAAAATGATAATGAGGTCCAATTACAGGACTAAAAAAATAATTTACCTTTTTATTTATTTTGTTATAAAAATTACTCTAGTTCTATCATGTGATGCATATACGATATATTTTATTTTGAGTAGAAAAATTGTTAATATTTGATTAAAAAAAGAAAAGGAAAAAGTAAATACGACATAATTGAAAAAATTATTCGTTTAATGTTTAATTATTTGAAATAAAAAAAATTTAAGCATCACCGCTTCAAGGTTTTGGCAGTTTGTTTATGGCGACGATGATGTGGAGAAGCTTTCAAGAATCATCTGCTGGCTTCAATAGTCTTGCGTACTCTCTTCTGCAATTTCTCATTTTTATGTTTTCATGAACTCAGCATTTTGCGTTAATTCGAATGTTTGGAACAGTAATTTGGTGCGCACTTGATATTTCTCTATCGGTCGGTCCCTTTTTGGCAGCACTTCGCGAAAAGGGATAATCTGGTGAATACTGCAACCAAACTAGGGTTTATATTATTCGATTGATTATTTTGGTTTTTAATTCTCCCGTTTTTCTGCATATGTCGAAGCTGAGCTCTGAATTTAAGTTCATTTTTCTCGTTATGGAATTTAGCTAACTGGAATTGAAGCATAATCCTTTGATTTGTAAGCTATATAGCGATGTCGATGTAATATGACCGGACTTCGGTGTGCTAAAGGTTCCATTTCCTCTTTTGTTTTCCTGAATTTTGAGCTTGAAGAATGGGGGTTGAAAAATTAGGGTTCTTATTATATTGAACTCAGTGTGTGGATTTATGGGTGATGATTGTGTGTGTGATTGTCTGGTGATGAAATCTTTTTTTTTTTTGCAGCATCTAGTGCCATTGTTTTTCTCAGGATTGAAAAGTTTGTGTGCCTTTTGGTTGTCTTCTAGGTTGTGTGAAAGCTGATGAGAATCATGTCGAGGCCGATGCTGCTTGTTTTCTTGCTGATGGTATTGGTTATCACATCGCAATTCGAATGGAGGCAGCAATTAGTAAATGATATGGACACTGGTTCGGGGGAGCCTCAGAAGCAGCAGCCGATTTCAAAAAGGGAGGAAATTGTTAAAGAGAAGGTAAAATTGTACCTTCCCTATTTGGTTTAGCATTCATTCTGCTCGGATGATCTCATTGTATTATGTTGTTTTCTTGGTTGAATTCCTATTGTTTTTTGTTTGTTTCTTTTTTCTTTTATGCCTCACGCACACTTATTAGTTTCCATAACATGAAAGGGGCTTTGTGCTCAAGTGTAATGAACTATGTCTGATTTTCGGTTGAACTTTTTGTTTCCTCGTGTGTGCACATTTATCAATTGGCATGCGGCATGACATTTAACAATTGGTATGCGGCATGACAGGGGAATTGTGTTGACGTATTTCTTTGCCTACATTCCATTCTGTTGGGATGAGTGCATCATTATCTTGGTGATTTTGTTCTTCTTTCCCCCCCTTGTGTTCATTGTTGGTATGCAAACATCAAGGGGATTGTGTTTTTTTCTTGTCTTGTCTTGTCTTTTTTTTTTTCCCCTTGTGCGCACACTTGGTAGTTTCCATAACATGATATGAGTTTGTGCTGAAGTCTAACGAACCATGTCCGTTTTTGGGTAGAACTTTTTGTTTCCTTGACTGTTTATTTATCAAATGTTATGAGCCATGATAGGGGCATTTTGCTGAAGTATATCTTTGCCTACGTATTCATTCTGTTGGAATGAGTGCAACAAATTATATCATTTTCTTGGAGATTGTGTTTTTTCCCCCCTCATGTGCATTCATCAATTCTCGGCATGAAACGTCAAGGGGATTGTGTTTTTTTCTTGTTTCTTTTTTCCCTTGTGTGCACACTTATTAGTTTCCATAACATGACGTGAGCTATGTGCTTAAGGGTAACGAACCATGTCCGTTTTTCAGTTAAACTTTTTGTGTCCTTGTCTGTGAACATTTATCAATTGTTATGTGCCGTGACAGGGGCATTGTGCTGAAGTATATCTTTGCCTACGTATTCATTCTGTTGGGATGAGTGCAACAAATTATATCATTATCTTGGTGATTTTGTTTTGGTTTTCCCCCCTCGTGTGCATTGTCAATTGTCGGTATGCAAACGTCTGAGGAATTGGAATAAAGTCTATATTTGTCTATTATATAAATATGTTTTGATGTTTATAATTGGTCCGTATATAATCACCTGCCGCCCGTGGCACCTGAGATGGAAACAGGGTTGAAATGAAATCAACGACTCTGGCATTCCCTCTTTTTCCCTTTCCATATCTATGTATTTATATCTTACACGACAACGAAGGCTGAATTAAATCATTTGTATCATCTATCGTCAAAGCAAATTCTCCTGTATACTCATCTATTGGTGCATTTGAACTTTTGCATTAGTAATATTCCATTCTGTGTAATATTAGGGTGTGTTTGTTTGGGGGTTTGGATTTTGGATTGGGATTTGAATAGTAAAAATTTTGAATTTGAATAGTTGTATGATGTGATATAAATAGGGTTTGATGTGATGTTTTGAATGTAAAATTGATTTTTAGTATAATATAAAAAATGAAAAATAGGTGTTTGATTTGATATTTTTGGGGGGAAAAAATTGGATGAATAGTGGAAATCCTCCAAAATCTTTCAAACAAACACACCCTTAATGTCAAACATTTGTTGTGGCACGCTACATCCTGTCTATATTCCCTAGGACACCCAGAACAGCCTCAACTGTTGAAGTGCCTTCCACTTAATTTGATTGAAAGGGTTCAATGCCTGATGGTGACATTCGTATTTTTGTCGTACCACAAAAAGATACTATATATTTCCTAACATTGTGGTTCAAGATGTATATGGAAACATAGAATAGGCTAGATATATTTTCCTTGGGCACTAGAAATATAGAATAAGGGAGACATCATCCTATATTATAATTTTGGTTTCTCAATAAGACGAGCACTAATTGTTATGGAGGCTGGAATTAGTGATTAGACAAGGCTTCTTTGGCTTGAAAGATTTCTTCTAAGCTGCATATTGCAACATCTATGCAACTGTTGTAGCCTGTAGGAAATGTAGTAGATGTTGGCTTCAATGCATCATTATTGTCATTAATATTGCCCGTGGGAGCTTAACTGCAGTATTCTTCGTGCCCAGTGTGCAATTCACAACTTGGCAAAATTAGCGTTGCCTATAGTTTAGTGCAAACATAAAACCAAATACCCGTACATGCATAATATAATACAACATATTACTGCTATGCATGTTTTAAGACAAATACTGAGAGCTGCATCAATACTTTCTCGTTTGCAGATTATCTTATCGCAGGAGAAGAACATCCAAAGGCTCAATGAGCTCGTCCGCAGCCTAAGGGAACAACTGCACCAATGCCATAGCAATAATCAAACAACCATCGGCGGCACCCTCGGCTCGCTCACAGAGAATGTTATTGAGCTTGAGCAACCACAGATTCCGGAAGACTAACAGACCAACCTTGAAGTTCTCTGTAATATTACTGTATGTGCAATATACAAACCTTTGTAAATTCCTTACTTCGGTACTTTTATTTTTTGAAAATTTTTGTTTATGGCCATTCCCATTGTGATCTGCAAATTTTTTCTTTGCTCCAAGCAGAAATGCTTATGATATAAAAATTTATAAATTTGAGAAGCTCAATTGGATGTTAGCCTATATTAACATTAAAATATAGAGTTTGTTTATTTCGGCTTTGGCTTTAGGTTTTTTATTTAAATAGCAGTGTGATGTGATGTTTTGTTAGAGAAAATAATGAATTTTTTTTTTGTAGAACATTGCGCTCATTTTTTACTTTTTATTTGTTTGAATATGCATATGATATGGTGTATGTATATATGTGTATATACATTGATTGATAGATGAACCCCCTTTTGGTTAGGGTGCTATGTGACTTTAAAGAATGCATGTAAATAAATGTTTGCTGCTCCCAACTAAAAGTTAAAGCTTGAAGTGAATAGGGGAGAGTGGGAAACTTATACTACTAGACTATTTATTTTTATTTTTTTTATTATTTATATTTATATTTAATTTTGATGATGAAAAGGGTAGAGAGTAGGATTGATTTAATATGTAAGTTTGATGGGAGGCAGTTAGTGGGCTATTAATGGTGCCTTTAAATGGCTTTCTTGAATTCAATTTATTAAGTGTTTAGTTAAACCAACCCTGTCAGCAATTAAATGAAATACCCATTGCCAATATTATTTATTTATTATAAATCAGTTTTTCCCAAATTTAGTAGCCAGCAAACTTCCTGTGAGTTCTCAATTAACACACACACACAAATACTTAAATGTATATATGTGTTGTAAATTCAACAAATTCATCTATTGTTTTTTACCTATCTATCTATCTGCCACCTCCACCCCACCCATCTCCCCTAAATACAAATTCAATTCAGCAAACTGTACAATTGTTGCTTCCATAATCAATTCTGAAATTAAATGTACCTCTTATGTTTCCAATGGCTTCTACTACTTCTTCATCTGGTGAGCTGTGTATATATATATGTGGGTATGTATATGTGTATATATATATATATATATCTATCACATAGTTGAAGGAGACAGACAAACTCAGAAGTTCTTTCTGCTCCATCAAAGGTACTGCTTCTTGCTTACTTGCTTACTTGCTTACTTGCTTGCCTGAGATACATATATATATATATATATGTTATATATGTATGTATCTAATGATTGATTTGTGTTCGTAGGTAGATTGAATTGAGGAATGGCTGGGTACAAGAATGGGAGGGAGAGGGAAGAGGTGGAGCTGAACCTGAAGCTATCTCCACCAATGGAACAGGGGCAGGGGGCTTCGAATTCATCTTCTCCAAGGAGCTCGTGTGTGTCTCGGGAGTCGAGCCCGGAGAGAAGCAAGGAGGGAAGTCCGATGATGATGCTGGTGGGGTGCCAGAAATGCCTCATGTATGTGATGGTGGTTATGGAGCTTGAGAATGATGTCCCAAAGTGTCCCAAGTGCAAGAACACTGTCTTGCTTGATTTCCTCCACCCCAACCCCACCCCCACCCCCACCCCCAACCCCAACAACAAATGAATCTTTTCAATATGTATCAGCTATTATTATGATTATTATTAGTGGTGGTGGTGGTGGTCTTGTTTATTTGATGATTTGCTTCTGTCTGTTTTGTGTTTCAAGATCCGTCCGTACTGTTCTTTTTGGGGTTTTGTTGAAGCTTTTGGCTGTTGCAGAATAGAAATTAAACAGTTGTTATCATGTCCCGCTCAAATCCTATGATTATTATTGTTATTTTGGATTCCTTTTTATTGATATATATATATATATATGATATGATTTGATATAATACTGACTAAATTATTCCCACCATTGACATTATACTTTAAAATTGGTTGTGTTCTGCATATTCAAAGTTACCTGTCCAGATTTCAACTCAACCCACCACCCTAACAACTCAACTCATTTTTCATATTTACAGCCAAAATAATAAAAATGATTGTAATATCCAGCTACAGAAATAAGTTTGATCAGTGAAGTCACCTACACTCTGATAAGAAAATTTCACCAATTTTATAGGGTGAGTTTGTATTTACATCTGTTAAACGAAACTGCAGCTTGCGACTCAAATCGTTCGTAGAGATAGACAAATTGAACTTGGACTCGAGAATTATTGTCTATGTAAATGAGCTTGAGCTTGAGCTCATGCTCGGCTTACAAGTAGTTTGATTATACTTGTCGATGATGTTGTCTTTGTATCGTCTACTTAATCTTTTTAATTTTTGAGTGATAGGACTCTATACAATATATATTTTATTTTTTTCAGAAAAAATTAAAATTCAACATAAAATATTATTTTATACTAATGTTTCATAGTTAAAAACACATCAATCTAAAAAATAAAAAATGAATGCACAATATATTTAATGTTTTATATCAGAACCTACATTTATCAATAAAATTTAAAAATATTTTATTATAATAAGTTGTATATATAATCAAATATTTTAAATTTGCCTATTCAAATTTTTAGGTAGTATAATTTGATGGATTATTTTACTATTTTGCTTTTATTTGTGATGATAGATTTTTCTCTTGGGCTATGTTCGTTTTGTCTATACGTAATTGATAGACAAATGAGGTGTGTTTCGTTGGATTGTATTTGAAGAATTTTTATTATTTTTATAATAAATATCAAATTAAATATTTAATTTTTTTTATTTATTTATATTATATTAAAAAAATCACATCAAATAATTATTTTAATTCAAAATTAATCTAATTCAAATTTTACTTCCAAACCTTCAAAAATACATATCCCATATTTCCTTCTTGTTGGTGTTTTTTTGGTTGTATTTCATTATTTTAGTATGCTTTGTAAATAGTAAAAATTTTGTAATATAATATTTTAAACAAAACAATTATGTAATATATTAAATAAAATATATATATATGATGTCTAATATTTTGAAAACAAAATTAAATTAATGTATATGAATAGCAAAAATAAAATGATGAAAATACAACCAAACAAACTAGTTGAAACTTGTAAAAAAAAAAATTGAAAATAGCTATTCAAGACTGAGAATTTGACTCGGTTGATGTAAACTTGATTCCAAAAGTAAATGAACCGAACAACATAAATAAACTCATTTTATTAATTTGCCAGTCCAAAATTTATTCGCGAATGTCCGTTAAAAAATAAATATATAAAATTATTAATTAAAAAATAAACACAAATATTTAAAATTATATTCGATTCAACCTGTCAACGAGAGAGATCTTTATCCCAGTCAATTTAAAAACTTAAACACGAGTCAATTTAAAAACTTAAACACATTCTAAATCATAGCAAAACAAAATTAATAACAAACAAATCGAGACAGATATAAATATCAAATATCTATATATAATATATCAAAAAAATTATCTAAATTTAAAATTTCACTAATTCCCCGCCCAGTCCACCCCCAGATCTGGTAATTTAACTAAACTAGGAGCAGAGAACACTACCAAAAAATACTTCATAAGTTAAGGTCCAAAAATAACATCAAAAAACGATTTCATTACTGACCTGATCAAATCAGCACTCGATCCTCACGGATCCGCTCTCCGACGATATAAACTTAGGTTTCCGATTAACTTTCACCAGGCACTGTATCACGTCGCCGATCTGGAAGTCGTCGCAGTCCTTGATCACCAGACCGCACTCGTTCCCTTTCCCCACAGCCTCGACGTCTTGCTGCTCTCGTTTCAGAGACGCGCAGCACCCTTCGAAGATCACTTCCCCGCTCCGAAGAAGCCTTACTGTCGCCGATTTCGTCAGCCGCCCATCCATCACGCGGCATCCCGCAATCTTCACATCGTCCCCTTTCGATTTGCTCCTCCCCTTGAGCTCGAATATGTTCAGCACCTGGGCCTCTCCGGCGACCTTCGTTTCCAGCGTCCCGGGAGCCTTTTCGACGATGAAGTTGCCCACGTCTTCTAATAGATGATAGATTACTCGGTGTAATTTTACCTTCGACGGCGAGATATCGTCGTATAAGTAATTTTTATACAGTGTTAGAAATAGAGTGGGCACAGTTCGGGTATTTGCAAATATGCGGGTATTTGATATTCGAACCGAACCGAACAAATATCCGAAACCGTGAACCGTATCCGAACCGAAAATTTCGTAACCGAAAATATTTGCAAATAATTCAAACCGAACCAACATTAAAAACATATATTAAAAAATAATTAAAATTCTAATTAAATAAAAATATTTACAAATATTTCAAATATATGAACAAAAAACAAAGCGAATATAATTATTAATATAAATTTTAAAATATAATAATATAAATATATTCGATTCGATTAACTTAATCGAACAAATATAAAATATGCAGTATTTGTATTCGAACCGAATTTGCTCGGTTAACCGAAAATTCGGTTCGGCGGTTCGGTTAAATTTTTTTGCCCACCCCTAGTTCGAAACGTTTTCCGAGTAAATCGTGCTTACCTTTATCTTGCTTTGTGCAGCTGCAAGGCTGATTGCACTAGGAGGATCCCGAACGTTGAATCCAACGATGCACGCCCCGCAGGCTTGCGCCATGTCTACGTCGGACTGAGTGACGGGCCCGACTCCAGCATGGATAACCTTGACGTAAACCTGGGACAAAGACATTGAGAGCTGTGAATCGGGAGGAAGAATATTCGATCGTATTCGAAGAATCTTTTTAACGAAACCTGAGAACTGTTCAGACATTTCAGTGCGTCGCTGACCGCTTGGACAGTGCCTTGCACATCTGCTTTCACGATGATCGGAACTTCGACCCTCTTCGATTTCTCATCTTCGTCGGCGTTTTCCTCTCCTTCTTCTGTTTGTAGCCTCTCCACCTCATCTCTTTGCCGCTCCTCGTCGAGTTTCATGAGTCTATCCTTCTCGATTTTCTTTTTCCTTCCTTCGCTCAGCATTCTTGCTCGTTCCTCAGATTCGACAACGACGATGTCGTCACCGGCCATGGGGAGCCCTTTTAACCCTTCGATCTCGATAGGCATTGCGGGTGTAGCATTCGAGATCGGTTTTCTAGCCATGTCTCGGATACACCGAATTCTTCCCCACTCGGCGCCCACAACAACATGCTGTCCGCAAACCAACGTCCCCATCTTCACTATCGCAGTCGCCAGCGGGCCCCGTCCCTTGTCGATCCTTGCCTCGACTACATACGCTTGTGCAGGTCCGTTGACGCGCGCTTTAAGATCCATTAACTCGGCTTGGAGCAGTAAAGCCTCCTCCAACCTGTCCAGCCCGGTTTTGTTTACGGCAGAAACTTCGACAACCTGGACGTCTCCGCCCATCTCCTCCAACGGCAATCCTTCCGATGCAAGCTGGATCTTTACTCGTTCGGGATTCGCATCCGGTTTGTCGCACTTGTTGATTGCGACGACAATGGGAACATTGGCTACTTTTGCATGAGACATGGCCTCTAGAGTTTGAGGCATTACGCCGTCATCCGCCGCCACCACGAGCACAACTACATCCGTAACTGCCGCACCTCTAGCCCTCATAGCGCTAAATGCAGCATGGCCGGGAGTGTCGAGGAAAGTGATGGATGCGCCGGATTGCATTCCTACGACAAATGCACCTAGATGCTGGGTAATGCCTCCTGCTTCTTTGGCAGCTAAGGATGTCTCTCGAAGGGCGTCCAGAAGAGATGTCTTGCCATGGTCGACATGACCCATAACCGTGACGACTGGAGGGCGTGGCAAAGCTTGAGCTCCTTCATCTGTGTGCTGTCGACGTACATTCAGCCCAACTTCCTAGATAAGAGATTAAAATGCATTATTAGATGGAAATGAATTACATACAAAAGCATTTGAAAGGGAAGTGTTGAAACTAATTCAACTTCTGATGTTCTGGTGTGGTATTCTTAATTTCATTCTCAGTAATCAGAGAAAATATTACGATCGTAAATAAATTCTTGGAGCAAGAAATCAAGAATGACACCCAAAATTCAAAAGAATAAATACCATTGCAGCCAGCTCTGCAATGTCGATGCTGAGAGAGTCAAACTCAGAGTCAACTTTCTCCCCAACATTTGTTATAATATTCTGAATTGTAGCTGTCGATTCCCCACAACGCTTTGCAAGCTCTAAGATAGTCATGCCTTCGAATATTTCAATAGTTTTGTTTGCCAAGGATTTTGCTGTTCTAGTTAGCCTTGGAGGTATGTAAGGAGTTTCAACAGGAGGTGGTGTGTCTTTCTTTTTCTTGGAAAATTTCCCAGTATTTACAACTTTAACTCTCTTCGAAGTCTTTAGATGCATCGATCCATCCTCTTTTCTCCTGCCCTGAAGCTCAGGGGTCGCATGGAAATATCTAAAAGGAATATTGCATAACCATTTTTACAAATGCATTTAAAAAATAAAAGAAAGAAACCAAACATGCCTGTCAATGACTCCCCCAAATGTTAATATAGTTGAATCTTGAAGATCAATAATTATAGCATATAGCATATGCAATTTAATAAAAACAAACAAACAAATCAAATAATTAACATTCAAGGCAAGAACAAATCATCCTGCATCATAAGTATTTAAATAAATTGTAAATATCCTAGGCTGACATTTGCAGAGCTTGTTATGGCAGAATGTACGTACTACTACTACCCTCGCCGTAGCTACTCTTTGAAGGTATAATACATTGATAATCTAATTTCATGTAAATACAAATTTTGTTTTAAGGTGAAAAAGTCTTGAAATGAAGATGTGTGAAAAAGGACATCATTAACTGTCTTTGTGTGTTACCAGGTATAAATACGGGCATAGAGGATTAGTGTTTTGGGTGTTTATTTATCCCATCAAAAGAGCAAACCGAAGATATAATACTTCACAGCTAATTATTTCTCTTGTGCATCAATGCAGCCATTCAATTATTGAGGCTCAGTTTACTTTGAATATTTTTTCAGTTTCTTTACCATCTAACTTCACGATTCCCAATAGAAACATAATTTTTCTATACAAAATATCATATCCAACAACTATTTAATCTAAAAACACAATTTACAAAATCAAAACTAGTATATATATATTATGAAAACAACCAAGTTCAAAATACAAAATCAAGTTTTACACAGTTCGCCACTTGTATAGGATCACATACTATTTTTGCACACCAAAGGAACACCCATTAATAGTTTCAGTTTACTTCATAAAATTAGAAGAAGAATATAGCTGACAAATAAGATTCCAGAAACTAAGAGACAAAGGGAACACTACTCAATGAATTTGAGCATTTTCTTCATCAACTCTAATACAGAATCACAGAATGGGAAAGTTCAGGCTTCAGAGTGTGTTTTCATGTTACCATTAATGAGTTGCTATGGAATTTCTTCAGGACACAGACATCCCGGGAAAGTCAGGCACTTAGATATGTAGTCAAAACCGTTCCAGCTATTTGTAACATGCAAGACTACATGCTTTTAATTAATAGAAGATGGCTTTAAACTCTTATAATCAGATCTAGCCAAATCAAGTTAGTATATGCATCATAATCGCTATTCATTTAGGGAGGTCCCAGTGATCACATAACATTCTTAAAGCGGTAAAAATGAAAATACATTTCACTAGAATGACTATCAAGTAGGCCATGAGAATATAGCTACACAATCACTGTGTCACAACTTCCAGCTAATATTGGCAATTGTTGGAGTAGATATTAAACAATTACTTAACAACCAACTATCTTTGCTGACACAAATCAACACATCTCTGTAACTAAATCAAATTGCACTCAAAGATAAATACCTAATTAGACATCCGTCAGCGGGAGAAGGAAGCCCTTTTTCGGAACCTAGAAATGCTGCAGTGTGGCAATACCCTGAAAGACGATTAAACATCAGCATTTAACTGAACAATAGCCTTGCGACCCACAAAATTGCCAAATCATGCCAATTATGCTCAAACAGACAATTCACAGCTTATTGAAATCCTACCAGACCAAAATCAAATCATCATCATAAAGCAACTGGGAAATTACGAAAATAATGCTATGGCTAGAGTGGTATCGTTCTTGTTATTCTAATCAACTGAACAAGTAGTGCCATCATTTAACAGCAAAAACACAACATAATGATACTAAAAATCTATCAGACACATAAAACAAGCAAATTTTATAGTCTTAAACAAGTAAAGCCATTAACAATATGAATATGCAAACTATAATAAATATACCGTGTAAACGCCTGACCAGAGCAGGCAACGCTTTGGCAGAATCTTGAAACACACATTTTGAAGCTGATGCAGCTGAATACCTAGCAGTGGCCTCCAATGCTCTAGAAAAACTTGCAGTAACAACCTGCTAGAGAATCAAGGCAAAACTGATTGTTTTTTTTTGCCATTTTTCCAAATAAAGAGGTCTTGATCTTTCTGCAACTATTGCTCATAGAGACTAACTAACGTAAAGAAATAGTCAAAATAAAAGCATCTAAAATCGTAATAATTGACGCAGCAGCAGCAATTGATAAAATTAGGTCACGATCTTGATAGCCACAATTAACATGAAAATCATGACCTATAATGTGCTCCTGTGTTAGAAATTAAATCAGGGGAAAAGAGGATTGGAAGGAGGGAACTCCAGCAACTGCTAACCTTTTTTGGTAGCATTCTCCACGCCATTAACGACCACGGCAATCTCTAACAATTAAGTCTCACAAATCACCACAAAACAAATCATGAATAACGGAACGGTCGATACTAACAGCTGTTTCGCTATCAAACACGAATTGGAAATCCAAGCGGAAGATAGCAGTAAATGAGAGGCAAAGGAAAAGTTGCATCGACCGGCGGCGGAACCACCCGGCAAGGGTATCGGCGTCTCTGGCGATGTTCTTGATTTTAATTTTTTATTTTTTATTTATGTAGTATAATATTTGAAGGAAAAAGAGAGACGCTTGAATTTTTATAAATCCTATTGACTTTTTATTTTTTTAAAAGGATAATCTATTTAGAACCCTCAATTTAAGGGTTTTCTTTGTTTTTTTTTTTTTTTTTCAATTTTACTGTACATTTTCTTAAATATATATTTACAAAACATAATTCTCTCTCTATTTTGTATTTTGATTTTTTTTTTTAATAGAGTATCAAATATTAATATTTTATTAATAATAAAATATAAAATAAAGTTTCACATTTTTATTTTTATTGTTTGACAAACCTGTAAAAACATTGGGTTTGTTTTGTTCGATAATTGGAAAAATTTTAATTTTAGTTTGGTATTAAAATAATGTATTAAGTTATATTTTCAATAGTATTATTTATCATTTTTTTTCATCGTAAAACAATAACCTCATTTTCATAAATAATCATATCACCGTAAAATTATCTCTACTTTTATTATTATTACACATTTATTACTATTTTTTACACTTAATATACTCGTAAGGGCAAAAAAGTCATTTGTCCTTACTTTTTATCAAATTACCAATATAATATAATATCAATATTTCTTAAATCTCGTGTCCAACCCAACAAAACTATACTTTTTGGACGGAAGAAGTATATTTTTTGAATTGTCCATCGCAATATTTTTTATAATAAATCTATTCATTTTAAATGTAGTTGAAATATACTTCATAAATCAATTAAATTAAATATTAACCTTTACACGGACTCGCTCAAAATCGTCTGTTTTCTATTATTTTTTTTAATAAATAAATATCATTATTTATATTTAAAACTTTTTTTATATATATAATTAATTTTAAATTAATTATAAATAAATAAAAATTTATTTATTTAAGTTAATTAGTTTTTTATTTATTTGTATTATATAAAATTTTGTTATTTACGAAATGATGTTCATATTATATATATTTTTTATTGAGGAGATATAATGCTAAAAATATTTAAAATATCAACCATACCAATCATATAAAAAATAATAAAATAATATCACTTGCACCAATGCACACTATTATTCCCAACTAAAAAGGTCATCTAATCTCAAAATCAAATGAAAGCATCAAATTCAAATCAAAGTCTTAGACATTAGGGGTGTGTTTGTTTGGAGGTTTGGATTTTGAATTGGGATTTGAATAGTAAAAATTTTGAATTTGAATAGTCGTATGATGTGATATAAATAGGTGATGATGTGATGTTTTGAATGTAAAATTGATTTTTAGTATAATATAAAAAATGAAAAATAGGTGTTTGATTTGATGTTTTTGGGGGAAAATTTTTGGATGAATAGTGGAATTTTATCCAAATTCATCAAACGAACACACCCTACTTGTGTGTTTGGGGCTTTGGATTTTTTATTGGAATTTGAACAGTAAAATATTGGAATTTGAATAGTTATACGACGTATAAATATGGATTGATGTGATATTTTGAATATAAAATTAATTTTTAGTATAATATAAAAAATAAAAAATAGATGTTTGATTTGATGTTTTTTAAAAAAAAAATTATATGAACAGTAGAAATCCACACAAATCCTTCAAACAAACACACATAAAGTTTGTTAACTTGATTTATATTTGCTAAATATATATTAAATTAGTAAAATTTACGAAATAAAAAGATTTCGTTTATTATGGGACCAAGGAAGTATATACTTCATCCATCCCACCTATCGAGTTCACATTGTCATTTGTGTTCATTTTAAATCTTATGTCATTTAAAAGAAAAAATATTACATACTTTAACTTTTTTTATTTTTAAATTTATAATTTTTTTTAAAAAAAATAATTAGAGTAATAAGTTACCATAATCTTAATCTATAATTATTTGACTAATATATATTTTTAATTATTTATTAATTATATTTTTCTAAATTCTCGTATCACAGTAATTAATCCAATCCGCTAACATTATATTACTATTTTTTTTATATCCGCTAAATTTTTGTACAATTTGTTTATAGCATTCAATTGTATTCATTTATAATTTTATTATTCACATATTATCAAATAATAGTAAATATACTACTCCATCTATCCTATTTATCTTGCCTACCTTTTTATTTTTTTATTTTTTTTGTCCCACTTATTTTTTTATTCTTTTGAAAAATATTATACACTTTAATCGCATTTATAATTTAATTATAATAATTAGTTATTTTAATTTAAATTTAAAATTATTTGTATTAAATTATTATTATTGACGCATTCTTAATTATTTACTAAGTATATTTATCATAAATTTTCGTATCTATCGGTAAAGGAGACACCTGAGACGGAGAGAGTATTATTTTTTTACTCCTCTCATCACTTTTTTCTTTTTAATTTGATCAATTATTTAATATATTTTTTATACCACTTTTATTTTATTTTTTTATATATTTTATTTTAATATTAAAATATTTTCATTTTTAAGTTAATATGGCCAAACAAAATTATACTTCCCCTCTCTCTCTCTCTCAACAAATTATTCCTATTTTTTGTAAGTTTGTAGAAGATAGACTATTTTTTATTTTTAGTATTTTATTCATTATAAATATATCTAAAAAATATAAATTAATTTAATTAAATTTTTATTTATGATTCATCCAAAATCTCTTTATTTTATTTTTATTTAAATTTAAAATTTCTTAAGTTTTATAAAATTAGTTTTTAAGCTAATAATAAATAAATAAATAAATTTATTTTTTACTTATTTGTATCGTATAAAATTTTATTTTCTATAAAATAATATTTGTATTGTATATATTTTATTAAGATATAATATTATAAATATTTAAAAATATCAATATTACTACTCATATAAAAAATAATAAAATAATATCGTAATTTATTATTAATGATTTAATGATCTACTATAATTATCTTGACTATAACTAAGGGAGTATAAATTTTTTGAAGAAAGTATTATTTGAAAAAATAATTTTAGAAAATAAAAGTGAAACTCCAGAGTCCAGACAATGTCTACAAGAATAAACAATCACGTGCATAAAATGAAATTAGCACGTGGATATATATAATCAAAATCCACTTTAGACTAAATAGGCACGTTTGGAATATAACCATCTTAGTGGTATTATTAATATATTTAAAAGTAATACTCCATCCGTCACACATAATTTGTTCCTATTTTCTATTTTCGTCAGCCCACATAATTTGTCCATTATTTTTTTGGAAATATAATTATACACTTTAATCTTATTTTAATTTTTTTAATCTTAATTAAACTATTTAGTTATCTTAATCTTAATACATAATTATTTTTATTATATGATAATTATTTTTACTAATATACTTCTTAATTACTTACTAATCACATTTTATCTAAATTTTCGTATCTACCGTAATAGGCCCATAATACATGGGTCGGAGGGAGTATAATACATAGAAGCCAAAAAAAGAGAGTTGCAGGTGTACGATTAGAGCTGGCGAGACCTATTCATGTTATGTTGAATATTTTCAATGAGTTAAATTACTCAATCTTAATTCGATCCGTTTATTATCGTGTCAGGTTTGGGTTGATTCGTTTATTATCGTGTCGGATTTGGGTTGACTCGTGTTGACCCGTATACATAATTAAGTCGAATTTCTTGATTTAAATTAAATAATTTTTTTTTGTTGTGTTGTTGTGTTATGTTAATTTTTATTGGTTTGAGTGTAAATTATGTTGAAATATTTAAAATTGAACGTAATTTAAATTAATTTATGATAAAATTATTAAATTATGATTATTTTACATATATAATTAATATATTAATCAATATTGATATATTATAATCGGGTTGTCGTGTCGGATCGTGTCAGGTTGTCATATCGGATCAGTTTTTACTAGCTCGATGTAAACTGCGGGTGAAAATTGGATTGATTAAAACTTATTTATTGATATTATATATTAAATAAATTTAAAATAATTATTTAAGTATTTTTAAAATATACTGTATTTTAATAAAAAAAAAATATTGTATAATAAATTTTTCAATACTACGAAGGCAATTTTATCATTATTTTTTTTTATATATCAGATTATATATTTTTTTCTTTTAAAAAAATATCAATATCAAATTGATTTTTTTTTTTTGGCATGTTATATTAATATTTACTTGTATCATATTAAACAAATATTTAAATTTGAAATTTGAATATTTGCAATTTAAATTAAAAAAATCCAACTTCCCACAAACGCAATATGGTGTATTCATTCAATAATTTTGTTGTAATAATTCTTTTAAAAAAATATTACTAAAAAAATAGGCGCGAGCAAGTGCTAACTCAATCAAATAAGCTTGATACTAATTTGATCGGTCAACATATCATATAAATAAAAGCATTATCACATATTTTTCATAACACAATATATGTTATCTTATAAAATATCATATATTGATTTACAAGACAATATATGCTGAATTATAATGAAACATATATTGTATCATAAATATGCTACAATAATATATATTTATTACTTTTATGTGAAAGAATTACTAAATGAAATCAACACAATAATGATTTGATTAGATCAAAATTGGATTTATGGTCTTAAAAAAAAAACTTGTAATGTATACATACTAATATAATACTATATCATATATTTTATTTATTAAATAAATCAATTATTTAATATAAAATACTACCCTTCTATAGCATCTAGTATTTGAGCCGAGGCATAAAAATTTAAAATAAATATAATTAGTAAATAACTTAAAATATATTAATAAATATAAGAGTAAACTATTTTTTTTAGTTTCGTAACTGGACCATCTTATTATTTTAGTCCCGTAAGTAGAGCCTGTCGCAAACTAGTCTCATAAGTGAAAAATTTTCGTTGTTTTAGTCCTCCGACGCCGGAGATGCCCGCGTGGCTCGCCGGATGTGACGTGTCCGACACACCTGGCAGATACGTGGTTTTTTTTTTATTATTTTTTTTCATTTTCCTAATTTTTTTAAAAACTTATTTTAAATTTTATTTCTATTTTTTTATTTTTTTTATTTAGTCCAATTAAAAAAAATTAAAAAAAATGAAAAAAAATAAATCCATGTGTTCGCCAGGTGTTGCTGACCTGGCGGGACACCTGGCGGACACGTCACCTCCGGCGAGCCATGCGGGCGTCTTCGGCGCCGGAGGACTAAAATAACGAAATTTTTTTACATATGAGACCAGTTTGCCACATGCTCCACTTACAGAACTAAAATGATAAAGAGGGAGGTCCAGTTACGGGACTAAAAAACCAGTTTACCTTAAATATAATTATCATATAATATAAATAATTACATATTAAAATCTACTTAGTCTAATTAAAATTAAAAAAAAATATAAATTAAAAAATTTCAAATAAAATTAAAGTGCATATACGCAAGACTAAATAAGTATTATTATTATTATTTTTTATATTATCAATATCAAATACTATTGATTATCAAAATAAAAAAATATATAATATAAAAGTAAATTCAAATTTGAAAAAGATAAAATTTTAATTTTAATTTATTAAACCTAAATTCTAAAAATTTAAAAATAATATCTAAAATATTTCGACAATTATTAGCATATACCGATATTGTTAGCAAATGAGAAAGTGGTGTGTGACTGCGTCTCCGGTCTCCCCCAATTATTGTTGACTGTTAAACAATATGCAAATAAATTTTATATTAAGTAAGTCAAAGCTAGTGTAGGCGCTCAATGTTGACTCTTCCAACATACACTACTGCAACTGCTAACTACCCGTAGTGTAGTGTGCATTTACTAATTATTACCACTCCTATCTCATCCAAATAAAATATATATATATATATATATTATCGTCATTTAAATTTATTTTTATTTTAATAAAAAATTATTATTTTTTATACTTCTATAAATTCTTTTATTTTTATTGTCTTTCTCGTTTTTTTTATTTTTAGTAAAAGAATGCTTCATACAAAGTATATATATTTTTATTTTGGGACGTTCAATTACAAAGTAATTGTTTTATTAAATATTCTATATTTTTTTACAAATATTTTTATTTTATATCACATCATTACTTTTATAAAAAAAACAATAATAATAATAAAAGCAAAAATATCATCACACTACTTTTAGTTACCCCACTCTGTATCCGATAATTGGATAGGTATTATTGTTATTATTATTATTAAATTAAATAAATATGTTCACAACACGGTGAAAGGCGTGTCCGGTCAGAAAACATTGAGAATAGTCAATTAATTAAATTCAATGAACCTTCCTTCACTCTTTCCCCTTCCCTTTCTATCTCTCTGTGTATAAAACTATTCATTTCCTCAATTCCTGCATCATGTCCACTCTCCAATTTCATATTTATCGATTTAAATTTTTGGGGGTTTCAATTAGGGTTTCCAAGAAGAAGGATCGAAATCTAAATCTATGGGGATCGGAGAAGATGATGCTGTGGTTGTTAAGATTCGGCAAGTCTGGTCGGAAAATCTCGACGCCGAGTTCGATCTCATTTCCGATCTCGTCGATCGCTACCCCTTCGTCTCCATGGACACCGAGTTCCCCGGCGTCGTCATCAAGCCGGCGCACCGCCGCCCTTCCTCGCCGTCCGATCATTATAAGCTGCTAAAATCGAACGTAGATGCGCTCAATCTCATTCAGATCGGTCTCACGCTCTCCGACGCGGCGGGGAACCTCCCCGACCTAGGCGGCGGCGGCGGCGGCGGTGGAGGAGAGCGGTTTATCTGGCAGTTCAATTTCTCCGACTTCGACGTGGCGCGTGACCTTCACGCGGCGGACTCGATCGAGCTTCTCCGGCGGCACGGCATCGACTTCGACCGCCACCGCGACGCCGGCGTGGATTCGGCGGCGTTCGCCGAGCGGATGATGGGGTCGGGGCTGGTGTGCAACGACGGCGTGAGCTGGGTGACGTTCCACAGCGCGTACGATTTCGGTTATCTGGTGAAGGCTCTGACGCGCCGCCGGCTCCCACGGCGGCTCGGCGAGTTTCTGGCGGTGGTGCGGGCTCTGTTCGGTGAAAACGTGTACGACGTGAAGCATTTGATGCGGTTTTGTAACAGCTTGTACGGCGGACTGGACCGGGTCGCCCGGTCTCTGGAAGTGGACCGGGTCGTCGGGAAGTCGCATCAGGCCGGGTCCGATAGCTTGCTGACGTGGCATGCGTTTCAGAAGATTAGAGACGTGTACTTTGTGGCGAGTGGGGGCCATGAGAAGCACGCCGGTGTTCTATATGGCCTCCAGCTTGATTAATTTATTATTATTTAATTGTTCATAATTATATAAATTGATTGGGTCACCGATTAAATGAAAATTATTTAAATTATTATATTATCATTTTTATATTGCTTATTGGAATTTAATATACTCGTACGGACGCACACCCACTTTGTGAGGGCACGTTCGGAATGATGCAGGAGCTGCCCTCCTGATTTCTACTTTTAAAAAAACTAGCATATTTGGCTGAGCTATTTTATAAAATAAAATCCAAATAAAAATTACATTTTAAAAAAATATATATATTTAATAAAATATTATATGAAAATAATATTTAAATTACTCCCACCCTCTCACGTGCAGCATTTTTATGCCATTCTTTAAAAAATGATTACATATTTAATTACATTTAAAATTTTTAATTTTTTTAAATTTTATTTATACTAATTAATTATTTTAATTATACTCTTTCCGTCTCACATAATTTGTCTCTATTTTCGTATGTTCCATATAATTTGTCCTTTCAAAAAATATTATACATTTTAATCATATTTAAAATATCATAATTTATAATTTTCTTAATCTTAATTAAACAATTTAGTCATCTTAATTTTAATTTATAACCATTTTTATCAATAATTATTTTTACTAATTCATTTCTTAGTTACTTACTCCGACCATGTTAGATAAGATGTGGGCATTATTCTAGATACGAGATATAATTAGGTCAAATATAATTAGTAAATAATTAAAAAGTATATTAGTAAAAGTAATTATTATTTACTAAACATAATTATAAATTAAAATTAAGATAACAAATAATTTAGTTAATATTTAAAAATTAAATTTTAAATTTTAAAATATGATTAAAGTATATAATCAAATTTTTTTTTTTAAAAAAAAAGAAAAGACAAATTATGTGAGAATATCTAAAGTAACACGCCCAAAATATGTGGGACGGAGGGAGTATATAATTATTTCTATTAATACTTTTTTTAATTATTTAGCAATTACCCTCTTTCTTAAATTTAACTGTGACTATAAAAGTAAAATAAAATTTAAATTTATATCAAAATCAAACAAACTTGTATAAACATATAGGTAGACATTTTAATATTTCGTTCGTTAATAATTTTATTTATTTATTTTATGATGTGAGAATTTGTAATCGCTATCCGAAAGTGCGTACTAAGTAAACCCCCGGTCGAACCTAATACTCTGCAATCTAGGTCCGAAAAAAAGAAAAAAGAAAAGAAGACATAATAGTAGGTTATTTAATTTAATTTTTGTTAAGATTATTTTTTTCTTAGAAAAATACGAAAATTAATTAATAAAAAAAATCATAGTAGAATTTGATCTATTATATTTTTCAATTTATTATTTTTCTTGTTCGATTCATAAAAAATAAACAAAAAAAACTATATTAAAAATATCATTTACTAGTAAAAAATGTATAAGTATGTGAATTAAATTTGATTATATTTTTAAAAATAATAACATCAAAATAGGCCAAAATTTACCTGTATGCGGCTCTTCTGATTCTTTTTACATACAGAAAAAAAGATAAATAATCAAACAGAATAAAAAATTTGTATTTGATTTTGAGGTTGTCTGGTAACAGCTTTTCAAGAGCTTAGTTTTTAGCTGTTTTATAAATTAGTTTTTTGAAAGAATTTTTTGGACAAAAAAAGCTAATTTTTGAAAAATTCATCTACCCAACATTTTGAAAGAAATTTTAATTTTAGTTATTTCTTATTTACCCTTAAAATTTAATTATTTATTTTATAAATATAAATATATTTTTATAGCAGTATTTATTAATATATTTAATTTATTAAATTATATTTTTATTTTTTAAATTTAAAACAATTACTATTATTAATTATTACATATAAATTATTTTATTTGTAAAATATATAAATTTCTAAATTAAATCAAATAGAAAAAATAAAAGTTATTAATTTATTTATATATATTAAAAAAATAATTAATATAATAAAAATATATATACGAAAGATTTATTATTTTATATTTTATATAATTTTAATAAAATATTATTATAATTTAGTAAAAATAATTTTTTTTAATTTAAATAATAAAAATAAAAATAAATATTTTATAATTTTAATAATTAATGACAAAAAATTTCATAAATTTCAAACCAAAATGAATAAAATTAAATATTTTAAAAAATAATATATCAATGTCGTTAATAGTCTTTTTTATGTATAAACAACTATTACTGTTGTACCAAATATTTTAACACAAATCGTTAATTGACTCAGCTAGTCAAACTAACTAATTGAATAAGCTAATAATTTATTGAATCAAGTCACTAATTGCCAAACTCAACTTTCATAAACTAGACTTTTTAATGCATAAACGAATGAGAAACTTACGATTGTGAACGTTTGCAGTTAGTTGGACGGATTAGAAGAAAGTATTTTGTTCTTGCCTAGGGTTTCAAGACGGGGACGAAGTGATGGTTCAATTTCATTCTGCAAATACACAGAGACACCTGCCGAGGCTACAAGTAGACACACAGCCTCTTCCTCTTCCTCTTCCAGACTGAATCTACACATCGCAAATTCTCTTCCAGAAGGGCGAATTGACAGTCGGGCTGTGAATAGCGACGGAATCTTTGATTTGATTGACGATGGCGGGTAGAGAAGGCGCGTCTGTAGTGCCGATGGACACTCCCAATGCTGTTGGAGGGTTGAAGAAGAAGGGGACGGGTTCCAGAAGTTGGATTTTGATCGATTCATCTGGCCAGGAAATCGTACTCGATGTAGATAAGTACGCAATCATGCACCGCGTGCAGATACACGCTCGTGATCTTCGCATTCTCGATCCTCTCTTGTCTTATCCCTCTGCAATCCTCGGCCGTGAGAGAGCCATTGTTCTCAATTTAGAGGTACGAAGGTTTTCGGTTATGGTTTTTCTTTTCTATATTTATTTATTTATTTTAATTTTTCTTTTTTTTTTTTTTGGGTAGTTAGATGTATGCTTTTTGAGTGATCTTTACAGTGATAGATGTAGCAATAGGCGGTAATGCTGTTAGGAAGTAAGAAGTAATTCAATTTGGTGAGTTTTGAAGATTGAAATTTGCTTTAGGAGTTGAATTGAATCCTTTTATAGGCAGTTCTTGTTTTTACGTTTTTTATATTTGAAGCTGGTTAAGTTTCTAATTTTTAGGTTTTTCAAGTTCCACCAATTTTAATTTTCAACTTCAGTGCATAAAGTTTCCGAAAGCCATGGATGATTTTGCAGTGTTGCAAGCTGTTGAATTTTTTAGTTTATGGTTAAAATTTTCGTATATTTGCATGTGGAATAAAAGTATGGATTCATTTGGGAATTCTTTGAAGTGTTGTTATTGATACTAATCCCTTAGTTGTACGAGCATTGTTGAAGTTGAGTCGATTTGGCTTGGCGTGCTGGTTTTAGTGTGTATGCACTCATGAGCTAACACTTTCTTTTTTCATGGTGCAATGCAGCATATCAAGGCTATCATCACATCGGAGGAGGTGGGTGTTTTCATCTCAGATGGGCTACTTCTCTTTTGCATTCTTTATATTTAACTTTTAGTTTATTAAGAGTTTATTGAACTTCTTAGTGAGTGAATGAAATTGTTACCTGCTCTTCTGAGTTTATACTTGATGAAGTGTAATAGTTAGAGTGACAAATAGGTTTTAATCGATTGACACTAGGTTTATGAATTTAGGTTGTTTGTGATTGTGTTGAACTTAATGAATCAACTGAAATTCGAGTTCTGTGTAAGCTTAATAAACCAGAATTACAGTAAAAGAAACTTTGAATTTGAGATGATTAGCATGGTGATTTGTTGGCAGAGAATACAAAGCCATTTTTTGTCGAAAGGAATTTTATGATAGATTATTTGATCAAGCGGTTGAGGTTGAGTCTAGATGTTTCTGCTCCACCTTACATGGAGACATTGATAAAAATATAATTTATTAGGTATTGCTTCGTGATCCATCGGACGATAATGTTGTTCCCATTGTGGAGGACCTTCGAAGGAGATTAAAACCTGCCATTACCAATCAGGAAGACAATGCAGATGGCAATACAGATGGCAGGGATATGCCTATGCAGCCTGATGTTGAAAATGGCGAAGAAGATGGTATTTCTTAAATACTTCTCTATTTTCATAGTTGCAGATGGTGCAATTATTATTTATTTATTTATTTTAATTGGCCTGCAGTGCATCTGCACCCGTTTGCATGAATTAATATTTTTACTTCATTGTGTGATGCAGATTCGCCCTTTGAGTTCCGTGCCCTTGAGGTAGCACTAGAAGCCATTTGTAGTTACCTTTCCGCCCGCACAATAGAATTGGAGTCTGCTGTTTACCCGGCTTTAGATATGCTTACGTCAAAGGTATATATCTTTTTAGTAGTTCGTTAATATGATATGTGAGGCAAACACATCAAGTTTAATACCATAAAATAACAAGGTTCATTGCATTTAGTACAACTACATTTTTTAAACTTCTTTGTTTTGTAGTTATTGGTACGAGAGTTCTTGTTCATCTATACCAGTTCTGAACCTGTAGATATTTTATCGAACTAAATTAGCCGAGTTAAGCATGCTATTGTTAAGCTTGATTTGTTTGCTCATCAAGCGGTGGATTTTTTTTTTTTTTAATTTATTTTTGTTCATAATTTGATATTAATTATCCCTATAATATTGATTCCCATTCTTGATATGTTTATACATACATTAGTAAGTGTTTATTAATCAAATGAAGATTCATAAAGATAAAGAAGTTTTAGGTAATCAAATCTAGGCTCATAAGTTTTAGGTGTTCCTAGTCACATGTCAATTATTTGATTGAAATCTATTTATTCCTTTCAGAACGTTTGCATACTTTGTAAATATTTGTAATGTTATTGCAATTAATAGCATGTTAATGCACCTCTTTTGAACACAAAATTTCATGATCTCTTTCTCTCTCTCTCTCTCTCTCTCTCTCTTTATGGACATTGACAAAGTCAATTATTATATAGTTTTGTGTTTTCTTGAACCAATGCAATTTCAGATTAGTAGCCGTAACTTGGACCGTGTACGGAAGTTAAAGAGTCAGATGACTAGACTAACTGCTCGTGTACAAAAGGTATCACTCCTTTATAATAAGTGCAAAATAATTTGATATGAAGTTCTTTTCAATGTTTGTTTTGGTTCTGAGACTTCTGCTCAACTACAACTCTACCTTTTTATGTCCCATTCCTAAATGTTTTTTAATGTTGAGATATTCTTGCTTTAGTATGTGTTGTCTCAGATTAATGGGGTTACTCATAGTGATCTTTTTGTGCTTTAGCTTAATCATTTAAATTAAAAATTTTCAGTGTTCTTGTTTGTTAATTAGCATTCGGATATGAAACCTGTCACACATTTACCTATACTTACCGCTCAAATGATAGAAACATTACCTACTACACCCTATTCTCCTTCTGATATACTTATTCGTCTTTCTTACCGCTGCCGTATGCTATAGTACTGTGGCTTGTCCCTTTTACTGTTGTGCACTTTTTTAAAACTTAGTAGACTTGTGTGTGTTGCAACCTACAACGTGTATTGGGCATTGGTATGAAAATGAATGCAAATTGAAAAGTAAAACGATTTCCAATAATGTTCAACAATTGGTTTTGAATGAAAGATCGATGCAGTTCTGTTTTTTCTATAATAGACGGACTAATCCTTTTCCCTTTTGTATTTTTCTTTCCTTGTTTATTATATACCAAACTATAGAACCGGTCACTAGATTCTTAGAAGTGTACAGACTGAAAATAAAATCACGTTTGTGGTTCTGTTAAAAATTGAATGCATTTGAAGAGTGTTTGCACACTTTTATTCTACTTTTTCATTATTTAAAGAACCGTTTTCCAAAAGTAGTTCATTAAGTCCCCATGAATTCGGCTCTACTCATCGCAATGTAAGTTTGTTAGAAAAAAAATTCAAAGGAACTTTACAAAATTCACACATCTTGTGGGGGTATATCACAATGCATATAGATATTGATTGTACATATATTTATTTGGTTTTAATTATACATTTAATATTTATGATGCTGACATGGCAAAGGCCTTGCCCCATGCTGCACTGTGCGCCATTTACAACCATGTCAATGACTATTCTTGTTACACATTCAAATCAATAACTGTGATTTTTGTAATTTCCACAATTCCTAAAATGATTGTGATACCACTTCTCTGTTTTGTTGGACTCAAGATCTAAAAATTCTGATCTACACTATTACCGATCGCCTTACTGTTTGCTTTCGCTGCCAAAACTGTGATACAGTTTGACTGGATCTCTGAGATTATGTTTTCCTAGATGAGGTCATGGTGATTGTAATGTGCTCTTTATGCTTCGTGCCTGCTGCACTTGAATTTCATAAAATACAGAAAAATTATACTAAACCTCATTATATGATTTGAAAATAACCTAAACATTAAATATTTTCAAGAATGTTGTGCAATGTCTCTTTTTTATCACTATCTGTGCTTTGCTTCATTGTCTCAAATTGCCGGCTTTCGATGATTGTTAATTAGCTTGATATTTTGGAAACTGATAAAATATGAATCAAGATTACTGCGTTGCTTCATGGATCTCAAGTCTATCTTTACTGATTATTGCATTGTAATTTTTGCTGTATTCAGGTCAGGGATGAACTGGAACAACTATTGGATGATGACGATGACATGGCAGACCTTTATTTATCCAGAAAATTAGCCAGTGCATCGCCTGTGAGTAGCTCTGGTGCTGCCAGTTGGTACCTTGCGTCACCTACCATTGGTTCTAAGATATCTCGTGCCAGTAGAGCAAGTGTTCTAACAGTTCGCGGAGATGAGAATGATGTCGAGGAACTTGAAATGTTGCTTGAGGTATTGTTAATTGCTGAATATGATTTTTTATGATTGAGCTTTTGAAAAGAATAATAATTATAATATCCTTGTATTCATGTGCAGGCCTACTTTATGCAAATCGACGGCACGTTCAACAAATTAACCACGGTATGCAAGCTGTTAAAATGTTCTTTTAAAATGTTCTTCACACTATAAGTTATAAATTGACTTGTAGAAAGGTTAAGAATAAACTGTGGGTCGAAGTTTTGCAACTTTTGAACTTTCCTTACAGTTTTACAGGGCATAGTTATTTATTTAACAGCTTGTCTTTCTCAACAGCTTCGTGAATACATTGACAACACTGAAGATTATATAAATATCCAGGTGAGATTATCATATCAACACATATTTTTGTTCAATTTCTATGGCGCATCTTCTCGCATACCTAAACCATTGCATCACATTTCCTGTTGCAGCTTGACAACCATCGAAACCAGCTCATTCAGGTTCATCTCCCTAACTTTCCGGCTTATCTGAACACGTATTTGCATTCATTATTTCACGAAAATTAATTCGCTCGTGTCGACCACAGCTCGAGTTATTTCTTAGTTCCGGAACCATGTGCCTCGCCCTATATTCTTTAGTGGCCGGTATCTTCGGTATGAACATCCCCTACACATGGAACGATGATCACGATTACATGTTCAAATGGGTCAGTATCGACATCCATATCGACTCTATCACTATTTTCTTTTCCTGATATTCATAGTCTCTGAAACTATCTGTCTAATTATTACGGTGTAGGTGGTTATATTGACTGGCATTATGTGCTTAGTTGTGTTCGCATTCATAATGTCGTATGCTAAATACAAGGGGCTCGTCGGATCCTGATTTTCTTGAAATCCAACGGGAATCTCCCGCCGGAATTCCATTTTTTTAATATCGTAGGAATCCGCGATCGCTACCCGAAAGTGTATTCTTGCATGTAGAGATGATGGTTTGTGGATTTTTCTAGTGCTATTTTTATAGCTTGGGTGAAAACAAATGGTTGAATTTATGAAGGAGGATAAATTTAGATTTTGTGTTTTAGATGAAAATTGTTGTCAATCTTTATTTACTTGTATATATTTGTTTTTTATTTTATTTTATTTTATTTTATTCTATTATACTCCTTCATGCCCATTCAAAGTATCTTCTGTATACTAAGTAAAAATAAATGTACAATAATACTAAAATATTTTTAAAATTTATATAAATTATAAATATATTATTATACTTATAATTATTTTATATATAAAATCAAATAATAAAAATGGTAAAAATTCTTTGCGTATTTTTATTAATTAATGAAATATTATTTTTTAATTGATTATAAAATCTTAAATTGTATATTCAAGTGGGATGGAAAAGGTATTATATATATATATTTTGGGTGGATATATTTATTTTATAATTTTAAGTTCTACAATGTCTTCATTTTTAATTTAATAAATAGAATTTTCACATATAATAATATATTTTTATATTTCATTTAAAAATATAATTATTTTATTTTATTAATTATTCCATCGGTCTCCAAATAATTTGATACTTTTAGTTTGTAATATTTAAGGTCATAGATTTAATTAATTAATAATAATAATTTATATCATTTTATTATTTCTATATGAGTAATAGTACAATTTATAGTTTTAAATAATAATTAATATATATGATTAAAAACTCTTTATTTATTGTTTGGATAATTTGATAGCGTAGTATATATTATACTGTGTAAATAGTTTATGAAAAATTTGTTAGTAAAATAATCTTGGGTGAACACACCAACTGTGTTATATATATATATATTACTTTTTATTTTTGTCCGGAATACTTTATATATTATTTTGCTCGGATATGAATATTAAAATAATAATAATTTCTTTATATAAAAGTATAATAGGTAAAAAATAAAGTTTGTAATTATGAAATTTTTATTAAAGAATTATTAAAAAATAGTGGAATAAAAAAATAATAATAAAAAAATAATTATTGTTTATTAAAGTAAGACTAATAAAATTATGAGAGGATAAACATTTTACTAGACTATCCAAGTTTAGTACACAACAAAAAAAATAAAAATCATAATTATTCTGAATTGAGAAGTATAATTTATATTTATTTTTTAATTAAATATCCCATTTAAAGTTACTATTTGAAAACAAAAACTAGAGTTTTTTTTTCTTCTCACATATTTTTTTCAAAAAAATTTAATACATTATAAATATTTATTATTTTTATATTTTCTACATAATTCTCTTTCTATTTTATATAAAAAAAATTTATTTTCAACAATCTCACAAAACAATCGTACCATTGTTATTATTATACCTGCGTAATCATCGATAATCAATTATGGAAAGCCAAATAATAGCTCAATTAATTCATTTATTTGGATTCTTTTTAAACAGAGCTAAATGTGATAGTATTAAGAATAATATTAAAAAGAAATAAAACTTAATAATTAAGCATTCATGGTTTGTTCTTTTCATAATTTCAAATAAAAACATTAATTAATTATATATATTTATAAAATATTTTTAAATAATAAAAAATATAATAATAATAATACTAAAATAATTTGGCCAAAAACACCGGTATGTTTTTGTTAATGATCATAGTTTTAATTGTATCCCCCGTTGTTTTTTATTTTTTTATTTTAGAAAAACGAAGGGAGTATAATTTTAAATATTTTTATTGTCCAAGTACCAAGAATTTTGATGGTGTTCTAGAATGTTCTTTTGAGTATTTGAATTATTAACTTTTATTGGATACACATTTATGTAATTTTTTACTTTTATTTTATGATACTCCGTTCCACATAATTTGTCTCTATTTTTTATTTTCGTTTGTCCCATATAATTTATCCTTTTTTTTTTGAAAAATTAATTATACACTTTAACCCTATTTTAAAATTTAAAATTTAATTTTTTAATCTTAATTAAATTATCTTAATCTTAATCTATAATTATTTTTACTAATATATTTTTTAATTACTTACTAATTATACTTTACCTGTATACAGTAATACACCCATATTACATGGGACGGAAGGAGTACTATATATTGGGTTATATATATATATATTAAAAAATAGCACTTATTTTTTTGCTTGAAAGAACATGTAAATTATACCCAAAATAAAATGACAATTGATGATTCCACTCTGTTTATACATATATTTTGAGAAATTTTAATAATGTTATACTCATTTTTGTAAAACATATTACATTAATACAATTTCTTTTATATAAAACATTATATCAAAGCTTTTTTAACTATTTTCAAAAATCTAAAACTTACAATATATTACAAAGTCACTTAAAAAATAAGGGATTTTCTCTCTCTCCATATTTTCCTAAAAAGATAAATTATACGAAATATTATTTTATATTATCGATATATTTTTTATATCTCACCTAAAAAATATTTTCAAACTAAAAATACAAAACAAACTTGAAAATAAAAGCAAGTACTCCATATAATAAAAATAACTATTAAGTATATTTTTTTATATAATATGTAGGGTATATTCATTAACATTTTTCTACTTGCTTTCCAATTAATATTATTAAAATTATAATATATATACATTATATTCACTTATACAAATAAAAAATTTATAGTATAAAATATTATCTTTTATATTAATAGTATATTTTTTTTATATTTCATATATAAAACACTGAACAAATACAACTATAGAAAATAAATACTACGGAAGATGAAGCATTTTGTTAAGAATACGGTATTTTAGATGGTGCAGGTCTTAATAAAATATATGCAATATAGATATCATTTTGTAGACAATAATATTTTATATAATACAAATGAATACAAAATATATTTATTTATTTATTTATTATTATCATAAATTAGATTTATAAAAATGAGAAGTTTTAAAGGTAGATAAAAGTATTTTTTAATTGAAGAGAGATATAAAAATAAAGGGGTTCTGGGTGAGTCCTACCTGTAAGATGTTAGAAGTTTAATTAAATTGATTTATACTCCCTCCATCCACGGATAAAGTAAACATTTACTATTGGCGCGGTGTTTAAGAAATAATAGTAATTTAATTATAGTGATTAATTAAAAGTAGTGTAATGACATTTTTGCCCTTACTTTTGGTATAAAAACAATGATGATATGTAAAATAACAGTATTTGTAAAAAAAAAATGAGGTATTTGATTAAATGTTTACTTTGTAATTGAACGTCCCAAAATAAAAAATAAAAATGTGTATACTTTCTGGCTTGACAAATGGAGTATTTTTTAAGTATGTTTAAGATCAATAAACTTACAAAAATAGAAAGATGTCATCTTTTGTGGGATATAAAAAAGAAAAAAAAAAAATTATCGGTGGCGAGACGGAAAGAGTATTTAATAAAATATTTTTGAAAAAAAAAATTAACAGTGACAAAATTCTACTTCTTCAGTCGAGATCTGTAAGTAAATGTAGCCTTAATTTTTATGTAAATGCAATGCATGTGGCAAAATGAATTATTGATGAGTTGTGATCGGATGAGGGTTGACACGTGACCGTGAATTAGTTCAAAACTCTTGATTGCGGTCCCTTCCCTTGTCATTAAAAAAATAAATAAAAATAAAATTGATTGATGATGTGAATATGCTACAAGTCAAAATCCAACTCCCACTCTTCAACAAACTTTTCTAGTTGCTTTCCGACTTTAATTCTCCTTCTAATTCAAATATATTTAATATATAGTAATTTTGTTTCGTTTTAAAGTATCATTTTTATTATAGTTTTATTTTAAAATATTTATTTTTTTATTTACAAATAATAATTACATACTAATAATAAAATACGTTTAAATTTTACTCAATACAATCGTATAATTACTCAGATAAATTAGTAAAAATTATCTAAGTAATTAAAAAATATATTAGTTAAAATAATTATAATTTAATAAAAATAATTATTGATTAAAATTAAAATTAAAATAATTATTATTAAAATATATAATTATATTTTCAAAAAAAAAAAAACAAATTAGTGAGACAAAAGAAAATAAAAAAATGAACAAAAAGATAGTATTCCCTCCGTCCACTTACAATGTTTACATATTTTTATTTTGGAACGTCTAATTACAAATTTAACATTTTATTAAATACTTTATTTTTTTTCCACAAATACCCTTACTTTTACATCACAAAGTAAGGACAAAAATATCACTACACTACTTTTAACTACTCGCTATAATTAAAATAATATTATTTTCTCAAAAGTAAACGTCAATATTTGGAGTATTATTTTTTAATCTATTCATATAAAATTCCAAAAGATCAATTTGAAATCCACGGGAGGGAGAAAGTATATATAAATATATATATATATATATATTCTAGATTCAAACTGCAAATGCTATCTTTGCTGATTGATTCCATTTGGTTGTGATTTTTGTGTACGATCTGAAGTTATATTGAAATATATATACATGAATTCGGTGATTGAAAAACGATTGTGTATAAAGTAGTGTGTGAATGATTATGTACGTGAAGATAAATAGAAGATCGGATTGAGGAATCAAAAAATCAGTCACGTGGTGTGATTGAGCATTCAAAAATTAATAAAATACTATATAAAATCATTTTAAAGCCATTCACATGGTCGGCACAGCTCAAGTTTGCACACACGCGCGCGCGCGTACCTTGTGATTAATGTGACGTAGTTTCAGCGGAGGAGCACGGCGGCGGCGCCGCCGACGACTCCTCACCGGCGTCGGCGATACAGGTGCTGCAAATCTCCATAAACGCTTTGAAAATTACTTCGTGGTGGTGTGGGGAATTCAGCTCCAAAAAGCTGCGGAGGAGATGCTGAAGATCGTCTTCCGTGTAGATCTCGTTTTCCAATATCATCTGAAGCATCGATCGCCGGAAATCGCTGTAAGGATCGTCGGAGACTTTGACGACGGGGAGGCTGTTGCGGATTCTCGCCACTGTTTCCAAGCATTTGACGCTACGATCGAGATCCTCCGACGAGACCACGCCGGCGGAAGTAGAACGGTCGCCGGATCTGGCGTTTCCGTTGCGGTTTTTTTGATCGGTTGAGTTTTTGGACTTGGATTTAGGTTCGACAATGTCGGTCGCCTTCCGACTGCATCCGCAGCTTCCATTTGCGGTGAAGATTCTCCTGAAATTCAACCTCTTGCTCGACGACATGCGGCGGCGCAATTGCGTATACTTTGAGAGGAAACTGGCGGTGAAAATGGAGTCTGGAGAATAGATTTCGTAAGCTATTAAATATATAAAGCAATTTATATATTTAAAAATCAATTTATATACTTCCTCGAACCAATCATATGGTTGTCGTTTATTTTTTTGAAGTATATTTTTTAATATTAGTATTACAATGAATTGTAGTGAAAAAAAAAAAAACAAAAATGCTAGTATTATTGTTGTATAATATAAAAGTAATGATATTTGTGTAATATAATGTAAGTTGGAAGGATATTTATTATATTAGGCAGATAGAACAATTACTAAATTGGAAAATAATAACTTTGTTTCGAGACGAATTGAAATGAAAAATAACAAATTTTCAATGGGCCGGAGAGAGTATAAAGAAATTTATATATTTAAAAATTGATAAAAATTGTTCGTTTTTTATATTATGATCAAAAGTAATAAATTTTGATTATATTATGACTGAAATTAATTTTTTTTCTATGTTATTATTATTATTATTATTATTATTATTATTATTATTCAATGGACTTTAATGTTAACTAATTTCCACATTATCGAATTAAATGTTGTTATTAATTCAAAACCATTAAATTCGAACAGCAATGATTTGAAGGTTAAGGCGTGTTTGTTTGGCCATTTAGAGTATATTTACATTTTTGCGAAATTTTGAATTCGAAATTTTTTGAAATAAGATTTGTTTAATTTGAATTGATTTTGATATTGTAATTATTAGATATTAATTTAAATTTTATAATTATAAATGTAATTGAAATTAAATTATGTACATATATAGAAATGTTTCAAAAATTATGCTCTAATGGAAATATATTAATGCGTAAGTTAATAAAAAGAACAATTAACTTGTACATAATAAATATATATCTATAATTATACGGATATTTGTATTTTTAGTCTCAAATGTGACATTATTTATTATTTTAATGATTTAACTAAAGTTTTCATATATAAAAATTTATATTTAATTTGTAATTGTCGAAAAAAGTCCTCTAATATCAAAATTTTTATAGACATAATATTATTGGAATTGACATGAAATAGTCACATTACAGTTTCGTGAATTTAATTTTTAAAATAGATAAAAATATATATTTTAATAAATTTATAAAATTAAATTCATATAACTATTTGATGCTAATTTTTTTCATGTAAGTATCAATAATATTCTAATTGCATAATACATTTTCAATGATTATTTCGATACATATTTTAGTTAAATGACTAAAATGATCAAATATATCAACTAGATAAGCAAAAATATTTAACATGATATTTTTGAAAAGTTAAATTATGTAAAATTTATCAAAATTGATGTGTAAACAAAGCCGAACGTGTATATATATATATGTATTGTATACATTTAATGGTTTATTTAGTTGTAGTTTGAAATTGATTTAAATTTTTGTTTAAATAAAAATATAATTTGATATTTTGTGAGAAGAAATAATATATTTTTTATTGAAAATAATGCATAATAAATAATATTGATTTAAATTCAAAATAATATATATATTTTTCTAATCTTGTAATTGACTCATTTTTATTTTAATCATGTAAGTGAATCTTTTTTTGTCTACCTGACGGATACTGATGCTCCGACATGTGTGCCACGTACACATCTCTGGGTTAGAGAACCAATTGTGTTAAAAAAATTTTACTTACGATTATGTACAGACTTTAATTTCTAAACTAAAATAACAAAAAGTCAATTACCCGGCTAAAAAAAAAAAAAACAATTTTCCAAATAAAATAAAAACATACCCTTTGCTCAACTAGTTGGTTAACCATCAATGCTCCATTAATTTAGGAAGTGAAAAAATTCAATTTAGGTCATATTAAAATATTTCAATAAAAAGCAGTTTTTATCCATCTAATGCAATTGTTAGTCGACATATATATTATAAGTAAGGATTAAATATATCAAATTATGAAATAATACATATTTGAATAAAATTGTAAACTTGATTGTATTTATAGATAGATGATATACACATTTTATTTTTCAAAACAAATAAAAACTTTGTCCATTTGAATATCATTAAATATGTTCAAAGTCATTCTAAAATATAACAATATATTTTATACTTCCAAAAAATTTGAAAAATAAATAAAGAAGAATGTACTTTTTTTTTTGTCACATCATTGTAGCTTTCTTACATATCATTAACCAAAATGAAGTGAAAATTTAGTTTTAATAAAAAGCCATTCATATTGCTTAAATAAAAAGATATCTAATCAAACCAACATTAATATTAATATTATTATTTTATTTTATTTTATTTTATTTTATTTTTTCAAATAAATTCTTAACCGAACATAATAGTCTACATGTAATGATGAAAGAGGGTCACATTCCATTAACAACACATATATAATTATTAGCCACAACAACCGGTGTTCCCTGCCTTGTACTTAATTAGATTAATAATCATGATTGTTATGTTTCACATCTTAAAATATGTCTTAAGTTAAAATATATATATATATATATATTTTATCTAAAATATATGCTACTATATCCCGTAAAAGGAGCAATATTTGTATTTTACGTCATTGTACTTAACGTTGAAAATATTATTATATTTGTATAATTTATTCCACAAATGTCATTGTATTTGTATTATAAGAGACTAATAGATGTATTTTTGTCATTTTCTTTTGATTTGGACTACATATTGATATAATAATTAATATTCAAATATCAACATACAAAAAACTCATGGTACTCTTCTTATGGGACGGATATAGTAATATTCTTTTAAAATTAAAAAATATTATATCAAATATGTATTTATATTAAATCATATACTTATTTTAATTTCTACAATAATTTTAAAATACATAGTATGGGTACTCAAATATATTGTGTACATTGGGGTAGGATAACTGACATGTACTTACCATATATAGATATTCAATAGTCATCCATATATCAAAATTTAAAGTAATATTTTTATTATTTTTGTATGTTTCATTTAAAATTATTTTTTTTTTTAGGAAATATAATTATACACTAATATAAAAAATGGTGGCGGCTACAATGCGGAATTTTGTACTGAACAACACATCGTATATGTTAATATAATACACATACAACACATAAACAAAACACAAATGCTAGAGTCTCAACAGTAGACAATATTATTACAGACAACACACAATATTACTACAGACAACACATTATATATGTTAATATAATACAAATACAATACATGAACTAACAACACATGTTATAATCTCATACAACACACACAACAGTTGATCTTAGTCTATGATATACTTGTATACAACACACTTATTATTATTAAAAAACAATACATGCCTTTATTATACATAGCATGTGTTGTGTGTAATACTAATGTGTGTTGTTTACATATATCACGTGTGCTGATTTAAAAAATCAGCACCATAATCATTCTCATAAAAAATACTCTTAAGTTTTATTTAAATTACGATTATTTTTTACGCATATAGTTACTCTTTATATAAAGTTAAAATGATATAAATATCAATCTTATGGAGTATTTAAATAAATAATAAAGATGCACAATATGTACGTGCATGCATATGTCGCCGGCACTGTGCCTTCTTATAAAGATTAGTTTCTCCTTCACAATTTTCTCTATTATTTTTTTAAATATTTACATAAAATAATTTTGGCGGTTTTCCCAGACGTTATCTGCAATGGCGTCCATACACTCTGCAACTCCTCTCATCGCACTCCATCAAAACTTAAGCTACCGACGCGCACTCGGATTTCATCTACAGGAATCTGCAGCGGCGTTCGATTCATGCGGAACGACACGCAGAAACGAATTAGATGAATTGATTCCAATTCAGCAACTTGTTTGACGGTTTGCCTCGCGATCGATTTCGATTTGGATTCCGATGCGCGATCGATTTAATTGATGCTGGACTACAGACTCACTCAGAATGCCGTGGTTGAGGAATTTCATCCAGCTCTCCGCCGCCGTCCTCTCCAAGAGACAGCGACCGGCGACGTCGACGTTGGGAGCTCCTCCGGGGCCCACTGTTCAATTGCTGAAGCATTTCAGTGCGGAGGTCGGTGCGGAGAAGCCTCCAGGCTTGGGGCCGACGAAGAGGACGGAGAAGCCTAGAGTGGTGGTGCTGGGGTCGGGCTGGGCTGGGTGCAGGCTGATAAAGGACATCGATACGACAATTTATGATGTCGTTTGCGTTTCGCCGAGAAATCACATGGTCTTCACTCCGCTGCTGGCTTCTACTTGCGTCGGTACGTTGGAGTTCCGGTCAGTTGCTGAGCCGATCGGGAGGATCCAACCGGCGATTTCTCGTGAACCTGGTTCGTATTTCTTCCTGGCTAATTGTACTGGAATTGATTTCAGGAATCACCAGGTAATTAAACGATTCATTTCGTTTTCCTCTTTCATTTCGGATCTACTTTGTGGATTGCGCTCCTGAATTTGATTTGATGATACTGCTATTGTTGTTCCATGTTGCTGCGTTTGTTCTAGGCAATGATAGTACTTATTGACATGAACATTGACTCGTGCTAGATTAGCTGCCAAACTGTCACTGAAGGAGCTAATGCCATAGATCCATGGAACTTCAAGCTCGCGTACGACAAGTTAGTCATTGCTTCCGGAGCGCAGGCTTCGACGTTTGGGATTAAAGGCGCAAATGAATACGCAACATTCCTTCGCGAAGTTCATCATGCGCAGGCCATCAGGAGGAAATTGCTTCTGAATCTGATGCTGTCAGATGTGCCAGGTATTGAAAATCCGCCATTATAGGCTACGATCACTGCGTTTGTGGGTGATATACAACAGTTTTCTCTCTAATTGTCATGCTCAAACAGGAGTAAGCGATGAAGAGAAGCGTAGGCTCTTACACTGCGTCGTTGTTGGGGGTGGTCCTACCGGAGTAGAGTTCAGCGGCGAGCTTAGTGACTTCATACAGAAGGATGTTCATCAAAGATATGCACATGTGAAAGATTACATTCAAGTTACACTAGTTGAGGTTAGACTGAACTATCATTCATACACACACAAACACAACCATTGCCAGCAAAATGAGATACTGAAATTGTCATCTGATAGATTCATTCCATCTCTTTCAACTGATAAATCTTGCAGGCGAATGAGATACTATCATCATTCGACGATCGCCTCAGAAAATACGCGATCAAGCAACTGACCAAGGTTAGAAACCGCCATGGATAAGCATGTGAAGGACAATACTATATAGCATTGATATAAATAATTGTACGTATAATGGTATATATGTTCCCAATTTTTGCAGTCAGGAGTCCATCTTGTTCGTGGACTTGTGAGGGATGTTGAGGCGGACAAGATAATTCTCAACGACGACACCAGCATCCCATACGGTGTTCTTGTGTGGTCTACCGGTGTCGGTCCGTCGCCATTTGTGACTTCTCTGGATATCCCCAAATCCCCTGGAGGAAGGTGTGTGTGTGTAATTTACTTTTCTTGAAACAAATTTGGGTGTGTGGATAAAGAGTGAGTGGAAAAAACATTGGCGCAGGATAGGAATCGACGAATGGCTTCGGATCCCATCAGAGGAGGACGCATTCGCCATAGGCGACTGCAGCGGGTTTCTTGAGAGCGTAGGGAAGCCGGTTCTCCCAGCCTTGGCACAGGTACAGTTAGAAATCAATTATTATTAACCACATGGGACTTAATTACTCCTTACTAGGGATTGATTGATTTTATTTTATTTGTATTATATGATCAGAATGCCCGTCTCCACCTAATAGCTTCCGATAATCTAATATGATATCAGAGTCATAAGTCTCGAGTTCGAATTCCACCGAACGAGAGTGTGTTGAGAGTCCTATATATTAGAAAAATAATTAATAATATAAATTCCTAACGCCTTAAGTTTTTAACTAAGACAGTTATTCTGATCGATCAACTAACAACAACAATATGATTGTTGGAGGCAGGTAGCGGAGAGACAGGGGAAGTACCTGGCAGGGTTGCTGAACCGTGTAGGGAAGAGTGGAGGAGGGCATGCGGAAGGGGCAAAGGAGATGGATTTGGGAGATGGATTTGTGTACAAGCATCAAGGCAGCATGGCCACAATTGGGAGGTACAAGGCACTGGTGGACCTAAGGCAGAGCAAGGTAGTCAATTATTTCTTTATTTATTTTTTATGACATTGAAAACCCTCGGCTACTATTCGAAAGTACGCACTGGGTAAATCTCCAATCGAATCTAATACCCTGCAAACTAGACTTGACTGACAAATTACACTGGACAAACCATGTGTGACATATGACCTGAGGCGTCGGCGGGGGAATTATTTATTTATTTGAATGAATGAATTGAAATTTGAAATGAGACGTCTTGACAGGAAGGAAGAGGAGTGTCGATGGCAGGGTTTGTGAGCTTCTTTGTGTGGAGGTCGGCATATCTGACGAGGGTGATCAGCTGGAGGAACAGGTTTTATGTACTTACCAACTGGTTGACCACTCTAATCTTCGGGAGGGACATTAGTCGTATTTAATTTAATTTCATTTACTCACTCATGCTTTGCATGCTAATTATTATAATTATTATTATTATCTTATATAACATGTGAATGTGAATCTATTGTTGTTACTCTTGGAATTAATATGCATGTAAACTCTCTAATTGAACCGAGTTGCATATAAACATAGTCCTAATTCACAAGTTTTTCGAGAAAATTGCACAAAATATTCCACACATATACCCATTATCACTTTTGTCTTGAATTTATCTCGCCGATAAAATATATCCCACGTGTTTACAAAAACCGAAATAACTGACTTTTGCAAATATGAGTATTTTTTTTTTCAATTTCTCCAAGTTTTTCTATTAGGCATCCAAAATTTGAGTCATTGTTTTCATATGATCAAGTTTGACGAATTGTTTACAAGCTGAGTCAAGTGGATCTCAAAAGATAAAAACATCTAGCTCCTTCACATACTCCAAAATTTTCAAATTTACGCTCCGCTTACGCAACACATTTTCACTCATTCGACACTATTTATTTTTCAAAAAAGTCACACCAAATACATTTTTTCTCTCACAAAATATCAAATCAAATACTAACTTTTTATATTTTTTCAAACTTTCAAATTTCCAAAATCCTCCAAAAATCCCTATCTAAGGGGGGTGACTGACATAAACATGCTACAAACAGGATGAGTTATCAAGCACAGTCATAACCACTACTTTACCCTCCTACAAACTAATACCCACTGTGCTCCTTAATCAACACTTCTAAATGTTACCACAGCCATATATAACTTCAACTCATTCCTTAATTGAAGGAGTCGAATGTTTATGTTCGATCGATCTATTTAACTTATCTACCAAACTGTTGATGAGCTCGAGAACTAAACTTCATGCTCAACAACTACAAAAGAAATGTATTTACTACAGTCAGCATGTTGCGCAGCAATGGTTGAAATCATCACGACGAGCAATATTTTCATAACATCAAGGGGTTTCAATTATCATCACTTTCATCATGTCTAGGAAGATGAGTAATGTTATTTCAAAATTCATATGATAAGACAAATTTCTGAAGATTTCACAATTCTAGCAAAAATCTTGTGCCTTGTCACAGACAAGATTTTCAACACATAGCACCTGAGTTCTTTGGACTAGAAACATGCATGTTTCCCAAAGACAACTTTAAAGATGGTAAAATGCAAGCTTTCCAAGTATTCGACAAGGAAATATCACCAACACATACCTCACAAGCTTGGGCAGCATAATAGGGTCTTACTGTCCATTGCAAACGTCGTATCCTTATCCCAAGAAAGCAACCTGATTAATCATCCACAAACAGTTTCTCCAACACGAAACTGTTTTCGTATAAAACTAATGAATAAATGTTTATGCCTCATAATCAATATAGAAAAAAATTAGCCACATCCTGCATGTGCTAGCGATCCAATAATTCTCACTTGAAAACATTATCGAAGCTTCCAAAGATGGATATTACTAATTAGCTACCACACAAATATACGGAATAATCGTCAACTGTAAACCATCCTTTGTTGTGAATAAATGAGACGCAGAGTATTAACAAATAATGAAAACAACAAATCAAGCAGCCTAAGATAGTTGTCAAATACATAGACAAAATTTGAAAACCAAGATTTTTTTTTCCATACAAGGTTAAACATAATCTTGCATCAGGACAAACCAAAATGACAACAACCCTTACAGGATGTGGCGACTGGTGAGTTTTGAAACATACCAAATGACAACAATTCAATCAAGTGTCTTGAGCCAAGTTACAACGTTGGAGTCACTATGATAGTAGCTTGGTTAGGTGTTGATGCTATTTCCGGTAAGGGAAAGGAATAAAGGGCAGTCGAAACTCCACACATCGATCTTCAAAATTGCTCCAGACTCCTAAATTACCATATCTGAACCATTTAGCAACCTGACATGATTTCAATCAAATTAAGGAGCTTTAGACCCATCTTCACCAAGGATGTTCTTTTCTGACACCACTATTCCAGTTTCTCAGCCAACCCGGATACCGTATACTATTTCTGAATTTGTAATGAGTTCGACTCAAGTTATGTAAACCTAGTATAAATAAAGAACACATACACTTTCTAAAGATAGTTGATAGTTGATTATAGAATTGAACGAAGAATGAGAGTTCTTCTTGAGTTGATATCAAAACTCAAATTGGTGTCCTCAATCCTCATCTTCCTGCACTCATTAGTGACTTCACAATACCAGGCAATTAATTATATCCGATACCAGTGAATCGTTTCAGCTTAAAATTGCTGGATTCTAGATAGCCTTGTCCTTCAGGAGCTCTTATTTATTTCTACCCTTATAATTGGATTTGTGTTGTTTTCCTTAGATTTAGAGATATCCAGTCTTTTGAGTGTTTTCAAGTTCGACTAGTGTATATATGTAATTGGTAAATGAAAACCACTAAACTACCCAGCAAGAAATAAACATAATCATCAAAACTGATCCTGCAGATTTCAATACATTAAGAGTTGCATCAAACTAACTATATCTAAACAAATTCTCTAGATAGTAGTGTGTAGTTACGGGCAGTAGTAAAAAACTTAATCAAAATGCTAATGTCAAAAACAGGTCATGAGCTCAACTTCCACTGTGGTGCTGTCTTAAAAGTGCTCGGTCATGCCTTCACCCACCCCAAAAGTATGCACATGATATGCTAGTTCCTTACTCATCTTACCGAATAACCTACCTCACGGCGTAGAGTCAATATTTCACATAGCACTAGCAGACAACATGAACCATTTAGATACGTCCACGTTAAGTACCCCATTCCAAATTAGTAAAATATTCGTTGGCTATCAATCCCATTCAAGAAAGAAATCCCATTAATCCTAAAAAGGCAAATATTCTAATAAACCCATGCCAAATTAGCAACATTCATTGGCTATCAATCCCATCAACGCTAAAAAACAAACATTCTAATCAACCCATGCCAAATTTGCAACATTCATTGGTTATTGACCCGATCAACCCTAACGAACAAACATTCTAATCAACAATTAGCAACATTCATTGGCTATCGATCCTATCAACCCTAACAAATAAACATTTTAATTCACCTACGCCAAATTAGCAACATTCATTGGCTATCGATCCCATCAACCCTAACGAACAAACATTCTAATCAACAATTAGCAACATTCATTGGCTATCGATCCCATCAACCCTAACGAACAAACATTCTTCTAATCAGCAATTAGCAACATCCATTGGCTATCGATCCCATCAACCCTAACGAACAAGCATTCTTCTAATCAACAATTAGCAACATTCATTGGCTATCGATCCCATCAACCCTAACGAACAAACATTCTTCTAATCAGCAATTAGCAACATTCATTGGCTATTGATCCCATCAACCATAACGAACAAGCATTCTTCTAATCAACAATTAGCAACATTCATTGGCTATCGATCCCATCAACCCTAATGAACAAACATTCTAATCAACAATTAGCAACATTCATTGGCTATCGATCCCATCAACCCTAACGAAAAACATTCTAACCTACCCATGCCAAATTAACAACATTCAGTGGCTATCTATTCCAGCAGCATCTTCGAAACTCACACCATGAGATCAACTACTAATACCCTTCATCAGTAGCAGCATCATGACCACAATTCAGGGCAAAAGAATAATGCAGAGTATTCAGCAAAAATCCAAATCTTAGAACAGCAAATCAATTAATCAAACATCGAAAAAAAATCTAGAACACGAAACTGTACACAGAAAATAGACTAATTGTGGGCAAACCACATTCCCTGTGCAAACAAAGCTACATAAGCAGAACCAGGATAGATTCATCCTCCATTTCCTCACCATTCCAAATTCAGGAGGGAAAATTTATGCATCCAACATACCTAGCTAAAAATTATTTAAATTTATAGAAAACTCAACAATTCACCTCAAATCCCTACGCGGCACTGCTTCGGGCCGCCGGTCAAAGTGCCGGAGCTCCGGCCGCCGGGAAATCCAACGATCAAATCTGCGCAAAATACCCTTAGATACCTCCGCCTAGTCCTCCACGCCTTCGCCTCAAACTTAACCTTAGAAATCATCCTCAAATTGAAGTTCACATTACCATTCTTCTTTTGGTCGCCGGTGATCCCATCCGCCACCGACTTCTCCACGAAACTCCCCGCCGCCGCGAAATTCGCCGCCAGGGAAGTCTCGCTTTGAGTGTGCTGCGAGAACGGGGGAACTGAGGTCTGCGCGAGGTCACTGGATTCATAATACAGCATCGACTGGATGTCGTCGTAGAAGAGGTCCATCTTCTTGTTAGGGTTCCGCGCGGTGAGGCGGACCTCGGAGGTGAAGGACACAAGCGAGTTGTTGCCGAGGCTGAGATTGGAGACGGCGACGGAATCGACGCGGAACTCCGGGAGCTGCGGGCGGAGGACCAACCAGACGATGAAGGTGATCGTTCCGAAGATTACGACGAGACCGATTACAAAGGCGAAGATCCGGCGGAGCCAGGCGGCGCGGCGGACGGAGTCGGCGTCGTAGTGATAGTTGTATGCGTTGTTGGGGTAGCTGTAGTAGGCGTTGGGCGGGTGAGCGGCGACGTAAGGGTAGGCGGTGCCTGACGGTGGCGGCGGCGGTTGGGCGGAGTAACCGTTGGGGGCGGCGGGGTAGCCTGTGACTGGTGGTCTATTAGGGTCGCCCATGGCGGTGGCGGTGGCGGAGGCGGAGGCGGAGATCTCTCTCGCTCTCTGTGGGTATGGTGAGGTGCGAATTAGAGAATAAAAACCCGCGTCGTGTGACAGCCTTTCTTATGGCCTTACACAGACCAACGGAGATTCGCTCTCTACCTTTCCCTACGATCAAATAATTAGAATAAAAATACATAATTGGGTAAATTATATTTTTTCTCACTCATCCAAATTTAATTTCAATTTCCTTTTTTACTTATCATTAAATGTTTCATTTTATTTTCATTCAATATATTTTTTTAAAATTCTTATTATGTCGAATGAGTTTTTAATAACTTACTTCCTTGTCCACTTAAAAAAAGTAATAAGTATTTATTTATTTATATTAAACATTAAAATATTTTTAACTTTTATAAATATATTCATTTTATACATATATATATTCAAAAGTAAAAGTGTTAAACTTATTTTACATACTTCTACTAGTTATTTTTTATTTTATTACAATGGAAGTGAAGAATATATTGAATTGACACCCATGAATTTTTTATTTTTTTTTTACGAGATTTGATAAATTTTATATTTTAATAATAATTTGTGATACTTTTGGTATGTAAAAATTAAGTTAGTACTATGATAAATATTGATATAAATAAGTATATACTGTATGATATATTGAATACTTTAGGTTTGAATAATAAAAATTAATAAAATGTACACTTGTAGATGGAAATATATGTTAAAATAGCACAAAATTTGGGTGCATTTGGTTAGAATTTGGGTTATAAGTGATTCATTTGAGAAAGTGTTTGTTTTGCATTTTAAATAAAATTTTATATTATTTAATTTGTATAATTTTATAAAAATATATTATTATCATTCATAAAATATTATTTAAATTAAAATTTCAAACTCTTAATTTGAAGTCATAAGTTGAGTTACAAGTGGTGTATTTTGTTGTGACTTTAAAGTTTACTTTCACAATTTTCAATAAATATATTTATTATGATTCAATTTTTATTATTCTAAAGTATATTTTTATGGTTTTTAAGTGATTGTTTTTTTTTATGAATTGACAAATTTGATCTTAATTGAATTGTAGAGATTAAAAGTAATAAATGAATTAACAGTAAAAATGTAAAATTTGTATTTAAAAAAAAAAAAAAAAACAGGACAATAATTATTGGACGTCCCAAACAGAAAAATAGGACATTAGTTCGTGGACGGAGGGAGTATTTTTTTACAAACTATTATATCAAAGTATTATTATTTTTATTTCGTCTATACCATATAATTTATCTTTATATATATTATACACTCATTATAATATTCTTAAATTCCTGTAAAGTGAATGATTTATCTAGGACTATATATTTACCTAAAATATAATTTACAATATATTCTAAAAGAATCCAAAAATTCAACGTAGAAGTATTATTGTTTATATTACTAAAAAAAAAAAAAAAAATTATATCTAATTTTAAAAACACTTAAAACTAAAAACAAATGGAAACATTTTCACTACGTGGTTTTTGAGTTAATATATTTTTTTATATTAAATATAGATAATTGAGTAGATAATACATATTAAAATTATGAATTTTTGCATGCTAATAAAATATATATTATATATTTTTTAAAAAATATTTATGAAATATATTTTCCAATACTACAACTTTCGTGTCTATTATAAAGACATCTTACATTATATAACAATTGTAAAAAAAAAAAATTAATATTATTATTAATTAAAAAAATAATTAAAATTGACAGTGTTAATGGTCTGTCTATCTATTTTTATCTAAAAAATTAGAGCAAAATTTTATTTCTGAAGGTCATTATCATTCCAAAAATGATCTGAAAAATAAATTTCAAAATCCATGCCCACTAATTACACTAAAAATTGCTTCTATCTATTCTAATAAATCAAATCAAATACTAATGATCCAAAACAAGAAACATAAAAACAATCCATCATGAAGCTCAATATATATTGAAGATAAACAAACAAGCAGCAAAAGATAGATTAATAGGAACCCAAAAATTGAAATCAAATAAACAAGCAATCTTGAATTTAAACAACAACTATATACATCATTGCACAATGAAAAAGATCAAAATGTGAAAGAGAAGGAGAAAGAAAGATTTCAATGCCTTTTTATATGGATAGAACTATGCATGCAATGTAATGTAAGAATAACTTCAAGAATGGCAGAATCAGAATTACCTGAGCTGTCTCTGTGTGTGATTACGAATTCCGACCGCTCTCATCGAGCATCATTCCCTTGAGGCTTTTCGCCAGCCAGATTGCCGTATCTCTCGGCGAAACCTTCTCCTTACCGAAAGGTTTCAGAACCACGGCAAGTTCTTCGAGTCGGTTCTGCTGGAGCAAGTCCGCAGACAGCTCCAGCAGTCCTTCAAGCGCATCCGCCCTCTGCCTGAACGAATTCACGTCTAGAGTTTCCTTTGCCGGCACTTCTTCTTGAGGCGGAGGCGGAGGCGGGCTTGGTTTTGATGGTTCAGAAGAATCCGGGGTATTTGCATTCGCCGCCGTGTCTATTTCCTTAGTGATGGAATTTTCAGGCGGAGGGGGCGCAGTTTCGGATGATTTGGGAGTTGCTGTTTCGGAGCATGTTGGATCTTTCACGTCGAAATCATCTCTCACGACGTTTATAAGCTTCCCGACATCCATCGGAGGCTCCAGATTGTCCAGCACCGGATGCTGATCAGGGCCAACTCGGAAGCTACTGTGGCGTATCACATGAATAACCTCATCGAATGCCGGTTGGGGGTGACTCGGGACAGCTTTATCGATGACACCCTTCTGCACCACAAGGCCTTTATCTGGAATCAAGTTTGACGAGCTGTGGGCAATGCCGGATGACGAGGAGCATTCTGTATCCGGAGAAACAAGCTTTTTCTCCGTGACCTTATCATCTCTGCTCGATGTGAATACGGGATCATACCTGCTGTCGGACATAATGGCAGCCGCATCGTTACCTTTGATTTCAGCAGGGGAGCCTATATTCTCGGCACGAGCATCTACATGCATAACCTTATCATCCAAGCGTTCTTGAAACGATTCGACGGAAGATACGACAGACTTGGAGCGATTCCCGTGGAGTGATGAATTCCCGAGTCTTTCCGAGTGTGATGAGGAAGGGGTAGAATAGCACAGTGTAGACTCATTAATATCAACTTCAGTAGCTTGCTGTTTCGGTGTTCGGCAGCTAACTTCAACATGTTCCGTAGTATTAATGACTTCAATTTCGGACACTTCACGGCCATGAAGTATCTGTTCAGTTGTAGGGGTGGACGCATCGTCGCATAGCTCAAATCCTTGGATGGATACCGAAGATGATGCAGAATTGCTGCTCTCTGTGTACATTCTCTTAGAACCGACCCCAGTCGACTTCCTGGAATACGGGACAATATCTCTCGATGTACTTGGATTGGAGCGATGAGGCACAGAATCTATAGCTTCAGGATCACGAGCTTCATCAGGACCAGTCTTTGTATTAGGTGTCTCGCATCCCACCTGCCGTGTCCGTGCAGGAAACGATGGCCTTCTAGTGAGTGTTGGAGGTGTTTTCTGTCTGGCCCTTATCGAGAATCCATCTTCAGCAGAAGGTTTCATGGGACCGGTGGGTGGGATTCCTTCGTGTCGAGCTTTGGTCTTCGGAGGCGTATCCGTGGCAGGTAACTAAAAAGATATGTCAGCAACAAAAACCAAGTTCATAATTAATTTCAGCCTAGATTAGAATGAAGATACTAGATTTTATTAATACCTGATGTTTCAAAGAATTTGTTGCGTATGTTCGCTTGGTGGAATCGGGTATGGCCTTTGCCGATGCAACCATTGGTGTCTCTGCATTGCCCTTAAGCACATGGTTAGGGTGACCTGGTTTGCTGACTCTGGGAGATGCCTCAACACTCCCTCTCTGGTAACCGAAAGCGCCAGGCTTCGCATGGTTGCTTCTCATCGGCGAACTATTTTCTCTGCTTTTTCCTTCTTTCAGAGCGATCATAATGTTTTTGATCATTTTCGGCTGCTTAAATTCACTGTTGTTCCTCTGTTCTTCGTTCGTTGGTTTCCTGTCATCATGTTCCTTGACAATTGCTGTCCCTTTTAGACCATCTCTCGGTACAAGAAGCCTCGGGCCAGCATCCTCATCAACAGAAGCCGAGTCGATATCACCTGCTCTATTGTCTTTATTCACGACCATGTTCCTTTCACTTGACCTCAAGCTGTCTCTGTCACTGCAGGAGCTGTTGCTGCTTTGGCTTTCAGCCATATTCTTTCGACTGTCACGAGCCATGGGATGAGGTTTCTCGGGTGAATTGGCGACAGCCATGTTATAAGATGGACGGTACAGATCAATGTAAGGCTGAAGATATGGGTGCTTCAGTAATTCAGATGCCTGAGAAATGTTGAAATCAGATCAAATGTCATTGGTCTCTGCAAAATACATAGATGCATATGGTTCTTACACTGGCGCGGTGTTCGGGGTTTTTTCTTAGCATACTCTTGATTAGTGTTTTCCTGTTGAAAAAACCATTACTCCCGATTCAAATTCAAATTCATCACTACATTGTCATTCAATAATCCTGGGACAGATGGGTTAGGTTGCTTACAAGGATGGGGAGTAACATGGTGGCAAAGGACCAATGGAGGATCGATTAATCTTGCTTATTAGTCCCGCCATGTCCTGAAACATACATTTGGATATTAAGTGAAAGGATGAGCTTTGAAAACAACAGTGAAGTTAATCTATGGACTATGGAGCCCCAACCACCTAGATCCATTTAGGGGGAACAAATAAGAACTAGAAATCTTACAAAAGCTTTGAATGCAGGACGATGGGCAGCCATTTCATACATACAGCAACCTGAATGATGAATCAAAACATTACAAAAATGACAATTCTAAAGTTGATTTGATTTGTGACTGAATTAAAGAAATGAAACAGGCATACCAAGAGACCAAATATCAGATTTAAATCCGTAAGGGATGTCAGCAAGAAGTTCGGGACACATGTAATTGGGAGTTCCAACTACCTGACAACAAGAAGTAAGAAAATCTTCAATTGAATTTAGTTATACAGAGCTAATACTGAGCATAATGCTAATCCAATTCTTCCAGGCTACACGAATTATTCAGAAAAAAATTGAGAATTCCATAAAATCGGTTATTCTTTTCTGGACATGAGCTCACCCACTCAGCTTGGTGTTTATGCATCAAAAATAAAATGCAACAATGGGTGCATATCATTTTTTCAGTACATTATTTCTCTCCTCTTTTATATTTATACAGTCAGGTTATTGAATCCCAACAATCTCGAAACCAAGCCAAGGCAAAGAACTGTAAATATAGTCCCTTTCATTAGCTCATAATCACATTACAGTTCACCAGGTAAAGAGAGGGGATTCGATGTATTCTAAATTACATACCGAAGAAGCTAAATCATCTGCCTTCAAAGTTTTAGCAAGTCCGAAATCACCTATTCAGAAAAAATTATAAGAATATAAGAAAAGGAACGAGTATTGATTTGAATGCCCACATCCAGCTTGTCTAGTTTTTTAGGATGGGATTTGATGAATATTACACCACTATTACCTAGACGAACATCTTGATCTTTGGTAAGGAAGATATTTGAGCACTGGCAAGAAAATTCCAAGTAGATCAGTGACCATATTATACAATAGAAATGACAACAACAACAACAACAGCTATCACAAGGATCAATGCCAATACTCAAAGACTGACCTTGAGGTCCCGGTGAAGAACAAAGTTGGAATGAAGATACTCAACTGCCAGCAGGAGCTGAGTGAACCACTTTAACAATTTCTGCCAATATATTAATACCAATCAATTAATCCAAACAAAAGAAGACCAATAATATTCACAAAAAGAAATCAATCAAACCTCCTCCGGGAAATACTGGCCATTGGCTTTTTTCATTAGTTCAGCCCTGTTACATTAAACAGTCAAAAGATCATGAACATTGGAGACAAAAAATAAAGGAATGAACAACACCGATGAAAATTTATTACAGTTTCATGCTTATATAGCAGTGTAGATCACTTACATGTCCCCTCCTTCACAGTAGCCAGTAACTATGCATACGTAGCAACCCTGTTTTAGCATCAGACAACTAATTAGTTTGTCACTACAAACCTACCAATAACTTATGTTTCCAAGACATTGGGGATATGTTTACTTCGAAAATAAGCTGTGCAAGATAAATTTACTACTATTTCCGTGGATTGTTTTGAGTTTTAAAGACATTGAGGTGAAAATGGGTGCTAAATGTGATTGATATATGAAAATTAGGTGTTGGTTAATTAGGCCAACGGATACATAATGGAGATTGAAATGGAAATATATTAGTATCGTAAAGCATTCATTAATTTGTGTGACAATTTCCAAAATGACGAGGGCTGTGAAACAAAGTGGTGTACAATAAGTATATAACTTTGGATTATACGATTCAGTATAATTAATATAATTCTATCCTAACCTTCATACTAAACATGCCTTTAGAATATTTACCAAAAATTACCTTCTCCACCCAAGCTTCCTTGAACTCAACAATGTAAGGATGTTGTATTCGAGCAATTAATGCCATCTGCACATTACACAATAAAATTAGAAAGAACTTCCAAATTTAAGCATTTTTCGTATAACACAATGAACTTAGAACGAACTAGCTTCCTCAGTTAAGAGTCTGCATATGCCACAATAATAAAGTTTGAATTAACATTTTAGTCACCAAATGAAGACTGCTAAATAAATTGGTAATATCTTGTTCAGGGCGTGAATTTGACTTTCTTATGAAGTAACAGTTGCCAAAAAAATATGATGAGATTCTTAACTAATTTCATATGTTCTTCTCCAACTAACATAGAAAACTCCAAAAACAGGTCAATATCCCCAAATCAGAAACAAGAAAATCACGAGGAAGAAGAAAAACACTTATCTGAAGAATCAAATGAATTTTATGAAACCTCAAATTCAGCATACCTCCTGATGAGCTGATCTTCTGCATCTTTCTGTCTGCCGAGCTAATCGGATCTTCTTAAGCACATACCTGGATTTCAACAACCAAAACCAAAAATCAAATAAAGATCATAACCATGGTATCATTGATTAAAAACAAATTATCCAACAGTCCACCAAAAATCCACAAACTTTGACTTATTAGGAATCCATACTTTTTCCTTTCCATTTTGTGATTAACCAAAATGGCAGCTCCGAAAGCTCCACGCCCAATCTGCTCCATGATCTCATACTGATCCATTTTCGATTCCATCACGCCCCAATCTCAAATCCCAACCACTTCTTGTCCCCTACTCAACTCCACGAAATTCACACCACTTCACCCCCCACAGACATACAGATCTCAACAATGGAAATCCCCGCCGCCGTAATCCCCGAATTCACCAAATACCCAAACTGCAAAACAACCAACACCACGTACACACATAATACCACACAATGTGATCACACCAACCTATTCCTTCAATCTCCCGCCACTTCTCCCCCCATCCGCAGATCAATCCCAAAACAAACCACCATTACCACAAAACTCCCAGCAATCAACCCAATAACCCAAAATCCACACCAAAACGTCCTAATCAACCAACCCGCACACAACTATCCAAAATGCAATCAACTCCAGGCGTCCAGTCAGCCGAAAACAGAGAAACTACCAACAGCATCCACTAAAACAAAAATTTCACCGATCCTCACCCTTACGCCACTGTTAACCACACTGATCTGCACTGCAAACACACAAATTCAAAACTCGATGTTAAGTTGAACTGATTACGGAAAAATCAACAGCTAGCTAGCTAATCACAGTTAGGTTTGGAAAATGTTGATCTCACAACTTCCAACTAATCCGGCCATGCTTGCTTCATTTTAGCCCTGAGTTGGATGCAGGAGAAAATAATCCACTGCGGGCAGGTCTACCGTATCTTTCCCTGTGCTGTCAATACCATGAAAGTGATTTTTTACCTCAACAAAGGGAATGTTTGGCAAAGCAAAAAAATAATCTAATTTTAAAAAATATGGGTAATATTTATTTCTCGATCTATGACAGTCGTATCAGTAGATTTGAATTAATAAGTGTGTTTGATTTGTATTTTTTTAAAAAAATTAATTATATTCAAACTATATAATTGTAATAAAATAAATTATTTTTTTATAAACTATCACATTAAAATATATACTATCATTTATTTACAACAATCTCACAGAACAAACACACTAGAATAGTAAATTATTTTAATTTAAATGCTAGAAAAAACTCAATATTATACTACCATTTATTTGAGTCAAAATTTTGTATATTCTCAGAATATTATTAATAAATAAATAAATATATATATATATACTATTTGTGTAACATTTCAAAATACACAACATAATTTTAAGAAGAAGTTGAGCCATTTGCCGACAACTACTGCCTGGGCTTCATGTTTTTTAATGAAATAATAATAATTTTGTGTGGGACGGCATTGCATCAGAGCCGTTCAATAAAAAAGGTATCGGTTTTATATGGGCCGTTGGATCCACTCTTACGTTGATAAAGTTCGCCTTTTGGCTAAAAAGGACAAAATGCAACGTGTTTATAACGAAATGGGGTTAATTGATATTAACCGTATACTAAGAGGTGCAAATTGAAATTTTGTGGAATGACGCTAACTTCAATAATACTAAATTTTGCATTATTTGGAGTGTAGCGTAATTATGGTGCATTCATTGATGGTAGAAATAGGAAACTCCATGGAACGTAGCACCCGAATCAATCCACACCGTACGGGTATGAGATCTACAATAGAATAGTCGTCGGGAGTTTTGATCCCGGGAGTGTTTAAAATCCAGTCCAGCCCATATGGGGTAGCGTGTCAGTTTTCATCGCTGTAGAGCAGCGCATGAGCACGTGCTACGCTTTGCGCACCCTGGATGGCACGTGAGACGCACGTGCCACGTGCTCTATTGACTCTTCTCTTGTCAACCTTCACTGTGCTAATATATATATATATATTATTGCAATTTTGCAGTGTTTAATATTTGATTCTGAAATTTTCAATAAAAATATTATTTTATAAGAATTAATATTAAGATAAAGAAAATATTTGAGGCAGTCTAAGCAGTCTTGATGGTATTCATATATTAATTTATTTTATTTTTAGGAGAAAGAGGGAATATTGCCAATTGGACACGTTCGAAATTTTATGAGAATATATATATTTTTTATTTCTTTTAATGACGTGGGAATTCGCAGTCGCTATCCGAAAGTGTGCACTGAGTAAATCTCCGGCCGAATCTAATACCCTGCAAATCAGGTCTGACGAAAAAGTCATATTAGACGAACCATATGTGGCAGGTGACCTCGAGGTTTGAACCCATAACTTTACGGTCGTAATATTTGAAAACATGTACAATATTTATTTTTATATACTGTGTTGTATAAATATATATTGTGTGTTAAAATTCATGATTATATATATTGTACAGACAATTGTTATATATTGTTAGTTCATATGTTATATATATTTTTTTATTATACTCCCTCTGTCTCGGATATTTTGTCTAATTTACTGTAGACACAGGAATTTATGAGAGTATAATTAGTAAATAATTAAAAATATATTAGTGAAAATAATTATCGTATAATAAAAATATTTATAGATTAAAATTAAGATAAATGATTAGTATAATTAAAATTAAAAAATTATAAATTAATTTTTTTAAAAAATAAGATTAAAGTGTATAATTTTTTTTGTCAGAAAAAGAAAGTAACAAAATAAATGGGACGGACGAAAATAGAAAAGTGGACACGAGAAGTGGGACGGATGGAGTATTAATATAAATTATTTGTTATCGACTATCATTATATCGTGTGTTATATATTACTCCATTCGTCCTCTTTTAATGGTCAGATTTACCTTTTTGTGTCATTGTATTTAATATTATAAATATTTTTATATCTATATAACTTTATTTTATTTTTTTTTTTACAAATGTCATTCTATTAGTATTATAACATACTAATTGAAGTATTTTTTGCAATTTTTTCTTAATTTGTACTATGTTTCGATATGTTAATTAATATTCAAAAATCAATATGAAAAAAATAAATGAAACCCTTAGAACCGGACAGAGGTAATATAATATATTGTCGTACTTAATTATTTAAGCAACAATTCAAGCACAACTATTTTTAGAACACCAAAAAATATATAGACAAGAATATATATGTAAATTGTATAATGCAAAAAAGAAAAAAGAAAAAGAAAAATTAATGTACTAATATGTTTTTCTCCCTCTATTTTTTTTTATTTTTTTAAGCAATACATTTAATATGACTTTTTATATAATATAATTATTATTTTATTTTAAAAACAAGAATTAAGTAGAAAATAAGAAACAAATACACATCGATCATAATCAAATTCATTTAGGGTGTGTTTGTTTGGGGGATTTAATTAGATTTCTACTATTCATCCAATTTTTTCCCCCAAAAACATCAAATCAAACACCTATTTTTCATTTTTTATATTATACTAAAAATCAATTTTATATTCAAAACATCACATCAACACCTATTTATATCACATCATACAACTATTCAAATTCAAAATTTTTACTATTCAAATCCCAACTCAAAATCCAAACCCTCAAACAAACACGCCCTTAAGGGTGTGTTCCTTTAAAGGTTTTATACAAAATTTTACTATTCATTCAATTTTTTATCCCAAAAAATATCAAATCAAACACCTATTTTTTATTAATTTTATTATACTAAAAAATAATTTTAGATTCAAATCAACGCATCTATTTATATTACATTATACGATTATTACAATTCAAAATTTTTATTATTCAAATTTCAATTCAAAATTTTTATTATTCAAATTCCAACTCAAAATTCAATCACTCGTACAAACACACAAACAAAAAAACGCATCCACAAATTAAAAGAATGTCAATAATCAAAAACAATCCAACTGATGTATTTTTCTTGTAGCAATTTCTAAAAACATATTTGAATGTTTTTCTATGCACTCTATTTCAATATTTTTTTACTGTATTAACTCTTACCATTTTTTAATAAAATATCATATTTTATATATCATCTAAATTTATACTTATTTGTTTTATTTGTCATAAAAATAAAAAATACACATTTACATCAAAATCTATACCTAAAAATTTTAGTACATTTTTAGGTGACATGAAATAATCAAAATATTACTCCATCCATCCTACATAATTTGTCTCTATTTTCTATTTTCTTCTGTCCCACATAATTTGTCATTTCTTTTTTTTATAAAATTAATTATACACTTTGATCATATTTTAAATTTTAAAATTTAATTTTTTTAATCTTAATTAAACTATTTAGTTATTTTAACTTTAATCTATAATTATTTTTACTAATATATTTATTAATTACTTACTAATTATATTTTACCTAAATTTCCGTATCTACAGTAATACACTCATATTACATGGGACGAAGGGAGTATATAAACTAAAATATAAATTCAAAAAGTCAAACTCAAGTACAAAAAGAACATCCCTATTGTATTTATTTGTTATTAAGTTTTTTTAAGGTACAGTAATATACTTACGATATAATATTTTAAATAAAAATATATATGTATGGTGTACATTTTCTCTAAAAAAAAAAAAAAGGTTTTAAAAATAAAAAGGTAAAAAAAATAAAATAAAATCAGATAAAAAACTTATGTAACAATTCAAAGAATTTTCTTCTCATTACTATATATATTTTGAGTAAGGACTTTATTTTATTTGTATATGAATTTGAATATTTTTTTTATTGAAATAATTTTTTTAATATGATATTTTATTTATAAGATGAAATAATTATTTTTATAAAAAAAATGTATAAATTGAATATTAAAAAATTAATTTTAAGTGCAAACGAAACAAACAATTTAAAAATAACACTCGAAATTTAAATAAAATTTTAGTAAAATTTTTTATTTATTATTTATCAGTAAAATTTAATTCAAGTTTGATTGACTTAGGTTTAATTGCATCTAACTAACTAACTAACGAAGCAATAATTCTGCTACCTACTGAAATAAATAATATTGGTAGTTTTTACATTTATATAGTGGCAATATTGAATAAATTAAATAGAGTTCGATTATTAGTGTATTTATTTTTCACGTCAACTAATTTGTGCTTATTTTATTTTATTTATTATTATCTTCGTCTTGTATGTATAATTTTGTACTTTTTGGGCATATAGTTTAAAAATTATTGATAATTTAATGTAGAGTAAACTATTTTTTTTTTTTTTTAAGTCTCGTAATTGGGTCCTTTATCGTTTTAGAGCCTGTCGTAAATTAGTCCCATAAGTAAAAAAAATTTCGTTGTTTTAGTCCTCCGGCGCCGGAGACGCCCGCGTGGCTCGCCGGAGGTGACATGTCCATCAGGTGTCCCGTTAAATCAGCGACACCTAGCTGACACGTGGATTTATTATTTTTTAATTTTTTAATTTTTTTAATTGTAACAAATAAAAAAATACAAATAAAATTTAAAATAAATTAAAAATAATTTTTTAAAAAATGAAAAAAAAAAATAAAAAAATCCACATGTTCGCCAAGTCAGCGACACTTGGCGGACACATCACCTCCGGCGAGCCACGGGGGCATCTCCGGCACCAGATGACTAAAACAGCGAAAATTCTTCACTTATGGGACTAGTTTGCGACAGACTCCACGGGACTAAAATGATAAGGGGTCAACGGAACTTAAAAAAAAAAAAAAAGAATTTACCCTATAATATAATGTTAATTTGTCTATTTTGTCCTTTTTAAATTAGTAAATACTTGTTAATTTAGCTATAAAAAAAATAATAATATTTGTACAATAATATTAAAAAGATAATAAGAAATATACAATATGGAAACTATGTTTATTTTTTTATATAATAACAAGACAATTAATTTAAAACAGAAGGAAATAATTAAATAGAACAATACATAGAAAGCAAAAAATTAATTAATTGGTATTACAATATGATTTTTTTTAAAAAAAAATAGTAAATAAAATAAAATTTAATTAATAATTTTTTTTTTGTTGCTTGTGGTTTATATACATAGATATCTATTACTTATTTATCCTAATCAACATATAATTAGAAAAATTGTATAGGATTGAAGAAAAATAAGGAAAAAAAATAATAATATCAAATTTTTCAGTATAAAAGATATTCTCATTATATTGACGCTGAACTCAAAATTTATAATTCTGATATTATGTTAGATAATGTAAATGTTCGATTCATTTAAAAAATTAAAATTTTTAGGTGAACAGTCATTCCAATAATTTAGCGGTGGATTAATTTAAATATAATATTTCTAAGACAATTAATCATGTTTAAATAAGATTAAAATTAACTTTTAACTATTACTATAATTATGTTCAATATTTTAATATCAAATTTAAATTAATTTTTTTCTAAATTAACACAAAAGAAACACACTATTGACTTGTGATGATTCCTATAGGCAAAAACAAATAGAGAAAATCTGAACCCCAATAATTAATTAGAGATTTGAATTAAAGAGATCAAATCATTGATGATATGACATCATTAAAGTTAACACCAATTTTATTTATTTATTTATGTCAGTATATTTAATTGCCACTAATGATTGTTGATATATTTTCTCATAATAGTCAATTAAATTAATAATACTGGTGAACTGTCTGCCTCCCAATCTGTCTCTACTGCATCTATCTATTCTATACTTGTAATTAAATAAATAAATTGTTATTATTATAATTATAGGTAAATAAACGTTACAAAATCATATATAATAGATAGAGGGCCCAATGTTTTTGGGCTCCAAATCCATTTTGTTCATTTACTTGGAGCATATACTCATGGGCTTTTAGTAAGAATAGAGTGAGTACTTTAGAAATAAAGGTATAATCCAAGTGGCTGTAGGAGGTTCTATTTCCATCTGTCTATTAAATTTTAATTAAATTAATTTATATTTATTAAAAATATTTGAAATCAATAAATTTACTAAAAATAAAAAATCTATCTTTTATAAAAAAAAATTTGTGAAGAGAACAATTTTTTAAGCTTTTGCTAAAATCATATTTCTTTTTATGCTTTTATACTATTTACTTATTTTAATTTTATAGTAAAATATTATTATTTTTTAATTTTCGTAATCAAATCGAATTGCATATTTATATTAAAAAATAATATTTTATTGATTAGTAACTTGTGCAGAATAAATTTAGCTGTAAAAATACCTTAAATAAAATAAAATCTATATACCATTTCTAGGTCCATCGAGAATTCTGCCGCCACCACAGCCACGACGTCATCGTCCCGTTAAATTCCAGCTGATTTTCGAGAGAATCACGATCCGACGAGCCCTTTGTATTTAGCATACGACATTATGAACACAAACACGACTAAACACATAATGCCGGTCAATATAACCACCTACATTGTAATTATTGGATCAGAGATAATGAATATTGAAAAAAAAAAAAAGATAGCTATAGAGTCAAATATGGATATCGATACTGACCCATTTGAACACGTATCCGTGGCCATCGTTCCATGTGTACGGGATGTTCATACCAAAGATACCGGCTACTAAAGAATATAGGGCAAGGCACATGGTTCCGGCGCTGAGAAATAGCTCGAGCTGTAGAGAGGATTAATTTTTTAGAAACAATGAATGCTAAAATGAGTTCAGATTAGTCAGGAGACGAACCTGAATGAGCTGGTTTCGATGGTTGTCGAGCTGCAACAAGAAATGTGATGCAACGGTTTAGGTTTGCAACAAAATGCGGCATAGAATTGAACAAAATATGTGTTAATATGATAATCTCACCTGGATATTTATATAATCTTCGGTGTTGTCAATGTACTCGCGAAGCTGTTGAAAAAGACAAGCTGTTAAATATATGATTCAAAAAGAAATAATAATAATAATAATCATCGCGCAAATGCAAGAGATGCTATGTCGTAATGAGAAGTATTCGACAAATGGTTTTTCAACGGAAAGCACCGTCATAATTTAAGAAACACAAATTAGGCGCGCATTGAGATATTTTTGTCCCATATCATTTCTGCATAATACTCCCTCCATCTACCTAAATAGACACGCTTATCATTTAGGGTTGTCGTACCTAAATGATATATTTTCATTTATAATCTATATGGTCAACATCCAATTATCAATTTACACGTACATTTACCTCTATTTACCTCAACAGATACACTTACTATTTAAAGTTGTCCTACCTAAAAGGAACATTTTTATTTATAATCTATGTCGACTCCACCCAATTTACTCCACTCTTACCTCTATTTACTATAATATCATCAGTCATTGTTATCAAACCTAAAGGTATTAGTTTTATTGACTTTTTTTCCTTAATAATATTCAGTCTGTTCATTCGGCAATTCTCAATAGAACAATTCTTCATAAATATTATTAAAAAATACAAATATACACACATATTAATACCATATATATATCATCATCTCATAAAATAAAACTACTCAACACAAAATATTAAAACGCTGAGTGAACAGACTGATTGTTATTTTTTTTTAATCTACTATAAATTTCTTTCAAAACTATTCAGGTGAGACAAATGTGGATGTAGTATACTTTAGCTTGAAATACCTATGGAGGATGCAAACAAGACAAGATAAGAACAAAAGAATTTCAACTTCGCAATGGTTCTAATGCTTAAAATAAGTAACTATTCCTTGTTAAACTACAAGGAAAGTTAGAAAGTTGTGAAAATTCAACAAATGGTTTATTCTTAACCTTTCTACAAGTAACTTTACTCTTAATTTGAAGAAGATTTTAAAAATTGGCAGTATTAAAAGCACATTTTAACAGCTAGCATACCGTGGTTAATTTGTTATACGTGCCATCGATTTGCATAAAGTAGGCCTGCACATGAATACAAGGATGTTATAATTTTATTATTTTCTTAATTCTAACTTTTCTAGAGCTCAATCATCAGAAATTATATTCAGTAATACCTCAAGTAACATTTCAAGTTCCTCGACATCATTCTCATCCCCGCGAACTGTTAGAACACTTGCTCTACTGGCCCGAGATATCTTAGAACCAATGGTGGGTGACGCAAGGTGCCAACTGGCAGCACCAGTGCTACTCACAGGCGATGCACTGACTAATTTTCTGGATAAATAAAGGTCTGCCATATCATCGTCATCATCCAATAGTTGTTCCAGTTCATCCCTGACCTTAATACAACAAAAATTACAATGCCATAATCAGTAAAGATTGACGTCTCATCCACTGTTATGACTTAGGGTTATCGAAGAAAGAATTTATTTGAATCAAAAGAAATAGAGTACCATAGAAGAAAACCAATTCGCTCCGTAACCAAAACCAAAATAATGACTGCCTCCCCTAACATGACCCAGATGCGCCCTACTTATAGGCGGATATATGGGCCAAGCCCAAGACTCATAGTCAACAATTAAACAGTAAATAAAATAATAAGAGAAATAATAAATAATAAAATAATAATTATCCTAGGTGACTACGGTGCTTCTCCCTCGTCTAATATAGACCTTCACTTTACCCAACTTCATAACAACTCCATCCCTCTTGAAAACCGCCTTGTCCTCAAGGCGGAAGACAAGAAACTGGAAGCGCAATTCCTCTTCATCAACCTAAGTCGAATCCTTGTACATTAGTCCGCGCCAATGTATCAAAACCTGAGGAATGAGCTTGTCCCCTCTACCACCATGTGCTCGAGCTCCGTGGATCTGATCTCATCTTCTGTCCACCCTTCGACCTCGTCCATCTCTTTGAGCTCGGCCACTCAATTCGTATCTGGGTCCACCACACAAGTTCGAAGGGACTTGCTCGCACACTTATGCAATGGTGTATAAAGCTCCTTACAGCAGTAACAAAGTTGCTTAGACATTCACAATACTCTTCATGACTCAGTTTCTGGAGAGTTTCCGGAAGAGAACTCACACGGAGGACTGGTCCGAAGCCACAAGATATCCGCCAGTGGAGCTGATGTCCGTGCCTGGTGTACTGCTCCCGATGCTATTCTCAAGACTAGAGGGACCTACCGGAGGTCTAATTTGCACTCCACTGCTAAGGCGCAAACTCGCAAATTGACCAGGCAGTTGTCCAGGCTGTTGATATGTCGTGGTAGAACCAGCATTGAATACCCACTTAATGCTACGGCTGATTTGGATAGTTGAGTCCAAATCTCTGGGGTCTAGTGTCCTCAGACGATTGCGGATGTTCTGTTGCAATCCCCCCTGAAGTATCCGAGGTAATGCTCATCCGTTAAGCCTAGCACCTGTGTCGCCAGTTGGATGAACTCGTTGATATACTGATCAACTACCTCTTTTTGCTACTCGTAGGGGCTCCCTACGTAACAATCATCAAAACGAAGTACTAGGGCTCTGGAAAACTCCGTTGCTCAACGCGAGCAACCTAACCAATAGGCTCTATCCCGTCAAACGGTGGTAGTCTGATTTCTGAGAGGAGCAGGGTGGCAAGCTATGGGTGGCGACGCTGAGGGTGCCGGGAATTGAGTCGGTGGCTAACCCACTGACGCAACCGTGTCAGCGGCGGCGTTGACGCCGCCGACCGCCGCCTTGATTGCTGCGAGCAACTCCTGCCGCAACGAAACCATCTGTTCTGTTCTCCCAAAGTCTCGAACTTGGCGGAAAGATCCTAACGGATCTGGTTTACCTCCTCATGTATTTCTCCAACGGTTGCTTCCAATAGCTCGAATCGTTGTTGATTGGAGATGGACATAATTCCGTCAGCAGAGGATCCGGCGGGTCGGACCAATGTTATAACTTAGGATTGTCGAAGAGATAATTTATTCGAATCAAATGAAATAGTGTATCACAGAGGAAAACCAATTCGCTCTGTAACCAAAACCAAAATAATGACATGTCTCCCCTAGCATGATCTAGATGCGCCCTATATATAGGCGGACATATGGGCCAAGCCCAAGACTCACCTAGATGCGCCCTATATATAGGCGGACTTATGGGCCAAGCCCAAGACTCATAATCAACAATTAAACGGTAAATAAAATAATAAGAGAAATAATAAATAATAAAATAATAAGTATCTAAGTGACTACGGTTCTTCTCCCTCTTCTAATATAGATCTTGACTTTACCCAACTCCATAACATCCACACGATTGTTATCTTTTCAGTTTCTAAAATATCAAGCTAAATTAACAATCATCAATACCCGGCAGTTTGAGATCCATGAAGCAAAGCACAGATGGTGGCAAAAGGAGACATTGTACAACATTCTTGAAAATATTTAATGTATAGGCTATTTTCCAACCATATAATGAGGTTTAGTATCCGAGTGTTCTTCTATATTTTTTTAAATTCAAGTGCAGCAGGCACGAGGCATAGAGAGCAAATTATAGTCACCACAACCTCATCTAGAAAAATATAATCTTAGAGACCCTGTCAAACTGTATCACACAGTTCTAGCAGCGAAAGCAAAAGGTAGGCGATTGGTAGTAGTGTAGATCAGAATTTCTAGAGCTGGAGTTCAACAAAACAGAGAAGGGGTATCACGATTCACGATCACTTTATAAAAATAGGCATCGACATAGTGGTAAATGGCACACAGTGCAGCATGGAGCAAGGCCTTTGTCATGGCATGCATCATAAATATCAAATGTATAATTAAAACCAAATAGATACATGTACAATCATATCTATATGCATTGTGATATACCCCCACAAGATGTGTGAATATTGTAATGTTCCTTTGAATTTTTAACTTACATTGTGATGAGAAAGTCAAATTCATGGGACTTAATGAACTACTGCTGTTGATTAGTAAGAGGTATTTTTTTTTTGGAGAAAACATAACTCCACAAGGACCACAACTAATTATTATTTAAAAAGATGCTTTTATGCTTAACTTAAAAAGTACGAACAATTTTTTAATGACAATGTTAAGTACTTATGACTGGAAAGGGTGCTCCAACGTTAAGCTTAGAACAGTTTTTTAAATAAATAAAAAGTAAAATAAAAGTGTGCAAACACTCTACAAATGCTTTCAATTTTTAGTAGAACCACAAATTTGATTTTATTTTCTCAGTCTGCACACACTTCTAAGAATCTAGTTACTGGTTCTATAGTTTGGAATATGATAAACAAGGAAAGAAAATTACAAAAGGAAAAGGGATTAGTTTGTCTATTATATAAAAACAGACTACATTCATCTTTCATTCAAAGCCATTATAAAGAATAATACTTTAGTTTGTCGAGCATTATTGGAAGATCGTTTTAATTTCAATTCACATTCATGTTGATTCCAATGCCCAATAACAGTTGTAGGTTGTAACACAAATAAGAATATCATAGGGAGATTACAGTGTAGTAGGTGATGTTTCTATCATTTGAACAATAAGCATAGAATGTGTTACAGGTTTCATATCCGAATGGTAATTAACAACCAAGAACACTGACAATTTTTAATTCAAGTGATTAAGCTAAAGCACAAAAAGATCATTATGAATGACCCCATTTATCTGAGAGGCAACACATCACTAAAGCAAGCATATCTCAACATTAAACAACAGAAAAGGTAGAGCGCAGAAGTCTCAGAACCAAAACAAACCTTGAAAAGAACTTCATATCAAATTACTTTGCACTTATTATAAAGGAGTGATACCTTTTGTACACGAGCAGTTAGCCTAGTCATCTGACTCTTTAACTTCCGTACGCGATCCAAGTTACGACTACTAATCTGAAATTGCATTGGTTCAAGAAAACACAATTATATAATGATTGACTTTGTCAATGTCCATAGAGAGAGAGAAAGAGATCATGAAATTTTGTGTTCAAAAGAGGTGCATTAACATGCTATTAATTGTAATAACATTACAAATATTTACAAAGTATGCAAACGTTCTCAAAGGAAGAAATAGATTTAAATAAAAATAATTGACATGTGACTAGGAACACTTAAAAGCTTATGAGCCTAGATTTGATTACCTAAAAATTCTTTATCTTTATGAACCTTGATTTGATTAATTAACACTTACTAATGTATGTATAAACATATCAATAATGGGAATCAATATTTTAGTGATGATTAATATCAAATTATGGACAAAAATAAATAAAGACAATCCACCATTTGATGAGAAAAGAAATCAAGCCTAACAAATCAAGTTCCATAAAACATCTACAGGTTTGGAACTGATATAGATGAACAAGAACTATAAAAAGACCACGAAACAAAGAAGTTCAAAAAAATTAGTTCTACTAAATGCAATGAACCTTGTTATTTTATGGTATTAAACTTGATGTGTTTGCCTCAACATATCATATTGATAAATCATTAAAAGAAATATACCTTTGACGTAAGCATATCTAAAGCTGGATAAACAGCAGACTCCAATTCTATTGTGCGGGCAGAAAGGTAACTACAAATGGCTTCCAGTGCTACCTCAAGGGCACGGAACTCAAATGGAGAATCTGCAATCCATACAAACAGGTGCATTAATAAATAAAAATTTAAATATTTGCAGCTAAGAAAATGAAAAAGTGTTTAAGAAATACCATCTTCTTCGCCATTTTCAACATCAGGTTGCATAGGCATATCCGTGCCATCGGTATTGCCATCTGCATTGTCTTCCTGATTGGTAATGGCAGGTTTCAATCTCCTTCGGAGATCTTCCACAATGGGAACAACATTATCGTCTGATGGATCACGAAGCAATACCTAATGAATTACATTTTTATCAATGTCTGCATGTAAGGTGGTTCAAAAAATTTTAGACTTAACGTGTCGGTAAAAATGGTTAGTTTCTATTTGTATTCTCCCCGCCAGCAAATCACCATCCTAATCATCCCAAGTAATATAGACAAGTTCACAGAGAAAAAGTATATATTTAATGAGCTCATCCTTTCCATCTTCTAGAATATAAGATCACATGAATAGATGTTGACATTTATATTAACCATTCTGAATAATCTAATAACAACAACTCTTAGCACTAACATCAATTTAAACTCTCAAACCTCAACATAACATTAAATTCAACATTTTTTTTCTTTACTGTATTTCTGGTTTATTTAGCTCACACAGAATATGAATTTCAGTTGATTCATTAAGTTCAACACAATCACAGAACAACCTAGATTCATAAAGCTAAAAAAGTTAAATATAAAGAATGCAAAAGAGAAGTAGCCCATCTGAGATGAAAACACCCACCTCCTCCGATGTGATGATAGCCTTGATATGCTGCATTGCACCATAAAAAAAAAAAAAAAAAAAAAAAAAAAAAAAAAAGTGTTAACTCATGAATACATACACACTAAAACTAACACGCCAATACATATGGACTCAACTTCATCAATGCTCGTACAGCCAAGGGATTAGAATCAATAAAAACACTTCAGACAAAATTCCCCAAATGAATCCATACTTTATTCCACATGCAAATATATAGAGAATATAACCACAGCAAAAAAAATAAAATTTCAACAGCTTGCAACACTGCAAAATCATCCATGGCTTTGGGCAACTTTATGCACTGAATTTGAAAACTAAAATTGGTGGACCTTGACAAACCTAAAAATCAGAAACCTAACCAACTTCAAATAAATAAATAAATATATAAAAGAAAACCATAACCGAAAACCTTCGTACCTCTAAATTGAGAACAATGGCTCTCTCACGGCCGAGGATTGCAGAGGGATAAGACAAGAGAGGATCGAGAATGCGAAGATCACGAGCGTGTATCTGCACGCGGTGCATGATTGCGTACTTATCTACATCGAGTACGATTTCCTGGCCGGATGAATCGATCAAAATCCAACTTCTGGAACCCGTCCCCTTCTTCTTCAACCCTCCAACGGCATTCGGAGTGTCCATAGGCACCACGGACGCGCCTTCTCTATCCGCCATCGTCAATCAAATGAAAAATTCCTCGCAGTACTGTCGCTACTGTCAATTCGCCGTTCTGGAAGAGAGAATTTGCGATGTGTAGATTCAGTCTGGAAGAGGAATAGGCTGTCTTTCTACTTGCATCCTCAGCAGGTGTCTCTGTGTATTTGCAGAATGAAATTGAACCATCACTTCGTCCCCGAGTTGAAACCCTAGGCGAGAACAAAATAGTTAGTTTCTTTATCAGTCGAACTAACTGCCGAGGTTCACAATTAAACGACGGTTGCGTCCGCTTATAGAACTCGTCAAATAATCCCTGCTACCGGTTGTCCAAAAAACCTTAAACAATAAAATAAAATAAAATAAAAATAAATTTGAGTTTATTTAATTATATGATAAATTATATTAATTTGAATTTAAAATGATAAATAAACAAACTAACAATTCAACATAGTTATACCATTACTCATGTAATTATATTATGTTTAGATATTTTTTTTTTTTTTAAAAAAAAAGATTATTTTAAATAATAAATAAATATTTGATTGTGTTCATAGATTGTAGAACTAAACAAAATCCGGACAAACAAAGATTAAACATAAAATACTACTATATATTTGTTGGTTAACTGTATAATAAATAAGTTGTGTTCTCTTGTGACTTTTAATACAAATTTTTATTAGATTTATTTATTTTTTAAAAAAATATTAAATCAAATAATTATTTTTTTTATATTGTACTACAAATTTATTTTATACTCAAAACATCACGTCAAACAATTATTCAAAAAAATTAAACTTAAAAAAAAATTTACAAAAAGACAATAAATATTACTGGCCAAAGCCATATTTATTTAATATTCCCTTTGTTGTGTCCACTTTCCATAGTCACTTTCTTCTTCTGGAAAACAATATACAATTTAATCAAATTTAAAATTTTTAATTTATATATTTTTTAAATTTTAATTAAAGTAATTAATTATTTTAATTTAAATATAAGATTATTTTTATTATACGAATTCTATTTTTAAATTTCCGTGTAAACAGCAAAAAGAGGCATTGTAGCCAAAACAATATACAATTTAATCAAATTTAAATTTATAATTTTCTAAATTTTAATTAAACTAATTAATTATCTTAATTTTAATATAAATTATTTTATATTACATATAAATATTAGATATAACCTGTTCAGTGTTAAGTTGTATGAATTTGAATTTAAAAGTAGATTTTAAATAAATAAATTTAAATTAATCCTGATTTGATTCCTCCAATTAAACAGGCCAAAATTATTTATAACTTTACATAAATTATTTGAACATTCTTCTGGCAACAACCAATGCATCACTTTGAATGATACACAATCGAAATATTTTCACCTCCAATAATACTATCATTTTTTTATATTAATTATTGAAATAAGTTTAAGCTAAATTTCAGGGACAAATTCTTGTCGATACCTCTTTATAGACTTGACGACTTCAATGGTGAAAGATTCATCTTCGGGATAGTAAGCCACCGGATCCGACAACAAAGGTACCGGCAAGCCGGCCGAGCCTTCCAGCGTTGCGTGCAGACAGTACGCCGAATAAGTTATTTGATATCCGCCTTCTTGGACGACCAGCATGCGCCCGTTGCAATGCTTTTTCGCCATTTCGCGAACCATCCGCCCGATGTTCCTGTACCCCTCCATTGTCAAGCATTGCCGCCCGTTCGGATCAAACTGCCAGCATCACGAAAAAAGTACAAAATTATGTGTTGTCAGTTCATATTTGTAGATCGCTATATAAATATATTTTTTGCGCTAAAATCAACAATAGCATATCTTGTGTGATATAGTGTCAGTTTATATATGCTCAGTTTGTATTATGCTAATATAGATCGTATATTGTCTATGTCGCATGTTCTCAGTCATTACATGCAATATTGTCGGCACTTAATTGAAATATAAAATTCGGCATGGTAACTGCTACTAAATCAAAAATAATGTAGTGCATATATTTTGGAAGAATCTGGCGGCGGCTGCAGTGCGGAATTAATTCAGCACTATGCTGACAACACACGGTATTACTACCGACACCACATATTGTTATACAACACACTTATAATTAAGAATCGACAACACAAACTAACAACATATGCTATAATGTTATACAACACAAATAATAGTTGATTTCAACACACCGTATACTATTATATAACACACTTATAATTATGAATCAATACCACCTGTCTTTGTATATATCAAGGGTGCTGATTTTTCCAATTTAACAAATAAAAAATAATGAAAATTTATAGAACTATAAGGATCAAGAGATGGGCCGAATCAAACTTACAGCGCTAGAATCTTGACCGATTACCAAAACAATCATCTCCGGTTGGAATTTCTCAACAGCGGGAACCACAAGCTCGAGCATTGCATACGAATACCCTCGATCCCCCGACCCATTGGGCAAAGGTATATTGAAATTATACCCAAGGCCTTCACCTTCACCGAGCTCATCGACTGCGCCGGTCTGCGGGTGCGAAGGGCCCCACGACCCGTGGTTCATATGAAGGGAAATAGTCAAAACTCTATTAGATCGATAAAACCCCTCAGCAGTCCCGTTCCCATAATGCACATCGATGTCGATCACCGCCACTTTGCTACAACCCGAACTTAGAGCCGATGCCACGGCAAGGCCGGCATTGTTTAGAAAGCAATATCCATCAGCTTGAGTGGGCTGGGCATGGTGGCCGGGCGGTCGAACCAGGGCGTATGCTAACTTTCCATGTCCTTCGAGAATGTGCCGCATTGCCGATATAGATGTCCCGGCAGCAAGAAGGGCGGCGCGCCATGATCCCGGGTTTAAGAATGTTCCGGAACATAGGATCTTGCCTTGGCTGCCTTTGTCTGCTTCAATCAGCTTATCGATGTACTCTGAAGCTCAGAAATGCAGATATCAGTTGGCCTGAAAAAGCTAATCACAGTTTGCTCTGATTATCTTCCTCCCAATTAAATCATGTTTTTTTAGGGTTTATGATTGCTCCGAAAACATTGGTGTGCATCAAGTAGCTACTTGTATGTAGAAATTAAATTCCCCCAAAATTTCCTAACATTTTAGGGCACAAATTTTCCAGATTAACATTCATAATTCTGCTAATTCAGCAAACGTAAGATTCAATTGAGGCTTGCTGCATAAATTCCTCGACTGCAATCACGCCATGAGTATCTTCGATTAGAGTAAAACTCCGCTAATCCGAAACCCTAATTTTTGCAACAGAATGTACCTTGCGTGTGGAAAGTGAGCAATTCGGTGATGAGCGCAGGCCTTCCTTGGTGCCACGATACGAGAGGCGCAATTGGACCTCTTTTCAGTACAGACACCATATTCCTGACGCGGTTCGAGTTCTCCGGGTGGTTCTCCAGGACGTCGAGAAAACCAGGGTCCATACCCGAGTCGAAGACGCCCCGACCCGTGTCGTGCTCGAGCATTCCTTCGTGCCAGAAAACGTGTATGCGATCATGATCCGAATCCGAAAGAGAAGCTGCCGCCGCCTCGCCGGAAGAAACCGCCATGGCTGATGATGATGAACAGAGGGAGGAAAGAAACCACTGGAGCCCTGAACGACTGTGCGTATATTTGATTTGAATAGGAAAACCGACAAGGTGAAGTGGGATTTGGATTTTAACTATATATATATTAATAAAATTATTACGCTATAATATTTTTATATCGTAGATTTTATTTATTTATTCTCCTTTTCTTTCTTCTTCAGTTATTCTCCTAGATTTTGGTTTTTCTTTATATTATTATTATTATTTTACTGTTTGCTTTTACTTCCTTCCCCTCTTCTCTCTTTCTTCTATAATTTATTTTATTTTATTCTTTTACTTCTATGTTTACTTCTTTATTCTTTTCTTCTTCTTGCGTTATTTATTATATTTTTACTTTACTGTTATTTGTGTTTCTTCATCTTGTTTATATTGTCATCTCATTCTCTCTTATTTTTCTTTTTATTTTTCTTTTTCTTTTTAATTTATTTTTTCATCTTCTTCCTCTCTTCTTCTGCTAAATATAAAATTAATATTTATATTAAAAATATCTCAACAATTTTTTTCTCTCTCTCTTTCTTGTTCTTTTATCTTTTTCTTTCTTCTCGTTTTTTGTTTTTGATATATTGTTATTTTATTCTCTTTTTTTTTTTCTTACTAATTTTTTTTTCATCTTTTTCCTCTCTCTTTCTACTAAATATAAAATTAAATATTTTAAATATCTCAACAATCTTCTTCTTTCTTTCTTGTTCCTTATCTTTTTTCTTTGTTTTTTATATACTATCATTTCATTTTCTCTTTTTTCTTCTAATTTAATTTTTCATCTTCTTCCTCTCTTTTTCTATTAAATCTAAAACTAAATATCTAAAATATCTCAACAATCTTCTCCTTTTTTTTTTTTTTTGTTTCTTATCTTTTTTTCTTCTTCTAGCTTGTTGTCTTTGATATATTGCATCTCATTTTTTTTTTCTTCTTCTAATTTATTTTTCCATCTTCTTCCTCTCTTCTTCTACTAAATCTAAAACTAAATATCTCAAATGTTTCAACAATATTTTTCTCTCTTTCTTGTTATTTGATATTTTTTCTTCTTCTTGTTTCTTTTTTTTTTTATCTTTTATATTCCTCTTATTATCCTAATGTCTTGTTTCTCCATCTTTTTCTTTTTTACATTCTTTTTTTCTTCGTGTATTGTTTATTTTATTTTTATTCTACTTCTACTGATTCTCATAGATGATGTTTATTCTTTTTTTCCACCTTTTCTCTCTCTTGTTTCCTTTTTCTTCTCTTTCTCCTTTCTTCTTTTTTTTTTTTTTCTAGTTTATTTTTGCATCCTCTTCCTCTCTTCTTCTTCGTCCTCCTAGATCTTTTTCTTCTTCTTTTTGTTTTCGTTTCTTGTTTTTCTATTTTTTTCTTCTCGTTCTTGTTTCTTATTTCTCGATCTTTTATCTTCTTTATTTTCTTCGTCTCGTTTTTTCCTCAATCTTCCTCTTTGTTTTTTCTCTTCTTTCTCATTTTTCTATTCTTTAATTTGTGATCCATTTTCATATCCGCGTACATTTTCGTCTTTGCTTTTTAAACTTTCGGATTCTTATTGTTATGATTATTAAAAATATCATTTATTTTATTATATATAATAATTATTATATTCCAATATTAATTTACTACAATTTATTTTTTTATATGTTAATTACTCTTTTTTTTTTAAATAATAATAATAATTATATAAAATAATAAATTTGTTGATTTGGCGAAAAGAAAAATATAAGAACTTTGACAAATAGTTATGCAATATGAGTAAAAAATGAGCGTGACATGACGTGGAGAAAAGGAAACACAAAATTGGTTCTACATTGTATACAGTCATAGAACTTTAATTATATATAAAAAAATAAATTAAAAAGAAAATAGAGTTTTATTTGGCAGTTGAACTTGTTCTTTTGGTTTGAGAAAGCTGCAACAGAGATAAGTGGAAAAGGCGCCACTAGTCGGACGCAACGGAGGACTTGCTCTAGCGAAATTGATGTGCAGCAAGGGATGACTTGGTGATGTAGGGGTTGAACTTACAGTCACAAGTTCAACCCCCGACGCCTCATGTCACCTGTCACGCATGGTTCGCTTAGTGTAATTTTTCCGTAGGATCAGATCTGACTGCGGATTCTCACGTCATCAAAAAAAAAAAAAAATTGATAACGCAATCTCCACTGGAAAACCCTTGTCATCGACGGACATTCTTCTCTATTGCAGTTTTTCCAAACCAAAAGTGCAATCTTATCTGTCAAATAAAACTTAATTTCCTTTGTTACTTTTATAAAATTTTATAGTTAATATTTCGAGTCTTTCTTATAATTTTTAATTAAATTATAAATATACATATACATATATTTAGGGTGTGTTTGTTTGGGGGATTGGATTGGATTTAGACTGTTCATCCAATTTTTTCTCCCCAAAAACATCAAATCAAACACATATTATTCATTTTTTATATTATACTAAAAATCAATTTTACATTCAAAACATCACATCAACACCTATTTATATCACATCATACAACTATTCAAATTCAAAATTTTTACTATTCAAATTCCAACTCAAAATCCAATCCCCCAAACAAACACACCTAGTTGACTAATAAAATGATATATTTGGGTCTATTTCTTTACCAAAAATTGCAAGGGGTGTGTTTGTTTGTAGGTTTTAGTTTTTTTATTTGGATTTTTCAGTAGTAAAAAATTGAATTTGAATAGTTGTTTGATGTGATATAAATAAAAGTTGAAGTTATATATTAAATGTAAAATAATTTGTAGTATAATATTAAAAAAAATTGTTTAATATGATATTTTTCAATGGGAAAAAATAATTCGGTAAAACCCACAAAAGAATACAACTTAGGTTTTTATTATTTGGATTCTAGAGTTTTTCATTATTGATTTATGTAAGTGAGCAAGAGGCTTTAATATTTTTGTCTTTTATTTTATATATAAATTAATGATATGTTTATAATTTAGTTAAAAGTCAAAGGTATTTTGGTATTAGTATATGATTAGTTTTATTAAAATAAGAAAGTAATATTTTTTTAGTAGGATGAACAAAAATATCAAGTACTTTGAGTTGGAACGAAAAAAATATTTTTTCGAAAAATATAGAATTTAAATAGTAAAAATTGAAAGTTTAGAGAGAAAAAAAAAAACATACATATTGAGAAATATCATATTTTATTAAAAGATAATCTATTTGATATATTATTAAAAAAAAATATATTGTTGAAAATAATATGAAAATTTATAAATTTTTCTCGTTTACACGATTTTACCAATATTTTATTATTTATTAAAATTTCTCCCTAAAAAAATATCAAATCAATAACTTATTTTATTTTTTATGTTAAACTAAAAATTAATTTTAAATTTAAATCACCACATCAATACTTATTTATATTACTTTCGTACAACTGTTACAGTTCAAAATTTTTACTATTTAAATTTTAAATAAAAATTCAAACTTCAAACAAACACACTTTTAGTAAATAAAGCTGAATATTTGATACTCCATCCGACTGGCGACAAAATATACATTTATTATAAATAATACTGCAATTTCTGTCCGTCCCATATTTCGTGTCATTTTCCTTTTTTGGAAAATGATTACACACTTAATTTCATTTTAAACTTTTTATTTTTTTAAAAAATTTAATTAAACTAATTAGTTATCTTAATCTTAATTTATAATTATTTATATTATGGGATAATTATTTTCACTAATATATTCTTAATTATCTACTAATTACACCCCTCCTAAAATACTGTATCTACAGTGTAGCAGACATGGTACATGGGACGGAGGGAGTAATATCTTAATTGTTGTGGATAGCTAAAAGTAGTGTGAAGATAAATTTATCTTACATTTTTTGTATAAAGGTTATGATAAAGTATGAGTATTTATAGTGACAAAGAGAGCATTTAATGAAATAATTATTTTGTAATTAGACAAACAAGATAAAAAGATATATATACTTTGTGGTTGTACAAATGAAGTATTAATGTATTTTTTAAAATATATATATATTAAAATATAACAAAATATACAAAAATAACTCATTATAAATTACAATAATTAATTTCTTATTTAAAAATTTTGATCAAATTTGCTTACATGCAAATTAAAATTAATTATTTTTTATGTCATAATAGTTGATATGGATTGAAAACAATCGTATTGATTTGAACACAATTATATTAGATGACTAAAAATTGACTAAAACAATAGTATAAGTTATGTTAGTAGGTAAAAAATATGGGTAATTTTTTTTTTTTTTTTTTTTATACGCTTGTGAGTGTATTAGTGTAAAAAGTAGTGACATTTAAGTAATAATAACAAAAAAGTAGAGATAGTTTTATAGTGATATAATTATTTATGTAAATGTGACTATTATTTTAGGACGGACAAAATGATAAACAAGAGACAAAAAAATTAGTAAAATTCGGAATAAAATTTCACAATCAAACACATCTCAAGTAATTTACAATTTTTTTTTTATAACTACTACTTGTAAAATAATTTAATTTTTATTTCTTCAATAAACTAATTATCACACCTGCATACATTTATGTACATACATCTATCTATCTCAACTATGTACTTGTGTGTGACATAGAACATATGCATGTGCATAAAAGAGTTTGTCTGTGTCCTAAGTGCATTTTGAGATTGAACACGGACGTGTTCATAGTAAACACACCCGTGTTTAATTTGCCCGTGATGGAAAACAATTTAAGGTCAAACACGGCCGTGTTTTATGTAATACAACCGTGTTCGATTTAATTTGGCTGCCACATCAACTTTTGTTACAGTCACGTCAGGACGATCCGTTAAAATTTTAATGGCAGGACTAAAAATGATATTTTATATTTTGTATGGAACAAATTTTGATAATATTTTTTAATGAAAATTTAAGATGAATATAATTAGTAAATACCGTGTCTTTTTTATCGTAGACATGAGAATTTAAAAGAAATATAATTAGTAAATAATTAAAAATGTATTAGTAAAAATAATTATTGTATAATAAAAATAATTTTAGATTAAAATTAAGATAACTAATTAGTATAATTAAAATTAAAAAATTATAAATTAAAATTTTTAAAATAAAATTAAAGTGTATAATTAATTTTCAAAAAATGAAAATGATAAAATAAGTGGGATGGACGGAAATGAAAAGATGGACACGATCTAATGAACTTTTTATATTGGGTTTAAATATATATATATATATATTCTTCAATTTTTATTAGATTAGAAATTTGTGTTTGTTTGGCACAATTCCTCCCAAACCTCTTATTCATTTACTGTTGAAGGCTATTTTGGCGCGAGGCAGATCTAGGCAGACAAAGTCTGCAATGTAGTTTCGTAGGTGTTGACTATACGTATATCTCTCTCCTCCACTATTTCATCTTTCCTTCGTTACTATGCTTTTTCTCCCTCCTCCGTTATTTCTCATCTTCACTGCGTGCTTTTTATTTTCCTCCTAAATTTTCTTCACCCCATTCGTCACAGAGGATCGTGGGATTTTAGCGATTTTGTCGGCGAGTGAAACAGAGGATCGCCGCAAAAAAGTTCAGGGGACGCACGTTGACAGGGGATAGGGTTTCCGGCGGTTGAGTGCAAAGAGGTAAAGAAAACCGAACTACATTTCAATTTGGGATTTAATTGATTAGTCGATTTCGTAAATTCGTGCAATTTTTGATAAATCTGTGATAGGACCATCCTACACACCAATTTGGCGTTGTCTCGCTAAGGGTTTCATATGGGAGCTAGAAGAATATGGATAGTTGTGAACGGCCGTACATTTAGGTCCGTTTTTCTGCTTCAATTTCTACGGGAAGCAATCACTTATATGGAACGAGTACGGCTGTACTTGATTAATTCTATTATGTTTTTTATTTTTATTTTTATGCTACGTGAAGCACACAACAAACAACAATCGACCACCGCCGTGCAAATGTGACTGCATTTCTCTGTCCGGTGCATCTAGTGTTGTTTTCGAACAACCACATACTCATGCATAGCCGTGCACAAGCTTGTTCTTGAGTGTATAGTTGTAAGTAAGACTTAGAAGTAGATCCGAAATTCTATTTTTATTTTTTTAGTTACAGATGAAAAAAATATTAATAAAAGAGAAAAAAATTAACTATTCACATATATTCCATTACTTTTATATTTAATACTATAACTTATTTTCAATTAAATTAAAAATCTTATCACTTCAATCATCACCTATCAAATCATTATTCAATAAAACTCCCCAAACCTCAACAAAATCTACTATACCAAAAGAAATGCAAATTTTCAAAACTTCTAAAAAAAATTCAAATCCAAACCAAACTCAAACGCAAACTTCCCAAATCCGTCGTAAAGAAACAAACACGGTGTTTAAGAACTTGATTCGAAGTATACCCATTTCAGTAGCCCTTAATTGTTACGTTTAAATTTTTGGGCCATAATCCAACTGGGTTAATGAATTATGGGCCTTATAGAATAATATTGGAGCTATAGGCTCATAAAGAACAACAATTTGGCCCATTTAAAATTTTCCTGGCCCAAACAAAAACAAAAACAGAGAATTCATTAAAATTGAGACACTTAGAAATTTAAGAAAACGGAGTAGTAGTTATTTTTTTAAAAAAATAATTAAAGAACATTTTTAGTTAGAACTATACATATATATTCCTAAAATTGATTAATTTTAATTTGAATAAAATCAATATTTATAGAAAGAAATTTAAAATTAATAAAATTTTAATAGGATCAAAATTGTTGTTGTAAATGCGACAGTTTTTTTTTTTTTTTTTTTTTTTTTTTTTTTTTTTTACTATTAAAATAAAAAGGAAGATCTTAACTATAAAAGGGAATACAGTTTTATTTGGTAGCTGAGCTTTGTACAGTTGTTATTTTTGGTTTTGAAAAACTGCAATGGAGAGGAGCGGCGGAGGCGACGGCGACGCGCGCAACTGGTCGGAGGCGGTGGAGGACTTGCTCGACGCAGGCGAAGTTGATAACGCTGTCTCTCTTCTCAAGTCAACTATAGCCAATCTGGAAAACGAATTGAAAGAAGAAAAAGTCTCGGGGACTGAAATCAATGGAAAACCCTTGTCGTCGACATCTGATCAACTGTCGACGGCGCTTCACGACTTGGCAAAGCTCTATTCATCTATAGGATTTTCTCTCGAAGCCGATAAACTTCGTTCCCGCGCTGATCAAATTAAACACGGAAAGGGGTAATTCTGGAGATTTTTGCACATATATATATATATTCGTCTTTAAGAAATTTGTTTGCTATAGGAATTGAGTCGATCATATTCTAATGTATCTTGCAAGCTAGAGAATGTCCTGGCACTGCTTTTTGATTTCTAGTAAGATTTGTAGAACTTCTGTAGAATTGGACTTAATTTCCCCGCTTTTAGAATAATCTTGCAATTTATTTCTTGTATTTGAGATCCTTAAACAAGAGAAGGAGAACGAGAAGGAGGGACGATTTTTTTGAAACTTGTTATGCGTTTTTTAAGTCTCTCTGATTCTTGAAGGTTTGTATTGGCACAGTGAAACTGATTTCTGGATTGCTGCTGTTATACAGGAAAGATTTATCACTGGAAAAGGAATCAAGTTTCAACTATTATTCCAAGGGTCGGGTTCCACAATACGATGTAGAACAAGGTTGCTATTATATCAGAAATTCATTGGTTTTCAATTTAGAAATTACCATGTACTCTTTTTCTTTTCTTTTTTTCTTGCGGCCGGCAAAGTTTTAATTATATCTTGTTCAATTTCCTGTTTTTATGGCTGCATTATTTCTTATTAATTACACTACTTATGCAGAATTGATTGTTTATTGTCTTGTTGCTAACTTAAGGTTGCGAGGGGAGTTCTTCCCATTTGGTAAATGATGGCCAGAAAGGAGAGAACTCTGGAGAGGATGGTACATTAGTTTATCCCCTTTAAATTCTTTTGTTTGTATCTACATTATTATTGGAGGTTACATTGAATGAAGTGTTTATTTATCTACCAAAAATGTACTTTACATTCGACACCCACGTGTCATTGTTCTTGCCTATCCACCTAACAATTCAGTTTCCTTTTAAAAACTGGTCGGTCGGAGTGTCAAAAAAATCTCCCTGCAGGTTTCTTCCTGGATGCTTCTTACGAACGGCCAGTGCGAATGGGTGCCACTCATGCTGGGATTAGTTATTCGGCACCCACGTGTCATTGTTCTGGCTGTTAATATTGTTGGACTTTAGGTTTGCACAGGGACATTTATATTGATGGATTTGATTTCTATAGTGTTGTGATGCAAGGATTGGAAATTTATAAATTCACAAAAGGTTCGGTTGGAATTGAAAATCTGCTAGAGGTTTAGCTTTGGCGACTCTAATTTATTAGTTAATACTTTAATAATTTGATGGAAGGCCTTCATTATATTAAGTTCCGAATAGCTTGTGAAAATTATTGGACAAAGGAAGAGACAAACTGGAAATAATGTCAACACCCCCGTATTAGTTTGAATGTGATAAGAAACGTGGCAAAAAAATTTCAAGTTGCGACATCTTGTGTGATCTATTCTTGAGATTAGGATTGGGAAAATATTGGGCAGTTTATGGCTATGAATTCTTTTGTTGCATGCATCACCATCAATATGATATTTATTTCAATTTGAATTAGAGCTAATGTGGTGTTTGCAGATTGGGAGGCTATGGCAGATCGAGATCCTGAGGAGTTACTTCCCTCACAGAATTTGCCAGATGTATCAGAGCTCTCCGTGGAAGATTCAACTGCTCAAAGTCCCAAGAGACGAGGAAGGGGAACATTCATGTACAAGAGTCGGGGCCTGTACAGCGACAGCCTGTCTGATGAACCGGTTGCTGATACAGACGACTCTGAAAGTGAAAATAATCTTACTTCCCGTGTTGAAGATCCGGATAAGATAAACCGTATGTTTTTATGCATTTTATATTGGTTTGATCAACTATATGTGTCTTGCTATAACGATTCAACAGATTTTTTCTCATTGTGGAAGTGAGATGCAAAAAATGGAGTTTTTCAATTTTACTTTGATGACTGCAGTTCTTTACCAAATCTTTTTATATGCATCCAAATTTTCAAATGATAAAATTTCATCTTCTGATGTGAAATTTTCTTCGACATTGTTCCTCGCATATGACTGTATTTCCTGACAGACTATATCACGTTTCTGATTTCAGAAATTTGCGGTACAAGTCATGTTCTTGTTCTGACTGACTTCCTTCCAAGCACTAGAACAACTGACTTAGAGAAGCTGTTGGAGAAATTCAAGAATAGGTTTGTTATTCGCTGGGTGAATGACAGAGCATCACTCGCAGTATTCAAAACGCCTTCTCTTGGTAATGGCAATTGTTTATGTGTTGATTTGATTTTATATTTTTACTTTTAAACGATTGAATTCTAGAAGCATTGTGATTTGGTGAATTTGCGCATAGTTCTTTTGAGACTTGATACCACAAACTCTAATCATAATCTTCTATTTCCTACTGTAGCTCGTGAAGCTATCAACTCTATCAGTTGTCCGTTTACTGTTCGTGTGCTTAATGAGTCCGATGAGGTTTTGAGGTCAATTCCACCAAAAGGTAACATTGATAGTTACTGAAAATGAAGATATGTTTTCATAGTCATCAAATTTCATAGCTACAGTCTCCCCCGCCCCCCCATAAAATATTTTGTTAGTTACGGTATTGGTTAATGATTCGGAGCTGAGAGTGGCCAATTCATTGCCTATGTATGATGATCTGTTTCCACAACAGAAATCTTGCAAACAACTTATCGTGATTTTATAAAGTTCATTGTGTAAAATTTTTATGACACCATAGGCCATGATCCCACTAATGTTTCATACATCCCGACCTCATATTCTAATTCTTTCATTTTTCCGCTTCGCAAAATGTCCTCGAGCTCTTTACTTGAATATATCATCATTTTACATATTCTATTAGGTACCTAGAAATTTTATATATTTCGATAAAGACTCTCTTTCAAAAAAATTCATATTTATTTATTGGATTCAGATTTGGAGCCACCACGGCAAAGGCCGGCGACCTCAGTACGCACAGCTCAAAGATTGATTGCACAGAGTATAGGAATAAAGCTGCCTTCAAATGTTGGATCATCAGAAGCAAGAAAACAAGAAGCAGCTAGAAAAAGCCGGATAATTTCGAGGCAAAACATGAGGGATGATGCTTGGGGCGGCGACAACAAATGGTCGCAATGACCAGGTTTTGTTTGGTTTGGTTTGCTGGTGCATATCTTTGATTCTTCTCTACATATTTTTGATAGAGGGGAAAATTGTGAAATTGTGACCAAAGAGAGAGGAATATAGTTTTGATTGAAGATTTGATTTTTGTGTGTTTGTGTTTGTCTGTGGATCTGATCATATCCTCATGTATTCACGTAGCAATATTGATTTTGATACTCAAATGGTATAAATAGATTCTTTCTTCTAATATGCAATCGATTATACCCTAAGCTCATCAATTCTTAACTAATTTGTCCAAATAGTTTTAATGGGATTAAAATAGGCCAAATATTTTATTTTTTTCCCTTTATTTTTACTATTAAAATAAAAAAGCCAACTAAGAATTAAAACATACAAATAAAAAAATACTATATAATTTCATTATTTGGGATGCTATTGATATGTTTTTTTTTTTTTTAAAAAAAAAAATAAAAATAGAGAATTTGTTTAAATAATTCAAATATTATATTTTAATAAAATATACTTATACAATATAAATATTATTTAGTCAAAAATATAAAAATTATAAATAAATAAAAAATATATATAATATTTATAAATAATATAAATTAATTTTATAAAAATAAAATTTTTAAATATAATAAGGAATATAAATAAAAGAATTTTAAATAAATTCTATCAATAAGAAATTAACTTTTTTAATTAAATTAATTTATGTTTATTAAATTTGCTAAACAGTATAAAACTGTTATTAATTATTTAATTAAATTAATTTATATTTATTAAATTTGCTAAATAGTATAAAACTGTTATGTAACAATTTAACATGAAAAATGTATCAACAATAGTACTATTTTAATTTCTAATACTCCTTCCATTCCAACAACTTCAATTTGCAACAGTATTTATAACGAATTAACAATAATAAATTAGAATATTATTATATTATTTTTAATATAAATGATTATTTATAAGTTCAAAATATTTATTAAATTTTTTAATAAATAAAAGAAATATTCATAATTTAAAAACCTTAAAGCATATGTTAAAATTATATTTCAATACTTAAATATATAAATGACTATTATTTTGTAAAACATAAAACTTTATATAATATTACCAAAAAATGATATATTTAAATATGAATAAATATTTGTTCATTGATAAAGGATAACATAAAAATAAAAAGTTTTAATCTTAAATCATAACATACATATTATGAAATTAATTAATTAAATTAATTTATATTTATTAAATATATTTTAAATAAAATGGTATAAATTGAAATAAAAAAACGTATGAATTACTTTATAGGACGAAAGGAGTAAACTTAAACATATAATTATACATATATATATTTAGCAGGCAAAAATTTTGAACCGAAACCACTTGAAAGTTTGAACCTCGTAGAAAAAACAAAAAAAGTACACTACTCTTAACTTCAAAACACTATAATAATAATAATAATAATAATAATAATAATAATAAACCAACCAAACACACTAGCTTATAAACATTTCAGTAATTACGATATTGCTCACAAATTAGTCATCAGCTTGGCAACAAAATTTAAGAACAATGTGATAAAATGCAGAGGAAAAAACATTTACCAAAAACTTCTAAAACTGAAATATTTCAACAAATTAATTACTAGATAGCAACAGCTACAAATGCAGAGAGAGCACAAATGGTCACATAAAAATATAGTAAATCCAAACACATACAGCACATAGTTATTTTGCATACTCAAACCAAAACACACAACATCATAGCAATACCATCACCGCGCCTGCATTCGACAACGAGCATGAAATTTCTACAAAACAGACTCGCGTGACAGAACTAGAATTATCTATGCCAGGTTATTTAGTCGAGGAAATATTCGCCACAAACACAAGTCCCATTAGGTTTTAAATTCCACACTCACATATAACCATCATCATAAGGACATATTAAGGGGGTTGGTTTGGGGGGGGGGGGGGGGTCCTTATTTAGGTAGGACAACGTTTACCTAGATAATGGTGACATTAGTTTGTCACTGTTGCGCGCACTGAACCCTTTGGGCACCACCATGCATATCATCATCCTCATCGTAAGCTTCCTGCTGCTGAGCCTGCTTCCTCCTCATCTCTTCCTCGATGTTGACATCATGCAGCGTAGTTTCCTCGCACTCATCCAGCTCCATGTCAGTCAGTTCTGACTGCTGCTTCGGTGGAAGGATTTTCGCCAGGGCCGTAACTTGATCTGGAGTTAGAGAGTCAGGGAATTCAACAGTGAAATGAATGTAGAGTTTACCCTTCATGAATGGCCTTCCATACATTGGCATTCCTTCATCGTTGATTGCCTTGTAAGAATCTGCAAAAATGATTTAAATGATATAATTACGAGTCCTTCAAATGTTAAAACCTCGGCAAAACTCTTAAACATGGGCGAAAACTTTACCAGGCTTCACAACTTCTCCAGGCTGTGATTTCACAAGGAGCTGCCGGCCGTCCAAATGGGACAGGATGAACTGGAAGCCACACAATGCCTCAGTGAGCATAAGCCCATGCTCCACAAAAAGGTCTTCACCCTTTCTCTTGAATTTAGGATGCTCCTTTTGCTGAAGCACAAAGACTATGTCGCCAGTGACTGTATCCGGCTGCAATGAAGACATGGATAAGAAGGTAGCCTTACAATTAAGTAAAATATAATGATTCAACCAAAAAAGATAACGTACCGCTTCATCAGCTTCCCCAGGGAATGTAATTTTCTGGCCATTCTGCATTCCTTTCTCCACATGGACTTCCAAAACTTTCTTTTCCTGGACAACCTTCTCACCCTTGCATTGAGGGCATCTGTCTTTCTCATTGATGGTCTCTCCTGTTCCTTTGCATTCATTGCAGGCGTGCTGCATTTGCTGTATCATACCGGGGCCGAGCTGCCTTATAGTGACTTTCATACCACTTCCCTGGCAGCCCATGCACTTTGTTGATGCTCCAGATTTTGACCCTTTTCTGCAGAGTATAATATGCACAGAGAATGGATTAGACAATGTGAAGAATTAACCATTTCACAAATAACGATCCATTGAAGTGTATTATCTATACATGCTTTTTTGAGTTACTCCAATGTTCCACTTCATGCTTTTTTTTTTCTTTTTTTTTTTTTTTTTATTAAGGGCTTTTAGCATATGCATACTATTATACTTACCCACTGCACTTTGAGCAAATTATGTTGTGTGACAACGAAAGCTTCTTTGTGGTCCCCAAATACAAATCCTCAAGAGACACCTTCAATGGGTGCACCACATCCTCTCCCCTTCTTTGCCTCCTTCCACGGCTACTACCACCTGGTGATCAACAAATAAACTTCTTATATGATTGCATTCACCAAAAAAAGCCCAAACTAAAACCCAATACTTACTGTCAAAAAGTACACCTAAAGAAAGGGAATGCAAGTTCAAATGTCTCACCTCCAAATGGGCTTCCACCAAAGAATGACGAGAAGATGTCAAATGGGTCGTGCATGCCACCACCACCTCCCATTCCTTCCTTGAGAGCATCTTCCCCATACTGGTCATAGATTTCTCGTTTCTCAGGATCACTTAAGACCTCATAAGCATGAGCCAACTCCTTGAACTGCACACAGAACCATATTATTAGGCTTCAGTCCAACCAAATCATCCCACAAAACTTGGATGGAAGAGATCAATAAAGTAATATTCTTGGGCATGTGTTTGCATAGATTCACCACTTGTGAAAATCGTGAACAAAGGGGAAATTTGGTTGGATGAGTGTAGATTTGAGGGTGAATTTGAAATGAGTGTATTTCAATTACTTTGGAATTGAAATGTGTTGAATTTAAATTTCATGTTTGGTTTAGGAAGTATTTAAAATGATTTGGTCTTATGAAGTATTTAAAAGGACATATTATTGAAGAGTATTTCAAATACTAGAGGAAATGGATTTGAGAAAATTATTTGAAATCCCTTTGATCACTCAACAGAACAGGGCCAAAGGTTGTGTTTGTTTGGGTTCTAGAAATAATAAAAGATTTGAATGAAAGTTTTTGTTGTAATGTTTTATAAAAAAAAGAATTGGAATTTGATATTTTAAGCAAAAAATAAATAAATTTAGATGTAATTTTCCAAATAAAAATTATGATTTTGATGTAATATATTGAGAGAAAAATATGCTAGTATAGTTTGCATAGTAGGACAGCCCAGACAAGCAACCTAACTTGTGTTTGGTTTGGGTTGGGTTGGTGTGGTTTTGGTATTTTTTTTTTTTTTTTTTTTTAAACTTAACTAATAGTTTGATGTGATGTTTTTTTTATTTGAAAATGTGGGTAGAAGATTTTATTGGGAAATTAAAAAACTCAAACAAAACAAAACATAAATCTTTTGAATAATGTTTTAATGTAGAGCACATCTGGTGTTGATTTCCTTCAATTGACATCAGGCACATTAAAATTGAAATTTTGCATGTCATTGTTCCATATGCAAGTAGTCAACATATTGTATAACTACAATCAATGTATGAATAAATTATATTAAGAACATAAAGAAATCTATTCAGAAACATTATATCATGTATCTAAACACTGTTATCAGCAACAAAAAGCAGCATATATACAACAATTTAGTAAAAAAATTATTACTGACAACAGCATAACTAAATTATTAAACAATATATACCAATTATACAAACAAACAACAATAACACAGTTATGACTTTACTAACACTATTCACAATTCAGTAATCCAAATGTCTTTACTCAGTATCTCGTATACAAGTATCTGACATAATAAATCAACAAATTTAAGCATGAACAGATACTAAATTATGGCTTTTTAAGGTTTACATCATATTCCTATTGGCAAACCAATCAAAGAAAAAAATGCACAAATCTTAGCACAACATGAACGAAATAAAACCCTAGAACCTTTTTTCAAGTTAACTTTGATTGGGGGTATAGCTTGATTTCAACAATCCTCAACATGATTAACATTCTAATCTTAGATAACTTAACTTCAAACATAAAGATTGCATAATTCTGACAAATTTCTACTTCAATAGCGACATCCAAGTATACATGTAACACTAATACAATCGGAATTTAACCAAAAACCAAGTAGCCCTTGATATGGCGTATTTCACTTCTTGAGAGGGCTAAATTTTAAATCACGATAATTGCAGTAAAACTACCAACTGATATATAAAGGCATCGCTAATTATCCACCCTACGCATCGACAAACATAAATCACCGCGCAAAAAACCAATTCTCACAAGCCAATTTTCATATCACGAAACGATTTCTAGCAGAGAAGAAAGATTCCAAAAATCAAAACTGCAAATTTTAATTTTTTTTTAAAAAAGTGCGATCTATACCTTCTCGGGGTCTCCGCCCTTGTCAGGATGATTCTTGATGGCTGCCTTCTTGTACGCCTTCTTCAAATCGTCCGGCGACGCCGTTTTCGGCACTCCGAGAATCTCATAGTACCGAGTATTGTCGCTCTTCTTCGGCGCCCTGCCAAACATTTTGGCTCACCTTCAAGAACCGCTAATCTGAACTCAAATCGACGCGATTGAGGCGCAAATCTCTGTAAAGACGCAGCGGAGGCGCGATCGGGAAGCGCTCGCTAGCAGCTCTTCGAAGAATGCGGGAGCACGGAGGAGGGCTGCAGCCGGGCAGATAAACTATCAATTCAACGGTGGAGATTGCCCGAAAAGAAACAATCTTGGCCGTCGGATGGATTTTCTAGAACGATCGAGGGAGAACCGTAGATTCGAAATCTAACGGCAAATATGTTGCTTCTGGATGGTTCTATGCCTTGGACGCTTGCCTAACGATTTACTCGCCACAAATTCACAAACAAACAGACCCTTATTAAATAATTTTTTTCAAAATTATTAATAATAGAAATGGGCCCAAGTCAACAAGCCCAATAACAGCCCAATGATTTATATGACGTGAACAATCAACTGCTAATGGACCGAGATGGGAGCGGCGGCCCAATAACCAAGCCTTGCCTCATCTGCCAGCGCCATTGCTGATGACTCTCTGTCTACCACTTTCCGATTATCAGATTTCAGATCTATCGGACGCTCTTACAGATTCGATCCTTAAATGCTCCCAGTTCGGAGCTTGCAAGCGCTTTCTGAACTGAGGTGAGTTCGCTCGGGATGTGGTAGTTTTACTAGCAATAGGACGTCGTGTCGGCGACGCTGCTCTGCTGAGTAAAGTGGAGAATGCAGCTTTATTTTCTAGTCAATTTTGGTCGTGGGGCTGGTAATTTGTTGTTTTGTGAGACTGTTGTTCGATTGAAGTTGAAGGACTGAGCTTGTGAATGCGACGTGTTGCTACTGTTTTTGAGGATTTTCCTTTTGTTCGTAATTGGCTACCGAGTTTGGAATTGCTTGCTGATTTGACAATAATCGCGTGCTTTTCCGTCGGAAATCTTGCGGTTTTATTGATGCTGGCTTGTGCTTTTTGTTAGACTGGTTGGTGTGTTAGTTGAGGTGAGATTTTCACTGAAGGTTATTGGTAACACGGAGTGGAGTGTGGGGCAACCTTCTGCTTCTGTGTCTGCGGTTTAGAGTGATAATTCTGGTTTTATGTATGTCATGTGTGCATGGTTTTAGGTTTTTGTTAGGAGATTAAGCTTGAATCCTCCCTTCTTATTGCTTGGAAAAGTTGGTCTGAGTTTGTGTCTGGCATTTGTAAGAGGGGAGCCTGAGCTTCTGAAATATGGTGTTGATTGCTCTTGCTGTCAATGTTGTGTTTGTGTCTTGAACAGGTCTTACAGAAATGGGTGCCTCAAAGAAATGGCTCAAATCATTGCTTGGGTTGAAGAAATCTGAAAAATCGCAATCCCTGGAGAATGATGAAAATGTAGGTGGCCATCTCCGGTTTCTTTTGTTTTGTGTTCTCTTTGGTTTTATTGCTTCATCTTTTAAGGCAATCATAAGGATGGAGGAGGTGCACGAACCAATTCTTCGTCACATGAAAAGTGTACAAATTGATGATTCAATAGACTTATATTGTATTTTTTTAAACTTTAAACTTTGCAACAAAAAAAAAAAAAAAAGATTTGTTGTTTTAAATAGGTAATATGCAGATGATTAGGTGTGCTGTTTTGAACCTGTTTGAGTCCCGGGTTACGGAAGTTAAAAAAGTTAACTGTCCAGACAATCTTGCTTATCTAAACAAAGTGATGCTGAAGTAGAAAGTTCTATATGTTCAAATTCATTGGATGTTGCTTTTTAATTTTCATGTTCTCTTTCAACTTCTCCGGGTCATCACAAAAAGGCATATGTGTTTTGAAATGAAGTCTACATTGTTCATATTGTTAGATGCTAAATAAACAAATAATAATAATACAAAAGCTACTCAAGTTCAAACTTGTTGCATATGCATTGTATGTGCCCATCTATCCATTTGCTTAATCTCTTTCAGCTTCCTCAGGTAGCTGCAAAAGCTACATGTGGTTGACATGTATTGCAGCCTACCCGTATAATGTGTCAAAAATAATCCTCCCAATTTCCTTCTCTGTATTTTTTACTTAGCAACCCTAATCAAACATATACATATTATAGACGTGTATTAATAAAATATTTGTAATTTTCCATTTTGGTCCATACCTCACTACCTAATTTCAATTTTTGCATGGATAACCTTGAACATTGGCGTTATATGAAGATCTTTACAGTAAGACTTACTTTAAAAGCCCGCTGACTGCTCTTTGTAGTTTTATGCATGTCTTCTTCCATATTTTGTCATCATGTGGAAAAGTAGCAATAGTGAAATGTGGGAACATGCAGAGATCTGTGAATGTGGGCAAGATCTGGCACCGGAGAAAGCACTCTGTTGAGATTGATAACAGCGTGCTTGGAAATGAGTTGAATCAAAGCATTGTTACATCAACTGAGAACAAAGATGCCATCTTTCAATCAGCTTCGGATTCAACTAGCTCCCCTTCTACCTCACTTCCGGTGCAAAATGCTGAACATTATAGGAGGGAAGAATGGGCAGCCGTACGCATCCAAACAGCATTTAGAGGATTTCTGGTACTGTATTGATTTATTTTCCAGGTTTTGCTTTCTGCACTTAATAGTTTTATACATCCCTCCTTAATGTTAACATAATAGTTTGACAAAATTTTCATCATCAAGGATTCTTTGTATCTATGAAGTCTTAACATAATCATAATTCTTCAGTAGGATAAAGAAAGTGTGTGATTTTTTAGGTTTCCCTGATAACATTCAATGAACATATTTTTGCATTGGCTTCACAAGTGTGAGACTGGTCGGTCTAACTTCACTACCTAATTTTCGAGACTTTGATTAATGAGCATACATAATATGTTTGTATCCAAATTTGATTTCCATATGTATTTTATACTAAGATTTATCATTTATCAAAACATTAAGACCTGTAGTAATGTGATTGGCCATCCTTAGTAATGTTTTCTCTCTCTCTCTCTCTCTCTCTCTCTCTCTCTCTCTCTCTCTCTCTCTCTTTAAATGTCAAACTTAACATTTGTGCATTTTGAATACATTCTATGATTAAATTGAATTAATATGGATCTAAAAAATTTATATATCAGAATATATATCCACATCTTTTGTGTCATTACATCACAAATAATAGTTTGTTGTGCTTGTGAAAATGTTGCCCCGGGCATGTTTCATCATATTTATTCCACATCTGTAAACATGAGTAATGTATTATCTTCTATTTCTCTGAAGCAATTGTTTCTTGTTTTGCTTCTCTTCTTTAAAAGTTACTGAAAACAAATAGCTAATGCCATTTCTTGAGTACATATATCTTCTGATGGTTTTTTTACACAAATGAGTCTCTACGTTCATTAGGCGAGACGAGCTTTGCGTGCTTTAAAAGGACTGGTGAGACTCCAAGCTCTTGTTAGAGGCCATGCTGTGCGAAAACAAGCTGCCATTACACTCCGATGCATGCAAGCTTTAGTAAGAGTTCAGGCTCGTGTCCGAGCTAGGCGTGTTCGTATGGCATTGGAAAACCAAACAGCACAACAGAAGCTTCAAGCACAACTTGATCACGAGGCCTATGTTAAAGAAATAGAAGTAATCTTCCATCAGTCAATGCTTATATAGTAACTTAATTTTCATTTATACTTGAACTTTAAAACACTTACAATTGAGTAAATTCTGTCTAACCCAGTTACTTTATGCTTTTTGGATTTTGGACGGTGTTCCAGGACGGGTGGTGTGACAGTGTTGGGTCTGTCGAAGAAATTCAGGCGAAGTTGTTGAAAAGGAAGGAGGCGGCTGCTAAACGAGAAAGAGCAATGGCATATGCTTTAGCTAATCAGGTTGATACCTCTATCCTTAGCTTACACATGTTTTTGCCCTTCTGCAAAAAAATTAAAATAATAATAATAATAATTAATTAATTAATTAATTAATTAATTAAACAGTAATAGTTATTATCATGCACTTCTTTAAGAAGGCAGTGGATGCAAATCATTCTAGTGACATGTTAGAATAACTTGAATGATTTCCTTTTTGTTCTTTGTTAGTAGTCTTCTATCGCTCCGATTACAATCCTGTGTTCTGTTAAGATTAGGAAAGTCATTAAAGATTGTGTTATACATTTTATGGTTTCTTGTTTTCTGATTTGTGTGTCATAAGGATGCATCAGAAACTTCCTTGGTAATGGTTGTGTTAATTATTTAACCGCCTATGGATTTGAAATCAAAACCTCAACTTAAAAAATCTCTCCATGATTTTGGGCTCAGTCATTTACCATGATCAAAGAATACATCAAGATAGGCAGCTATGTAAGAATCTAAATATGTCATTGCTGCAATTTTTCATTGCCTTAAGAAAAGTTATCATACAGTGGCAAGCAGGGTCGAGGCAGCAGGTAGCTCGTGCAGGTTTTGAACCTGACAAAAACAACTGGGGATGGAATTGGTTAGAGAGATGGATGGCTGTTCGGCCATGGGAAAACCGTTTTCTGGACATCAATCTTAAAGATGGTGTCAAAATTAATGAGAATGAACAAACTGATGAGAATGCACCCACAACTCAGTTCACTTCTGTGGGGAAAAAATCTTCTTCGAATGGGAAGGCTCCTCATTCAAACAGCAACTCTAATGGCTCAAATGAGAAAAGAGTTGCATCTTACTCTGACGGCTGCAGTTCTTCACCCACCAAGCCAGCCAATGTGCAGGAAACACCCGGTGTGCTTTTCTCCAATGCTAGGTTGAAACCAGTTCTTGATGATTTGGCTGAGGAAGCTGCCTCAATGCCCAATGTTGTCCCGAGATCTAACAGCAATCCTAAAGAGAGGACCTCCCTCACCGATAAACAAGGAAAGAAGAGACTGTCTTTGCCTGCCAACGGTTAGTCTCTCTCTCTCTCTAGATACATGCATAGGCACTCACACCCACACAAACACACGCTAACTACGATTAATACTTCTTTAAGATAATATGTTGTTGATTGAATGTGTGAATACGGACTCGTTGCACTCAGGCTGTAGTTGCAAGACATTTTTAGATAGATATGGCCATGTTTCTGTAACTGAACCTTATACAAATGATTCCGGCTATTATTCCAGTTCTGTAAAACTTCTAGTTTTGGTTTTCGTAGGTTTGATTTTTTATTAAGTACTTATAATGATAATTTTAATGCGAAATTAATTTAGTAACTATTAATCGATGTAGATATGTTCTGTTTATGGTCTAGCTCCAAATCTTAATGGAGCCATGGCTGCATCTTTTTGTAACTTGTGTCGAGAACCCCATCGTACATTTTTCAGTATATTATATAGCATCATGTTATTGATGAACCAAATATTGACTGTAACACAGCACAATCACAATATGAATTTCATCCGTAGTTTTCCTACCTTTGAGTTTTATTTATTTATTTTTTATATTCCCAGGATCGGCCTCCAGCAGCCAACCCACCCGGAACCTTCCAAAAGCTGTCGGCAAAAGATCTCCTATTGCTCCAAAGTCTGTGAAGGACAAAGCCAAGTCAAACGGGACCAATCCAAAGCCTTCGAAGCTCAGCCCACAAGTTGATCACTAGCTTCTGAACAACCAGACGACGTCCTTTGCGCAATATGCAGCAGCAGCTACTTCTGTTTGTACATAAAGAGTGAGCAAATGCTTGAGCAGTGTGTTCCAGCAATTTCCCGTCATGTCGTCCACCATGATCGAGTCTGGAAAGTAGGGCTCCTGTGGTGGAAATAAGATCCTGATCGACACAGGTACGGAATTTATCTGATCTGATCTTATTTGATCGCGTGCTGTTAATGAAAATGATCGTATTTATTGGTTCGTCGGCGTCGGCCTTGCTTTTTATTTCATAGCATTGCAGTTGTTGGTTGTGTGTGCTCCTGTGATGAACTGTTACCATCTTGAAGAGTCATGTATTATATCGTATCTTATTGTAATGTATTGTATTGTATTTCATTGCATTATATTGTATTGTATTGTACTGTATTGCAATACCTAATGTATGTATATTTTCACTATTTCCACAATTCCATTTAGTGCAAGTGATTTATGTAATATTCTTGTTGCACCATTCTATATTTATTTTTCAATAATAATAATAATGGTTGGGTTATTCTTTTTGAAATATTTACTAAGTAATTTATTTGATTTGGACACGCCAAGCGCTATTTGTTATAGTAATTATTAACTTTTATAAAAGTGCGATTGTTTTATCATTTTAATATGCCTAAGAGTATGTCTATGTTATATTTAATAAAAAAAGGCACTATTTTTTAAATTTATATTTATATTTTTTTATCTATTTATACAAATCACACTCAATATTTTAATCACATTTTTATAAGACGAATTGAGTAATAAACTTAAAAAAGGGCATCAATGGAATGACGTACAAGGGTAAGGAGATAACGGAAAAGAAAACGTCGAGTTAACGCCGTCAACTTTCTCGCACCTTATCATCTTCAACCCGTCCCGTGAACCCTCACTCGCCTCCTCCACTGACTCTCTTTTACAGTTACTCCCGCCGAAACTCCGCCGCCGTATCTCCGCCGCGAATTCCGATGAGATTCGCTTCCCTTTTACAGTAACAAAACACAAAGTAAATATCCTCCGCCGCAGGATGCCATCCTCCGCCCCGTCCTCGGCCGTCATCCCGATCACTGTCTTCCTACTCATAACGCCGGCGGCCTTCTTCTTCCTCGCGCCGCGCTTCCTCCCTCCCCGACAAATTTCCATTTCCGTTCCCGACGAGCTCGACGACCTCTCCCTCTTCCACAAAGCCATCGCCATGGACTCCGCCGACTTCTCGCGCCGCACCGGTCGCCTCCCCGCCGCGAAGTCCCGCTTCTCTTCCTCCCTCCGCCGCCCTAAAATCGCCTTCCTGTTCCTCACGAATTCGGAGCTCCATTTCGCGCCTCTCTGGGAGCGGTTCTTCGCCAATACAACCCTCAAGCACTACAACATCTACATCCACGCCGATCCTTCCGTCAGAGTCCCTCCCTTCGCCGGAGTTTTCAACGGAAAACTCATCCCCTCGAAGCGAACTCAACGATCTTCCCCTACACTCATCTCCGCCTCTCGCCGACTCCTCGCCACGGCGATGCTCGACGACCCTGCGAACGCTTATTTTGCCCTAATTTCCCCGACCTGCATTCCTATCCATTCCTTCAATTATTTCTACAATTTCCTCTTCGATTTAGGCAGGCTATCGAAGAACCTGGATTTTCCGAGCTACATCGAGATTCTCGACAACGAGCCGACTCTGTGGGATCGGTACAACGCGAGGGGAGACAACGTGATGATCCCCGAGGTCCAGTTCAACGAATTCCGAGTAGGTTCTCAGTTCTTTGTGCTTACGCGAAAGCATGCGTTGATGGTGATCAAGGACAGGAAGCTATGGCGAAAATTTAAGCTGCCATGTTTGAATGTGCATTCCTGCTATCCAGAGGAGCACTATTTCCCTACATTGCTGTCAATGGAGGATCCAGATAGCTGCTCTCATTATACATTGACAAGGGTTAATTGGACCGACAGTGTGGATGGGCATCCACACACCTATTACCCTTCTGAGGTTTCTCCTGATTTGATTTACAGGCTCCGGGAATCAAATTCAAGCTACTCATATATCTTTGCTAGGAAATTCTCGCCGGACTGCTTGCAGCCTTTGATGGAAATTGCAGATTCAGTTATTCTCAAGGATTAATTGGTAAGTAAAGATGTTGATTTGTTTACACTTTTTTTCTTCTCCTTTATGCTTTTGTGGAGTAAGTATGAACTTTCAAGGATTAAGTGAGCTTGGTTGGCTTTACTTCATGAGGAGAAACTTTCAGATTTGGTCCCATAGTATATAATATAGGATAGTCATTAAACATTGGTCCCATTGTTTATGATTTTGCCAAAATAGCCCAGCCCCATTGAATAAGAAAATCCTCCATTTTTGTGTGTGTGTTTTTCTATGGTTAGAGGGTTTATTTCTAAACAAGGGACTTAGGTTTGTGCAAGCAAACATCGTCTTTTTTTATTTAAATGTATATATATGTAGGATGATATTCTTTTGGTGAAATCATGAACAATGAGACCATTATTATGACTGCCAAATTTGAAAATTGTCCATGCATGATTGGTTGGTGTTTTGGTAGATGTGGTGGTGCCCATTTGGTTTCTAAATTATGCTTTTTGAATAATGTTCTATGGGGTGGGTGGGTAGTCTGATCTACTGTAATATTTGATATTTAGAATATCTAGGGCGGTGAAAAGTGTTGCGGGATGGTGTTGAGAATCCAAAGATGAATGCTTTTAATTATTTATGTTTATTTTTTCTCAAAGTGAACCTGTCATTTGATCTTGGCATTTAACTATGTATTTTCTCCTACGCCTTTTTGTGTAAAATATTGTATGGATTGTTGAGTTTAGTCATCTATCTTCTTGGGAGCTGTGCTTTTGTTCTTTAGTTGGAACTTAAGTTTTGAATCTAGGCTCACGAGGTTTTAATTTTATAGCATTGATATCTATTCTTGTTGTAGATCACCAAGTTCAAGAAGTATAGTATTTATTTTGAAAACTTTCTTCGATATTTTGAAGACTGCTCATTCATCATCTACTCAACAAGATACCAACATTCATTTCTTCCTATTAATCATATTAGCTAAATACGTGCAGCGCATGAAGCCTTTAAGAATCCTATGAATTACAGAGTTTAGTTTTTAATTAGTACGTACAAGTGACATTTGATTATGGCAGCAACATAGAGTAGTGTTGCTGTGTTGAGGCCAATTTCTATTCAAAATCTTGCAAAGCCAGTCCTGAAGATGTGTTGAAAATACTGTACTAGACTATGCTATACTATGAATCTAACTGATAATCTATCATTGTTATTTGACAGAAACATTGTCGAAAAATGAGGTTTGGAATTGGAAGATGTTTCCTGGACTGGAGTGCCTGCCAACATGGGATTAGGCTTTGGAGTGGCTGCCCAAAAATAAAATGCCCTCAGGCCTAAGTAACCCAGACGGAGTCAAACCAAAGCAAGGTAAGGTAATATTTATAGCTTTTGGTATATTTATGTATATATTTATGTGTACCTTTAACTTTGGTCCTCAATATTGTTGATTGTGTAAAGTGTAAATGTATATATGTGTGAAAATGGACATTTCCTGGCTCTGCATTGAAGGGAATGCAAAAATGCCAGTCTTCTTCTGTCAGTGTTTCGAAATTTAACAAGTGTGCATAATCTTCACTTTGTGGGCTAATTCTGGAATCTCTTTTATTTCATCTACTGTGGGCTCTTTTCTATTTGCTGAGGTTTATGTTAGCAAATTTGTGTGGTTAGTTGGATGTATTTGCTTTTGAAATATGTTTTATGTACAAAATTCTTGATTATTCATTGCTTTAGAACTTAGAAGTCTAAAGTTGGGGTATTTGTTACTTTATGTGAGTGGCAAGTAACACATTAGCTGAAGAGAATTTCCTTCTTTTCACACACACTAGAAAATGAAAGCATGCTTTATTGTATATGTATATAATATATATATATATATATATTTAGTACTATTAATCTATTGGCAGTGCTTCTTTGACCTTCAAAAAGATTGCCTTATCTTTGCAACTGTAGTGCCTAAAACTTTTTTAAAGAGGAAGGATTTGATTCCTAATGAATCTGTGCATTGAATTTTAGATGCCAAAAATACACTCTAATGTTAGCTTTTAATTAATGGAGGATTTTTTAGCCTGGAGTTGGAACAGTGAACTTTTGTGGGATTATTATTTGTTTTGTTCTTTTATATTGGTGAATTGTTTTTCACTAGGGTTTGTTTAGACAGGAGTTTTCGAAGGTTTTTGAAAATTTGGAAGTTTGGAAAAAATAAAAAGTTAGTATTTGATTTGATGTTTTATGAGAGAAAAAATGTATTTGATGTGATGGTTTTTGAAAAATAAATAGTGTCAAACTGGGTTTTGTAAACATAGCTTAAATCATTTTAGATCTCCATACATCAAAATAAGGGCGCTTTAGATTGATAATGATGACATGGTCTATTTTAAAGATTTCGCAAATAAATTAATACCAATTGAGGGACCATTATGATGTGGAAAATGGCACTTTTTTAGAGTTTTGTTTATTTGAAGTTTGGTTTTACATTTTACTGAATAATCTTTCGCTATTCTTATAAAAATATTCTTTTTTTCTGAAAATTTTTACATTTACATCGCTTTTTAAACTAAAATATAAACCAAATGTAAGTGAACAACAAATAAACAAACATATATTACGTATATAAAGAATAACTATATTTATACGACTTTTCTAAAAAAAAAAAAAAAAACTTTTGAATTAATAATGTAATTAGTTTCAATTCAACATTTTTTAAAATATAAAACCAAATGTAAGTAAACAAACTTTCTGGTAGCCTATCAATTCAACAGTTTTGGATCAGCCAATGAATATTTGTTAGGTTTGTGATTAATTATTGTTTTATTGATAGAAACTCAAAAAAAAAAAAAAAAAAAAAAAACATGCATGCAGTTGGTACATGTACATTTATGTATATATTTTATATTTATATACCGGGGGTGGATATATATTTGATCAATTGTGATGGTTTTTCTAGGGTATTCTTTTTAATTTTATATGTTGAATTAGGAATAATTACAATATTAATTCTTTTTTTTTTTTTTAAAGTCACATAAACTAAATGTAGTCATGCAATATGGAATATTTATTTATATATATATATGTAATTATTATTTTTATTTATTTAATTTCGTATGTAATTTTGTATTACCGGATATGTTGTTTATATATGCAAGATGTGTTTGTTTTCATTATATTAATGTTATTGCATAACAAATTAATTTATTTATATTGTAATTGTACAATAAATTGAATACAAATTTTTGAAAATTCATTTTTTGGACCTTTTTTTATTTTTATTTTGGTTTAACTAATATTTATATATATATTTTTTGTCAAAGGAAAGTAACTTTTGATGTAATTTTGAGAATTAAAATAGTAAAAATTTAATGTACTTGATATTAGTAATTATATTATAGGTTAGTTTTTTAACATTTGTGATAATTTTATAAAGAAAGAAAAATGAGTAAAATTATACACACTAAACTCAAACCAAAAAAACATTTAGCAAACAACAGAATAATATTTTCTTAATTAGTGACAAAACTAAAATAACGGTAATCAAAGTAGAGGAATAGCTAACATTTAACTACAAAGCATAATATATAGCAAATATTTGAATGCCAATTAAGCCCACGGTGAACTAATTAAGCACCGGTTTAAAGTTAACCGCGAAACGGGGCTTCTCATCATGTCGATAGCCCCACATTTCGACCACGTAATCTTTTTCTACGCCATTCTGTGAGATTAATTTTCTCCATTCTTTCTTGATGATCATCATGTGGAGACTTGGCCAGATCGCCAAATGTAGGTTGTAGATATCTCCATTCAAATCGATTGTCGTGACTTCAAAGCCTCCTTCGTCAGCAATGACAGCTCTTTCTTCCTCGGTCAAGAACTCCATAATTCTTTCGCTTTTGGTGACAAATAGCCTGTTTTGTCCCGGGCTAATGTCGGATTTCTGCAGCTTCTTCGAGTACAGGAAAACTGGCACTTGACCAATTGCTTCAGCCAATGGCAATGGAATTTCTGGAATTTGATCGACATCATTGTTTCTGTTGTTGTCGCGTCTAACCCTTTGTGATGTCGATTTCTTCTTGGAATCGGTCATGATGACGACGCCGAACAGCTTTATCGAACTCTTCTTTTGCCCATTCTTCTTCGCCATTGAAGTAGAAGTAATATTGATCTATTTTTCTTGTGCAATTTGTGTGAATTTTGTGTGCATGTAATGTAGTGTCTATATATATATATATATATATATATAGAGGTAGAAAAATACTTAATTATGGAATGTTAAGTTGTAATGTTTCCTAAATTAATAAGGTAGTTTAATGTTACATTAATAACTACTTACCTTATTTTTGTTCATCTAATATATAGTTGTATTTTTGGAAATTTTATAGATTTTTATTATGTGTAATTAAGGTAACTAATCCTCCCATGTCTTATTTATTTTTATTTTTGAAAATAAAATAGTTTATCCTTGTTAGTGTAAAGAATTGTTTTTGGTATTTTTAGAAATAATCTCAAATAGTATTAAATAACTATTTCTTTTTTTTTAATGACGAAAATTTAATTGGAAAATATTTTGTGGGTGATGATAATAATATTATATAGTAATAAAAACTAATATATAAATATGACTTGTAATGGTTTATTTATAGCTTTCAAATGCATTGATGAAATACTCTTTCCAATTATAATGATGCATATATTTTTTGATACAAATTCAAATAGAACTTGCCAATATATTATATTTTTATGATTTCTTTATGGAATTGGTTACTACATTTACGAGAAGTTATAAATGGAAGAAAATTGTAATTTAAATCTAGGATTTGTTTATTAAGTATTTAATTTTGTATTTGTATTTAACTAACAATTGTATTTGATGTTATATAAGGAAATTAATACCCTTTTATTTTCTACTTTTTTTTTTCTTTTACTATTTTTGTATATCTCATTCAAGAGTAATTTCTTTAATAGTAAAATTAATTCATATATAAATATATAAATATTCTTTAATTTCTACAAAAATATTATATATATATTTTTATAAGAACACAAATATCAAAATTATTTTTTATTTATCACTAATCAATAAAATAATATTATCCTGTCCGGCTCTATGGACGACATTTATATTTTACGTATTGATATTTAAATATTAATTATTATATAAAAAATAAGAGAAAATGACAAAAATAATTCTATCAGTGTCTTGTAATACTAAAATAATAAAAGTTTTACAAAAAACTTTATACAAATATAAAAATATTTTTAATGTTAAATACAGTAATATAAAATATAAATGTAACATTTAGACACAAACTGAGTGAATATTATCCTCTAACATTAAAAATATATTTTAAAGATAAAAATATTAAAAAAATTATTTACAGTAGTAAATAATATATTATTATTTTTTAATCGAATATAAGAAAAAAAATACAAAAATACATTGAGTTGAATTGAAACAGAATGTGTGGATATTTTTATAGAGATTCATATAATAAATAAATTAAATATAATAATAATAATATAAATAAACTCAAAAGTTCGGTTTGATTTTGTGATTTAAATTAAAATTTGTGGTGGTTATATAATTAAGAAATAAAAAAAAATCATATCAAATCATTATTAAATTTTTTTTATAAAAAACTCAATTTTAAATCAAAATTAAACAATTATTTATTATTATTATTATTATTATTATTATTATTATTATTATTTACTGTATTTGTTTTTTTATATTTACTTTTTCAGTATTATATTAAATGCTTAATTTATACTATAAAATATCATATACATAAAAATGATTGTTATCTAAAAAATATAATTAAAAAAAACTAAAAATTAATATGTGTATATAGAAAGTAATACAACTTAATCTATTTCCTTCTTTATCACAAATGATAACTTGAGATTCATAAGCTTACCATCTATAATTACAATTTCTTTCTCTATAGATAATTTGAAAGTTATATACATTATTAATAAATTATATGGTTAAAGTTACTTACAAAATAACAAAAATTTGAATAAAAAGGCATATCATATTTAACGTAAATATATATTGATTTTTTACTTTTTCTTGTCTAAAATAAATTTTATAAACTTTCATTAAATATGCAATAGAATTTTATGCTTATTTAATTGAATAATACATCATTTATATTATTTGTCTGTATACTCTCTAATTTAATGATTAATTATTATGTGTTATAACTTATTATTATCATGTCTTATCAATTCTTGTATTGTAGTTTTAATTTGTATTAATACATTATTTTTATAATAATGAGTTATTTTTAGTCATTGTAATTGTAATTTGTATTAATACATTAATTATTTCATTTTTAAAAAAATATCAAATTTGGAAAATATATAAACACAAAAAAGATAAACTAAATAAAGCTTAATAAATTTAAAATAAACAAAAAAATAATAGAAGAAAGAGAACCACAGGTTCATCAAAAAAATATGTGATTCAGCACATACATATATTATTATTCTTTTACTAAAAAAAATCACACTATATCTGATTTGATTTAATGCAACCAGAGTTATATTTGCAAATCGACTTTCTCATTTCATCTTCATCTTCCATCTTCTTCTTCTCATTATATCAGGAGATGTTACTGAAGCTAAAATAGACTGTTCTCTTCTGCAGAGCGTTAATGGCAAAGTCGACCTGCACGTGTCCCAACTGCGACTTCAATCTCACCCCATATCCCAAACCCACGCCACTTCCCGGCTTCCCATGCCGCAGCCCCGGATTCCCTGCAACACAACCATCAATATACTAATCTAATAAATGTTCGAAACCACAACATTCTACATTAGATTACGCCATTAAAGGTGGTATAGTCAAGACTCACCGGGAACATGTCGACTGGACCCCAACTCAGATCCACAATCCAAGAAAACAGCTCCCTCGACAATTTCGTTCTGCATGCAAAAATAGGGCATTAGGGAACCAACACATACCGGTTCGCTCCACCTTTGCTAATATGGAAGTCACGTATGCAACTATTACGAAAAAAAATAGTAGTACTTCACTATGAATCAACTTTTATCCCACCAACAAACAAACTACATTACATGCTCAAATTTGCTCAGATACACAAAGCATTGCTATCTTCTTGATAAAGGGAAATCATGATTTCACAGTTCGACTTAGACTACAATAGTTTCATCGAAATAATGAGATAAAGGGCAGCTCTGGTACATCCATAAACCTTATTTCAGCCATAAACAGCATTAAATACTTACGAAATTAAGAAACTACAATCTTGTGTACGGAATCACATACCAGGGGCAATGTTAGTTCAGTGTTAGCAACTAAGCATGATCTGCCAGATCCAACAGCCCCTTCACCATAGCCCCGGACACTACCCTGCCCACCTATTGAAAAGGCCTGATAAGGAGCTATGTCTCCTACAATAGAGCCACCTGTGAGGCTGTCAAACAAAATTTTTCGGATAAAGCAGTGCATAATAAAACAAGTATTGAAAGAACATATTTTGTGAGAATTGAACTTTTTCTTCCAAGTTGCAGGTGTTTCACGCTTTCAGTTTGCAGTTTTGTGAATCAAATTGACATGCCAATGAATTTGCTCACCTTGTCAAAAGAAATGCCGGCCCAAGCCTCACTCCCTTTGACACAGCAAATTTAAACCGATTGAAGATCAGCCACTTGGAAAGAATGGGAATCCCTTGTTCTATTTGCAAACTAAACTACATCGAAATTTTTTTGAAAAGTAATGCATACATGTTACGATGTGAACTAACAGAGTAAATAGGCCATATTTGTGAAAGAAATTCAAGAACCGAGCTCATGAGGAAAAGTGTAGTACTGTTACCCGAGTAAAACTGCGGTCATTAGCCTTAGCGAATCGAGATTCCTGTTTGAGCACTAGCATACTATCATGATATCTGCCGCTGAAATTTTATCAACATACATTTTAGAGAAAAAAAAAAGAAAAAGAAAAAGAAAAAAAGAGCATATTAGTTTCCAGCCGAATTCAGAATAATTTGTGGATAGGAATGTCGTGAACCTGCACGTCACTGGAAATCCATGAAGATCTCTGCTAATGGAGCGACCCTCATCATTAATGGGACGAACATGCTGCACAGTTATTTTGTCATCAGCACGATGAAATGGATGAATCATCGTAAAAACTGAAGAATTGAATGAGACACACCTCAAATTTGACACTGGTTTTACTGCTCCAATTGGAACTTGCGGGTTCACTCAAATCCATACCAGCAGATAAGCGACAAAGATTGACGCCTCCAGATACTGTGCGGGAGAAGTTGTCCACAGGGATACCATGAGTTCCCATTTCTGGCGAAGTGGAGTGCTGAAGGGAAAAGTGATGTTTGAGAAGTCATCTAATTTTCCAGCTCACACGTGACACTATAAATTTCATAAACGGGTATAAACTTCTCGACAAATGTTAGATTAGTATGATCACGCCATTGTTTACTTCAGTAGATTAGATAAAATTTTGACAGGACTACGAATATCGAACAAGGATTTCTAAAAGTGTAGATGATTAGAACAAATAAAATAATCTATCCTAAAATTGTATAGGAATAACATCAACCCTCTTATTATCTTAAAATTCATCCGACACTAAAATCTTGACTAGTCAAAAAACTAACTTAAACGTTGGAGCTTTTCTAAATATGCAAACTCAATCCAAATGATCAGCAGATATAAATACAAGAAAGAAACTCAGCAAACCAAAACAAATTTTGCCCTGGTAAATTACCTAGATTAAAAAAGATAGAGACGATTCATACGGAGAGAAGTTTCAATGCATTGTAATAATAAATTCTGTAAGAGATACACAATCTACTAAAGGTGTTGTCAAATAATACATCAAAGCTGCTCCTCCAACTCATCAATACTATAAGAAATTTTGCCCTGATAAATTACCCAGATTAAAAAATAAAAAAGAAAAAGAAAGAAAAGATAGAGATGATTTATATGGAGCACGGTTTCAATACACTGTAACAAGGAATTCTGTAGAGGATATACAAACTACTAAGTGTTGTCAACTAATATATCAAAGCCGCTCCTCCGGCTCATCAATTCGATAAGAGGCAAAATTTACAAACAGCATACCTGAATGACAAATGCATGTTGTGAAAGCCATTCTGGTCTGGGCTTTCGATAAGTAACCAAGACGTTGGAATCACACAGCCCTTTGTCCCACAAGAAATCAAGTTTCTCACTCTTCCCAAACAAATTTGGATGCTTAATGCAAAGGCTGAGAATGAGAAGGGGAGACAAAAATATCCAACATGAAACTAACATCACAAAATCAGAAACTAAAAAGTGCATAATCCGTTCAGTCTAACTGAAACATGAAAGAGTCGGTACAGGAAAGGGCAATCGAACCTTCCGATTACAAGTGAGAGTGGATTCTCCCCACCACTGTTTCTGTTTACATAAAAGCAGCACAAACAAAGCCTTTAACATACACAGCATATACATTTGTATGTATATTGTTAGAAGAAATAAACCCTAAAACAGATACCATTGAAATCCCATACATACATACACACATACAGATATATACATATATATTGATAGAACAAAAGTGTACCTGAAAGGATGAAACATCAAAGCAGAACATAATTTGTGGGTGAAATCAACATTGAAGTCTATCTTGGCTACACATAGGAAACAAAATTTCAAGGATTTCAATTCCGAAATCGCTTCCGAAACAGTAAATTAAAGCTAGGGAGACGGAGCAGCACTCACCATTACCGGCGTGTATACTCTTCTGGGCTCCCATAACCGCCGGTTTCTCTACAGTGCAAAGAGATTCATACCTTCAACATTCCTCTGGAAATTCATGAACATTCGGGACTGCCGAAAATTGCCGTTACAAATTACAATGCAATGGCACTTTTCCGATTCCTCTTTATTGGAAAAAACACACACACACACAGAAAAAAAGCAAATCACACAAACAGACACTGACACAGAATCTTGATTGGCCGCAAGTTATCTCTTGCTTTCTGGATGGAAATTAGGATTGGATTTTCTATGAATTCGCCCCCAGATGGCCTTCCCGAATTTTTGGGGCTTCTACAGAGCAATCATTATTGGGGCTTAAAATGGACCCAATTTGGGCCTAATTGTATTGGGCTGTAACTATAATTGGTCCTATTTCATGTATTTAAATGGGCCTTTTGGGCCCAATGTTGAACCCAATGGCAACACTCGACCTCAAAGCAATGTGTTATGTTGTTTTTCAAATAAAAACAATAATCCTATATCCTTAGACTCTATCACAAAGTGCATATTTTTATTTTAAAATCTTTAATTACAAATGTTCAACCAACATATATATATAATTTTTTCGATCAAAAATAATTTAAAGTCCAATAAAATTAATTATGATATTATTATATTATTTTTTAATAATTAATAATATTTATAATTTTAAAGTAAATTTAATATATATGATTAAAAAATTAAAATATATATTTAAATATTTAAAAATTATATAGCAATTAAAAAATATATACAATATGAATATTATTTTGCAGAGAATAAAATTTTCTATAATACAATTGTGGACGATTTAGAAGATATAGTCGGAGAAAAATAAAAAAATATTTTTGTTTATTTATAATTAATATAAATCAATTTTATAAAATATGTGTAGTTTTAAATATAGATAAAAATATTTTTTTTTAAGAGATAATAGAAATAAAAGGGTTTTGAATGGTTCTACTGTTGGATGTTATGTAGTTAATTAAGTTGATTTATATTTATTAAATATATTTTGATTTAATAAATTATACCAAAAAATAAAAAGTATCAAATGAAAATAGTGTCAATTGCAGTGGGACAAAGAAGTATATATTTTTTGCAAAATTTAATGGTTATAAATATAAAATCAAGGTTTTGTTTCTATTGACATCAAATTCAAATCCAAATTTTTAATAAGTATGTATTTTTAAAAAATAAAAATATATATATTATTTTCTATAAAATATTTCATGGTACATTATTTTAATAACAAATTTAAATCAAATTATTTCCAAACCAATTAAAAAAATAAAAACACATACCCCAAATTTATTAGAAAAGAACCCTAATAAATATTAGTACTAATATTAATAATACCCCAATTTTTTTTTTTTTTAACTAAATTTCAGCATTCAATCGCAAACCCTCCGTCCACACAATTTGAACGTTTTCTCTTTTTCCTTCGCCGAGTGTTTCCGCTGCGCCGCCGCCGCCTCCGCCGTCACCGCGACGAAGGTCGCAGATTTTTCTAGAAGCCAAGGCGTTTGATCGTTCTTTTCCTATTGCTTGAATTTTCGGAGGAAGGGGTTGGAGAGGGGAAATTCGAAGAGGTGAAGGGATTACCAGGTAGGGTTTGCTAAACGATGCCGAAGGGGGAGAAATCTGGGCTCGGGAGGGCTCTGGTGAAGCACCACAACCAGATGGTGCGTGAATCGAAGGAGAAAGGGATGTACTACAGGAGCCAGCAGAAGAAATTCCTGGAATCCGTGACGGAGGTCAGCGACATCGAGGCTGTCATCGAGCAAGCTGATGAGGCACACCGCCTTTATTCAGCTCTCAATCCTCCGGGAACAATCCCCATCAATTTGTAAGCCTCCTTGCCTGATTCTTTCCATTGCTGCCATGGTTTAATTCTACGGTTTATATACCTGTTTACTGTTTCCCAATCCTTTACTGCTGGATGATTCGTTGTTCTGGTTGTGTCCTCACTGCCTCTACTTGGTGGCATGCGTGAAATATTCCAAGTTGTTCTTCGTCTAGTTGGTTTATATGTTGCAAATTGTATGCTTATTTGTATTGAACTTCTTTTGCTGCTTTACATATGGGTAGGGATTCTGCTTCTAGCACAAGTGAGATGTCATCTGAGGAAAGACGGGAGCAACAGAAGAAAGAGGAGGCATTGCATGCGAGCAGCCTTCGAATTCCTCGCAGGTATGTGCGTTTTACTTATATTCAATTTTAAATTTGATTGTCTGAGTAAAATGATATTCATGATGCAATCGCCATCTTTGTCCAGGCCGCCATGGAATGCTAAAATGTCTGTAGAAGAACTTGATGAGAATGAAAGAAGGGCTTTTATTGAGTGGCGCCGCAATCTTGCAAGGTCAGGTTCATTTAATGTATTAAACTCATGGAATTAGTCAGTGCATACAAGTTGCTTCTGATGCAATTAATTTAAATGTTTGTTTCCGTGCTCGTACTTTGCTCCTCTGTTGTATGCCATAAGTAGTGTAATTAATTAATTATGGTTCTGCTCTGTTTTCTAAACTGGAAACTTTTGTGTGATGTTCGTGGTACGTATAGTTTGTGGACGATATCATTGGTAAATATATTTTTTTGTAATAACTACATGTAAAGATTTGTTTGGGCTATGTTTTTTATGAGGCTAGTTCCATTATTATGGCCTTACTTTTGTGTGATTTTGAAATATTATAAAGCTTATGTTCATGTGTTTTGATGCAAAATTGAAACTCTTACATGCAGGCTCGAGGAGAATGAAAATTTAGTTCTCACTCCATTCGAGAAGAACCTTGATATTTGGAGACAACTTTGGAGGGTGCTTGAGCGCAGTGACCTGGTTAGATAGCTTTGTCTTGCAGTACTTTGAAATCTTTTGATGAGCCATGTTTTTTAATCTTTTGACAATTGCCTGTGTATAATCGTTTAATATGGTGACGTCAAATCGAGAGAATTCTGAATAAAGATTCAGTCATAAAAGCCTAGTGAGAGTGGCATCCAAGTATTGTTTCTTTATATAATCGAATAGGGCATTGTTTACAATTAATCTTAACTTGAACATACTCCTTGCTGGCTATGTGATACGGTAGTTCTCGTCTATTGGGCTCAACAATGATAATTTGTATTTATTAAGTTTTTAGACTAAAGGAGCTATTTTCACCCGTAATTGTTTCACTGTCATTACATGTTACTCCTTAGTTCTTAATGTGTTGTTATCACTCCTTTTATCTTGTACTTATTTTATCCAACGTTGACCCTGACCCTTGCCAATGTTTATATTTGAAGCTTGTGATGGTTGTTGATGCAAGGGACCCTCTCTTTTACCGTTGCCATGATGTAGAGGTACTGTTTTCTCGTTGGCCAATAGCAAAGAGTTTTTTCCATCTTTTTGCCTGAATATTTCTGTATATATCTATTTGAAATTATCACGATTTAAATATGTATGAAAACCTTTGAGTTCCTATCATCCTTGGTATTGATTTCCGATCAAGTAATATTGTCATGTCCTTACACTATGTGTTCGCATTTGTCTAGAAAGCTCACACCAACAAATTGATTGATCAAACTATAATATACTTTGATCTACTAATAGACTCCATAGTTTCTCTATAATGGTGCCGTAGAATGCATATTTGCTAATACTTCCCGCCATGCATTAATTCATTGATCCAGTGGATTTATATCTATCATAGGCCTATGCACGGGAGATTGACGAGCACAAAAAGACTATGCTTCTTGTCAACAAGGCCGATCTTCTACCACATTCTGTTAGGTCAGTTTTATATCCCTCCTGTTATTTTCCCCCATTCAAGATCATCGACTTATCTGCAAATTTATCGACAGAGAAAAATGGGCTGAATACTTTCGACAACATGGAATTCTCTTCGTCTTTTGGTCGGCCAAGGCTGCTTCTGCTGCTTTAGATGGAAAAGACCTCCGACTCTCATCACAAATGCAAAGGAGTCGTCACCCTGAGTCAGCTGATACTAAAATATACGGCAGGGATGAACTACTTTCTCGGTTGCAGTCTGAAGCCGAGGAGATAGTTTCAACTAGACGTAAATCCAGGCCGGACACTGCCTGTTCATCCGACCCTCATTCCGATCGCCTGGGTCATGGCGTTGTCGTGGGGTTTGTTGGATACCCCAATGTAGGAAAGAGTTCCACCATAAATGCTTTGGTAGGCGAAAAGCGGACAGGCGTAACCTCGACTCCTGGGAAGACAAAGCATTTCCAGACACTGATAATTTCTGAAGAACTCACGCTCTGCGATTGCCCTGGATTGGTTTTCCCCTCCTTCACTAGCTCCCGGTACGAAATGATCGCTTCTGGAGTTTTACCGATTGATCGAATGACGGAACACCGGGAGGCCGTCCAGGTTGTTGCAAACCGTGTCCCTAGGCCCGTCATCGAGGACGTCTACCGAATCTCTTTGCCCAAGCCGAAGGTGTACGAGCCACAGTCCCGTCAACCTTCCGCAATTGAGCTTCTGAGAACGTACTGTGCTTCCCGCGGATACGTTGCTGCCGGAGGACTACCCGACGAAACCAGAGCTGCCCGACAAATTCTGAAGGACTACATCGACGGCAAGCTCCCGCACTATCAAATGCCGCCGGGAACAACTTCAGACGTCGAAAACGAACCCGAGGACACAGATGAGGTACGCGAATTGACAGACAACGAAGACACTACAGCGACGGAGAAGAACCATGTGTCGAATATCGAACACGCGCTGAGCGACCTGAACTCGTTCGACCTCAGCAACGGATTGGCTGCCGGAAAAGCAACTGCGAGTAAAAAACTGGCGGCTGCAGCCCATAAGCAGCACAAGAAGCCTCAGAGGAAGAAAGACCGGTCGTGGAGAGTCGGGAACAACGAAGACGATGGGATGCCGGTTGCCCGGGTTTTCCAGAAACCGGTGAATTCTGGGCCTTTGAAACTGTAATGAAATTACCTCTCCTTGCGAACTCTTGTTTTGATGGCTATTTTAATCTATAGTTTCCTCATTTTGTTTTATACGTACTAAGGAGATGTTTTAATTTTGTTGTACTATATAGAAGAAGGTACTTTATTTTGAACGAAGAATCCTAGGAATCAATTGAGCCAGCCCAGATATGCAATAAAGAAGTGAAGGGAACCATATGCAATGTTTTGTATGTCATAAATTATTGTACTGAAAGTTATTGGTAAGATTCAATTAACAGAACCCCACAGAACATGCTAAAAGTAAATTGATTTTGGTAGTAGTATTTTTAAATTGGTAGTATTTATTTAATCATAATACAGTTATTATTTTTATTTAGTTAGGACAGGGACAGATACAGGCTGCAGCCAATCTATTCACGCGCTGGGAGGCGCGTGGATGACTCTCTCCTTTGACCACAGTCGCCGTTAGCCGTTGTTGCGCGGTAAACGTCAAACGAGGAGACTGCACTGCACGAACCGCACCAACGCAGATGCAGAGGGACACGCTTTTAGAAAAGCGTGTTTTTCGATTTTATTGAAAACCTTCCGCTTTTCCCTTTATTCAATGTACGTACAACGGAAGATGCGCGTGGTACAAGCCTGCTGATCCGCTTTGTGTTGTACGTTATTCCTTAATAGTTGTACGAAAGTTTGGACTTTTACCAAATTGGCTTTCTTCAAAATATCTCTTCAGCGGTTTTGGTCGACGGCGCTTAATGTGGTCTTCCGAGAGAAGTCCGAAATGGATCTTTACTATTCACAGTGTGGACCCTACAAGATCTACGGTGTGGATATATCTGGCGTTGCGGTCCCGGGAGTTGCTATGAGAAGTTGATCTTTTCACACAAGTAGGCACTGTACGCAATCATTATACAGTTTTGGTAAACCACGGAAAATGGTAGAAATAAATTCTCCATCTTTTCTTTCTCCGGATAGATAGAGAGAGAAAGAAGGAGGTACAGTATATATGCGTATGTGAGAGTATGTTTGTATATATGTTTTTGTGGATAGAGAAAGCATTGATTTAGAGAGAGAAAGTTGGAGTTGGGATTGATTTTTCCTTGCATATTTACTTGTCAGCGCTTTACAGATTGGGAGAAAGGAAACCTTTGGAGAAAAAGCGGGGGAGGAGTTTTGTGGATTGAGGAAATTCTTTTCATGATCGGAGCTAGGGCTTGTGAACTTTTTTTCTTTGGAATTGTGAAGTTTGAGGATGCGGAGAGCTGAGAATTCGAGCTTCGATCTTGTTGCATAGCTTGGAAGAATTTAGGGTTTTTTTTTTTTTTTTGGTTAGAAATGGAGGAGGATTCAGTTATGGCTACGGACGCCGATCGCGATCCGTCGGAGCAGCCCTCCACAGCTAATGGTGTGGATGAGCCGAGCAAATCGGAATCGTTGGCAGCTCAGCAGCAGCAGAGTGATAGTAGCGGTAATGTTGACAGTAGTAGTAATAGCGGTGGAATTGGCGGAGGAACGGTGGTGGCAGGGCCTCGCTGTGCTCCAACTTACAGCGCGGTAAACGCGATAATTGAGGAGGAGGAGGATGGTCCTGGACCGCGGTGTGGCCACACACTGACGGCTGTGCCGTCCGTAGGTGAGGAAGGGACTCCTGGATATATTGGTCCGAGATTGATTCTGTTTGGTGGAGCTACAGCTCTCGAAGGGAATTCAACAGTGTCGGGAACTCCTTCGTCTGCCGGAAGTGCAGGGATTCGTAAGTTTTGTTTTAACGTTTGGTATTCTCTGTGATTTGCAAATTTTACTTTGGTGATGGTACTCAAGGTAGACCACATCAATTATGAGATTTCCCCACAACTGAATCGATAAAAAAATTACCTCTGACATGGTGGTCTAGAAACTTTTAGCTTTTGTTCAGATGAGATTGCTAGGTGTGTTAGCTGATATTACCCATTTTTAGCTGTCTGTTTAAGCTTTGCAGCTTGTGGGTGTTCCAGCAGAGAAGCTTATCTATATGCTGAAGGAAAAAGTTGTTCAAGTTTGCATTAGTTTGCATCAAGTTTGCATTAGTTAATGCTTGGTTCTTTCACCAAGACCTTCTGATGTGAATCACAGATTCTTCTTGTCTTGGAGATCGAAATAGTGTTGTTTATAGATCATTTCTAATAAAAAAACATGTTTTTTTGAGCTGTTGTTATTCCTTGTGCATCAATGTTTCTGCAGGTTTGGCAGGGGCTACAGCTGATGTGCACTGTTACGACGTTTTGACAAATAAATGGTCTCGGTATGCTTAAGTAATTTACTGATTGCAATATTTGGTGGATTTTTGTTTCATTTTATGGTCGAACTTTGATTCTGCTAGTTTGAACTTGAATTTATATGAATAGACTTTAATCTCTACAGAATTTCGCCTATCGGAGAACCACCCACACCTAGGGCGGCTCATGTTGCCACTGCAGTGGGTACAATGGTTGTTATTCAGGTTTGTTTAATTGCAAACTATGTCGGTATGTTTCATTTATTTCTCTATTTTGCATACATTTATGGCGTTTTAATATTCATGATCACTACAGGGTGGGATTGGCCCAGCTGGTTTATCTGCAGAAGATCTGCATGTTTTGGATCTCACTCAAGAACGACCACGATGGCATAGGTTGGTAGCGTTGTAAATACATATATATAGATATTTTATTTGTTTATGTATGCATGTCTAAGGTCATTCATAACTAACTTTTGATCGGTTGTCCACGTGTTTTAAACACTTTGTTTTATTTTATTTTTTCTTTTATAGCTGACTCCGCCTATCCTTTTACCCAGGGTTGTGGTCCAAGGACCTGGGCCAGGGCCACGATATGGGCATGTGATGGCTCTGGTAGGACAACGGTATCTCATGGCCATTGGTGGAAATGATGGTTTGTGTTGTGTTTATACTTTTTGGAAGCTTTAGCCCTAGTTTGACTAACAAATTCTATACAACTGATAATTTGGTGCATTCTTATTAGGAAAACGACCTTTGGCTGATGTCTGGGCACTGGACACTGCTGCAAAGCCATATGAATGGCGGAAACTGGAGCCAGAGGGAGATGGGCCGCCACCTTGCATGTACTTATAATTCTCTATGTCTTATTTGTTAGTGTCAATTAAATATACCTAGAACGTAAGCAACAATGATTTAGTGCCATCATCCATATACGTCTTAATTCTCCTCTGGCAATTACTTCCATTCATTATTATGAGGTCAGCTGTTATGAATCTATGTAAAGTCTTGCAACCATCTTCTTTACTCAATATGGCCTAAATGCAAAAGTCATCTCAATTTCATTTTACAGCTATACAATTGTGTATTCTATAATTGTTGTAGACTACCACTTTCCGACACTATTTATGCTTGTGCTTGAGTTACAGACATACTTCTCCTGAGTAACGTATGTTTTATTAATACGTTATGGAAAAAGTCATGTAATTTATTTACCTATCAAACTCCCATCTTCTTGTGTTTGACTTCCCTGACATGTGCTTCTAGTGGTTGACATGCATGCTCTATATTGAAGTTGCATCCATTTTCTTTTACTTACTTGAATGTTTAATCCTGCAACTACATATCGGAAGGTATGCTACTGCGAGTGCACGTTCAGATGGTCTTCTTCTTCTCTGTGGTGGGAGGGATATAAACAGCGCGGTCAGTGGCATTTATAAATTTTACCACTTTACGTTAATTCAAATTATATTAACTTCTCATTTTAATCGGTGGTTATTATATGCCCTTGCTTGTGTGTGTGTTCTGGCTTCTGTGCTCTCTTTTTCTCACATTTCTTCAGAGAAATGTTCGATTGTTCCTTTCAACACTAACATGCTAGCCACCAATTGTCTCAACCCTTGTTAAAGGGTGAGGAATATATGGTAACTCAGTGTCTGAATTGTGGTGTTATTGATTTGCCACTATAAGTAGACATCTATATTATTTAAAACAGAATCTTGAAGTATCCAAGTATCTATTTTGTAGTAATTTCAAATTTTTTACTCTTTACAACTTTCGGTTCCATCCCATCAAACATGATTAATTTATTTCTGTTGTCCAAAAACAATGTAACATATGCACCACTTTTTTGCTTGCCCCATTTTCCCAACTCTATATTGGTGGTGTATGAAGTTAACATATGTTTTAACTTTTAAGTATACTTTCAATCTGATTACATAGTTCTTTTCTGATTTGATGCAGTCCATTTCATTGCAGATTACATGCACGCCATTTCTTATAATGCTTTCTTACAAGTAGCATCTAATTCTTATCTTCGTTAAAAAAATAACTTAATTTTTCTTAGAACCCAAGAAAGGAAGACTGTTCATGAAATATAATTATAAAGATAGATATAAATACATAACCTAACTCTTGCAATGTAATTCTAGCAATGGCTCACTTTTAGAATAATATAGGAAATGAAATATACAATAAAATTCCATAATTGGTAAATGTAATTAGAATAACTAAACCACTCACCTGTCTTTTACTGCTGTGTGCAACAAAGACATCTGCAATGGTTTATTATATTATCATTGGGGTAGTTTTATTACATCCGGGTTGTACATCACATGAAAAGCTTTATGGGAAATAAACTCTTTCTGCCTCCTTTACCTCTTTGCCATGTATTTGTTGGTTACTTGGTATGATCATCTTAAACAACTATGAATGGTATATGAATTCAAATGTGCTATTGTGCTTTTTTGCAAACATGATCATATAATTTGTCTTGAATGCTGTCTCTTTAAGGGCTTGAACCCTTTGTATGATTATGTTCATGGTGCTCATGCATGGTTTTATTTGTCAGCATCTTGTGTCTAGCAGGGGTTTGTTCACTTGGTGTTTTTTCTTACCATTTAGTCTCTCACTTAACCTCAAAAAAATCAAATCCAGTGTCCATTCTCCATAAAAAACATCATATCTATTCAACCATCTCACCTCAAAAATATTGCAGCTGTCTTATGCTGTCTAGAATATCGGTCTACCTACATTTCGGTACTGTGGCTAAATTTACGTAGTTGGAGCAATTTGTAAAGTATTCGTATTATCAAGGTTTGTTTGAGGACCCAATGCATAAGTAAAACAGTTTGCCTTACAAAGTACATTAATAGCTCTTTGAAATGCTGAAAATTTTCTGCAACTTTTTCTAGCTGGAGAAGTCTTCTATAAGTTGGCCATAATGTGATGGAATGTAGTCTGAAGTATCATCTTTTGCTTTCATCCATCGTATGACATCTGTGTAATGATCAATTGCAGCCACTGGCTAGTGCATATGGACTTGCCAAACATCGAGATGGTCGTTGGGAATGGGCCATTGCTCCTGGTGTCTCGCCATCTCCAAGATATCAGCATGCTGCTGTAAGTTATTCATTATGGAGTTATTAGTGTAGTTGTCATGATGTTACAGCTACGTTATCTTTCAGTTGCTTATAATCCAACATCATTGTCCATCACCGCCTATGAGAACTTCTGATTATATTTTTAATGTTCTAGGTTTTTGTCAATGCACGCCTTCATGTGTCTGGAGGGGCACTTGGTGGGGGCCGAATGGTAGAGGACTCCTCAAGTGTGGCTGGTATATTTATACTTGAAGTGTTCTATCAGATTATTCTTGCATCTGCCAAAGATGAATTAATGTCCTAGCTAAACATTTTATGTGTTGTTTGTTCAGTTTTGGATACCGCAGCTGGAGTCTGGTGTGACACAAAATCAGTTGTTACAACTCCAAGGACTGGAAGATACAGTGCGGATGCTGCTGGTGGGGATGCCGCAGTTGAATTGACAAGACGCTGTAGGCATGCTGCTGCTGCAGTTGGTGACCTGATCTTCATTTATGGTGGTCTACGTGGTGGTGAGCAGTGATACTGTAGTATGAATAATGTCAATAATTATCTGGTATTGTGTGGGGTTGGTTTTGTTCCATAGCGAAGAATACAAGTTTGATGTTGGGGAAGACAGCAGTATAATTTACAGTACTGTTGAACTAAAATTAAATAAAGATGAGATGGAGTTAGCTCTATGGAATTCCATTCCACTGGAAGCATCTCCGTTTTGAAGAGTCTTTAAGTAGGAATTCAACAAAACTGGCAAGTCATAGAAAAGATCTTGCAGTGTGTGAATAATCTAAATGTCTGTTGATGTGAATTGATAATTTCAATCATGAAATTGCCTTCATAAATGCTTATCTTGATTAAGAGGTGGTTAACTGGTGCAGTATTTGAATTCAGCAAAGAATTTCATAGGCCAACGGAAGTCTAATCTTGATTATTGTTGACATCTTTGAAATATTTAGGTCTGTATTGTAACTGGTTTGATGATTTTGGTGTTTCTTACATGGGTTTATTAAGCCATCAAGGTTTTGTGAAAGTTCAACATTTGAGCCTGGCACTGGTTAAAAGACTAAAAAATAGAAACAATGGCTGTTGGAAGGCTTTCAGCAGAGTTACCACTTCGTGTGGCAGGCAGAGAAGTATAGAACATGATAATTACGACCCAGTTTCTGGAATGTCTTGGAAACCCCATTTCTGTTCAAGCCTTCTGTGCATACTGCTTTGTGGTCTTCCTTGTGGGTTTTCCATGAAGAGTAGTGATATAAACTGCATGTATTATACAGCAAGCTAGATGCGATGTATTAATATTTATTATAAGATAGGGCAATTGCTACTTAACAATTTTATATTCTTCATCTGTGTAGGGGTTCTGCTGGATGACTTACTTGTTGCTGAAGATCTTGCTGCTGCAGAAACAACTAGTGCAGCTTCTCATGCAGCAGCCGCAGCTGCTGCATCTAATGTGCAGCCAGGAACGTTACAGGGTAGATATGGATTTACAGATGACAGAAATGGGGCGACTGTACCGGATGCTGCTGATGGTGAAGTTGTGGTAGGAAATCCTGTTGCTCCACCCGTAAATGGTGATATTTATACAGATATAAGCACTGAAAATGCAATGCTCCAAGGTCCCAGGTGAAGCTCCTATTAATTCTCTTTTGTCATGGTAATTCTTGTATTTTACATATGTTGGCTGCCTCAAGTTCTGAGTCTTTTATGGTTTTCATTTACAGAAGATTGAGCAGGGGCGTTGAATACCTTGTTGAAGCAGCTGCAGCAGAAGCTGAAGCTATCAGTGCTGCACTTGCGGCTGCCAAAGCTAGGCAAAATGGAGAAGTTGAGCTGCCAGATAGAGATCGTGGAGCAGAGGCTACTCCTAGTGGGAACCACATCTTGATCAAGCCTGATTCTGCAACATCAAATGATTCTACTCCAACTGGAGTTAGGCTTCATCACCGTGCTGTTAGTATTCTGATAAACAGACATCTTACCTTTAGCCAGAATTTAGGATTCTGGAGTTAGGTTTCAGTATCTGTGATAATGTATATGCAGGTTGTTGTGGCTGCTGAGACTAGTGGTGCTTTAGGGGGCATGGTCAGGCAGCTTTCGATTGATCAGTTCGAAAATGAAGGCAGGAGGGTCAGTTATGGAACTCCAGAAAGTGCAAGTGCAGCTAGGAAACTTCTAGATAGACAAATGTCAATAAACAGTGTACCAAAGAAGGTATCCTTTACATTCTGTTTCATTCTTTTATGAATGCACTGGAGTGTTCTGAGCTGAATGTAGGTCTCCCACCATTTTTTGCTAGTTATTGACCCATATTCTGGATCATGTTGCTTGAATCTGCCAATTTACAACAAATGAAAACTGTTATTGATAGAATGAGTGTGTAGGATATAACAAGATGAAAACTCATTTCTTGAAAATGTGTACATTCAAGATGTCATGACAGTTTTACCTCAAAAATTTTGAAGTATGCACTTTCTTATGCCACAAAGTTGCATTTAGTTGATATTCTGAAGGTATCTTTAACTGCATCCCAGGTGATTGCTCACCTCTTGAAGCCTCGTGGCTGGAAACCTCCAGTTCGAAGACAATTTTTCTTGGATTGCAATGAGATTGCAGATCTCTGTGACAGCGTTGAGAGAATTTTTTCAAGCGAGCCAACTGTACTACAGTTGAGGGCTCCTATCAAGATATTTGGAGATTTGCATGGTCAATTTGGAGATCTGATGCGACTTTTTGATGAATATGGATCACCATCTACTGCTGGGGACATAGCGTGAGTATTTGGCACTTGCATCTTGCTATGCTGCAGAGCATCTTCAGTTCTTTCTATTTTATACTGTAACTTCACCACTAAGTCTAACCATCATTAATATTGGTATAGTTGCTTCTTGTGGATATCATTTTTTAGGGGGTTCAGATCTTTAGCTGAATTGGTGGTCATGTCCCACATAATTTGTCAACATGTTTATGGACATTTAGAAATGAAGTGTTTCTTTCAATCTCTATTTTAAAAGAATGTTTATCTGATTAGTGTAGGCATAGCAGTGTTATTTTCTAGTTATGCATGTTATGTATCTTACATAAATCAGTGTTGTCTCTCCACCAACATATATATTCTTGCTCACAAAAAACCATAAACTAAAGGGGAGCATAGTTCTATTTTAAATTTCTTTTTACGCCATTTTATTGGCCTCTGTATTGATGTCTTTTTTCCCGCCTCTTTACTGATTTTGAGTGTGTATGCCAGATATATTGATTACCTCTTCTTGGGAGACTACGTTGACCGAGGACAACACAGCTTGGAAACAATGACTCTTCTCCTTGCTTTGAAGGTAATAACCCATTCGCCAACTCATAACTGAGGCAATCATCCTTCGCGCTTTCTCTAGTACAAACTGATAAATTTGTCTATGCAAATGATGAGCACGTAGGTCGAGCATCCTCATCAAGTACATTTAATTCGTGGTAATCATGAAGCTGCAGATATCAATGCTCTTTTTGGCTTCCGAATAGAATGCATTGAGCGAATGGTAAATCACCTAAAGTTCTGTTGCTCTCTGCTTTGTTATCTGGATAAACACTCAGAGAGCTGACTGTTTATGAAACAGGGTGAGAGAGATGGGATATGGGTGTGGCACCGGATTAATAGATTGTTCAACTGGCTTCCTCTGGCAGCATTAATTGAGAAAAAAATCATCTGTATGCATGGCGGTATTGGGAGATCAATAAACCATGTAGAACAGATAGAGAATATTCAGCGTCCAATTGCTATGGAGGCAGGATCTATTGTGCTCATGGACTTGTTGTGGTTAGTGCCTCTTCATATTGAAATATTTTTCCGGCCACTTTATAAGACTAATTGTTGGGAAATAAAATTTATTATAACCAATAAGTTATTTGGCTACTAAATTAGTCGTAAGTTTCTATGATTGCTCGTGTTCAGGATTCTCAGTCTAAGTGTATCAATCATTTCAAGATTTTACTGTATTCCAACTCTGAAAGTTAGTCATTGAGTTCAGTGGGGAAGAATTCCTCATTGTTTCCAACATTTACAATCTGGACTCTCATTGTGGATGTTACCCTGCAGGTCAGATCCCACCGAAAATGACAGTGTAGAAGGACTGCGACCAAATGCACGAGGTCCTGGCTTAGTAACCTTTGGGGTAGGCACTTCTATTATTGAATCTTTCCCATTTCTTCAATTTGTGTTGTTGAAATGAGATTTTAGATATTATTGAAGATCATTGTGTTTGTGTGTGTTTTCCTCTGTTTTTGGAACCCTTTGGAAACTTCATCACAAATTTCTCTGGTATCTCTCTACCGTGATGGTTCCTCGTACACATTAATGTTTCTGAACAACAATAATTCATTGAATGACCAGATTCTGTGTGCCTCTGTGCATATGGTTCATCAGAATTCTTTTGTTTTTGGCAGCCTGACCGTGTTATGGAATTCTGCAACAACAACGATCTTCAGTTGATTGTTCGAGCACACGAGTGTGTAATGGACGGATTCGAAAGATTTGCTCAGGGACATTTAATTACTCTATTTTCAGCCACAAACTACTGCGGTAAGCCTTGCCAAGCATCCATCCGCCATTTCACATATCATAGCTGATAACAAAAAAGTTGCTATTATTTCCACAGGTACAGCAAACAACGCTGGTGCAATACTGGTTCTCGGGAGGGATTTGGTGGTCGTCCCAAAGCTTATACATCCATTGCCTCCCGCAATTTCATCGCCAGAAACTTCTCCCGATCACCACATAGAAGACACATGGATGCAGGTAGAGTTGTTTTGCTTTGCATCCCATTTCCAATCCAAGTAACACTGATATTTGGATGATTCTGTTCATCTCTTTTGTGTGTATTGCAATCAGGAGCTAAATGCGAACAGACCACCTACGCCAACTAGAGGGCGTCCGCAAGGTGCCAACGACCGAGGTTCTCTGGCCTGGATTTAAGACCACCAATCCATAGCAGCAGCGCAGGATGGAGTTTCTAGTGAGTTGTACATAGAGAGCATAGAAGGAACATTGCCTCCATGGAGAAATTTAGAATATTCCCGCCAAGCCAGAAGACAAGACATATATATATATATATATGTTATATCTCTCTCTACAATGATCTCCGCAGTGAGTGAGTCATTTGAAGTCCACAACGGACGGACAGGCGGCACAAGTACTCTTTCTCTCTCTCTCTCTCTCTAGATATATATATATATACATGTATTTACATCTTTATAGAAGTTCATAAATGTTTTTGTTACTAAGCTTTGTGTTTAAAGAGGACACAGAAGATGATAGATGCGAGTTGAGTGACTCACTGCTGACAACTTAATATGTATAAATGGAGGGAGAGGTATTGATTTATTTGCCCCCTGCACCAGCACTACCCCATGTATGTAGTCTCTCTCTCTCTCTCTCTCTAGATATACACATATGTATCATCATCATCAATTTGAGGAGTGGGGAAGTAGTTAGTAGTGTTATTATGCAAGAAGTGGGGGTGGTGGGATTGAGAATGGCATTGGCAGTAGGCTCAATAAAATTGAATAGTAGTATTAGTATCAAATTTGAACCTCCTAGCCCAAATTCGAGTTGTGCCATGTTTAATAATAATAATAATAATAATAATAATAATGAGAATGCATAGAATTGAGTGACAATCACATTGGCAGTGAGTCATTAATTAAGTTGGTTCACAGAAAGTGATGAAATAGCAAGCTGCCAGCCAGCAGTGAACCTGAAGCAAACAAAGTACATGCAGGCAGGCACAGAGACAGAGAGGTAGGCAGGGCAGGGTGCATGTGTAATTTGGCACAGGCATCATGTAATGAATGTATTTAGTTAATTAGGTAAGAAGAGAATAGTAGACATTAGTAGAATAGAGTAGATTGTGGAGGGAGGGTAGGTATTAGCTAAGGAAGGCAGTGACATGACATGACAATTGCTATTGAGAGAGAATTGACAGGTGATCATCATCATCATCATCATCATCATCATCAACATCGATCATAACCACTAAACTCCAAAATCCCAACTGCCTGATTTGACATTACAGATTCCCTCTCTCTCTCTCTCTCTCACTCTCACACACTACTCATCACACAGTATCCAACCCCTCCTTGTCACTTTTTACTTTTTTTTATTCCATCCTTAACTTCATATTTCATTTTTACTATTTCAACTCATAAATCAGATCATTTTCAAACAAGTTGACCTTCTGTTAGGTAATTCAATTGAATCTCGAGTGTGTTAAAAAAATAGTAATAATTTAATATAATATTTTATTAAAAAAACCTACTGATTAACATGAAAATTAAACAAAAACAAAAACTTCAAATTTATTTAGTGTTTTAGTTTGAATTTTCTTTTTCTTTTTTTTTTTAATGTAAAGCATGAAAATTTATATTGTTCATATTTTTTAAATAAAATATATTTTTTTAATATTAATTTTTTATAAGAAAACAAACATATATATATATTGTATGTTGGAAATTTGTTTGTAGAAATTTAATTGAACAAACAAACTCAAGTTTATGATAACTTGCTCATCTAAATTTTATTTTTGATTATTCTCAAACCTATCTTTTCACGCTTTCTACTTATGGAAACTCGAGTCGCTCGTCATTCTATTAACTACAACGACCCGATACATTCCTTGTTGCAATTATTCAAGAGTCACCCTCAACAATTATGATGATATTGAATGGTTTACGACTAAATGGCCATGCCAAAACTCAAATCAGTTGCAATTTCACCATAAAAAGCAACATGAAAAATCGAGGGATATGAAAATAGGAGACGTATTGTGCATTCACCTAAATTATTACCTAAAGTCTAGTGTATGCAAAAGTGTCGGCGTGCATACACACACAAATAAAGATGAAAAGTTAAAGTGTGCACATAACATAATGGAAAGTTAAAAGTATCGATAAGTGAGTTAGCTTAGGAGAGCAATCACTCGTCATGTGGCATCAAAAATTTGGTGGGCTCGCTTTCTTGATTTGATGTCAAACTCTCGAATAGACTCTTCGTTGTTTGAAGTGTTTACATCAATCCTTCGTGGGTCCTTACACCAAGTCTAACGGCGATTTTTCATAAGTTTTTTAGATCGTGGATTGTACTAAAAAGTTACAATTAGGCTTGGTTAAGTTAGGTCGTAGTTGTGCGAGCTAAGGTAAAAATAGAAATTTTTTATTTTGAAAGAGAGTTCAATTATAGTCTCGTAGACAATAATTTCAATTTTGATCCAACAATTCACACTGAATATGAGTTCAATTTTGATAAACTAAGGAGATTTTTTGGAAATAAGAAAATTATTTACTTTGTCGTTCAAATTTATGTTCGTTGTTTTTAAGTTGTTATTTTATTTTTCATTTTTTTTTTTAGTAAAAAATCATATTTCCTCTACCATCAAAATTTATGTCCACTTTTTCTTAAGCCATCAAAATATATTTTTGTTTTATTTTTTTAGTAAAAAAGTGCATCCCTTTTTTTTTTTTGTATTTCTTATTACAAAAAATAATAATTATTACCCACTATTATTTGAGTATACAAATTTGAATGATAGTAGAGAGTATCCTTTTTTGTATTTTATAAAAAAGACTATTAATTATTATTATTTTTTTCACTAAATTATAGGTCCACATATTTAAGAACAAAGTTAAATAACGAATAAAGTAATTAGAACAAAGTAATGGTGTGTGTTGAAACGTACACAATAAAGATCCATTACAAAAGTGATAAATAAACACACACACATATATATATATATAAGATAAAACATTGTGGTAACCCCTTTTACTAGTATTTTACTTAAATATTAATTTATCTTCAAAATAGTGTGTGTTAGGGAGGGGGGGGGGGGGGGGGGGGGAGGGGTTATGATGGATACATTGAATATAAGATTATGGTTATGTGGTCCTCATGACTATACATCTATCTTTGCATTTAATCTTAATGGGCCATTGTGTGTTGTTTCTACTTAGCCAAAGTTGGCATTATTGTCCTTTTGTGATACAAATACACTTGCTCTATCTATCCAACCAAACTTTCTTCCCATTCTTGTCCTTTTATGACATTGATACACTATTGATCCAATCAACCTTTGCACAACACACACATACATACATATGTTTGTGCACATCTTTGTCTCATCAAAACTCATTTAGCATTTATACACATCTAAAGTCCGACATTTTAGGCCCCTCAAGCTTGCAATAGATCAAGAAAAGGCAATCAATACACATTCACGTACACTTGTCTCTATACATATGCATATCATTACAACTTACATAACATCATCGTTTCATCATTTGCATATACATAAAAACATTGACACATATCAAAAAAAAATAAAATAGGGTTCATATAGAAGCTATATGTATCGGGACAAAAAAAAAATGCAATTCTTTGTAACCCTAGAGTGCCCCCAAAGATTAATCGGCATTCATTACTTCCTTGCATTTTGTCCCAATCAATATACGCCAAGAAATGCCACAAGTTAGTTTGCACTTTCGGGTGGAAACTCGCATATTTTTGAAACCTCTAATTATATATATATATATATGTTTGTCTTTTCGAGTGACAAAAAAATAAAAAATAAAATAAGTTGGACTTAGTAGAGTCCAAGAGGTTTGTGTTGAGTCCCTTGATCTCCTCCTCCATTGTTGTCCACATTCATCGTGTTGTCTTGTTTGTTCGAATTTGCCTCCAGCTTCCTTCCATAATGAATATGAGGAAAATGCGCCCACTGCATACATAGCCATTTGATATGATCTCGATATATATATATATATAGTCAAAGGGATTATAACAAATATAAAAGCAAATATCATTCACAAAACCAAAATTGTGGTTGTTTTCAAATCAAATAATTCAAAGATGAAACACGAAACCGGGGTATTTAGCATTTTTATTTCACAGTAATAAAGTTCCAATGAATCCAAAAAAAAAAAAAGAAAGAACCGATAATAATGAAAAATAAAGAAAACTTAAATTGCTCCTAATAGTATACACTAATTTCAATTTTTTGGTTTCCTAGCTAATGAATGAATCATGTTTTTACTCAATAATCAGCAAAGATCAAACATTATTATCTAATCAATTTTATCAATGAGATATTTATAAGATATATATAAACATAAATACGTACGTTTTTTGCAGCAGTGCTGAAAGCTTCGCGGTGGCTAATCTCGGGATTGCTTGCCTTTATCCTTTGAATTTCTTCTCTACAAATGTGTTCACAACAAATGATCTTATGAATCCAATGTGATTGTCATAAACTAAATGTATCTTTCAATAATTATATATATATATGTATGTATGTATGTATACTCATTTCCAAACAAAAATGTCTATAGTTTTTTTTTTTTTCACATTAATTTTATTGCAATAAGATCATACTTACTTTATGAAACGATTGTATGCAGATGGAACACGTTGTCGTTTCTCCGGCGCTGTAAAAAGAATCTGTATTAAATTTGAAAGGAATATACTATACACAGGAGCTCCATTTACTCTTATTTTTTTATTTTTTTTTCTATTTATGTAATTTTGTTATTCCCATAAAAATATATTATTTTTTTTTGCAGAACATTAAATTCAATTCATTATTTAAATGAAAAATCAATTTAAATCAAAACTAAAAATGAAAATAACCTAGCTCCTAGCACACACACATAATTATTCGAATATGTGTATGTAGGTAGGGTTTTTAACAATTCAGGGATCATTATATTCTGACTCTTAATCTTTTTATAATTTTCTAAGAAGTTTAGCTTTCAAATTTTGAAGATCTAATTCTCTCTCTCTCTCTCTCTCTCTCTCTCTCTCTCTCTCTATATATATATATATATATATAGTATATACTGTATTTTCATATGATTGCATTCGTATAAAATGTAGTGTCACAATCACAGAACTGATGATTATCAACTAAGGTAAAAAGAGATAAAAGTCAGGCGCCCCTTTTCAGATATCATGGAATAAAATCATCAAAGAATAAATAAATAAATACTTCTTACTTGATGACAAACAAGACACTTTAATATATATATATGTAAATACACGCAATGATACCACACTACTTAATTCGATAACCTAGCTACAAATTTATTGCCCTAATATGTAATTAACTTCATCTAACTGATGATGAACTAGTATTTAAAAATATATATATATATTATAAACACTATAAAAAAAAATTGTATATTTGTAACGGAATTCCGTCCCTAAAGTTCACGTAGCTAACGTAATTTTATCCCTAATTCCTTCTCTAATGTCATTAGTAACGGAAAAAGTGAATTTAGGGATAAAAAAAACTTAGTTACAAAAATGATATTGTTTTGTACTGAAATTGAAAGAATAAATTTGCTTACGGCGAATCGGGGCCATCCTAGGCTGTTCATGGTGAGCCCTGAACGGACCAAAAATGTTGCCCTTCGAAGAAGGCGAAGACGAGGATGAGCCATTGTCTTGATGATTGTTGACAGCTTCAGACATGGCTGAATTATTATTGCTACTATTATGATGCTGCTGCTGCAGCTTCTGTAATGAGTTTTATTGGCTCAAATTAATTATACAATATTTATGATCAATTATGTGAATTAATTGAAGCATATGAAAATTTAAATTAAAAACCCTAACCTGGAAATCTTGAATGTGGTTATAATAGACAGGCTGCATCAGCAATGCTCCCAAGTTTACAGACAACAAGTTCGAGCAATGCCCGCATCTGACGGTGACGATCGTTGGGACAGTGCAGGTGCACGGTACGCTAACCTGGACCGTCACACACACGATATTGATCTCTATTCAATTGAAGCTTGTTTTGAAAAGGAGGATTTCTGCAGAAAAACCTAATGGCAGCAGAAACCCTAGATTGGCTAAAAACCCTAATTCTACAGGGAAAGGTTTGTGATTATTTCATCAATTTGGGGGATGATTAATTAAGAAATACGTGCAAGACATGTTTAATTTCACATGGGGAAATGTGAGTGGCCATTAAATGGAAATCTTTTCTTTTCTTTCTTTTTTTTTTTTTTTTTTTTTTTGTTTACTGGAAATTTAAAAGGTGTCTTTGATGATCACTTTCCTGACTTTATTCTTTTTTTTGAATAAGAAAATGAAGAATTATTTTCTGGTAGGTAATCTGACAGTGCATTCGTTCCACTGTGTGTGGTGTGTGCAGAGAGAAAATGACATGACTGGGAACAGAAATCATCAGCATTGGAATCATGGCTTCAATTATGCAATACTTGTTTTCCTACTTTGGTAATAAAAATACTGCAATAAAATTCGAAACTGAAAATAAATAAATGAGGATTGATGGGTAAATATAGGATTAATTATATCCATATGGAATAAAAAAATTGTACTTCCAATAGCCATGATTTTGTTTTGGCAGTTCTTTCCTGGATGAGATCTATCAGTTCTTAACTAAGATCTGATCTTTGCTGGGGGAAAATTTTTGAAAAATTAATCCCGGAGAATGGATTGGAAGAGGACACAAATTCGAGGATGAGAGATCGTAAATCTTGAATCTTGATGAAATTAAAGGCAGTATGAGAAAGAAAGAAGTGTGTTTTGTGTGAGTGAGTAATAAATAGATTTAAAGCCAAAAACCCTAAAAAAGAAGTGTACCAAGATCACCATCGAAAATAAGTATGATGGCTGAAGAGTCTGCTCCACTTTGTTCTTGGTGATAATCAAAGCCTCGATCATTATTATGGTCCATGAAATCTAAATAAATCTATTCAGTTTGAATTTATTTTTATTTTTTCCCTAAAACCTCTTTCACAATAATGGAATTAATTCTACCATAGATAGAAATCCTGATCCATAGCTGCATCAAATCAAACACGCATACACACACATCTATGAACCTTTGATAATATATATGGATATAAAATAAAAAAAACTGAGAAATTAATTTCAGCATAATTAATAAAAAAAAAAAAAAAAACATACCAAAAACATATAATGGGATAACAAAAAATAAAACTGAATTGAATAAATGTAATCTAATATACCGCAAGAATGGTGTTGCAGAAGTTGCAGTGAAGATAACAAATTCGTTCTGAGGATGGTGGTGGTGGTGATGAAGATGATGATGAAGTGCTCATCTCTACAGACATTTTCGCAGCTCGGTTTCGAACTTTAATTTTGTCCCTTTATCAGATAGATCTAGAAACAAACCTAAACCATGAATTTCGATGGATGCAAGAAACCGATTAGATGAGTTGAAGCTAAGGAACAATCAAGAATATTAGAGGGTGTTTGAGTTTGTATTTTGTGGCAGACAAAAAAGAAAGAAAGGAAAGAGGAGATCGATGTAGGTAGGGAGGAATGAATTATATTAACAAGTTGAGGGCTAAATGAATGTATTATATAATTAAGTATACTTATATGAGGTTTGGGATCGAACTTGTTAGAATATTGAAATTTTGTAATTTTTGTCCTCCTACACTAGTCCTATTCATCTTGGTCCCCCTAATTTCTTGGCTTCGACAAAGAAAGCTTTCTACTTTTTACATTATTATTATTATTATTATTATTATTATTATTATTATTATTATTATTATTATTATTATTATTGTGAATTTAAAGGGGAAGAAAAAAAATCCCAATTTGAGAAAACCCTAATCTGGTCCTAAATTAGGGTTTCAAAACATAAGATCAAAAGTTTTACTAAATTAAAAAAGGAGTAAGGTGCATTAACATGGACATTTTATTAATTTAGGATTTGTTTGTTTTGTGTATAAAAATTAGAGTAATTAATTAAATAATAGTTGGAGGTATTTTTTTGTTTAGAAGCTTTTTTGTCCTTTGTGTTTTAGTGTGTTTGTTTGGTGGATTGGATTAGATTTTCATTATTCATCCAATTTTTTTCCCCAAAAAAATATCAAATCAAACACCTATTTTTTATTTTTTATATTATACTAAAAATTAATTTTACATTCAAAACATCACATCAACACCTATTTATATCACATCATACAACTATTCAAATTCAAAATTTTTACTATTCAAATCCCAACTTAAAATCCAAAGCCCCAAACAAACACACCTTTAATCTAATTGTATTTATGTAAATAAGTTAAAGTTTGAAAGTATTTATAATAAAAGGTGCGATCAAATTTATCAAGAAATAAAATATTTACATTATTAGGGAATAGACGAAAATGACAAAATATATAACTTGTTAGAGGAACGGAAAAAGTATTATTTCTTTTTTATATAAATATTAAATTAAATACTATTCAAATCAAAATTCAAAGTAAAATACAAATGCAAACAAAACAAAAGGTTTGTACTTATGCTCAATTTTTCAGATATTTAACTTTGTTTTATGTTTTCAAACTTATTATATTATTCACCAAAAATTATCCTTTTAACAAATATTACAATCAAAATTTATTATTTATTAAAAATATTTCGGCAAAAAAATTTTATTTAAAAGATTAGTATATACAATACATTTACATCGCATTAAATATATCTTTTTTATTCTAACTTGTTTTGCTTTAGTTACCCGGTGATCGGATCAAATAAGTATGATAATAAATTTTTGTACTATATTCTTAAATAATCTTGAAATTCAAAATATTTCTAAAAATAATGTATATATACTCTGTCTGTATATTAAAAATAAACATAATTTTGTCATTTAAGATATCCAAATTAAAAATAATAGACATGTACTTGGTAAATATGAATTCTACATATTAATGAATATATCATACGCATTAGTTTTTACATGCTATCCACTAATATAAAATATTATTATTATTATTATTATTATTATTATTATTATTATTATTATTATTATTATTATTATTATTATTATTATTATTATTATTATGTTATCAATGTACAAATAATAATAATAATAGCAACACCATGAATTATAATTTTATTAATTATAAATGATGCAAAAAAAAAAAATCAAAGATCGTTTAATTTACTTAGATGTTTAATTATAATTTTCATATTATTTATAAAAAAAAAAAAAAGTCTAGAACATTCAATATATATTTACACACTACCTCCATTCGGTTCGAAGGTCTCATTTACTTTTTGCATATTAATATTTGAATATTAATTATTATATCGAAACGTGGTAAGAATTAAGAAAAAATTGCAAAAATATTTCAATTAGTGTCTTATAATACTAATAAAATGACATTTGTACAAAAAAAAAATATATACAAATATAAAGATATTTTTAATATTAAATACAATGACGTAAAAATATTTTTAAAATTTTTAAAAAATTACATCATATAATATTTGTTTTATATTCGAATTTGAAAGGCTCTATTTAGACACCCTAAAAGGAAAAAGAAATTACTTTCACATTAGAGGTTGTCGATCACAACTCACAAATTTACCAATCATATCAATTCCACCATCCCTTACAAGAATGAGTATTATTATTATTACTATTACTATTACTATTACTATTACTATTACTCATGACCCCGCGGCAATAATATGTTACCCTTTATCATTACATCCTTAGTAACTACATACAACATTTATATATATATATATATATATATAGATATTCAGAAAATAATGATGAGTCTTGTTTATGTTTCAACTCTCCTCTTTTTTATTTTATTTTTTTTTATTTTTTTATTTTGCCACATTTGGCAATTAGATGAATACATAGATTATTTCTCTACTTTTTTTTTTCTAAAATAATAGTTTGATATAATATTTTATAAAAATAATAATATACTTCACAAAAGATTGTGAGAATTGCATAGAAATTTCTTTTTTAAAAAAGTACAAATTGATACTACTCTCTCCGTCATGCAAATCTGTGTTTATTTGACCCGAGCTTTGATAAAAGTAAATAATAATTGTTACTTTTTTCTTTTATAGTAAAAAAAAATACAAAAATGTAATAATTTTTTACTTGAAAAGAAAACGAGAATATTTTTTTATGACAACCCAAAAAGAAAAGTGAACATAGATTTTAACGACAGAAGGAGTATTTGTTATGTTTTCTATTAATTTGAATAATAAAAATTTAAAATATAATGTTTTAAATAGAGAATTCGTTAACTTCGATAAATTATTGTTGATATAATTTCGATAAATATTACTCCATTCGTCATTAAATTGTATGCGCATTTGACCGACCACGAGTTTTTTTAAAAACATAGATAAAAAAAAAAAAAAAAAATACCTTTTTTAGGGTAAAGAAAAAACAGAAAAAGTTATTTTTTTTTTTAAGTAAGGAGAATAAATTTATATAACAATTAAAAATAAAAATAAAAATAAATTTGAATGATACATGAGTAATAAACAATAATATAGACCACATTCACATAGTATAAGTATATATTTTATTTTTATCACAAAAAATTGATAATGTAACAAAAACGTAATATTATTTTTTATATTAGTGACACAGTTATCATATTTTTCACATTAAAAAAAAAAAAGAAAAAGAATACTTCAAACTAAAATATGTAAACAAACACATGTTTTTTTATAATATTTTAATAAATAAGTGATGTTTTTAATTTATAGTAATATATATAATAAGAAAACAGACTTTTGTATGTTTTTTAGAATTATTTTATTTTGTTTGATACACATTTTTATCACTGTGGTGGTTAAATTTCTACTCACTCGTCCCAGATATCATGTCCACATTGGCGTTTCTGTTCGTCTCATGTACTATGTCACTTTTCTTTTTTGAAAAATAATTACACACTTTAATCTCATTTTAAATTTTTTAATTTTATTTTTTTAATTTTAATTAAACTAATCAGTTATCTTAATCTTAATTTATAATTATTTATATTATAGAATAATTATTTTCACTATGTAATGACATTGGTTGTAAATAGGTGTTGAATGGATAACAGTTAAATGTTAATTTAGTGATTTTACCGAAATTAGTAATTGGATAAATTTAACAGATAGAGTAAAAAAGGAATAACATAAATTAACATAAAATTTATGTGAATAACATATGAACCCACAGATAATAATTGATACAGTATATATTATCATTGACGTCACTACAAAAAAAAATATTTATATATTTATACAATACACTTTTAAATATAATATGTGAGCATATGATAATAATACAAATAAATACAGACTATTAGGGCATAGTAGCAATATGCACAACATATAGTGCAGTAATATTTAAAATCATGGGCTGACAGTCCAATTTTTTCAAATTCTTTTTTTTATTTTTTTGTACGGACTTGTGTTGATGAGTCTTATCAATGTGAATGTATGTATATATATATATATATATATTTCATTTCAAATATATGTATATATCAATAGTTTGTTATGTGCTGTTAAAATTCATAATTATTGCTGTGCTCAATTCCTCAAAATGAATTGATTGCGGTTCTGAATTGTTTTATAATTTAATTTTTTTTAATGGTAACATAAATTTTGTATGTGTAATATATATATATATATATTTCATTTCGACATATAAGTAGCATTAATTATCATTTTGATTTTTTTTAATGAATATATATATATATATGGAAAAAATAGTACTCCCTGCGTCATGCAAATATGTGCTCATTTGACCGAGCACGGGCTTTAATAAAATAAAAATGAGTACTAATTGTTACTTTTTTCTTTTATAGTAAAAAAATGTACAAAAATGTAATATTTTTTTACTTAAAAAGGTAATGAGAATATTTTTAAATAACAACCAAAAAGAAAGTAAGCATAGATTTGAATGAACAATCTCCTTTGAATGAATTATTTGTCACTCTTTACAAATTTAGTCTTATAAATAGCCTTTATTTAGTTTTTTAATTAAGTGGGTATGTATTTGAAAAATAAATATTTTTTTAAAAAAATTCCAATAAATGGCATTTATTATTACTTATTTAGACAAATTACAGTGTCGATGGGGCAAAACGGTTTATTTGGCACGTTCAACATATATGAAACGTATAAACAACAGAAATTTTTATTTATATGTATCATGTTAATATAAAATATACGAATCATATTATAGAAAAAAATAATACAATATAATTATTTCAATATATGAAATGCATTTATATAACACAATTAAATATTTTTATTTAACAGTTTATGTTATTTGTATTTATATTGTATTATGTCTATCTTTTTAACTATACTGAATTTTACAATACAATAACAGTCACATTATTATTATTTTGATCCTTCAAATGAAATATATATAAAAATGTAATAATAATAATAATAATACTTCCTCTGTCCCAAACAAGGGTGCGACATTTACTTTTGGTACGGACATTTACTTTTGGCACGGATTTTTAGGTAGGTAGTATTAAATAGGATAATTTAGAAATTAGGTGATGTGATGAAAAATATATATATATATATATTTTATTTGGATGATGTGAGGGGATAAAATGTAGGATAGATATTAAGTATAATTAATTATTTTCTATTTTGAAAATGTTGCAGGGTGTTTGGGACATACCAAAAAATAAATGTTGCAAGGTGTGGGACGGATGGAGTAAAAGATTGTAAATTTGTATAGGTATATATATATATAGTTATTTTAGATTACTTGTCACACATGGTTCGTCGTGACTTGCTTTATTAGGTATTACGTTCTCACGTCAATAAATAATATAATACTAATATTTCTAAAATTTCTAACTTCATAAAAATAAATAAATAAATAGATAAATATAGAAAGGGGGGAGTATATCACTTAAAATAGAAGTGGAAGGAATATTTGAATAGTAGTGTAAGTAAAAGCATCCTATAATACGTCAAGTAGAGAATTGAAGAAACGTGAGAGACATGACACTAACTGTACAGAACTGTATAGATTTGACAGTAAGCACATGACATGTCCTCTCCAAATAAATTACACATTTATTTAATTTGAACTTCCGTAAAATTTTATAATTAAAATGCATTTAAAATTGCCGTTTTTTAAGAAAAGCCATTCAGGTTACATCTCCAGGCTATAATGCTATTTCAGTCCATTCTTAAAAATAAAATAAGATACACAGTTTCATCGTAATCATCTTAATTTATAATCAATTATATTATATTATAATTATTTTTATTATATCCAGTGTGAGAATGACAAAAGTACTCCCTCCTTTACAAGTACATGCAACATTTTCTTTTTATATATCCCAAATACTCTTGCGATATTTTCAAAAATAAAAAATAATTAATTATATTTTTACTTCACATTTTATCCCTTCACATCGCCCCAATAAAATAAAATATATATTTATCTCTCTCTGTCACATCACCTGATTACTAAATTATCTTACCTAATATTACCTACATAATAAATACTCTTCCAACAATACTAATAGGGATATTTTCGTCTTTTTCACTATAACTCATTATAATACTAATATTAAAAAATTTAGTTGCAAAAGTAAATGATAACTTTGCACCGGAAAGGAGGGAATATTAGCATTTTAATAATAATGAATAAATATACTAGTGATAAAGTGAGGATTAGATAATAAATAAGGGTAAAAAAAATATTAATACATTTACTATAGCCAAAAATATAAACCTTTGAATTAAAAATATGTAAACCTTAAAAAGTAGACGGCAGAAGTATAACAATGCAATAATTTTTTATTAAATATATATATATATATATATATCATATATGTATAAACATGTTGTATTGGCTTTGCACTAAAATCCCGAATATAGTGCCATATATTAAACGAAATGTACTTTAGAAAAGTACACACCAAAGAAACATCAATTATAATTTCAAGACAAACTGATAAATAAATTTATCACCACAATCATCAAATTAGAAGTAGCAGCACTCACTCTACTCAAATTTCTTGATGAGAGACAGGTCTGTCAGCATTTTCTCAATGGCTTCATCGTCGTGGGCTCGACCTCTAGTCTGCAGAGCAATGAGTTTTATCGCTAGAAGATTTAGACAGAGAAGAACAAATAAACCATACAGATTATTATTTCTTCATCATCTTCGAATAAGATGTGTTTGTCAGGATGTCACATTTTCATCATCTTTGTAACTTCCAGATCTTTTCCTGGCATGCCTACTCTTTCGATGAGTAAATTTTTGTATTGCTCGTGTATTAGAAGAATGTAGAGGACAGTGTTACCTTGATTGATGGGACCATAGCTATGGCTTCCTCCACAGTTTCAGGACAAAGGTTTCCGAGTACGCAGAGCTGCACATTGCACAAATGAAACAAGACCAATATGATTGTTTGAGGATTCAACCTACCTACATGTACAGAAATGTATCGTTAAATTATGGAATAATTACCTCAAATTCAGCCAGCTGATGTCTGCTTAGGATTCTGAAATTGTGTTAAGATTTCCAAGGACTATCCAAGTTTGAATAATGTCAAAAGAAGGGGGAAAACCAGAGCATATAAATCTAAATTGATATGTTCAAGATCCGATAACTGTCTTCACAAAATCTGAAATGTAATCTAAATGTAAAGCTTAATCTGTTATGAATATTAGAATGAAAAGATAAACAAAAAGGTACACTGGCAATCTAAATGTAGCGAAACATGGCTGTAGATCCTCCTAACTAAAGATAGTCACTGCAAGAAGTAAATTAAAAACATCCTATGCCCACACTTAAATTATTGAGCTGTTCCGAAAAAGTATCTTAAAATTGGACGCCAGCTTTATCTTTAGAATGAACAATAAAAGGATACTCTCGAACTTGTCTCACAGCATCAGGATTTTTATACCGGCTGAAGCGCTTCACATACTGGAGTGATTTTTCAAAAACCCTGGGAAAGAAAGGAGATAAAATATTCACAATCTAGCATATGAGAAGTGCAAACTTCACACATTGCAACATTCGGAAAGTATTAGATGTATTATTTGTTCCATCAACATTTTGCTCTGCATCTGAAGCATAAAGGTTTCGATGAAGAATTACATAGTGGTTGTTTCAATTATCATCTTAGGAAAAAAAAATTAAGTCATTTGGTGCTCTAAGAAATTGTCTTAATATTTTGATTGAATAAGGAAGGCAAACCATGTAGTATAGATTATGATAAATCAAAATACAAGAAAGGTTGATCAAAAAATATATACAAGAAGGGATGCTTCACTTACTGTGACATTTGATTCATTGGATCATCGGCCATCTGCTGAAGCTGCTCGTACTTATGTTCAAGAATAAGGGCAACTTCACAATTCATGAGACACTTGGCCTTCAGGAATTCTAAGGAAGCATTTTTCAGACACATGTTAGCTCGACTTATATACACTTTAAAAGAAATTTTAAATTCTAATAAAGCAATTAGATTATCGACCACACTTGGATTAATGTGTGTCCAAAATTATCAAGTTCTCTCAAGTCAATTCTTCTAAAATGAAAGAGGGCTGTACTTCCAAGAGTAGTGTGCACAGATGGATCACATAGGCTATCACAATCATACCATTACAGACCCATGCTTAGCTATCATTAGACAAGTCCACAAACTAATCAAATGCCCATAATTGACAACAGTCAGCTATTTGTGAGAGAAAAAGATAAATATGTTTTTTTTCATACAGCAATCTCTATCAAGGTGACAGACCTATTCTCTGCATTATCAATAGAAATATAAGAAGTCACACACTCAAATTCCGGAAATTGATTTCTAGGAAAAACCGGTAACGTGAGCAATCAAAAATCTTCGAGTTAACAGCAACTAGTGGTTAGCTAAAAAGCAGCTCTTACACACACGTTTCCTTTGGCCAGAACAAAACTCATACTGCTGCAGGATATCAAGGAGAATTTGCAAAACCATTAAATAAAGAGCAAATAGTATTCTTTTCTCCTGCCATCTCTATTCCTAGGGTTAAACTTTACACTGATAAAAACCACAAAGAAAGCTACAAAAATAATGGAATGAAGACAGATGTTCCATGAGGGGCCACCACTCACCGATCAAAACCAGTCATACAATACCAGAGCTAGGCATAGTTATTTAGTTGTCGACTAAAATAGGCATAGTTATTTAGTTGTCGAAGAAAGGCACAAAAAAGCAGAAACGCCGAGTCCGAGATTAGAGTAATTCCAAATGCAATTCGCAACTCAAACAGCATCCAAAACCTTCAAAAATCGAACAAGAAAAGAAGTACCATCCGGGATTTTAAGCTCCGCCGCGTTCTCCTCTTCTTCCGCCGCCGACATACTCGATACTCACAAGTTTAGGAGAGGAGATTGACTCTAGATTCAGGAATAATCAGAGAAAAAACACCTCGAACTCGAATCACCAACAAAGCGTGCGAAACCTGCCTGCCCTGTGCCCTCCTCTTACCTCAATCGATTTCGCGTACTGCATAGATAGTGCAAACACCAGGCGGTCGCCCGGACACCCGAAACTGCTCTTTATACAAAAATAAATCAAACACTCTGTAATTGCAATTCGATCCCTAATATTTTCTTTTATTCCAAAATAGCCGCTAACAAAAATATTAGTAGAATTGATTTCGTTTCGTCCCATATAATTTATTCATATTTTTTATTTTTGTCTTGTCTCGTATAATTTGTTGTTTCCGATATTTTAATTATAGAATAAATTTTAATTTTTTTAATTTTAATTAAAATTATTTTAATTTTAATTTATAATTATTTTTTACTATATAATAATTATTTTTACTAATACACTTTTTAATTAGTTACTAATTATATTTTACATCATACAACTATTTCAAAATTTTTACTATTCAAATTTTAACTCAAAATCCAAATCCCAAACAAACTCACCCATATTTTAAATTTTATGATTTTTTACTATATAATTATTTTTAACTTAAACTATCTTATTATCTAATATATCAATATTTTTATATTTTATTTTTGTTTAATTCAAATTTTAATTTAATTTACTAAATTTATTACTACCTCCGTCTCACATACCGTGTCTGCTACACCGTAGACACGGCATGTTAGGAGAGATATAATTAGTAAATAATTAAAAATATATTAGTGAAAATAATTATAAATTAATATTAAGATAACTAATTAGTTTAATTAAAACTTAAAAAAAATAAAAAGTTTAAAATGAGATTAAAGTGTATAATTATTTTTTAAAAAAAAAAAAGTGACATGGTATATGGGACGGACAGAAACGACACGTGGACATAGTATATGGGGACGAATGGAGTATTTATTTATTGTAACAAACTAATTGATTATTATTTATATAATTTTTATATAATAAATTAATAATTATATATATTTAAATAAAATTAAAATTACAATTATTTTTTTAAAAAAAATAAATTTAGAAAAATTTAAAATATATATTAAAAATTAATATATAAACCTGCAGTTTAAACTTAATTCACTGTCTTTTAAACTGTAATTGAAACAGTTAAATCGTAATAAAATCATCATTTCAAAGATTCGAACAGTTCGGACAAATCTAATTTTGATGTGCTTTTTAGAAGAATTGCTCTAACTTTAATAAGCACCATAACATATAACTTTATTTAAATTTATTTGCATATATCATCACTACTTTAAAAAAATAACACTTACAAAATAATTAAAAAAAATAATAAAATTGTTTATACATATACTTTGAAAATTTTTAATACTAATTTTTTACAAAAAAAAAAATAATATTAAATTAAAAAAATAATATTTACAAAATATTGTATTTCTTCCAACTTAAAATATTATTTTTATAATTTCTTGCCTTCCATTTAAAAGTACGCAACTTTATATAGTAACACACTAATCATAAAAATTTAAATAATACTTACACTTATACATAAAAAAGAAAGATAAAATTATAAAAAAATCCAAATGGTACTTTCTTCCAAACTAGAGAGTATCAAACATTTGTTTTTTATTATTATTAAAAATTTTAAAATCTGTAAACATATATATAAACAAAAGTGAATCATAAAAGATTTAAATTTAATTTTATTCATTGGTAAAAAGAAAAAATGAAACCAAATTTTACTACTTAAAAACAAAATATATATATATATTATATCAAAAATGTTCAAGGAGGTTGTATATATATATATTATATCAAAAATGTTCAAGGAGGTAGTATAATTTTTAGAAAGATTTTTCCTATTTGGACCTAGATCACACACAAAAATAAATAAATAAATAATAATAATAATAATAATAATAATAATAATAATAATAATAATTTGTCTTATAATACATCATATCAAATATTAAATTAATATAAAAGAATAAAAAATAAAAGTCAAATCTAAAAATAAACACTTCCAAAATTGATCTTGCATCTCACACAAGATCGAAAAGCAAGAGCCATATCAGGTAGGCAAGCACGACAAAAACCAGAATGCAGTACAGAAATAAATCAGTGACGCTTTTTTTATACAATGTTTGTTCTGTTCCAACGTCCCAATCCAAATTTCTCACCAAAACATGTGAATGTATATATGTATGTATATATATATGTTTAGATAACAAATCTGGTGAGAAGGAGGACACTTAGGAATTCACATGCTGCAGTAATTCTGGAATCATCATCATATCCATTTAACTTGATCCTAAACTTGCACTAGCAGGAGCAGGAGCCGGGGGCTGCGCGATTGAAGCCCGGCTGGCAGCCCCTGCTGCAGTGTCCAGGTCACTAGGATTTGTAGCCGATGCTGCAGTGGCTCGACCGTGTGGCGCTATTTCGAGATGATCCATCATACGAGTAATGGGAACAGTTCCTGGAGGAGTCGGGATCAGCATTGTTAGGTTGGCTGTTTCCCTGTGGACTCGGGTGGGTGGTGCTGAGCTGCCGCGGGTGAATAGACGATCCTTCCAGCTTTTTGTGCTCTTGGTTATTGATTCTTTGTATCTGCAAATGTCAATAATCACTGTAGTTACCATTTTCGAACTAAACAAATAGTATTTCTTTTTCCCCAAAAATAATGGTTTCCAAATCTAAGATCTAGGCAAAACAATATATCTGTAACATATTTTCGCTCAAAAACACCACAAAACACAGACTAACTTCCATAATTCCATTTATATCGTAATTTTGGGGAAATGGGTAAACTGTCATGGTCTAATACACATAGATGAAGCTGGAAATTTTTCTATTTCTTCATTCATAGTTAAATTCAGAGTTCATGCTTCTTTACTAGAAATTAAAACATAGTTACAAACTGAGAAAAATAAAATAAATGATTTCAATGTGTACAGACACTCTAATTTAAAGCTAAACTGTTGCAATTATAAATGTGAGGCTATATTAATATCTGCTATCATGTAATGATGTAAGAAGTAGAATTGAAATGTAAACTGTGAGTGATGAAAATACTACTCCCTCTTCCACAAAAATTAGGTCAATTATACTAATTACCCTACTATTTTTTTATCCTAAGTTCTAAAATAATTTCCTATACTTTATGAGTATTTTGCAATGCCTATGTTGTGTTCTTGAAACCAACTTGGAGAGTCAACAATTTCGTCAAGACAAGTTTTTTGTACCTTGTTGACAGTGCAGAAAGTCGGGATTTGAAGGACTCAGAGAACGAGTGCAGATCAGATGAACCAGCTCTATCTTGGTTTCTAGGAGAAGAACTTCGGGCAGGTGGCACCCTGGAACATGAACCAAAATACAATAGTCACGAAAAAGAACACAATGCAGTTGGCATCTGGGCAAGTGTTAATCATGAAAGTATATAGATAGATACCTGTTGATGGGCGTCGTTCTTGTATGAAATTGATAAGCATCACCAGTTGATCCCGAGGAAGTAGAATCTTCACCAATGGTGGTGAGTGGCGAGCTCGGGCTTGTAATTGTAACTGGAGGAGAAGCAGAAGCAGACGTGCCAGTGGGGTCAGTTGAGAAGACGAGAAAGTGAGGGCGCCCTTGAGTGGATGATCTATTACGGTGGCTTTCACGTCTGGCAAGATGACGGGCTCGTCCCATTGCTGCTGCAGCAGCTAAGTGCTGGATGATGCGCTCCTCGAGTTCAGAGTCGCTCGCACTGACCGGCAACTGCATCGGATAATAGAAGTGAGAAGGATCAGCAGTAGAAGAATTTAGAATTTGAAGAAGGGGGAGTGTTAGGGACCAACGTGCTGCAGCTCAAAGTCACCCAAGGTTGGGTGATGAAATATAGCTGTGTTTCTCGGTGGGTTCATCCGGATACTCCTCTCATGCTCGACAGCGTCAAGCAACTCTTGGCTGCAACATAAGCATACAATAATGGGCCATTGAAGATGAAAATTATGTAAATCAAATGGCAAAATACCAGAAGTGATGAAATTGTCACTATTGTTGTCTGCATTTTGATACAAAGAAAAAAAGAAAAGAAAAAAGTGATGTCGAAATTCATAAGCTGTGCAAAAATGGTGAGCAGATATTCGGTACCTGCTAGGATCCTTGAGACTGATTGGCTGCCAACACATAGGACACTGGGAGCTTCTCTGGCACCTGAAGATTTATTCAGATGTCGTAAAAAATACATGACGCATTTGGTTGGGGGTGTTTTGAAGGTTTTTACTATTCCCTACTTTTTTCCCTCAAAGACATCGAATCAAACTCTTATCTTTTATTTTTTTATATTATACTAAAAATTAAATTTATATCCAAAACCCATACCCAAACTCCTAAACAAACACACCATAAGAGCCCAAAATGCTCTGTTCCATGTTGCCTCAGTAATATAAAGCTAAATTCAGATAAAGCTACTCGCGTCCGGAGTAAGAATTTGAGATAAACATTTGCACAAGTATAAAATAAAGGATTCATCCGAAAAATGTTAGATATCCGTATCCTCAAATTCCCCTATCAAAGCAAGCAGTTCAGTAAGAATGAGTTGGGATTATGATAGTTACCGACCATTCAAGAATGCACTGAAGATGAAACTCGTGTTTGCAAGTAGTCAGCTGCAATTAAAGGATAATGAAAATGATAAGTTATGCGTAAATCGACACAAGTAGGATAGAAATAACAGCTCAAACATACTGTGAGAGGATCGCTATCAGAGAAAACTTCGAGGCATATGCTGCAAGCATCCTCACATGCTTCCTGTGCTCCTCCTTCCACAAATGCCGCGGCAGAAGTTAAGTGGTTTTCGGGCATCTTTCCCTCTTCCATCTGTCAAGAAAGCATAAAATGACTTATCTAAATAGCCAAAGCACACAGAGTTATTAAGATTCACACATTTCTATTCAAACCACGCACACACACTCTGCCAAATTCTAAATTCATACAAAGAATGAATGGTTCTAAGAAGTTTATGCACGGGATAAATAAGGCAGAAAGAACACAACACAAGCGTGATGTGGAGGTGAAAATTTGAAGCCCGACTATGCCAAACAGGGGATGAAATCAGGGCAGAAGAAGGAATACTTTTATTACCAAATACAAGTGAATGGTTCGATGCATTTGTCTCTAAAAAATGGAAAACTATTCAAAATATTTCCATCTAATTAGCCTTATGAATCTGTCTTCAAAATTCAATAGACAACAAACAATATGGAATTAACTGTGTATTATCAGTACAAAGTGATAGAAAAACACAGAACTGGTGTAATATAGCATCAAACAAATGAAACCTTTCGTCATCAAAGCATCTCAGACAATATGATAAAACTCAATGAATCCACAACACTTGTTCATTATGTATCTTGCAAATCAAAAGAACACAAATGGATTTCATCGATCACAGCAATCCGAATTCAATAACCTAATAGGGAGTCAAAGAAATCCATAAATTTCAATAACACCCAACTCAAACCCTAAGAAAGTAGAATTAAATTGAGCACCTCAAAAAGAAAGAGCCCTTCTCTTCCGGGGGCAGACTGAACAGCAGATCGAAGGTCAACAAAAAATCAAAAATAAATAAAAATATATATAAATATGAAAAGTGAGAAAGGGGCAGGAGGCGTGAGAAAATGGAATTGCAGAGGGGTGAAGAAACATAACAGAGAGAGGAAGAGGAAACAAACCGTGGTGGGGAGTTGAGTTGTTCTTGTATTTGTTGGGGAAGAGGGATTTGAGTGCGGAGGTTCCACTTTACTTTTGTTTGTTTCTTTATTCGACTTTTGCTTTATGCTGCGGTGATGAATGATGGTGAATATGATGCCCGAAGGCGTGAGCCCACGGAACACACTCCCATTAATGCTCGGAAGTCAGACAAAGAAATCAAAAACAAAACCCTAATTAGTAGTAGTAATTTAATTGGTAGGGCAGAGAAGGTGAACGCGGCGTACACGTTGGCTACCTGGTTGGCTCCATTATTGATGTGATTGATTGTGACGACGAAGGAGATGAGTAAAGTTTCTAATAAACTCAATTATCAGAAATCTCTATTGATGTCATTTGAGTCAAGGCATCAATGGAGATTTTGGAAGTTTTTCATTTTATTTTGATTTAATTTTTTTAATTAAATATTTCTTTCTTGTAATTGTTTAATAATTTTATAGTAATAAATTAAAAAATAATATTTTAATATGTTTACTCTGTATAAATTTTTATGTTTATTGTTTATTTATTTCTTTAATAAATATAGATTCTATTTTTTTCTTTAAATATTTTTATTTTATTATCATATTATTATTTCTATACTTAAAAAAAGATTAATGTAAAATTATTTCTTATTTTAATTTTAATTTATAATTATTTATATTACAGTGTAGCTGTATGTGAGATGGAGGGGGTATTATTTTTTAAAAATTTGCACCAAAATTGAATATATACTTTTAAAATTGATGAAGGGAACATTATTTTATTGATTAATTAAAGTGTGTAAGAGATTTTGTATATGTAATGATAAGTTTTAAATTTACGTAAAAGTTTAAAGTATTTTGGTGTTAATATATATAATTATTTTATAAAATAAAAAATAGATATTTTTGAATCAGCGAGAATTATAAAAATGATATTTTAAATTGAAACAAAAAAAAATAATTGTATGCTCAAATGTTTGATCTCGATGTTTTAATGAAAGCAAGTAATAAAATAAAAATTTAATGAAATATAATAAATAAAAATATATATATTTAATTTGATATATTTTTTTTAAAAAAAAAATAGAAATAAAATCTCGCAAATAAACACAATTTTGTTAATATTTTATTGTTCAATTGCAAAAATGCATTTTTTATTTACTTTTCCAAATATAATAATGAGATAAATTTAACTGACAAAAATAAAATTGTGAATAAATTTGTTGGATGGATGAAGCAGTTATTTGGCAATTTTGTTAGAAGATGGATTAGATGCAGTGGCTGATATGATATTAAACATATAATAAGTTAGGTGCTCTATTAAATTAATAAATCGGCTAGATCAATTTAAATTCGAATATTTTGATATATTGCAACAATAAGGATATGGTTCAAACTTTCAATACTTCTAATCTCATATGTTACACATAGTTCGCTCTTATCGAACCTAGTTTGCAAGTTGTTTTCACAGCTATGTCGGTTAGCTAGCTATCGTCGTCCGCCGCGGCTTGGCCTTGAAGCCAGTTGAGTGCCGCATAGCCGTCCTCAATTGCAGCCGGGAGCCTATTCTCGGGAGCCAGCATGTAGTCGGGAGAGACAACCTTGAGGACGCCGCGGCAGTCGTCGACCTCGGCCATCGTAGAGGAGTCTGAGATTAGGTTTGGTGTTTTTGTTAGATTGATCAATACATATATATATATATATATAGGGAAGAAAGAATGAGACAATTGTTATGTTTGCGACAACATAGTTGTTAATATACTATCTAAAAATGCGCAGTGGAGAAACCCCTAATACTCTATAAATTAGATTCGACAAAACAAATTACATTAAGCGAAACAGATACGGCAGCTACTTTGAATGAATAACTATTTGTTTATGACTATTTATCTATACTTTTATGGATGCAAAAAATAAAAATCTTCTACAATAATATATTGGAAATAAACACACCCTAAAGTATGGATGCAAAATATAAACACACTCGTGTAAAGTGTTTTTTAGCTTCAGATATTGGAAAATGTATTTTAGATTGAAAAATTGACTTAATTTTGAAAACATATCAATATTATTATATATATATAATGTGTATTTATCATGTTATCATGAAATTAAATCATTAATTGTATAACAAATCTATAGTGTATTTGTTTTGTATATTTTTTTTTGAATAAATTTTTTAATGTGAAATACAAATTATTATATATTTAATATAAAAATAATAAATACATATATAATATATTAATTTTTTTAAAAAAATATATTCGAATAGTTTTACAAAAGAAAGTCTAACACATTTTAGGCGAATAAATAAAATATTTTAACTCTATTTTTATCCTTTACTATTGAAATCATATAATTTGATTGGCTGTATTTGTTGGTTAATTTTAGATAATAAAATTTTGAATTAAAATAATTATTTAATGTAATATATATATACATGATTGTAATATTTTGATATTAAAATTAAAATTAAGATTTAATACAATATATAATATAATAAATACAAAATAAATATTTTTGGAGAATTTTTTTTTTTAAAAAATAATAATCGTTTATTTAGTGAAATAGTTTAAATAAATATATATATATTTTATGTAAAATATAAAAATATGTATAAATAATATAAAAAGAATAAATATAAATAATATATTAATTTTTAATAAAATTATTTATTATATTTTTTAAAAAGACATTCTTAAAAAAAAAAAAAAAAAGAAATACACAGAGAAAACAAACAAGCACACCGATTTCTAATATCTGAAAACCAACGGACGAAGTGGTAAATATTTACTTAGGCAGAAAAGAAAAAGGAAAACATAAAAAAAGCACAGCACAAAGGTCAATTCAATTCCCTCCAATTTCAGCTTCCGTTCCCCGCTCCTCCGAATTTCGCTCTTCATCTTGTTCAGCGCACAGACTACAGTGGAGCTCCTAATCACTTCATTTCAGCCGCTGACGGGTGAGTTCTGCTAAATTACAATTCCTTTCCTTGGGATGATTATTGTTTTTGCTATTTTTACTTATTTATTTATAGTTAAACTGAAGTTTGGCTGGATTTTGTGAGGAACCCTAACCTTCCGCTTCTGCTCGATTTCTGGTTTGAATTGTGTATTTATTTTGAAGCTTCGTTTTGGAGGTACCTGCGAGATAGTTTTAAATTGTGTTAGGGTTTTGGTTTGTTTCAACTATAAGCTTTTCGAACTTTTTCCGCTATGTTTTTTTGGTAGTTTTAGTAGATGGGTTTTTTGTTTTTATTCTAATTTAAGAGTTTCGCTTTGTTTAGTGGGGAACTATTCGGCTTGTTGCTGCTCAATTTGTTTATAAGTTGTGCATTTCTGTTTCTAGGAATTAGATGTAATTATGCTGTATTATTTCCACTTCTTTCCTCAAATTTAGCGGAGAAGCCAGTGTTCTAGAGCTCCATCATGTTCATAAAGCAGGTAATGGTTTGGCCATTGTGTTAATTGTGCTATTTCTATCAACTATGATCGATCAATTGTCTTGTGTATGTACAATATTTATAGGTCGTAATAGAAGGGTTCAAGAGCTACAGGGAGCAAGTTGCCACTGAAACATTCAGTCCAAAAGTTAACTGTGTTGGTATGCCATGTGTCTACGTTATGTGCTGGGAAATTTTGACTTCTGCGTATGTTTCTAAGCCTAATAAGTTTTGAATTAGACTGAAGTAATATGACTTTATTTTTCGTAATTTACAGTTGGCGCCAACGGATCTGGTAAATCTAACTTTTTCCATGGTATGCCTACTTAGAAACTATTCACTCAATCTTGATTGTTCTTGTCGTGGAATTGACTGCATGAGAGTCCCAACTTGTATTTGCAGCAATACGTTTTGTGATAAGTGATCTGTTCCACAACCTGCGCAACGAAGAAAGGCAGGCATTGCTGCATGTATGTTATGCATAAAGCCTCTATGCTCTCTCGGATTTCACTTATTATTATTCTGCATCTAAATGTTAATTGAATACATCGGGATTTTGGATTCTTAGGAAGGTGCTGGCCACCAAGTGTTATCTGCATTCGTGGAGATTGTGTTTGACAACTCTGACAATCGGATCCCGGTAAACTTTTAATTGTTATATACTTAATTAATGCGTCTCATGAAGTGCAATTATTCTCTCTCACATTTATAGCTGTTATTACACCAAACCTTCTTTTCTCTATTTTATTTTACAGGTTGATAAAGAGGAAGTGCGCCTCAGGAGAACAATTGGTGTTAAGAAAGATGAATATTTCTTGGATGGAAAGCACATAACGTGTGTACATACTTCATGAGTGCAAAGATATTTTCAATTTTGAATCAGCTGTTATATTTTGGTGTATTATCTTTTTTCTTATATTGTTTCTTCGCCCAATATTTCTTTTGATCATTGAATGGTACACTGTGGTTTACAGGAAGACAGAAGTCATGAATCTACTGGAAAGTGCTGGATTCTCTCGTTCCAATCCTTATTACGTTGTGCAGCAAGGAAAAGTATAGCAAATACTTTCTTGATTTCCTTTCCTTCAACTCGTATTTCCCCTGATTATTCTAACATAGATTCTATATCTGTTTAGATAGCATCCCTAACATTGATGAAGGACCCAGAGAGGCTTGATCTGCTGAAGGAAATTGGTGGGACTCGAGTTTACGAAGAGAGACGTCGTGAAAGTTTGAAGATCATGCAGGAGACTGGCAAGTGCTGATCAATCTTTTCTTGTGCATCTGTTTTCTTTTATCTTTTCTAACTTTTCGAATCTGTGTTACAGGTAATAGGAGAAAGCAAATTATTCAAGTTGTTCAATACTTGGATGACAGACTCCGGGAGCTTGATGAAGAGAAAGAGGAGTTAAAAAAGTACCAGCAGCTTGACAGACAACGGAAATCTCTAGAATATGTTATTTATGATAAGGAACTTCATGATGCCAAAGAAATGCTGGCAAAGGTATGCCTTTATCTAGTTACCATGTTTTTACAAACTGATTTCAGTCCAAGGACTTCCCTATCTAAACACCATCGCAATTTCCTGTCGATTTGTATTAGCTTTAAACACCACATTTATTTTAATGACCTGTGTCAGGACTTAGGGCTATCGCTTTTCAGGAACCAAAAAAGCTTGATTTGATGCAAATTTTAAGCATATCTGCTTCTAGTGCCATATGGTTGTTATGCACTTTAATAATGCGAACAGTTTTCTAATTAGAACTGGAATTTCCATTTGTGCAGATAGAGCAGGATCGCAACAAGGTTTCTGAGAAGTCTGCTAAGATGTATAACGATGTTTTGGATGCTCATGAAAAGTGCAAGGAGATAGACAAGTTACTCAAGGATCTCACTAAAGAGGCACAAATTTTAAGTAGAGAAAAAGAAGCAGTAGAGAAACAGAAAAAAGAAGCTATTAAGAAGCGTGCAAAATTCGAGCTTGATGACAAAGACTTGCACGATAAGATTAAGGCGAATATTAAAGCTAAGGTGCTGTGAAAACTGGAGCCAATTATAAATTTGAACTTCAATTGTTCTGTGGTTGAAAATTCAACTTACTACAAGTGGCACTATGTAATGCCTACTTTTGTATTTCAGGAGGATGCTATTTCTCAACTGGAGCTTTTGGAAAATGAAATTCAGGCTTCCAATGCTGAACTCGCTCGAATCAAGCAGCTGTATGATGATCAGATCAGAGAAGAAGAGAATTTAACAAGAGGGTATGCTTTTCATCATGCTCATTCTTTCACTATCGATTTGATAGCTTTAATTTGATAAATGTCTTCCAATTTTATTCGCAAGTCGTCTTGGCATCGATAAGTCTTCTGTATCTTAATGTATTTGTAGTTTTGTGCATTCAATATGTCATTTTACAGAACTTTTTTTTTTTAAATTTTTTGGTGAGCATGGTATAATCTGTGGAATTTCTTTCTTGTTGTGTAGAATAAAAGATCGAGAAAAGCAACTTAGCATTCTGTATCAAAAACAGGGTCGTGCAACCCAGTTTGCAAGCAAAGCAGCTCGTGATCAGTGGCTTAAAAAAGAAATCCGTGACTACGAGCAAGTTTTATCTTCAAATCTAGCACAGGTCATTGTTCCCATCAACTTTTAGCCCATTTGTCTTTTGCTACTGTACTTCCCTGTTTTATTATTCAGAATAATTATTATGTTAAAGTTTGTAGCTTCTTATTCTGTATTGCAAGATTTGGAATGTTGTAATTATATTTTCTGACATCATGACAATTCCTATGGGAAACAACCCTTACTTCTTTTCAGTAGGTGCATCTACATTTTTTTGGGAGGTGTTTCATGGGTATTGACATTTTTTTTCCTTTTTCTTCATTTTCTTTTTGAAGATTCTTGTTTCTAGACAATTATGGTGACTATGCTTGTAGCTTTGATTCCAATGCAATTTTCTCAACGATATGGCTTTCTTGATCATTTGTGTTTACATTCTTAATGGTGGCAGTTTTGGCTACATATTAAATAAATGCATTCTGTTTGAGAAGTTCCTGGATGGAAAGTTATTGAATTGACGTTTTAACCACTATTATAGTTTTCACTTATATATGAGATTATGTAAAAGATTTTGCATTTAAAGTTTCAGGATGTTCAATACATGAATATGATATGACCACAGTGGGGTAGATGTGTTTTTGTTCATATGGATGCTTTTTCATCCACAGAAAACAGAAGAGTTATTACAGATTTTTATTTTTATCTTTAGTTATTTTTATGCTATATTATATGCTATATGTTCTGGAAGTTGGTTTATATAAGGAATAGAAGATATTAAAAATGCACATTGAATTTTTCTTTCAGGAGAAAAAGCTCAGGGATGAAATTGAACAGCTAAAGAATGATGTCACAGAGCAGGATGTCCACATACAGGGTCGTAAAGATGAAGTTTCAGAATTAGAAAGTCGAATATCTGGTTACAGACAAAGCTTCAATGAGCGTAAAGTTGAGAGAGACAATTTGCAAGACGAGCGAAAGTATGATCTCATTTTCGTTGTCTTGTTTGTAAAGTTCTGTTTCTGAATAATTCATTCACCAATGTGCAGAGCCTTGTGGGGAAAGGAAAGTGAGCTCTCTTCTGAAATTGAAAAGCTCAAATCAGATGTTATTAGAGCTGAGAAAAGCCTTGACCATGCAACTCCCGGTGTGAGTGAAAATTCTGTTAGATTTCGACAATTTTACAGCATTCAAACTGAAGATTACTGTGATTGGAAGCACCCTTGGCATGTAAATTTGCAATAATTGATTATAATGGTCCATGGAATTGAGGAGCACTGTACAAGGATAGAATAAAGGTAGAATGCTGAACAAACAAGAAAGAGATTTGGTTCAAGATTGGTTTCACATTATATTGCGAAAGATTACCAAAATAATGAGGTTACTTGTGAGTGGAATATAAATTCTAAATGACTAGTAAGATCTTGGGAAAGAAAAGTTTAATGTGTAGCCAGGTTTTCAATGTACATCAGACCCTTTTTGTCAGACACAAAACTTCAACCTGACTGTGGTAAACATCCTTTAGACCATTCTGTAGAAACATTTTTTCTTTTAGCAGCTCCACTGTCTGTGCTTTAAGTGGTTCTTCCATGCCCCTTGTTAGTTTAGTTCATGATTATGCCCGCTGACTTTAATCAAGTACTATTATTTTGTTGTTCTTATTCTGACTACATGCATTTCTCTGATTGATCTGGTTTTCTCCCTTCTAACTTGCTCAGGATATAAGAAGAGGGCTAAACTCGGTAAGGAGAATATGTAAAGAGATTAATCTTACAGAAGGAGTGTACGGACCTGTTTGTGAATTGCTAGATTGTGATGAAAAGTTCTTTACTGCTGTTGAAGTCACTGCTGGAAACAGGTTAAGTCTGTTTATTACATGATTAAAGTTCAAATTTCTTCTTTCATCTTTATTAAATATGATAGTTGTACTTAAATAAAGAAGAGTGTTAGCAAGATTACTAGACTTTGTTTTTAGGCCCGGTTTACTGGATGTCTTTGTCAAACCTATTCTGATGTCCTCTTCATTGTCCAGCTTATTTCATGTCGTAGTTGAAACAGATGAAATATCCACCAAAATCATTAGGCATCTCAATGCCCAGAAAGGTGGACGTGTCACATTTATACCATTGAACAGGGTGAAGGCTCCAGCAGTTAATTATCCACACAACTCTAATGTGGTGCCACTTTTGAAGAGATTACAGTTCTCCGAAAAATACGCAGCTGCATTTGCCCAGGTTGGTTCAAGCACAGTTTTGTTTAATTGAAAGTCACTTGCAATTTATTGGTCCCCTAGTATCCTACTGAACTTATGTGATGTTTTATCAGCCATTTACTGTTTTAGTTAAGGGCACTGCCAATTGCATGTAGAATTACTAGCTAGTTGTGTTTTGAGTTTTCGGACTATGCATCATGTTTTGTTTCTTGTGCTCCAATGCAAGGTATTGTGTTTGAAAGTCTTAACTTGGATTGATGTAGAAGTTGTGTTGCTTTGATGTGGTTTAGCATTAGTGTCTTTAAGTTTCTATGGCTACTTCTAGAGTTGTTAGATTAGGCCCGTTAATTATGATGATAGAGGATTGCCTTTGCCACCATTATCCAAAACACTTAATTTTCTCTCTAGTGCTTTGGAGCTTTTTTCTTACCCAACCAACACCATACACGAGTCCCTGTTTTCCGACGCCGCCACTTGTTAGAAATTTGCTGTTGTACGCTGTCTTTGCCACCACACAAACTCATTTCACTATTTTGGCCAATTTTCAGCCCGTTATTTATGTTGTCTAGCAAAACTATTTTCACATAGGCATAAAAATAACCTTATCGTTGTCATTGCACTAAGCACACCTTACATTTATTTATTTAAGAGGGTAGGCCAAGCAAGCTAACCCCATATGTCTTGATAACCATACATCACTAACCGCGAGGGCTAGCGTGGCATATTTAGCCAACCAACACTTTTAACATACCCTTTACACATTTCAGGAACCTTCTCTTCAACATTTACTAATTTAGTCCTAAATGCAATACATGAAGACTGTTACATTGTTGAGATCAGTAATTTCCAAATAAAAACCAAATATTATGAAATAAATGCTTTATTCTTTAATAAGATTAAATCATTTCAGACATAGATAAGTACTTAATTTGGATTAATGATGTCATGGGTGTGAAAGAAAATTTCAATGCATACTGTAAACTGAAACCCTTCGGGTCTTTAATTAATAATTATTTGGAATGCAAAATGATTGCTTCTTGAAATTTCTCATTTAGTTTAGCAATTTCTACTTCCGGTGTTCTCTTGTCATTTGGTACCCCATCTCTAACACCCTCTTCTTTCTCACTCACCAACTTTCCATTTTTGGCATCAAACTTGTAGGTGTTTGCAAAGACAGTGATTTGCCGGGATATAGATATTGCTGCAAGGGTTGCCCGAGCTGATGGTTTGGATTGCATTACTTTGGAAGGTTGCACTTCGGCATCATTTGTTTGTCTTTAGTTTACTAACGATTGCCATCTCACGTCCACCTCTTCAAGTGCAGGAGATCAGGTAAACAAAAAAGGTGGCATGACTGGGGGATTTTATGACCAAAGACGATCAAAATTGAAATTCATGAGTACTATTAAACAAAATATGAAGTCTATTGCATTAAAGGAAGAGGAGCTGGAGGAGGTCAGAAGGAAACTTCACAATATCCTCACTAGACTTCACTTTTTACTTGGTGCTGCTATTTGTTTTGTCTCAATATTTCCTTACTGACTTGCTTGTGTGGGCTATTACTTAATAGTTACGGTTTTTCGAAAAGTAACATCCCCTTGAGTGCCTTATTGATGAATATTTTGCCTTTTTCATGTGTTAACTAGTCTGCTGTTGGTTATTCATCTTATGAGGCAGATGTTAGCATATTATACAGTGTGCTGCAGAAATTTATTGGTCAATCCATATGCGCAAGTATCTTTTGATGATTCTTAGCCTGATTTATCACAAAGATATTTATAAATATATATATATATATTTGCATTGCATTTTGACAAATCTTCTCAATTTCATTGAAGTTAACCTTTGATGTGACTTTGTCACCAGTCCCAAAACTATTCCTTCATGTTTAGTAGGGTTGTTACAACTTTCTTGTTCAATTATTGGCTATTTGTTTTCGCTGAATCAACCTCACAGATTGACCATAAAATCAATGAAGTGGTGTCAGAGCAGCAGAAAAACGATGCCACATTGGCTCATGAAAAATCTTTACTTGAACAGCTGAGACAGGAAATAAAGAACTCTGAGAAGCAGAAGCAATCCATTTCAAAATCACTGGAGAAGAAAGTATGTTAACCTTTTGAAACTGTTTAATGAACATACAGTTTGGTCCAATTTTTTTATGCTTGTTACAATTTTCAGGAGAAGCTACTTTCTAGCATATTGTCTCAAATAGATCAAAATAGAGCCAATATAGCTATGAAGCAAGATGAAATGGGAACAGAACTTGTTGATCATTTGACACCTGAAGAGAAAGAGTCCCTCTCTCGGTTGAATCCTGAAATAACTGCTTTGAAAGAGCAGCAAATCACCTGTAGAAGTAAACGCATGGAGGTTAGAGACTCCATCAAGCTCTTGCCTTTATGCTGTTATTTATTTATTTATTTTGTTTTTGCTATGACATATATCATTTAACAAGTCAATTGTCACAGACTGAAACTCAAAAAGCAGAGCTTGAGATGAAGCTTTCAACAAATCTTGTTAGGCGGAAGGAAGAGCTGGAGGCAGTGAAGGCATCGGCAGAGAATGACATATTGCAAGGAGAAGCTGAACTAAAAAGACAGGAATTTATGGATGCCAGTTTATTAGTTGATCAGTTGACTGAACAGCTCAAGAGTGAGATTTTTGTCCTCCAACTCAGCCATATGCTCAAAAGATTTTTGTGCTTAAAACATGTTAATTATTTTGCAGAAGTAACTGAGAACATTACTCAGAGGAATAAAAGATTAGAAAAAATTAAAGCCGAAAAAGAAGAACTAAAGGTTTGTATTTGCACTTCCCCAACAGTAATATGTCCTCAACAGTCCCCACTTCCTTTTATACATGCATCCATAGTCTTGGTGTTAATGGAATTCCTTGTGGTTGTAGGTTTTAGAAGACAATTACCAATCTACATTACAGTCTGAAGCAAGAGAACTGGAGCAGCTATTGAGTAAGAAGAACATATATATGTCCAAGCAAGAAGAGTACTCAAAAAAAATCCGGGAATTGGGTCCCCTGTCTTCTGATGCCTTTGAAACGTAATTTTCAACACCCAAATTTTATTTTACCCGTAATTTTTCATATTCCATATGCTGGTGTGTTTTTATAAGTTTTATGGACATTTTCATTTGCGCCTAACTGAATTATTTGTATTTTGTTAGAAATTATTGTTGTACCGCCGTCCTCTCAATTTCTGCAGTTTAGCATAGGGTTATCAAAGAAGGTAGTGAAGAATAAGAGCTTGACTGTGTCAAGGACAAGGGCGAACTAAATTAAAAGAAAAGAAAAGACACATGTCTCTATTTGACTCTGTATCATTACATGAACTAGTGTTTCTAAGTCATAATATCCATCAACTGACATTTTTGTCATAAATATTTATTCCCTAGTACTAGTTAAGTATAAATAAGGAGCATAATATCGTGTTTAAATGCAGCACCTCCATCTGCATAAGTAACCCAACTTATATGTTTATCGCCTTGTTTGACATGTTCTCATTATGCAAATTCTAGGTACAAAAGAAGAAACATGAAAGAACTGAACAGACAGCTTCACAACTGTAATGAGGAGCTGAAACAATTCAGCCACGTGAACAAAAAGGCCCTTGATCAATATGTTAATTTCACAGAGCAAAGAGAAGAACTTCAGAGAAGACAAGCTGAGTTAGATGCAGGCGATGAGGTAAAGTTGGCCTTTTTCTTTAATTTGCTTTCTTTGAGAATGTAGGTAAAATATGTGGATGAGAATACCTTCTTTTCATTTTCTATTTCTCAGAAAATCAAGGAACTTATATCCGTATTGGATATGAGGAAGGATGAATCAATTGAACGCACATTTAAAGGCGTGGCTAAGCATTTTCGAGAAGTGTTCTCTGAACTTGTGCAAGGAGGTCATGGATATTTGGTTATGATGAAGAAAAAGGTATGCTGTTTCTACGTTCGTTGTTGTTAGAGCAGTTATCATAGATGCAATGAAACGTTAAAACAAAAGTTATAATTCCAAAGTTGAGTTGTCTGTTAATTCTTTTGCTTTGTGTTTGAAAGTGGGTAGCGGGATTAAAAAACACCGTAGTCAATAATGAGGAAGGTTGGAAAGCATTTAAAGTGCATTCCTCATTCCTGTCATCCTGTCTGACTAGTTTCAAGCATTACACATTTTATATGTTCGGAATTATACTGAAATAATTGGCACACAAGCATTATTTCAAGCTATACTTCACTTTAGAGTACGGTAATTTAAGTTCCTTGCAACTGAAGCGGCCGTACAACCAGCAGCTTCATTCTTGGTTAATATTTGTCTATTTGTATATTAAAATTAACGTGTGATTTATACAGGACAACAATGATGCTGATGATGACCAAGACGATGACGAGCCTGCCCCAGCTGAAGTTGGGGGAAGGGTTGAGAAATACATTGGTGTCAAAGTGAAGGCATGTCATCTTCTTCTTTCATTCTTAATTAGAATATATAATTACTTTTCTTCACAAATGTCACATCTTTGCATGGTAACATACATATATATATATATTTAAAGATTCTAGAGCACAAACTTTTCCTGATATCTGTGAACTGAAAATCAAACTAAAGCAATACCAATTTAACTGGTGAAAGAATATTTCAAATTCGTCAATGGCTGCTCGTTCAATCAGAATGCTCACCTTACATTATCTATGGCAGGTTTCCTTTACTGGGCAAGGGGAAACACAGTCGATGAAACAATTATCTGGTGGTCAGAAAACTGTGGTGGCTTTGGCTTTGATCTTTGCTATACAACGATGTGATCCGGCACCGTTTTATCTTTTCGATGAGATAGATGCAGCGCTTGATCCTCAATACAGAACAGCTGTCGGGAGTATCCTTATAATATGTCTTCAAGTCTCTATTCTACATTTTTTTCTTTAAAAAAATAAACAAAATCCCTTTCTCGAGAGTAACCTAAGTTGTTTTTTGAATTCTTGTCGCTTATTCCAACTTTGTTATCCATGTATTGTGTGGGAAACCTTTAACTCGCATTGCCACAGACATGGTTCGCCGTCTAGCAGACATGGCTAGCACTCAGTTTATTACCACTACGTTCCGTCCTGAGCTTGTGAAGGTTGCTGACAAGATATACGGGGTGACACACAAAAACCGAGTCAGTCTTGTGAACGTGGTGACCAAGGAAGATGCTCTAGATTTCATCGAGCACGATCAGTCCCACAATGAGGTGCGCTAGTGTTTAAAACTTTCGTGCATCGGCCAGGCTGCATATTTTAACCATCTGACTCTATATTCTGCTTACTTGCAGTAGTAGCATCGCTGTTTGATCAACAACCACCTCCATGGGGATGATCTTTCTCCCTGACGTGTGTGTGAATATTGGCTGCCTGATTTAGTTGGACTTATGTTGCTGGTATCTATCTTCTATTTCTATTTCTATATATATATTATCATTCTCAACTAACATGTGTAGTAAACTATATCAGGTGTGGTTTGGTTGATGTTTTTAGATTCCTTGGTGTTAAAAGTTTAAGACACATGGTATATATATCTTAGAACATTCCTTCAGATTATTTTCCCCGTTAAATTAACTTTATTATTTCTAGTCTAAATATGCGGTTTTGTATCGGACCGGTTACTATTCTGGTTGGGATTGATCGGCGCTGTGATGATTAGTCTTAATCAGACCTAGACCATAAAAAATATACAGACAACATATGGTATCAGTTACCACTACATATAATGTGCTGATTGAAATCATGTTTCGATAATTTACAATTTATAAGGTGTATTGAATAAATAATATTAAATTTAATTATAGTATGTGCTGTATAAATTATTATTATTATTATTATTATTATTATTATATAACGAGTTTTGCTCTTCCATCCCTTGGATAGATAGACAGGGAGGTAGAGCTTCAGGTTTTTTTTCATGTTGTCAAAGCTTGTTAGTCATGTAAAAATAATTTACTATATTTTATTTTATCATACCTCTATAATAAAAAGATCAATACACTTTTTTCTATAAATATAGTTTTGTAACTTTTATTTTATTTTTATGATATAAAATTTACTATAATGTTTGACAACGTATTATTTATATTAACATAATATATATACTATACATAAACTAACAAATAATATGTGTAATTTCATATAATATATATTATCATTAGTTTCAACACAATATACATATAAATATCCGCAGACAACACAGTATTAAACTAAAATACTTCGTTATCCGTTTATTTTACATGTTTTGACAGAGAGAAATTATTAAATTAGCACAACACAATTAAAGTAAAAATTTTATTCGTAATAAAATTCATGCTATTAATATATTATTAATAAATAAACAATAAAATTTATTTAGAACTGTGTATAAGTATCGATCTAAATTTACAAATACTGTATTTAAAACTAAACGCATGCAGTATGGATATACTACATACAGACACAAACACATATATATATATATATAGAGAGAGAGAGAGAGAGAGAGAGAGAGAGAGAGACTTAGCTTGAAGAGCTCAAGCTCTGTAGGTACTTCTCGACGGTGTCCAGCCCACAGAGTTGCTTCACAACCGGCATCGTCGCTGGAACATCCAGCAGAAATGTCGATGGGATGTTCGACTGTTTTCTTGCACTACAAATGGCCGCTCTCGTCGCACAGTGTACCGACACCGCCAGAACCAAAGGAGGCTCCCCGCAAGCTGCATGCATAAACATTAACAAACTCTATACAAACATTACACCCAACTTGTCAATATATGTACACAATATTTACTACTTCCATCCGACTCTAAGAGTCTCATTTACTTTATGCGCGTTGATATTTGAATATTAATTTATTATTCATTAGTGTCTTATAATACTAATAAAAGACATTTGTAAAAAAAATTATACAAATAAAAAAATATTTTTTTATGTTAAATACAATGAAGTAAAAAATAAATGTGACTCCTAGAAGCGGACAAATAAAGTATTATATATATATATATAGTTTCCAGTTGATAGTAATGTCACCTTTATAATAATTAACAATGATGTTTAATTAAGCCTTTTAGATGAAAGGGTTATTTTAATATTATTGATATAAGAGTTGGGTAGTCATGATCCTTTTAATTTAAACTTACTTTTAGGTGAGACGATCGTTTAACAATTCATTGCATTTATGGGCGAGACAATGTCGAAAAATAGCAAACCTTTAGACGAGAGGACGCGGTCCTTGTGATGCCCGCTGTTGAGCAGCTCGACATTAAATTGTTTAGGTATGGTGTCGAGTGTAGGGATCTTGTACGTCCACGTGCTGTCTGTGATCGTCAAGCCCTCGCTGTTGTCTAAGTATTCTTCAAGCATGAAAAACCCAATGCCTTGCACGAATGCGCCTTCGATCTGCAATACATACAAAAGGCAGGACAGGAATTGATATTTGTACTCACTTGGCCTAAAAAGCTTAAGCAGCTGAAAAGTGTTCGATAAATGAACCTGTCCCATATCGACAGCAGGATTCATGCTCTTGCCGCAGTCGTAAACAATGTCTGTTCTCAGTATCGTTGTTTGTCCTGTCAGGACATTCACCTCCACCTGTAACCAAAATAATTCGCTAACAGAGCTCGTCGATATACAATACAATACAAAATAATACCATGTTAACAGTATAGCATCAACATTTTTACCATTAAACGCGATCATTTTGGATAGGCTGCTACGTATATGCATCCGTTGAAATTGAAAAAAACAGTCCTGGAAAAAATTATTACCTCGCTCACTGCAGCGCCGTAGTTCAAGTACTCCGAAGAGCTCGACTCTGGCACATAGTAAGCATGCGCAGCCAAGTTTATAGATCGATTCTGAGCCTGCATCGTGGATATATGTAAATTGGCACAACCAGAATAACATTTGTTTATACGGGAATTCGACCAGAATCTAAACAAGGCATCAAACCTGGAGAATCAAGTCATCCCAAGTCACCGAACCCGTCTTCTCCTGCAGTTCTTTCACAAGAGGGACTAATCTCTCAACCAAAATATTGCAGCTGAGTCTAACCGCTGCGCAGCTGGATTCGGACGTAGTGCTCCCTGAAGTAACGCCTCCTTGTACTATGCTCAAGGTATCCGACTGCACGACTCGGACCTTTTCAACAAGGTCATCCATTCCATCACATTGAATTGAGGTAAGAGTGTAGGCAGTTGTTTGTCGAACCTTAGTCCAAAGCCCCTGTCCCATCTCTGTGCCTCCAACTTCTACGACTATAGATCCATCCCAAAGTATGCTTACCTTCCCCGGTGTTGCATTTACCGACACTTGATATACAATTGGGACTCGAGAAATGCCCCTTTTATGCCAGAAGTTGGACTTGTTGAAGAGTTCTACCCTTGCGACTCTTTCTGTGTAGCTCGATGATTCGGCTATCTTATCCAAGATCAAAGGCAAAGTATATTCCACAGGATCGCCAGATGAATGAGGATAGAAAAATGATAGGCTTTCGTATGTATGAAGATTTATGTTTCTGACTGAATCCACATCCAACGACAGGAAGGACGCGACGTGCTCTATCACAACTTCGGCAACATATGTTCCCTGCACGTCCCCTGGGGCACGTACAGCTGATTTGCTGGAATGGTTTGTTTTGCATAGCTTTATGTTGAAAGACAGAGCTCCCCAGTTGTACTTCTTAAGTGCAGCTACCATGGTGAAAGGAATGAACGGGCTTATATCGACTGTTATTCCTGCATTAATCAGTATGTCGAGATGCAGTGCTGTGATCTTCCCGTCAGATTTGAATCCAACGTCATATTTTATCTTCATAGGATGTCTTCCTCCTGCAATTATCATGTCCGTCTTTCGATCCAGATAACATCTGACCGGACGCCTTAGTTTATGAGCTGCGAGCGCACATGCCGTGGCAACCTGAAAATGATCTCAATGGAAGTCAAAACCCATAAATGGCTCGTAGTAATGAATTTCAATATGATCATACTCACAGTCATGGCTCTTAGTAGCTTCCCACCAAAGCCTCCGCCAATTCGGCGAGTAATGACTCGTACATTATGCTCAGGAATGCCAAGACATTTAGCAATCGATCTATGTAAGAATTCCGGCCATTGAACTGAGCTATAAACCACCATGGTGTTGTCTTCATCTGGAATTGCAAGTGCAGTTTGGGTTTCCATATAAAAGCAGTATTGTGAACCAAGTTTGATCTGCATCTCAGATTGTTAGTTTCGATCTTACAAATAGATAAAAGAAAACCAGAAACTGATGAAAAGCACCTCTGCAGAGAGAATCTTGTGATCAGCATTGGCCATCCCATTGGAAAAATCGCCAACCATTGAGGGAAGCATGAAAGAGGGAGCTTCCAAGAAACTTGATCTTTCTACAGCCTCTTCGACAGTTAAAATGGGAGGGTCCAAACCTTCGGTATCATAATCCACTGAAGCCATTCTTGCAGCCAAGTTGGCATGCTTTTGTGTATCTGCAGTCTGGAGAATACATTGCAAGATGAACAACAAGTTTCCCTAATTTCAATAAGTACAATTTCTGATGGAAAAAATCGATGAAAGTGTAATTACCACGAACCCGATGAAGTCGCCAGCAAACCTGGTCACTTCATCAGCAAATAAAGGTTCAGAACCGAAATGGGCCATGCCTCCAACGTTCTCTCCTCCTTTAGGAATATCATTTGCAGTGATAATGTCAACAACTCCAGTTGGCTCTGGTTTAGACTTAAAAGATATACCCTTGACTCGAACCAGAGGCTTGGAGCTGCAAATAAGCGTTCCATGCAGACAATTTGGAGGGGAAGGAATATCATCTACGTAAACGGCTTCACCTGCGCATGGCGAATATAAATTAGCAAGACATTTAGATTGACGACATGCTATAGATCTAAATTTTTAACTAAAAGGTTGCACAACACCAGAAGCTTGGATAGGAGCGCCAAATTTAGGCATTGGCTCCCCCACTGGATTATAATCTCTATTAGTTTCCATAATCTGTTTTGCAGATGATAGCAAAGTAGGCCCTTTGATTGGACTAGGCATGATTTTATCATATACTTTTGCAGCGTTTTCCAGCAGCTTGCCATTCGGATCATTCTTTGAGCCACCAATTACATCAGAACAATCATTAATGAGATTAGTAAGAAATGAAAATAGAAAACTGACTGCTAAGCTTTTTCTGTAAGCTGGATATGAAGTTCCATCTTCAGGTACAATAGCTTCTTTTACTAATTTAACAGCTTTATCCAGAACTTCAACACTCAGCACTTTCCCTGCCAGATATTCCTCCACGTTAGTCGCTCTTGATGCATGTTTTGTGCCATAAGCACCAAAAGCCAACCGAACACGATTCACTAGAACTCCACTTTCATTACAACAAGCATCTACCAAGAAAGCAGCATTTAAGTAAGGCAATGAATTCCCAAGTGGCCGTGGTGCAGCGCGGTAGGACTCAAGCAAAACTCGTGGATGCTGCTGTCCAACAGAATTCTGGACCTCTGAGGATTTTGGAAATGGAATGTGAACAGTCAAGAGCACATCTTTTGGGTCAAGAGGTGATCTATACAAGAACTCTTCAAATGAAATTTTTTCTTGTCCATGACCTGACAATATACTGACACTAGAATCGACAGCAAGGAGTAGTGTTGCAATATCTGAAGGAAAATGCTTCCTCTGTGCCATAACCAAATTTCCACCAATACTGGCTGAGTTCCTGATAAAGATGGAAGCTATCTTTTCCATATGCTCTGCAATTCTTGTGAATAAAACTTTTCTATCTGAGCTTGTGTTAGTCTTACTTTCTAATTTCAGATACAAGATTACCTTCGAAATTGGTAAAGCTGCTCCAAATTCTATCCCTTGTTCATCCCTTCTGACCATTGAAAGCTCAGGAATGGACCTAAGATCAACATATTTGTCGTACTTCTTTGCATCTTTGTAATAGCCATCACCTGTGTTTCCAACAACTAGCTTGATCATTGCACCATTTCTTACCATATCTGAACATAAAAGACTTTGAAGCTCATCGATGGTTAAAGGAGTGTGCCACGAGTATTGTTCAAAATTCAAAATCCTCTTGGACTTGAGTTCGCTTTTCGTCACATCAGTATACGAACAAGCATGATCAATCGGATTGTAGGTGGGCAATTTACTTGCTCTGATCCCCTTGGCATCCCCCCTTCTCCAAAAGGTATTTGTCCCCAAATCCTCCAAATCAACATCTGCTGCAAAGCTTTTGCAGGCATCTGCAATGGGCCTATAGCCAGTGCACCTACAAAGATTCCCAGATATAGCTCTTTCTGCTTCAGAAATTGTTAGCTTTGAGAACCCCGGTGGCGCTTGCAGATGATCCGACTTTTCAGAATTTGCAAGTGCCGAGAAAAGCGACATGCACATTCCCGGAGTGCAGAAGCCACATTGAGAAGCATGGAATCCAGCAAACCTTAGGTGGATTGGATGGAAACCATCCTTAATGTTTCCAAGGCCTTCACTAGTTGTAACAGAGCATCCATTTATGCTGCAGAGAAGAGTAAGACAGGAGCTGACAGTGAAACTTTCAGTCCGTTTGAGCTTGGGATCATACTTTGACAGGAGAACTACACAAGCTCCACAACCCCCTGGATTGTTCAATTTACAAACAATCGTAAGTAATAGCTACAACCATAGAAAAGAGCTTTGTGAATAAGACTAACGATCAAATTAATTGCTTCCAAAAAATAACCAACTCCGTGAAGAACCTATCGATATTCCTTTTGCACCGATGTCAAATATACTAAACACGATAACAATGAAAACTAATCCAACAGTGAGAACACATCGAGAACCAGTAACTATAAATGAACACCTGAAAGGAATAAAAAAACTACTACACTCATCAACACCACCAACATACAAACATCAACGATAAACGAATAAATACGATACACTAGCAAAAAAGGAGAATATCCAGAACGAAAAATTCAACCGAGGAAGGAAGACAAGCAAGCATTAAATTAAATAGCATCCTTCAAGCTACAAACACAAACACACACACATACAAATTAAACAGTGAACGAACGAGACACAGACCTTCACCGCAACCGAGCTTGACGCTCCGGAAACGCGTTTTGGTGCGCAAAAACTCGAGCAGTGTAGTAGATGGATCGATTTCCGGCACCTCAAACCTCTCTCCATTAACCTCAAAAACCAGCAAACCAGCTATGATCGGAGCTCCGTTTTCAGCAAGTTCCATTTTCCGCCGAGCGGTCACTGAACACGTGGATCCCGCCGAGAGCAGCTAGTACGATAGGATTACTCCACTCCGCATTTCCAACCCAACCAATCACTTTAATATGCGTTTTTGAGCGGTTTGTTGATGTAACATCTTAATGTTATAGTAAAAAATTATGTCGCCTGTTTTTACTATGCTATAAAAAGAACTGTGTTATTTTACCAGAGTATTGAATTTAAATTGCTGTTCAATCAAAAATAAATATTAAATTTGTTTTTGGTGTTTCTCTCTATTTCAGTGTTGATTTTAGTAATATACTATTGCTTTTCCAGCTCTAATGATCCATTTTTATTTTTTTTTTCATATATATTAATTTTTAATATTAATTATTATATAAAAATCGTAATATAAATTAAAAAAATAGCAAAAATATTTTAGTGATTTATAACAATTAATAATTATACAAGAATATTACAATTGATCAAAATGCAAATAGAATCCTAAAGCCTAATAGAGGAAATATTATATTATGAAAAATACAATATGCTCTATATTTTTTAACAGATGATATCTTTTTGTTCAGAAAAAATTTACATAAGCAGTATAAATGAAAAATTATTAATAATAAATTATAATATTATTTTTTTTAGAAATAATGTTATTAATGTTTTAAAAATACAAATTAATATATAATTAAAAAAATTAAATAGTATTTATTTATCACTATATTTTAATAAAATATATAAATAAATAGATTAAAATTTATACAATACAAATAAATAAAAATTTTACTTAATTATAATTAATTAAAATTAATTTTATAAAAAAACTAAAATTTTTAAATATAAATAAAAATATTTATTTATTTATGAAATATATAAAATAAATAAATTTTGAATAAAAAATTAATTAAATTAATTTAAATTTATTAAATATATTTTTAAAAAATAAATTTATTAAAAATATAAAAAAATAAATAGGAACAGGACAAGAAAGTATTTTTTTTATTTTATTTTATATCACAGTATATTAAAATAACTTTTAATTTCCGGTAAAAATTACAAATGCTCATTATTTTCAAATTAAAATCAAACCAACCGCTGACACCCACCCTACCATTCATATCTTGCTCAACAGTAGGGCGGCGGGTTGGCACTATCATATAAAAAAGAACATACTTATATAGGTAATTAATAAAAATAATAATTAATAGTTCATCTGTCCCACTTTTCATGTTCATCTTTCTATTTTTGTCAGTCTCATTTATTTTGTCATCTTTTTTTTAAAAAAAAATTATACACTTTAATCTTATTTTAAAAATTTTAATTTATAATTTTTTAAATTTTAATTATACTAATCAATTATTTTTATTTTAATTTATAATTATTTTTATTATACAATAATTATTTTCACTAGTATATTTTTAATTCTTTACTAATTATACCTCTCCTACTCTATAATAAATAAATCGAACAAAATATCCGGGATGGAAAGAAGTATAAATATTTTAATCAATAACTAATGTTATCTAATCTAAGTACTATATATAGCATAGAGTGGCGTGTAATTTTCAATATTTTCGGTTTTTCCAAAAAATTGTTTGGTGGGTCCACCACTTATAAAATTTCATATTATTGCATATTATATTATTTATAAAATACTTATTATATTAAATTATTATTATTATTATCCTCCCCCCTCTATATATTTATTTTTTGCAAATATTTTAAAAATATTATTATTTCAATTGTAGTAAATAGTTGAATAAAATATAAAAATATTTTTATTTTTTTTAATATAATGATAAGTATGTAAAACAGTAATACTAGTATCTTTTTAAATAGTTGAATTCACAAGAAACTATATACTATATTATTATGAAACAGATAAAATGACAAATATATATGTACACTGGGTAAGGGTCAGTATTATTTATTTTGTTATTTTTTAGGTATTTTATATATTCAAAAAATAGTAAAAAATTTAATAGAATAGCTATTTAATGTGATAAATAAATATTCTCGCAATATTTTAAATAACATAATACAATTATATTTAAATAAATAATAAATATTATTGTTATATTTTAAATAACATAATGCAATTGTATAGAAACAAATAATGAATATGATTCTACCTTTTGCGCATATAAAAAATTGTTGTTTTGTAAAGCTAATTAATGTTTTAATTGAAAGATTGAACATGGTCTTTATTTCTTTAATTTAGAAGCATAAAAATTATATTGAATGGTATAATTCTTAAGTTTCTACCTATAAAAATCATAAAATATTTTTAAAATGTTGTATATCTTTAAAGAAAGCCCAAAATACATGTAAATAAAAAAAGTATACCATATAATAAATAGGCAAGCACATAATATAATAATAAAAAGCACGAGAAAAATAACAAAATTATAAAACATTATAATAAAAGCACACTGAATAAATAAAGGAAGCATATAACATAATTATAAACATCCGAAGTAAGAAAAATAAAAAAACAAGATAATAATAAAAAAGCACAATTTATTTTCCACTAAAATGTGTATAGGAAAATTATAATATTAGCTTTGCTTATTGTTGATCATATGATATTAAAATATGAAAGATCTAACGTGGTTGTTTAATCAACACTTCCAAGCAAAACACAAGCCTACTACATGACATCTAACGGTAAAAACAAGGATTGGTTAGATTTTGAAATGAAACCAATATTAGCATTATTCAATCTATACCATTCCTATATAAATACTTTATTTTTTCTTATAAAATATTATTTGAATAAAAATTTAAATAATAAAAAAGGGCCTAATCTCAAATTAAAACAAAACAAATCCAAAGATCAAAAAGGCAAGCCAAAAGAAGGATACAAAATAAAGTACTATATTCACACGTTCATAATGATAACATGCACACACATTGTAAAAACAAATAAACAAGTCAAGCATGGCAAAGACAATGCAAACGCCAAAATAAATTACGAATAGCAACAAAATTAAAAATTAAAATTAAAATTAAAATTAAAATTCACTTTTGTGCTTCAACACCACAAGGACAAAGAAAACTACTTAATATATACACACATGAGCACATATCAATAACAAAATCGACTAAACAGGTATGTACACACAACACAAAAACTAATTACTTGTATGCATGCATACATATATATATATATATACACATAAACATGGGCATAAGTACATATATCGATTGTATATGCATATGATATTATATATCATAATATAATCAACTTCAATTGAACAAAAGCGATAACAAAATCAACTAATCAATTATTATATATAAACATTTGCGTAAATACACAAACATGTTGTTTGAATACACTATTTATCATAATAAAATCAATTTCATTCGAGCAGAAACACGCACACAAAGGTTTAAAAAAAAAAAAAAAATCATTGGATTCATCAAAATCATAAATATCTAATAGAAATCATCGTAGAAAATACACAAACTAATAATCCACATCGATGTATATAGAATACATACACAAACCTACTGCATCTATGCATACATGCATAAAAAGATATTACCTTACTAATCAACAATTTTTAATTTTTATAGTCACTTGCATTTATTTCAATAAATTCATCAAAATAAATAAATGATAAAACAGATCACTTATGCTACAAATTCAATACCTGTAGGCAATGGGGATATATATTTGCTTCCTGTGTCCCCTCCTCCAAACAAAAAGAATTCCTGCATAAGTAATTCTGCTTAATATGACATAAAAATGGATAAGGAAATACTTTCATTATACAACAAAGCGCTTAGATTGCCCGAGCTTTAATGTAAATAGTTTGAAGCGCTTACCAATGTCTTCATCTGCAATGATCAAATTAAAAAGACTGCATAGAGAAATTTAACAGAACTTAAAAAGACTGCATAGAACAACTCAACAGAAATGAATAATTCTGCTTGAAGAAATGAACCAAATAACAATGTAACTCAGTCAGTCTTGTGTCCGTGGGGACCTTCGAAACTCTGCTCCAACTCTTGCCTATATCTATCTCAATCAGACAACATGAAAGTTTAGTAACAAACATGAATAGTACATACTACAGCTCATGAAAAAAGGATAATGTAATAATAGCAAAATGATGAGCTCAGTTAGAATCATAGGCTAATTACAAAAATCATGGAGTATCCGAAAATCAGCTCCAAAATGGGTCTGATTTATTATTATTTTTTATGCCTCAGGGTCTAAAACCTGAAGAAAATTCAAAACCAAAAGCACACTACCATCACTAGGAAGAAAAATCATGATACTATGAGAATAAAAAAGTGACAGAAGAACACGATGAAAACAAAATCCAACTGGTAATCTATCGTCAAACACAAAAAACAGAGAGTCGAAACCACCTGTGCATCACACTCCAATCCAACAAGAAAACTTCTGCATTGAAATAACACCATCAACATCAATAAATAACTTAACCTCCAAATTTTCAGATCGACAGAAGCTAGGAATGCAATAAAAAGGTGAAACTATCTTCAAAACAAAACTGCACCTCTCTCATATATGATCATTATTAACAAATGGGCTTCACCTAAGCCCCACCTGGTCCACAATCCCTAGAATATCATCTAAAATGAAGATGAAAGCATATTAGAAACTTCCTTCAGGAGCAGAGCTACACATTGCAATGTGAGAGCTTTTGTTGTTTTGGAAAGATGCTGAAGAATAACGGAAGGTGAAAATCAGAAGACAACCAACCTGTGTGTGGTTTGTTTGTGAAGATTGGAGAAGAGCAGAGGAAATGGGGGGCGTAGGGTTTTTCAAAGCCATGCCCCAAGAGAGCCAGTCACATTATTGGCTATGTGCTTTTTGTTTAACCTATATTACACGCCATATATAATATATATCATCTATCAACCAAAACTTCAGCAGCATGGGAAATACCCGACAAGGAATTTCGCTACCTTAGGACCATTATAAAACTAGTTCTAGGTTATGTTTCAGGAAAGATCCGACGTAGGGAAGGGATTCTGGAAAAGGAAAAAAAAATACATACAATGAAGCTTAAAACCCCCCGCAGAAATAAGTTCGATCTAAAGTATGATTCAAGTATGGAACTAACTCGGAATCACCCTAACCAGATTCAAACCAATACTTGAAACATGCTCGATCTAAAGAATGATTCAAGTCTACATCTGAAACCAGCACGGAATCACCCGAGATAGACTCGAAAAAAAGACTTGAAACAAGTCCTATCTAAAACGTGATTTAAGTCTTAAAAATGGACAGAGCTAGATTCAAACCAGTACTTGAAAACAACTCAATCAAAAGAATGATTCAAGTCTTAATCCAACTTGGAATCACCCGAGCATATTCAAACCAAGACTCAAAACAAGCCTAATCTCAAGTAGGATTCAAGTATGGAACCAACCCAAAATTACTCAAGCTAAATTCATATCTATATTCGAAAGAAGTTCGATTTAAAGCATGATTCAAGTATGGAACTAACCCGGATCACCCGAGCAAGATTCAAACCAATACTCGAGGCAGGCTTGATCTAAAGAAGGATTCAAATCTAAGTGTGAAACCAACACGGAATCACATGAGTTAGACTCAAACCAAGACCTATCTAAAACATGATTCAAGTCTAAAAAATGCACAAAGCCAAATTCAAAGCAGTACTTGAAAACAACTCAATCAAAAGAATGATTCAAGTCTTAATCCAACTCTGAATCACCCGAGCATATTCAAACCAAGACTCGAAACAAGCCCAATCTCAAGTAGGATTCAAGTATGGAACCAACCCAAAATTACTCGAGCTAAATTAAGACCTATATTCGAAATAAGTTCAATTTAAAGCATGATTCAAGTATGGAACTAACCCGGAATCACCCAAGCCAAATTCAAACCAATACTCGAAACAAGTTCGATCTAAAGAAAGATTCAAGTCTAAGTCTGAAACCAACACGGAATCACCCGAGCTAGACTCAAACCAAGACTCGAAACAAGTCCTATCTAAAACATGATTCAAGTGTAAAAAATGCACAAAGCTATATTCAAACCAGTACTTGAAAATAGTAATCGAAAGAATGATTCAAGTCTTAATCCAACTCGGAATCACCCGAGCATATTCAAACCAAGACTCAAAACAAGCCCAATCTCAAGTAGGATTTAGGTATGGAACCAACCCAAAATTACTCGAGCTAAATTAAGACTTATATTCGAAATAAGTTCGATTTAAAGCAAGATTCAAGTATGGAACTAATCCGGAATCACCCGAGCTAGATTCAACCTAATACTCGAAACAAGCTCGATCTAAAGAAAGATTCAATTCTAAGTCTTAAGTCTGAAACCAACACGGAATCACACGAGCTAGACTCAAACAAAGACTCGAAATAAGTCCTATCTAAAAACAAGGTTCAAGTCTAAAAAATGCGGAAAGCTAGATTCGAACTAGTACTTGAAAACAACTCAATAAAAAGAATGATTCAAGTCTTAATCCAACTCGGAATCACCCGAGCATATTCAAACCAAGACTCAAAACAAGCTCAATCTCATGTAGGATTAAAGTATGGAACCAACCCAAAATTGCTCGAACTAAATTAAAACCTATATTCGAAATAAGTTCAATCTAATGCATGATTTATGTATGGAACTAACCCGGAATCACCCGACCTAGATTCAAACCAATACTCGAAACAGGCTCAATCTAAAGAAGGATTCAAGTCTAAATCTTAAGTCTAAAACCAACGGCGAATCACCCAAGCTAGACTCAAACCAACACTCGAAACAAGTCCTATATAAAACATGACTCAAAGTCTAAAAAATGCACAAAACTAGATTTGAACCCGTACTTGAAAATAATAATCAAAAGAATGATTCAAGTCTTAATCCAACTCAGAATCACCCGAGCATATTCAAACTAAGACTCGAAACAAGCCAATCTCAAGTAGGATTCAAGTATGGAACCAACCCAAAATTACTCGAGCTAAATTAAGACCTATATTCGAAATAAGTTCAATTTAAAGCATGATTCAAGTATGGAACTAACCCAGAATCATCCGAGCTAGATTCAACCTAATACTCAAAACAGGCTCAACCTAAAAAAGGATTCAAGTCTAAGTCTGAAACCAACACAGAATCACCCGAGCTAGACTCAAACCAAGACTCGAAACAAATTCTATCTAAAACATGATTCAAGTCTAAAAAATGCAGAAAGCTAGATTCGAACGAGTACTTGAAAACAGCTCAATCAAAAGAATGATTCAAATCTTAATCCAACTCGGAATCACCCAAGCATATTCAAACCAAGACTCAAAACAAACTCAATCTCATGTAAGATTGAAGTATGGAACCAACCCAAAATTACTCGAGCTAAATTAAGACCTATATTCGAAATAAATTCAATCTAAAGCATGATTCACGTATGGAACTAACCCGGAATCACCCGAACTAGATTCAAACCAATACTCGAAACAGGCTTAATCTAAAGAAAGATTAAGTATAAATCTTAAGTCTAAAACCAACACGGAATCACCCGAGCTAGACTCAAACCAAGACTCGAAACAAGTCCTATCTAAAACATGATTCAAGTCTAAAAAATGCGCAAAGCTAGATTCGAACGAGTACTTGAAAACAACTCAATCAAAAAAATGATTCAAGTCTTAATCCAACTCGGAATCACCCGAGCATATTTAAACCAAGACTTGAAACAAGCCCAACCTCAAGTAGGATAAGTATGGAACCAACCCAAAATTACTCTAGCTAAATTCAAATTTATATTCGAAATAAGTTCGATTTAAAGCATGATTCAAGTATGGAATTAACTTGGAATCACCCGAGCCAAATTCAAACCAATACTCGATACAGGCTCAATCTAAAGAAGGATTCAAGTATAAGTCTGAAAACAACACGGAATCACCCGAGCTAGACTCAAACCAAGACTCGAAACAAGTCCTATCTAAAACATGATTCAAGTCTAAAAACCGCCTAGAATCAACAAAGCTATATTCTAATCGGTACTTTAAAACAGCTCAATCAAAAAATGATTCAAGTCTTAATCCAACTTGGAATCACCCGAGCATATTCAAACAAACCCATGCTCAACTAGGATTCAAGTATGGAACTAAACCAAAATTACTTGAGCTAAATTCAGACCTATATTTGAAATAAGTTCGATCTAAAGCATGATTCAAGTATAGAACTAACCTGGAATCACCCAAGCTAGATTCAAACCAATACTCGAAACAGGCTCGACCTAAATAAAGAAGGATTCAAGTCTAAAAGGAAATCACAATCACCCGAGCTAGAGTTAGACCAAGACTCGAGACAAGTTCAATCTAAAACAGGATTCACATTTGAAAATTCCCGGAACTACCCGACCTATGTTCAAACCAAGGCACAAAATAAGTTCAATTTAAAGCATAATTCAAGTCTGAAACAAAACTAGAATCACCCAAACTAGATTCAGACCAAGACTTCAAACAAAACCAATCTAAAGTAGAATCAAGTCTGAAAAAAGCCCCAGAGTCACGCAAGCTAGATTCAACACAAGACTTGAAACAAGATCTAAAAGAATATTAAGTCTGACCAAACCTGGAATCATCCGAGTAAGTTTCAAACCAAGACTTGAAACAAGTCCAATCTAAAAAAAAAGTCAAGTCCGAACCCAACCTAGAATCACCCGAGATTCAGACGAAGACTTGAAGCAAAGCTCAATCTAAAGCTAGATTCAACTTTGAAACCAACCAAGAATTGCCAAAGCTAGATTGAGACCCAAACCCAAGCCAAAATCTGAACCCAACCTAAAACCACCTGAACCAAAGCAAAGACCCGAAGCCTAAGACAAAACTGATCTAGACTAACTCAAATCACAACTGAACACACTCCTAGCCAAAACCAAGCCTAAGGCCAGAGCAATAGCCAAACCAAAACCCAATGAACACCACCAACCAGAGCTATTATAACAGCAGACCAAGAAGCTCATAGTGGATTTACAGAGAGGAAATAAAAACGTAGTTTTGCGAGGTGAGAAGCACCCAGATTCAGATTCAAAGAATGATGAGAGTTGAGTCTCTGTCAAAGTGGGTGTTTCCTCTCTTTGATACTTTTAAGAATCAACAGTAAGGGAAAATGAGCATGCATGCCATTAATTATTAAGATGGTCATGCAAGGAGAAAATGCAAGAAAGATTCATATATAAACAACTACTTCTAACAAATTCATATACAGATTACAGAAATAATATGCGATATCTCTTAGAACTTTAAAGCAGAAAACAAACAAATAATTGAAGGATGTACTCACCAGGTTTCTCTTTTAAAACCACAACTAAAGACAAAAGTGATAAGTTATCATCCGATTTGCAGTAAAAACTGATTGTGAATCATTCAAGGAAGAATGGAATACTACTGGATTCTGCATACACATGTTTATATCTTTTCTATAAGTCAGTAATTGTTTCAACCAGAAATCATTGAAATAAACAACAGTAAACAAATTCCAACAACAGCCAGCAGCAACTTCACAGAAATGGGGAACCAAGATACAGAGGTGGAAACGGAAAAGGTGAACGTAAGCAAAAGTAACATTACTTTAGAGAGTTTCTGTCTGTATCATCGTTGATCTATTTCTCATTCAAAAATTCTTTATCATAGAGAAATTCCTTATAATTTTGGTGTAAATTGCACAGTTAAAATACCGAACAATCCCTAAATCCACCCACAATCAAAACAAGAAATTCATACACACAATCAAAACAAGAAATTCATACACACAATCAAAACAAGAAATTCCCGATAAACCCTAAGCCTACCCACAACCAAAACAAGTAATTGCACAGTAACAATACCGGATAAATCCTAAACCCGCCCACAATCAAAACAACCAATTGCAAGTTGCCATTGCCTTCCCGAAACCCTCGCTCCCTGTACAGATAGGTGAAAACAACCAATCGCAAATTGCGCATGATAAATCCTGTTGAATCATATCCCATTGCTGTAAATAAGAGTATCCGGTGATGCGATGCTGTGAGGCTAAAGAAGGATTTCGAAATAAACTGCGAAAAAAAAAAACAGAGAGAAATGAAGGAATGCGATGAGAGGAGAAGGGAGATAATAAGATGAAATCTTCTTGGTGTCATCGTAATGTAATCGTTATCGGTAATTCCCTTTTCTGACCGTTGGAGACCAAGGGCAAGTTTGTTTGTTTTTTTTTTTATACTATTTTGCTTTGAGAACAAGTTTATTGTTAAATTCAAATTCATAATATAATGAGTTCACTTATTGAGTTAATTATGCATTAAGGGTTTGTTTGGTTACTTTTGATGTGAAATCTAATTATTTATTTGATATTTGATTTAAATATTATTTTTGTTGGAAATAAGTAAATATTTAAAATAAAAAATAAACAAACTTTAAATTTATAACATATTCACTTTGTGTTTGATTGGAAAATTTTATCTTAAATTTTATTATTAATTGTTTTTTATAAAAATATTAAATCAAATATTTACTTTTTATATTATATTAAAATCGATTTTACGTTCAAATATCAAATTAATATATATATATATATTTATATGATATTATAATAATTCAAATTCAAAATTTTCACTAGGCTCAAAATCCAAACCTCAAACCAAAAGCATTTTTTAATTTACTCTTTTAGTTTGATTTTTATTGTAGTTTATATTTTACATATATAACTTATGATATATGCAAATTGAACAATAGATTAAAAAATAATAATATAAAAATATGTAAGATTTTTTATATTTCTGCAATTTTATTTATAATAATTGTATAAGTAATAATGACATATTTATAATTTAAATAAAAATTAAACGGTATTTTAGTATTGCTAATTATTTTTTTAAAATAAAAAATATATACTTTAGAGTGAGTTATATATATTTTATTTTACAAAATATTCAATTTTATATTATTTTAATAGTAAACTCAAATTAAAAATTATCAAACTAAATCAAAAGAAACATACTCTAAATGTTTTGAACTCTCCGGGAGGGACTAGACCTCTTCAAGGAGGAGCAATCCGACCATTACAAGAATACGCTTAATTGTGTTTTTATTAATTATCTTTTGCATTATAGTTGTTTATATTTTTTTAAATCCAAGTTTAGTTAAAACATATTCGAAGCCAAACTACTTGAAATCCTTCCTACACTAATATGGTTTTGTTTTGGTTTTGATTTTTTTATTTAAATTTTGATTTTATATTTTGTAAGAGAAAATAATACTCCCTTCGTCCCAAACACAGTGCAATATTTGTGTTTGGCACTAGAATTTAGGTGGGAAGTATTAAGTATGATAATTTGAGATAATTTGGATATTAAGTGATGTGATTGAAGAGAGAAATGATTATTATTTTTTTTTATTTGAGTGATGTGACGAGATAAAGTGAAGTGCATATTAATATATGTATAAAAATATTATTAATTATTTCTAAATTTGAAAATGTTGCAGTGAGTTAGAGAAAAAAAAAATGTTACAGAATATTTGGGATGGAGAGAGTATAATTTTATAAAAAAAAATTTGTATAAATTAAATAATGGTCGAAACCAGATACATCAAATAAGTTTGTTAATTTTTTTAAAAAAATAATTATTAAGTATAAAAAATTTATTGTGAATGTTTATAAAATAAAATGGCTAAAAATTAAAGCAAACACACTTTATTGTGTTGGTCCTAGGCATGATTGTCAGTTTGATAAGGTCATGTTTTTTTTTTTTATTTTTGTTTGTTTTATATACTATGTTATTTTTTTAAAAAATAAAAAATAATTATATATTTTAATTATATTTTAAATTTTATAATTTATAAATTTTTTATTAATTTTTATTATATTAATTAGTTATTTAATCTATTTTTATTTTTATTTTATTATAATAAATTTTATTAATTTTTATTAATTATACTCTTTTTAAATTCTATGTATACAGTAATTATAACAACATATGTGAGAGAAAATGAGTATATTTTTTAGTGGTTTAAGAGTATATACTATTATTTATACAAAAAATATTAAAGTAACAATAAGTGATTAAGTGTTAAAAATAATTATATTATTTTTTGATCAACTAAAAATTAAAAAAATATTTTTAAATTGGACTAAAAAAGTACTCTATTTGTCGCACATACTATGTCTGCTATACTGTAGACACTGGTATTTTAGGAGGAATGTAATTAATAGATAATTAAGAATGTATTAGTGAAAATAATTATCTAATATTAAGATAACTAATTAGTTTAATTAAAATTTAAAAAAATAAAAATTTTAAAATAAGATTAAAGTGTGTACACGCTGGACATGATACGTGGGACGAATGGAGTATTATTTTTCTATTTCATAACAAATAATTTTTTTTAATTTTTAATACATTTATTCATCTTAAAATATTTAATTAAATTTCTAAAACATATTTATTTATATCTCTCCTAAATAAAATAATACTTTTGTCAACATTTAAAATTATTTATATCTATATTATTGTATATATTTTATAGATATATAATACTAAACAAATTTAAACACATAGATTTTTTTAATCATATATATTAATTTATATTTTTAAAGTATCTGCGACACAACTAAATAAAAATATTAATGTCATAACTTATCAATTTTACACTACATAAATAATCGTGTATGAAACAAATGGGTCTATTCCGAGACAGAAAGAGTATTATATTGCATAAATAAGTATTTATTATACTTTTTTCGTCTCAATTAATTTGTCCTATTTAATTTAGGTAGAAGGTTTTTTAAATATTGGGTAATTAGTAAGTAAGTAAGAATATAACAGTGAAAATAATTATAATTTAATAAAAATAATTATAAATTATGAATTTTCAAATATGATTGCAATGTATAATTATATTTTTTAAAAATTGACAATTTATGTGTAACAGAAAAAAATATAAATAATGGATAAATTAAGTAGGACAGATAAAAATATTTTTTATATTCATTTCGTTCTCAGTAATTTCTTTATTTTTTATTTTTATCTGTCGTTTATTATTTTTTTAAAATATAATTATATATTTTAATCTAATTTTAAAATTTATAATTTTGTTAATCTTAATTAAATTATTTAATTATTTTAACTTATAATTATTTTTAATATTATATTTTTAAGTTATTTAACTAAAATATTTTTTTACCTAAATTTAGGTATCTATTTAACATAGACATTATCCAGACTAAGAGAACAATATAAATTGAAAAAATATATATATATATTAATGAAAATGAACACACTTTTAACATGTGTTTATTTTGTATTTTGGTTTGAATTTTTCTTTTTACATAAGATTTAAAAAAATTATGTAAAAAAATATAAAAATAATGAATGTATACTATTCTCTTCGTCCCAATAATTTGTTTTTATTTTTTATTTTTGTTGTGCCACATAATTTGTTATTTTTTTAAAAAAAAATATAATTATACACTTAAAAAAAGAGTAGAGGTTGGGCTTATGATCGTGAGGTCATAGATTCAAACATCCGACACCTCAGATCACCTGCCACACATGGTTCACCTAGTGTGATTTTTCCGAGAATTTACTCAATGTGTACTTTTAGGTAGCAACTGCGAATTAGAAATTACTTATGACTAATCATGGATTCAAAGCTGATGCCTCAAGTCACACGCCACTTACTACAATATTTAATTACAGAATAAAGATGAACTTAAAAATATCTTCTTATAATAATGAAGTTTAAAATTACGAAAATCTTAAAAGGGAAATAAATAATCCGCACGAGTATCGAATCTGACCATATACGAATAGAACTTTCACCTGTGATTTAATTAATTCTTTAATTAATTTAATTATTACTTTCTGTGGCGTTTCCTTCCCAAAGCACAAAAGCAGCTGTATGTATGTGTGCATATATATATATATATATATCTAGAGAAAGAGAGAGAGGCGAAGAAGGCAAATTCAACGAGGGTTCTCCACCTGCCAAACTCCATTTTCTTACTATTAAAGAATGGATTGAACGGTTTCGGAGTGTGTTTGTATTGTAGGAGGAGAGTCAAGAACTCCTCGTGAGAAAAAGTCGTCACGAGATGAGTTTTCAGGTAACGATGCCGAAATAGGAAATAAGTAACAAAAAATATCTGACTACTGTTTGCTGTTGCTTTTCTTCTCATGATTGTATTTGTGGCTGTGCTGCTCTTTTTGTTGGTTCATTTGCTCGACTGAATTTTTTGAGTTGTTTCATTTGGCAGAAATTAAGAGGAGGCGTTTCGTTGATTACGATTTACGATATATTTACTGTAGGTTTCGGTTTTTGATGATTTTGATGTTTATCTGATTTTCTGTGCAGCCTGTTCAGATCTGAGATGTGTAATTAGTCTGTTAAAAAAAAAAGTGTTCATCGTTTATCCTGTTAGATGAGATCGTGTTTCTTAATTAAGTTAGGAACTCGTGGTTTTGATTCGGATTTGTTCTTAGTTTTCAGCATTTCTGTCTTTATAGGTGGATGAGTGATTGATTTCAGGACTGTCTCGAACTTGGCGACGTTGGAGCAGATTGATTGCGTTTTCCTCCATTGCAGCAGAATTTGTTGTACTCTGAGCAGTTAAGTTTGTACGGTACGACGACGATGATGATGCTCGAGGACCTAGGTTTTTCCGGTGATTTCGATTTCTTCTGCTCCGCCTCGGGGAAGGACGACGGCGATGTATACGCTCCTGATCCGGCGCCGCCTATGGAGTTGGAGGCAGAGGCGGAGGACGAGGATTACACGGATGACGAAATCGACGTGGACGAGCTCGAGAGGAGACTGTGGAGGGACAAGATGCGTCTCAAGCGGCTGAAGGAAATCAACAAGACAAAACACACCGCCGCCGCCGCCGGCGGCGGCGGGGCTGCCGACTCCGCCAAGCACCTCCAGTCGCAGGAGCAGGCGCGTCGGAAGAAGATGTCACGCGCTCAGGACGGGATCCTCAAATACATGCTGAAAATGATGGAGGTCTGCAAAGCCCAAGGTTTCGTCTACGGCATCATCCCTGAGAAAGGCAAGCCGGTGAGCGGCGCGTCGGACAACCTCCGCGCGTGGTGGAAGGACAAGGTCCGGTTCGACCGGAACGGTCCGGCCGCCATCACCAAGTACCAAGCCGAGAACCAAATCCCGGTCCCGGATCCCGACTCCAGCTCCACAGGGCCAGGGCCTACTCCCCACACCTTACAGGAGCTCCAAGACACCACCCTCGGCTCCCTCCTCTCCGCCCTGATGCAGCACTGCAACCCGCCGCAGCGGCGCTTCCCTTTAGAGAAAGGCGAGCCGCCGCCGTGGTGGCCGACGGGGGCGGAGGAGTGGTGGCAGGACCTGGCCCTGCCGAAAGATCAACTCCCGCCTCCTTACAAGAAGCCTCATGACCTCAAGAAGGCTTGGAAAGTCGGAGTCCTTACAGCCGTCATTAAACACATGTCTCCCGACATCCCGAAAATCCGAAAGCTCATCCGGCAATCGAAATGCCTTCAGGACAAGATGACCGCCAAAGAAAGCGCCACCTGGCTTGCCATCGTCAACCAAGAAGAAGCCATTGCCCGGAAACTCTACCCCGATCGATGCCCTGCCGACAGCGGCGGCAGCGCACCATTCGGCATCGACTATTGCAACGAGTACTATGATGTCGAAGAAGAGCAAAAACCGAAGACAATTCCGATAACTTTCCTCAATAATTCAGAAACAAACAAATTCGACGAAGATCATCGCGACATTCTACCGAGGAAGAGGAAGCCGATCGATGAGGCCAATTCTGTTGCAACATTCGCTTGCCCCTACAGCAAACTCTGCCACACCTTCCTCAACCGGAGCTCCCGCGACAATCATCAGTTTTCTTGCCCTTACAAGCCGATGTCTTCCTTATTCGGGACATCGAGTTTCAACGACATTAAGCCGTTTACTTATCCTCAACCGGGTGGATCGATCCAATTACCGTCGTTCGAGCAATCAGCCGGGCTCGGAGTCCCCGAAGATGGGCAGCGAATGATCGACGAGCTAATGTCGTTCTACGACAACAACATTCAAGGGAACGATTACTCCAAGAATTTATTAGGCCAGAGGATCATGTTCGAGGATGACCCGGCCATATCCGGCGACACCGCGATGTTCCATCGACCAGAGACATTCGGAAATTTCAACTCTGACGCTGCGGAAAATTTCCAATTGGTGTGTAGTCCCCTGTTCAACATGCCACCTCCGCTCGACTTCTCCGGCGGCGGTCCGGTGGATAATCCGGCGGCGGCGGTGAAACAAGACATCCCCTCAATGTGGTACTGAGAATGACGATCCTCGTCGTCAGGTATGATTCCGATTCCGGCGTCTTACTTTATTTACTTACTTTCTTGATTATCTAAAACGTCTAGAAGGTTTGGAAATTGGAAGGACATGAACTTAAAAGGATCTTTTAATAATGCCAAATATGCGTGTGTAGTATTGTTATTATTAATTAATGTTATTATTACTACATGAGAACAATAATTGTGGTTTCTAGGAATATTTTTTAAGTCTTGATGTGTCGTAGGAAGAAGCCCTCAGCGATGATTGGCTCGTGGGAATGTGTAATAAATAATGCATGGTAGAGGGGGGGGGGGGGGGGTTAGGGTAGGGTAGGGGGTAGGGCCTAGGGGGGCTGTCTTTTGTTGACTGAATTACATGGAATGACATGGTGATGAGGCTTGTATATTATTTAGTGCCTGTTTCAACTTCAATTCAATGGCTTTTCTATGCATGCGTTACTGTGTGTTTGTTTTTTTAGATAAGTTTTTATTTTCTTTTTTCCCTTTTTCTTTTTTTGGTGGATAATAAATAGTAGTTAAAACGCTAAAGTCGAGTGTAGGGGCCCAGCAATTTGTAATAGTATTTGGTTTTATTCCATCCAATGTCGTGGTTCCTAAATCCTAAGACGATGTTGACTTTCCAACCATTAAATCTACTATGAGAAAGTATTTGTAATGTAAGTTTGTTCGGGAGATTTGGATTTCAAATTTAGTGTTGATCTCACTAAAAATATCAAATTAAATATTTATTTTTTATTTTTTATATTAAACTAAAAATTAATTTTACATTCAAAATATTACATCAACACTTATTTATATCACATCATACAACTATTCAAATTTAAAATTTTTACTATTCAAATCCCAATTTAAAATTCAAACTCCCGAACAAACACACGTGTATTAAGTTTTGATTATTGGCTAAAAGTGACAAATGTGGTGATGGTTCTGATGAATTTTCTTGATCTGACGGTCCGGAAACCTCGAGTATATTATAATAATAATAATAATAATATCTGATAATGAGTAATTTGAAGGGTTCCCACGCTATGTATTTATTTACTTTAGTAGTATCAGCCGCCGTGGCCCATTTCGTTCTCATGTCTTGTGCAATAAGGAAAAGAATAGTTACAATTTTGTCTTATATGCGCATTTAAATTTTATTTTTATAATAATACTCTTTTCGCTCCATATAATTCGCGGATACTATTTATATTTTTTATATAGTGACAATTGTTTTCTATAATATTTTTTAGAAAAATAATTATATATTTTAATTGTATTTTAAATTTAATAATATATATTTTAAATTTAATTTTATAAACTAATTAATTATTTTAATATTAATTTATAATTAATTGTATTATATAATAATTATTTGTATTAATATATATTACAAAAGAAGTGTAATTAATTTTTGGGATGAAATAAAAAAACTAAGTGAATTATTATTTCTACTTAAATGAGATAACTAAAATAGAACGCGGAGAGTAACAATTAAAAAAGTTACATGCAGGGTGTGTTTGTTTGGGGATTTGGATTTTGAGTTGGGATTTGAATAGTAAAAAGTTTAAATTTGAATAGTTGTATAATGTGATATAAATAGGTGATGATGTGATATTTTGAATGTAAAATTGATTTTTAGTATAATATAAAAAATAAAACATAAGTGTTTGATTTGACGTTTTTGAAGGGAAAATTTTGGATGAATAGTAGAATTTTGGTAAAATTCTTCAAACGAACAAACCCGCAATATATCTTTAATACCTAAAACACAAAGGTGATATTTGTTCGTAAGTACACGATTAAAATTACGGCTCTGTTTATTTGAGTTTTTAAAAATTACTGTAGAATATAATTAATAAAGTAAAGTATAATTAGCAAGTAATTTAAAAGTATATTAGTAAAAATAATTATTATATAATAAAAATAATTATAAATTAAAATTAAACAATCAAATAATTTAATTAAGATTAACAATTATAAAACTTAAAATGTAATTAAAATGTAAAATTATATTTCAAAAAAGAAAATAACAAATGATGCGAATAAGATGAAAAAGAAAAATATGACCAATTTACATGGGAGTGATGTATTATATGTTTATATATATTCAAATTTCTTTTCTTTTTATAAAATTGAATTACGAATCATGAATAACTATATACTTTTATTTATTTATATATAATTTTGTTCTCTATAAAAATAAAAATAATAGTGATATTGAATATATTTATTGAAATATAAACTTTAAAAATACTTCGCGTTCAACCTCACCTTTCATAGTTACTCTTAATCATGAACGAATAAATTTCTCGAAATCTAGAATCGATCTTACCTTTACATGATGCGTAACATTGTTCGAGCACCGGCTACTGCTTCTGCAAATCCTCCTACAAAAATGGATACAAATTAATAAGACATTCATATATAACAATTCCATAATTATACAAAAAGGATGGGAGAAGAAGCCAACTACATTACAAGCTGAGGAGCATTTACAGATGGCCATGGTATATGATATTGTAGTTGCATTTACAGATGGCCATGGTTCAACTAGACCTGAGAATCCGACCTGATAGCACCGGAAGGTTTATCAACTCAACGAGAACCTAATCGGGCCTAAGAAAACAGTTTAAACTTCTGGTTTAGGATTGTAACCAATTAATGAAAAGCAGAGCCATGCAAGAAGTAAATGTTTAGTATAAGATTTGGTTCCAGAACTCTGACACTTACTTTGATGATAAAACATAACATAAAAGTAGAAAAATAACAAAACTAACAAATACCAAGTAAATTGGTTAATACATTCATTTGCAAGTTAATTTGTTATGCATTGCCATAATATAAATAGCAAGATGAATGCCATTTAATCACAGACTATAAAATGCTATCCCCAAAGGGAGTTCAAATTGCACTTTTATTGTCATGCCTTTTTATTTTTGCTTTAGCCACACAAGAACTCAGTAGCAATGATAAACCAATTTTTAGTAATCTTATTTTTTGGGGCCCATTAAATTAATTAAGAAGAGGGATTTATCGAAAATGGTGTAGTCTACTAAAACTCAACATTTCATTGAGCTGGAAATACTAAAACCTAACCTAATATTTCAGCCAACTACATATTGGAGAGCCAACATGAAATTTTGCAATATGATGACACTAAAACAGTAATATACCCAAAGATGTTCATGTCAAAATATTATTCCTTTGATGCTTAGAATATCTGTGAAACAAACATTCACAACAAGGATCGAAGAAGAGTTTTATATTTTGGTGCAATGAATTCTAGTAGAGGCACAAAAATGCTAAACACAATGGCTATCCACAAAAATTAGAAGAAAGTGCAGATTTCAAGTTGTGGTAGAAGAGGCATCCATGAGACAATGCCACTTAAAATTTCATTTTCATTTGAACTTAGTTGAATATTTTATTTTTTAATATTAATTTTAATTTTGTGAAATAAAAATAATATAAAACTAAGAAATGTGAATAGTATATTAATTTATTATTATTATTTTTTTAAAAAAAATTATATTGAAAAGTTTCGGGTAAAAAACAAAACAAAGTTAATATACTCATAAATTTTCCTAATATTTTTTTGCCCGATTTTTTTCATTAAATTTCCAATCCTCCGAAACCCCCCGCTCTTGCTGTCCACAGTCGTCTCTTCCGCTAGCCCGGCAATTAGGGTTTCTCCTTAATCGAATCGCCGACGATGGCCGAGGACACGAACGCCGCCACCGGAGAGAATCTTGACCGTCCGGAGGATACAAACGACACTACTGACCCTAACACCGAAGTTAAGCCCTCCGATACTGCCCCCGATGGCGCTGTCCCCGATATCAAGTCATCTTCGCCCCCTCCCCCGCCTCCGCCGACAACGCGTCGAGGCATCCGGGACCGTGAACGGGACTCGAGAGAACGGCGTGATGACCGCGATGTTGATAGGCCGCCACGCCGCGAATACTACGACCGCAATCGATCACCTCCGCCGCCGGCGCCGCGAGAAAGGGATTTTCATAAGCGAGGTAGGCTGAGCCCTAGTCCTCCTCCGATGGCTTACCGAGACCGGCGCGGAGGCCCGCATTCTCCCCCTCCGAGAAGATCTCCTCCTTTCCCTCCGTATAAGAGAAGGAGAGGGAGTCCCAGAGGAGGATATGCACCAGGCGACCGAAGGTGAGATTTATTTGGTCATTTCCCTGCTAATGCCCTTCCATTGGGTGTCTACAGTAGCTCAATTGATAACTGTTTATCAACTACTTTATATTGGGTTTCTTGACCAGACAATTCTTCAGGTGAAGACATCTCTATGTTTCATGCCTGTTATGTAGAAATGTCTTTGCCTGATTTATGTGCCTTTATGTGTTGGTGAGTTTAGTTGTTGTGTATCATATGTTTGCTAGATGTTTCTGTGCTGGAATTGGCCACTGTATAGCTATTTCTTAAACTAATGGCTGAAAGGTTAAGGCACATGAATGTTAACATGCAATACCTTTTTGTATCTATATTAAAATTGAATTGAACTGCATGGTTAGGAGCAATAGCAATTCAGATTAAGTCCGAAGTCATTAATGGCTTTTCCTTTCAATCACAGTTTAGTTTATTATAGTATACTATAAGCTAATGTTAATTTCTATGCTTTTTCTTTTCTTTTTCTTTTTCTCCTTTTTTTGAGGAAAAGCTGCTGTGCTAACCTTTCTTTTGAACCTAGGCCTGGATATGATTATCCCCGTGTGTATGAACGTGAGATGGGGGGGAGACTGGGTTATCATGATGAAAGACCTCATGGTAGATTTATGGGGCATTCACATGGCGGCTACCAAGGTGGTCCATCAGGTAATCATGCCCCAACTACTGACACATGGTTTTGTATTATTAGTGGCTTTCAAGGTTCAACAGACATACCATCCATCATAATTTTGTTTGTATATACACTTGGTGACTCCGTACAAGTGCTGTTTCTACTTGCTACTTCCTCCGTCATACAATTGTGCCCTCAAATGTTTGCACAAAGGTTTATATAAGTGTGTAATGATTGTTATTGTTTGCTATTTATACTAAAGAAGTACAAAAAGTGATTACTTTATTTATAAAGAAACGAGAATATTTTTCTATGACAACCTAAAAAGAAAAGTGAGCATAGATTTGGATGATGAAGGGAGTATTATCTAAAATAATTAAGTTGTTAATGACTGGACAAAACCAACAAATCACCCTACGTGCTAAATTATAGAAGATCTATTTTAAGATCAAACAATTCCATCGAATTGAGTGATTGTATGTCTGATAGCATTTTCTATACCAGGAATATGAGTGAACCTGATTATTTCAATTGCTCATGATACCCTTTTAAAGCTTCTAGGGTCTATTTCTTAGTTCAAGATCCTTCTTAGTAACTAGAATCGAAGATTAAGTAGATCTGTTCTGACCAAAGCTGGAATGGGCTAGGGTATGAACTTACAATCTGATGATCGAGGATTATAAGCTCATTCCATACCAGACCAGGCCTTTTCTGTGAGCATGGAGTTCAAATCTATAATCAATGTTGTTGAGCACATACAATGTATTACACAATAGCTTGTTCTCTGATTGGCCAGGCATTGCTGTGGTTTTTCCCTTTTTTGTTGTTTCAATCTGTAAGCACTTGCTATTTGAGCATTTGTTTCAAGAACAGATTTATCATATTTAAATATAAGTTGGACTGTGAACTTCTCTTTTCAATCCTGTTATTTTGCTCACTATATAATCTAATGTGACTGTAACAATTGTTTAACATTGGACATTGTTCAATATAATATAATCATAAAATGCTGTAATGAAAAGGATAGAAGTCACCTTACATGTTCCTGTCAGTGCCTTCACTGTGCAATTCCCATCTCTATAAAATAGTGTCATACTGTTAATTTTGAACTTTTTTCTCTCAAATATTGAAGTCTCTGTGCAATATTTTGAATAATTCATTATGCAGATTGGGAGTTGGGTCATGGTGGTTTTCCTGATGCTTCCAGTGTTGGTAGACCTCAAAGGTGTGTTTTGTCTTGTGTTGATTTCTGCATGCCAACCTTTGTAACTGTTTATTATATGATCTTCAAGAGTAGGCTTTCTTGTTATACATGTGAAGCAATAACTTAAAGCTAAATTCACCAACACAGTTTGTTGGGCTTTTCAGGGAAGGAATGATGTCTTATAAGCAGTTTATTCAGGAGCTCGAAGATGACATCTTGCCAGCTGAAGCTGAACGCAGGTTAGTCTTTCACCATTGACATTTTTTTGGCAAGTTACAATTTTCTCTTTCTCTGGTGCTCTATATTATTTTTACTAATTGTCTGAGCATGATCAGATATCAAGAGTACAGGACAGAGTACATAACAACCATGAAAAGAACTTACTTCAACGCACACAAGGAAGAAGAAAGGCATGCACCATATTTCACTTTATATCATACTTCAAACAGTGAACATTGTACTGATTTGCCTTGTTGATCAGGTTAAAAGACAAATATCACCCAACAAACTTACAGGCCGTAACAGAGCGGTAAGCAAATGCATTTTATTTGGAGGAAGCTTTCTGATGGCCGAGTATTACTTACAATCAATGTAGAATTCTACTAAAAGTGATTGTATATATACTTGGTATTCTGGTTTCCATTTGATTGATTTGACAGATCTTGTCAATGACCTTTAGGAGGAATACACTTGTGAGGAAATTGGCAAAGGATTTCCAGCTTGATCTGCAGAATGGGACTTTGGATGTGTAAGAAGAGCTGATTCCACTTATTGATATATATATATATATATTATTTTTAAAAAACCTGGACTCTAAAACAGATTTTAATGATTTAAACAGAGGTCCTAGTTTTAACCCCAGCAAAGCAGACAAATCCAACGAGCATAAATCTGATGCTGAAGCTGAAGTTGATGTAGGTGGCAAAAGAAAGTGGCATGGTCGGGGTCCCAAACAATCTGATCCTTCATCTGCTCCAAAGGCTCAACCTGTGTTTTCCGAGCCCAGACGAATTCCAGTTGACATTGAGCAAGCACAGGCTCTTGTACAGAAACTTGACTTTGAGAAAGGGATTGAGGATAATGTTCTATGTCGTGTTGATAATGATAGATCGATCCGAGATAAGTCTCATAGTAGTTCAAGTGGTCCGGTCATAATCATACGAGGTTTAAATGCAATTAAAGGTCTTGAGGGGATGGAGCTTTTGGACACCCTTCTTACATATCTCTGGCGCATTCATGGAGTTGATTATTATGGGTTGGTTGAAACGAATGAGGCTAAGGGCATGAGGCATGTTAGAGCCAACGGGAAGAATTCTGATACGGCTGGTAATGGGAATGATTGGGAGAAGAAATTAGATACCCGATGGCAAGAGAGGCTGAACGGTTCTGATCCTCTTGAGAAAATGATTTCCAAGGAGAAGATAGATGCTGCAGCCGTTGAAGCTTTGGATCCCTATGTCCGGAAAATTAGGGATGAGAAGTATGGTTGGAAATATGGGTGTGGGGCAAAAGGTTGTACGAAGCTCTTCCATGCTGCAGAGTTTGTTCACAAGCATTTAAAGCTGAAACACCCGGATCTTGTGCTGGAACTCACTTCGAAAGTGCGTGAGGAGTTGTATTTTGAAAACTACATGAAGTAAGTACTGTCACTCAGACAATTCGTAGCAAGGATATGATGCTTTTTCTTTTTTTCTTTTTTTCCTGTTATGATTATCTATGCTGTCGTTAATTGCAGTGATGAAGCTGCTCCTGGAGGGACGCCGGTAATGCAGCCATCTTTTGTGGTATGACTTGTTGATGCCTAATTATTCTGAAAATTCACTCGTGCAGTTTCTTTTTCTGCAAAAATGCTTATATGCCCGCCTTTCTGTGTAGAAGGACAAGCCTCAAAGACGTAGGTCTGCGCTGGAAGGTAGGCTTAGAGATGACAGAGGAAACCGCAGAGAACGTGATAACCGTGCAAATGGCAATGAACGACCTGATCAATCAGAGGATCCTCAATCGGGGGAATTTGCTGATGGTGATGGTGGTTCTGAAGAGCCATTATTTGACAATTTTGGCGGTCCAGGCCCGGGCATTCCAATTGCTCCGTTTCCTTCAGATATGCCTCCTGTGTTGATGCCAGTTCCTGGAGCTGGGTGAGTCTCTTTCTTTCCCTTCCCTTAAATATCAATTTTGCAGTGTAAAATCGAAACTGGACGCCTGATTGATTGTTGGCACAAATCCAATGCATAATAATTACATTACTATAATGGTTGAGACAGCATTGGGTGTTCACTTGCATATTTCATTGCATTGCAGCCCGCTAGGACCATTTGTTCCAGCACCTCCCGAAATTGCGATGCAAATGTTGCGGGAACAAGGAGGCCCTTCCCCTTTCGAAGGAGGAGGCAGGAATGGGATGACTGGAGGACCTCCTCCCCCGATGATTACAATGGCGCCGCCGCCAGCGCATCGGCAGGATCCTCGTAGCTTGAGAAGGTATGACAAAATATTGAGCAGAGAGAGAGAGAGAGAGAGTTCAAGAATGAATGAATATAACTAAGCAAGTAAGTATTATTTGCAGGTACAACGATTTGGATGCCCCGGACGATGAAGTGACCGTTATAGATTACAGGAGTTTATAAATGAAATGGGATTGATTTATGCAGGAGTGAGTGATTGAGTGGTAAGTAACTATCTTGTCTCAATCTTACTCGGATAACAATAATTAATTTTAGTGTGGGAATGAAATAGTAGATATATTACTATGTATTAAAAAAAAGAACAGGTATGCCATCTTCCTTCTCTATTGTTATATAGTAGAGGATACTACATTAAATATACCAAGGGCATTTAAATTTTCAAAGTAAATAATAATAATGTTTATGTTATTGCTGAGTTTGCTTTTGATATTTGGTGCTCTGGAAAGGCTGCTGTTTAAATGAATGGGATCTTTTATTGTGCTAGTGAAGTTTTTAAGTTCATTAATGTTATACGGCGTCATGTTGTGTAGTCACTATGTGTGTTGATTCAGTTATATGTTTCTATGTTTTAGCTTATCGACTTATTTTACTAATTAAATAGCTATTTTATGTGTTTGATAAATTGTGTTTTTTAAAAGAGTTTATTGGGTATAAAAGTTATTTGTATGCTTAACATTTTAGAATAGTTTTTTTACTTTTTTTTTTATTATTATTATTAAATATCTCGTTCACATCTACATTAATCTATATTTTTATTATATTATTTATTTTAATATATATATATATATTTAAGTTATAAATTTGAAATGATTGAAATAATTATTTTTTGTATGTAAACTATTTCATTTGTAAAATATTTAAAATAAATATAAAATAAAATATTAATATTTTTAAATTTATATCTGAACATTATTTTTTTTTTTTCCAATTAAAAATGAATATATTATAATAGATTTACTTAATATTATAAATTTACTTTTATAGCTCGTCTGTAGTTGCAGGTAGGGAGTGTTCTGCGTGAGTTTTACTGTCATTTATGATTAAATACTCACATTATTATTACCTCTTATTCCTAAATGAGTGATGGGCCAAACATACAAAAAAGCACTCATTATGGTGGTAAGCATAACCTCACTTTCTAATGAAATTGGCGTGAATTGTATTGATAATTTTTTATTTTTTTTTTAAAAAAAGAATTTAATATGATTTATATATTTATTTTTTAAATTACCCTTCCGTTTAAGTTTCGGTTAAAAAAAAGATAAATATAAAATTAGATTTTAGCACTATCAGAAATGCTTTGTTATTCTACTTGCATTCAGTGCAGATTTCATCTTGCACTACTCAAAAGCTGAAGGAAGGCAGGAAATCAAAATTAGGCTCTATTGTACGTCTGCTTCTTCTTGGCATTACACAGTTTGTCTTGTCGAAAAACATTAGTATAAACAAATAATCATTCCAAGCCAACCTAACCTAACCTAGTAAATGCCAAAGAAATGTTCCATCAGCAATCACCAACACAAAAACTTCACCTGCCCCACTATTAATCAATTAATTAGGTCCAAAAATTTCATCTTCTCTAACATTATTGATGACATAAATCGTTTTGATTGGAAATAACAAATAAATAAATGCGTTTGATTTCTATTATATATTAGCTGCACCTCAATTATAAAATCCACTAATAAAAATCTCGTCGCAAACTTAACAATTGTCTTATTCATTCTTCCTATATGTATTGATCAATCAACAAACACACCAAACCTAATCTCTTCTACAATGGCGGAGGTCGACGACTGCCGCGGCGTCCTCAAGGTTTACAGCGACGGCTCAATCTGGCGCTCCGACAAGCCGAGCTTCCAAGTACCTGTATTCGATGACGGCTCAGTCGTGTGGAAAGACGTCGTATTCGACGCGGCGCACGACCTTCAGCTCCGGCTCTACAAGCCAGCCGCTGCGGAAGCCTCCGCCAAGCTCCCAATTTTCTACTACATCCACGGAGGCGGCTTCTGCATCGGCTCCCGGACATGGCCCCATTGCCAGAACTACTGTCTGAAGCTGGCAGCCGAGCTCCACGCCGTGGTTGTCTCTCCCGACTACCGGCTGGCTCCCGAGAATCGGCTCCCGGCTGCAATCGAGGACGGCTATGCGGCAGTCAAGTGGCTTCAAGGCCAAGCCGCGGCTGATGATCCCGATAGCTGGCTAACCGACGTGGCTGACTTTGGGCGTGTTTATATTTCAGGGGACTCTGCAGGCGGCAACATCGCGCATAACTTGGCGGTTCGACTCGGTGCCGGTTCTCCGGAGCTGACTCCGGTCCGAGTGAGGGGGTATGTGTATTTAGCCCCCTTCTTTGGTAGCAGTTGTTGGAGAAAGTCGGAGGCTGAAGGTTCCATGGATGCAACTCTGAACCTGGAACTGATTGAGAGGTTTTGGAGATTATCGATTCCGGTGGGTGAGAACAGGGATTATCCAGTGGTGAATCCATTTAGGGTTGGGGTTGGGGAGGTGGATTTGGACCCTGTGATGGTGATCGTTGGGGGATCGGATCTGCTGAGAGACAGGGCACGAGAGTGTGCAGACAACATTAAAAGTAATAATAATAACATTGTGGAGTATGTGGAATTTGAAGGGCAGCAACATGGCTTCTTTGCTTTGAATCCCGACTCAGAACCTGCCCAGGAATTGATGGCTCTCATCAAAGCATTTATTGCCCGTTTTTAAGGACAGGCACGTTACTACGTATCTTGTGCCTGTGTTGTGTTTGTTCTTCTTCTTCTTATTATTATTATTAATTAATTACTATGTTGGTTTCTTATAATATATATATATGTGTATAGCCATCGGATTTTCCAAGTGATATATATATATCTGCATAATGGGCAAATTTGTCGTGATTTAATCTATGACTTCACAATCACAAGTCTAATCCATTATTCCTTGCCGGACTATTTTTTTTTTTCCTATAATAGGAGAGAAATCCTTTTGGAACAAGAAAATAGTAAAAATAAAACTTTGAATTGTAATGAAAAAAATATTATTTGGCACCATAGTGAATAAAATTGTCAAAAAAGCAAATAAATGTCTATATATATATATATATGTATATCTATTTTTTAATTTTTTTTAAAGAAAATTAAAAAATTTTGATAGGATTCAGCCGCAGCCATTGCGACACTAAATAGCTTAATGTAATCCCATAAAACAAAAGGAACGCAAAACTTATTTGATTCCCAGGCAACTGCAGTAACACAAAATTCCATTTGGTCCACTCCTTCCTCACAGATAAGTGAAATAGTCCTATATATTCTTGGCCTTTCAGAAGCTCAACTTCAACTTATTAGTGTCGAAAAAGGTCCTGTAGATCCACGATATCGGCGAGGACACCGGCAGCAGTAGTGTCGTTGCCTGCACCCGCGCCTTGGATAACCAGGGGTTGCTGCTCGTAGCACCGGCTGTATACCTCCAGCTGCCAATTTACGCAACGAAAATTCAATCAAAATATGCTATAGATTCGAGAACATCCACAATAGATTACAAATCGAATCCTTGAAAATAGTCGATCCATAATCAAGTATATATATATATCATATGTAACTACTTACCACATTATCGCTTCCCTTCGATCTGCCAAGAGCCGAATCTTTTGCAACTTCTTTTATGCCAACTTCACACCTAACAAATGCAGAAATAACCAAAACATACAGAATTGAAATCGTAAAAACTCAATGACGCATTTGTTCCATTTGTAACATCGTTTGATATAATAAAATATGATACTTGGATGTCTCGATCAGACAAACATAGCGCAGCGCATTTCCCCTTGAAGAAGCATCCTTGATCCTTTTTTCAATATCTTTATCCAGTGCCGGCAGGCCTTTCACTAGAAATTCTTCTAGAGGCATCACATCAGGTCCCATCTCCGCAGGGTATAAGCTCTCTACCTACTAGAAAACTTCAAAGTCAAAACATTAATAACAAAACGTATCTATACAAAGATGCACGCTGCAAAAAAAAAAAACAACCTTAATGCTGTCCATTTCAATCCGGTGTCCAAGAAGTCGAGCAAGAATCAACGCCTATTTTCGAGTAAATAGATTTTGAAATACCTCAGTAACATATGTAAATTACAAATTCATACACCTAAAATATTAAGAGCAAAAAGAGGAGCGCCTATTTTCAAGAAATCTGTATGTAATTAACAGTGGAATCCAAACCTTTCTTGCTACGTCCATTCCGCCAAGATCATCCCGAGGATCTGAAAGAAATATGGGACTTTTAATTTGTAACCATCCACTTCAAAGAAAGGCAACGACAAACTACAACAGAATGGCTAACACAATTAATATTCTAATTATCTTAATTTGTGCTATCAGAAACTTGGAATTTGACTGGGGAACAAGCATTGATGTTGTGTGGCCACAGGATTTTACCGGGCTCAGTGTATCCAAGCTGTTTTGCATCATTGACAACTTGGCTGAAGGGCCTTCCACTTTCGACCTCACTCATCACATAGCCCAATGTACCTAAGAATCAGGACCATTATAATCTTAAATTTTTATGCTACTTCGGATTATTAATCAAAAATAAGAAAAGGACAGTAAAGGGAAAGTTTACATAGCTAAAGCATGATAACATACGTACCACTCAAACTTCCCATTATACGGTTTATTGGGTCTCCTGACGACAGGATGCGGTTTATAGTTGATATGACAGGAAGACCGGCACCAACCTACCAAGTAATATACAAAACGTTGGCATTGAGCGAAAATCATGTGTTGCTTGCTAAACCGGGAGAGACAAATAAAGATAATTTTTGAAAAAGCCAATGGACTTGTCATAATTAAAGATTACACTATTGAATTACACACAAAGAGGAATAAGCAAAACACTTACTGTTGATTCGTGTCTAATCCGCCGAGGCTGTGACACCAATTTGTCATAATCTTCCTACATATCATAACAGAAACAATCATGACAGTTGAATGAATTCTTTTCTTTCCAGAAACTCGAGAGGAACAATTGCTCAATCACTTGCTCAAGCGCATACACACACATATGAACATTCCAAGAGCCCAAAATGAGAGATTGAGTTACCAATGAAGATGTTAGAGGCTTCTTGTTGGCCAGTACCACACAACTATCTAAATTCAACGCTTGACCCAACATCGCAGTAGTTTGAGAACTTGCCGAGCAGTCAACCAGCGTTAATCCTGTTGTGTTTATTTAAGCATTGTCCCAAGTTAGCTCGAATTACAACATATGATTTGATTGTTGAAAACTGTAGTCGATATATTCCTTATCAAAGACACTAAAGATCTAACCATTGACAACTATAATTCTACTAATTCTAGTCTTACAGGGCCAAGAATTTGTGTATCAAATTATGCTAAGATAATTCCATTGTCGTTTGAAAACGATGCATTAAAACATAAATATACATTTTTCCATGTGATTTTCTTAGGATCAAAGCATTTAAACATTAATAACTACAACTTACCAAGCGATTTCCGTAGAATCGAAGCAATGTTGATGACTTCCCTCGCAACATCCTGACCCGAAAACACTTTACATTTGCCTACATTTACAACCACCAATCACTACTCGTATTCTATGCGACTTCATACACAAAAACATTGGCGAATTTCGACAAGCAACGAGTGATCAAAAGGAATTTACCCAAGTGAGCGAGTTCCAGAAAAGAAGAACCAATGGATTTAACTCTGCAAATCTGCTTCAAAAACTCATCATCCAATTCCGAAGTGGAGACATCGTCGCTAGCGGCCACCATGGATTTACTGTCGCACACTCCCACCACCCTCAGTCTCACCCCCTGCAGCATCCCCAATTCGAAAATCGTACAGAAAAGCCTAAGATCCAGACTGAAAACGACTTCCAGAAAATAACAAAATAAAATTGAACCTTGAGACGACCTGCTTCGCATGAAGCGTCCGGCAGGAGACGATGTGTTGAAGCAGCTGCCGCCCTACGCCGCCGCACCCCATCAACAGCAATGAAATGTTGGCCATTTTTTCCAATTTCCCTGAATTGAATCTTCGATCAGCTGGATGTTTGTTCTTCCAGATTACACCTGCAACTGCAAAACCTCGAATTCGAATATTCTTGATTTTTGCCCTTTACCCAGTTACTGTTAATCCCCCACCCACCCCCAGGCCGTTAGGGTTTTCATATAATTACCGTTTTACCCCGTGAATCTAATGACAAAAAACTCCTCAGGATACCATTCTCTATTTTTTCGGTCCACTTCCTAAAATTAAGTACATATTTTTTATATTGAATTATAATTTAAAATTTATATTTAAAACATAACGTCCTCATACACCAAATAATTATTAAATTTAAAAATTTCCACTTCAAAAATTCAAATCTTCAAACAAATCCACCCTTCTAGATTTCATTTATTTATTTATTATTTGCTCTCGTTAAAATTTAAATATAATAAAATGACATTAAATTTTTCTAATTAAATTATTAACAACAACAACATAATAATAATAATAATAACAATAAACTTGGCTGCTCAAAAACAACAGCACAGTGAAATAACCTTACTAATAAACAAGTTCAGTTTAGGTTCTCCGAATCTTAAAAATCTCAGAAAACATATACATGAAGATGAGCTTCTCTGTCTTTAAGCTGCTGCTGCTTCTGCTTCGTCTTCAGCGCCCTCGTCGCCGTCTCCGTCTCCGTCGCCGGAATCTTCCTCGAACTTATACACTCTGAATATCGCCAAATTGGTATCGCCTGCCGGTCGAATATAAAATCAAACCAACAAGATAAGATAGACATGCAAAGGTAACGATATCGAATTTGGGAACTACAAACAAGACGAGTTTGACAGCATGATCGACACATTTAATCTAACGTTAAGAGGCAAACATTCTATACACAATTTTCAGCATATTTCTTAAGTTGTGCATAATTGTAATGAAAAATTAGCATTGAATCGATTCGATATCACCCCTACAATCACAAAATGTACTCGCGCTAAAAGTATCTTTTCGAATAAAGAGGGATCGACATCTACAACATAGTTGAATGTATATTCAGTTTTGTAACATACCAAACGTAATGCGATTTCCAGGCACTGCCGGGGAAACAACTCCTGGCTTTAGCCGCTTATCGTTGATGAAGGTACCATTGGTACTGTCTAAGTCCGTAATCAAGAGATTCTCGTCCGTCTTCTCAATCCGCGCATGCAAAGCTGAAACTGTCGATAAAAAGATAAATATGAAATGCTGCAAAGCACAATATGTTGAGATAAATCAATGAATGCAGCAGTCAAAAATTTTTTAGTACCTGTAGGCACAGGGAGCACGACATCTGCTTTTTCAAGAGCACGCCCCACAGTGACCACATTCTAAACCGATAAAACGAGCTTCTTAGAGGTAATCCAAGAACTATTCTTGGAAGTAAGATAAATAATTTCTTTAAAAAAGAAAGTCGGTGTTATAGATTCTCACAGATGCTACTTCGAATGCGCCGGGCAGGGTGATTTTATAGCCGATGTGTCTTGAATCGCCGTCGCCTGGAAAGTTAGAACAGAGATGAGTTTGTGCACGAATTAGACCATATACACATAATATTAAGAACTACATACAAAATATAACAACGTATTAAGCAACACATATAAATCGCAGGGCTCGACCATATACACATAATATTGAATTAAGCCTTTGTTTTGGTAACTTTTTGCTCTCACAAAATATCACATCAAATCTCCAAATTCGCACTATTTCCAAAATTTGTTCACTCATCAATAAGATTTTGGGACAAGAAACAACTTAAATAGCAAAATGTTCGAGCTTGTTGAGCGGCTCGATCATAGTTTCTATCGGCACGTAATTTGTCTACGAGCTGCATTGTCTCCACCACATTTTAAAGTAGATGCAATTGTAGTATTTCAGCTCAACGAAGAACATGATCGATACAAAAATCGACTAAAACTTTACATCATAGCACAAGAAAGTAAACCAAGTAGCTCAATTCGATGACAATGGCCCTATGAGTAGTGATGAATCAAATGTCCATAACATAGAAAGATTCAAATCTCTTAATTGAAGCAATCAAATTAACACAACAAAAAGAGTTTCAAATCGGAAAAAATTAGGCTAAGAATGAAAAGAAATCAATTCCCCAAATCGAACGGCTCCTACTTCATAAACACTCCACAGAAAGCCAATTCATGAAATGAATCAATCAAACAGTCGAAAATGATGATACAAAGAGAATTAATAGCAGCAGCAGCAGAGAAGAACTGAAGTGACGACGAACCAATGGGTTGAAGAAGCCATCTGACAGAGGCCTCAGCTGTAATGGCGGCGAAGCTTCTGCCGCTGAATTTGAGGTTTCTCGGCAAGCAATTGTAGCCGAGGAAATTGACAGAGCTGTGGAGCGTCGATCTGGACTTGGAATATGGAATGGAAATGGGGATGGAAATGGAATGGGGAGTGGTCATTTCCATTAACCCTTAGCCCTTTCTTCTGATTGGTCTCTTTGAACGAAGATAACCTTTTCCTGTTTTTCCTTTTTTGCTTTTTCTTACCTCTGTGTGTGTTGTTGTTGTTGCTCCTCACTCACTTTAGATTGATCACGTTGGATGGAAATGAAAGCAAGAGAGAATTTGAAAAAGAAAGGTGAGAGGGTACGTGGCAGAAGTTTGGTGTTGGGACAAGATCTGGGATAACAAATATCTTGGGGGGTTTGTCTGTATTTGGGCCTTGGGTGGGTGGGTGAGGGGGGGGGGGTGGGTGGTGGAGATGAACCCTAGTTGTTGACGAGGTTTTATTAGGGGGAGGAGTGGATTCTTGATTTTGTGGGCATTTCTTGAAATCGATTTTGGGCAACTTTTTTCATTTGGGCTTATGGAGAATGGAATTTGCTATGAACATTCATTGGGAAAGGCTTGATGTTGCATATTTTGGATGAAAACTTTGATACCCACTTGTTATTTATTTATTATTATTTATTATTTTTTTATGATGCGAAAACAAGCGTTGCTATTCAAAAATACGAAGCGAATAAGCCCTGACCGAACCTAATACTTTGCAAACTAAGTCCGACAGTACCCACTTGTTATTAGATTATATTTTGAGTGTTTGAATTCAATTTGGGGTGAGTTTTGATTTGTGCTTGTGGGCTATGGATCGTCATCAATCCTAATTGAAATTTGATATAAGTCCAGTATTGTAATTTTTAATTGAAAGGTATTTCTTCATTCCAGCTAAAAGGTTTAAGGTAAGTTAGTACTTAAATAATAATGGGCGATAATTTTTTATAAATTTAAATGGAATAGGTTCTGGAGTATTGTCTTGATTTTTGTTGTTAAATTTTTCATTATGTAGTTTCTACATATTTTTATAAATATATATTAGTATTATTTTTATAAAATAAGAAATGTAATAAAATTTTGATAATTTATTTTTCTGAACGGATAAAAAATAAAATAAAACGAAAGATTATTAATGTGGTATTTATAGTTTACCTTTTATAATAATGAAAAAGTAATAAAAAAAAAAAAACTACTTAGGGCATCCACAACGGGAGACGCAGAAGCGCCTCCCACGTCATCATTTATTAAATAAAAAAAAATTAAAACACTAATTAACATAAGAAACGGTATATTGCGAGTGTACCGTTTCTTCCAATTTTTGTGGGCCATGGTCCATTTTCTTATTCAATAAATATTAAAAATAATATTTATAATATATACTTTTTTATTTATATTTATAATAATTTATTTTATTTAAAATATTATATTCTAATTTTGTTATATAAAATTTTATTTAATATTTATAATTTGAAATATATTTTTCAAGAAATAAAAAAATTAAATATTTAACTTTAATTATTATGCAAAGTGTGAAATTATTATTTTTATTTATTTATGCTAAATAATTGTTTTATTTTTATTAAATATTATAAGAATAAAATATGATTGCAAAATATAATTTTATTTTATAAATAGATAAAATATTTAATGAGGTGGAAAAAGTAAAAATTTTAAAGGGTTGTTTGATGTGAATGTAAAATATAGTTGGAGTTCTTCGTGACGTGGCGGAGAGAGAAACTGACGTGGCACAGGAGAGAGAATGGGAAGAAACCCTGGATGGGTTTCTGTGTTGTGGATGGCCTTAGAAATGGTAAAAAATGGTACTTTCTCCGTTTCAAATATCGTGCAATATTTGTATTTTGCACGGGGATTTAGGTGAAAAATATAAAATACGGTAATTTGAAATAATTTAAATATTAAGTGATGTGATTGGAGAGAAAAATAATTATTTATTTTTTTATTTGAGCGATCTGATGATATAAAATGAAGTGTATATTAATATATGTATATAAATATTATTAATTATTTTTAAATTTAGAAATATTGTAATGAATTTGGGACAAAAAAAAAATATTGCAGTGAGACGGACGGGAGAGTAATTTTTAGGAGCAGACTTCAATAATAGATGTTGGTTTCTATATTTTAGTTTTATTTTTTAAATAATATCTTGTTAAAAAAATATATATTCCTTTGGCCTACTGTACTATTAAAAATTATTTTATATTATAATAAAAATAATCAGACACTAACACTACACAAATGTTAAAATTTTATTAAATATTTTTATTAATTTAATAAAATATTATTATTTTTAAAATTTATTACAGAACTTTACTCTTTGGATTAAAAAATATATAAAATAAATATATCAATTTAAATTTAAAATGGTAAAAAGTGAAATACATATAAATTAAATGTACACATATCTTATCCATTCCAAGTACTATATATTTAATTTCCTTTTTCTTGTTTTATTTTTTTTTCGTCTACAAATCACGATTGCATTCTTTTATGTATTTTAAGTACATATGTATATTAATTCATTTTTAGATATTTATACGCTGGATATAAAACTTAATGTTTAATAAATTTTTGTATTAATTTCAAATTAATAATTACATAATTATACACAAGTATAACTATTTTATAAATATTATCAGAATATTATTCTAAATATTATTTATGAATTAAAGAGTATGTTATTTTAAATATTAGTACATCATGATGACATTAGAATCTGTCTATTTGGCCTTTTCTTTTGACTCTTGACTCGGACGTTTAGTTATATAAAAAAATATAATATTTAAATTACTCTTTAACTTTTTGTAAAATCAAAACTAAATACATAAGTAAATTGACCAACTATGTATAAAAATAAATTAAAAAGTCATTAGGAATTCTTGAATCAAATTAATGTCACAGTCTACCTTTGTCGTCCACTCCAATATTAGATAGCTAACCCAAATTCAAAAGCCCATTTCAAATAAATTAATCTATAAATTATTGTTATTATTATTATTATTATTATTATGTTGATCCATCATCCATCATCATCAGATCTCCTGCCCAAAGGCCAAAAGAAATGCAATAGAAATGATTAAATACTTAAAATAGAAAAATAAAGAAAATGGGAAGAATGTCAGGAATAACACATCCTGAATCAAAATCTTGAATTATTGAAATTTCCAGAATTAGAAGACAAGAAAATTGTGGTTGATTTATTTGTGCCATTAAAGCAATTGCCAGATCAAGCATGGTTAATGTGGGACAGCTGGCACTTCTACACATAAAATCAGCTTTCCTACCTCTACTCCAGATCACCAGGTGCCACATAAATACTCATTCTAATAATACACTACTAAAAATTATTTATTTATTTATTCATTTTAATAATACTACGAGAATAGTGTGTATTGTATTTCGGTAATAAATAGGGTGTGTTTGTTTGGGGGTTTAGATTTTGGATTGGGATTTGAATAGTAAAAATTTTGAATTTGAATAGTTGTATGATGTGATATAAATAGGGTTTGATGTGATGTTTTGAATGTAAAATTGATTTTTAGTATAATATAAAAAATAAAAAATAGGTGTTTGATTTGATGTTTTTGGGGGGGAAAAATTGGATGAATAGTGAAAATCCTCCAAAATCCTTCAAACAAACACACCCTAAGTGGATAAGTTAGTAGGCCATTAAACAAGCTATGTGTGTGTGATAGAGCCGCAATAAAATGTCTCATACAATTCGACATACTTCTTTTTATAATACATATTCTAATAATTTATTATTTATTACAATATATATTCTAATTTCAATGTAATAAATAAATTATAAAATTCAATATAATAAATAACTGCATAACAAATATTAATACAATATACTATCATATTAACACAATAAACATGTTATACTCCCTCCAGAAAATATCTCTTATTGGGAGTGAGCACGAGAATTAAGGAATAATAATATTTAATTGAAAGTGAATATAAAGTAGAAGGTAAAAGACTAAAATATTTTTGCTTTTTGAATGATTTTAAAAAGTAGGTTATAGTAATAATTAAGGTTAGTTTGAAAAAGTAAAATAATTTTGTTATAAAATGTAAACCACAAATACTAAATAAAGAAAAAAACAATTGTTTTTGGACGGATGAAAATGAAAAAACAAAACAATCCTATTGGGACATAAGGAGTACTCCCTCCGTCCCAAACACCTGCAACATTTCTAAAATAAGAAATAATTAATTATATTTAATTTCTACTTCACACTTTATCCACTCACATCATCCAAATAAAAAAATAAAATATATATTTCTCTCTCCATCACATCACCTCACCTGATCTCTAAATTATCCTACTTAATACTATCCACCTAAAAACCCGTGCCAAGTAAATGTTGCATCTTGTTTGGGACGAGGGAGTACAATATAATACATATAAAATTCACACACCCCGTATTTTTATATAATATAACATATATCATTTGTCTTATCAATTGTATGTTTTAACTCCGTGAAATCCTCTTATTTTTTATATTTCATTTACCCTTTTGATGAAAATTGATGGGATTTATTATTATTATTATTAATTTATCATAAAATATAAAATAATTTTAATATATGTTTTTTTAATGATATTATATGTTTGATGTAAATTTAATAAGTTACATTAAAAGAAAAAAAAAATTCTACAGGCGTATTAGAATATATTGCTTGTATTTGTTTTTTTTTTAATTGTTTTAAAAAAATTTATATTGAATATAATTTTTTTTAAAAAAAATATTAATATTGAAATGAAAAAACCTTTGAATTGAAAATTTCATGAAATTCACCGTGGCCTGATATTTATTCACAAAGTAAACAAATTTATAATATATATATATATATGATAATATATTGAAAGAGTAAATCCTTAGATTTAAAAATCATACTTTCCAACCCACATTTTCGCAACTGACTACATTTATCCATCAAAATTTATGATTTGAAATAATAATAATAATAATAATAATAATAATTTAAAATTCAAATTTAAATGATAAATTAGCAAACATAAATGAATATACATGTGTGTATATATATATATAATTTTATTTTTATTACAAACACGACGTCTAAATTCATAATTTCACAAAAGTTACCGAGCACCACTAGACCATTATTTACGGTATTATATACATGCAATTTTAGTCATTTGTCCGGAAAAAAAGAAAAATAAAAAATAAAACATAAAAAATTATATAAATAATATAAAAATAATAAATATGTATAATATATTAATTTTTTTTTTTAAAGAAATATATTGAATATTTTTAACAAAAAGAACATATTTAATTTATCATATAAGGTCTCACTTTTATACTATATAACTAATTAATGAATTAACTGATTACTTAAGTTTATAAAATTAATTTTCTTTCAGGGGGTTTTGTATTTCCATAAATCTAATGTGTTTTTGTATGATGGGCTAATAAATGGAGATTGCATTTTAATTAAAAGTTTCCATTAGATTAACATTTATTATGCATGTGGGGTATTCCTAATTTAGTATAAATCATGATGACTCTTTCAAAAGTAATAAAAATATATTTGACAATTTTCAGACTAATTATATATATATATATATATACACGAGTTCTCAAAGAAAAATAAAAAGATAAATTTTGATTTTAGATTTTGAATTTATTTCAAATAATATTTTGAATATTAAAAAAAATAAATAAATAAATAAAGGGAGGGGGCAGCAGGTAGCTTAAAAATTCAATGTAAACTAACCACACGCTCTGGTCAATCTTTGTGATAAAGAAAAGTCAATAAAAAGTTCATTTATAGCTACATTAATGTGAATTCAGAAATGAACCATATCAATATAAATAAATATATATATATATATTTAATTTTATTTACTACTGAAATGCTCAAAGCTGTATGTAATGTAATTATGTAAACTTGTACTTCATAAATTAAACTTGTTTATATATATGGATAGTATTTTATTTAATCAGCTCACAAATCTTTCTTCTTTTATTTTTTTTTTACACTATAAGTAGCAGAATTTCAGGCTTTCTATAGGCATTTCACATTCTGCATATATGTTGAGCGTTAATGGTGTGCGTTACATTAAAATTAAATATGAAATGAAATAAATAAATAAATATGAGGAGGTGTTGGTGAGGCCTTGAATGTCTCGACTATTTTCCCTCTTTTCATGCCATCTACACTACTTTGTTTTTATTTTTCTATCTATTTATTTATTTTTGTAATTTTGGGATTTTTATTTATTTACGTATTATTTGAAATTGCAAAAAATTTACATATACACTCTCTCTCTCTCTCTCTCTCTCTCTCTCTCTCCCCTCTAATTCTTTATATCAAATGCCTATTCTTGCTCGAATTCATTCCAATCTACAATTTTCACTCACTTCTTTCTCTCTCCTTCTCCCATTTTCTCTCTCTTTCTCTCTCTTCCCCTCCCTTCTTCTCCTCTCTCTCCGCATAGATGTGAATGAATAAGTGGATCTTGGTGGCATTTCTCCCTAACCTTCTTCACTGATCACGCAAATAGGGTTTCCTCGATTGGATTTCCCTTCGCTTTTCTGTATTGCTGTTTTTGAATCTCTCATAATCCTTTTTAACCTTTTTGTTTTGTTAATTTCTTGCTTGGCCTTCAACAATTTCTTTTGTTCAGCTTGTGTTTGTGTTTGTGTTTTGTGTGTGTGTGCGTGTTTTTCTTTTCTTTTTTTTTTTTTTGATTTTTTTTTCCTCTCCATTCTTTCTTGGGCTTCCCAAATTTCCTTTCTCCTGAAGGGAATATCATTTGTTTGGTTAAATCTGGGGCGTTGGATTTAATCCGAAGCTTCTGTATTTATTTCTGAAGGACTGATTTATTTGCTTAAGGAGGAGTGGATTCACATTCAAGGTAGTGAAGATGATGCATAATCATCATCGTCGTCATAATCATCATCATCATTATTATTAATATAATAAGTATGTTATTTAATGAGATGTGTGTGGCTGCTTTGTTTATTGATTTCTTCCTTTATTGTTTATTAATTGCATATTGCTTGTTTATGTTTTGTTTGCTTTTCTGAAAGAGTTTCGCAGTGCTCTGGATTTGTGAAGATCTCTCACATGATTGATCTAAAGCTTAAAACTTATTGATAATCACTATGAACACACTTTACTGAAAGGATTGGATTAATTAATTTGCACCGGGTTAATATTTTGAAGAGATTCGATAGTGTTGTGGATGTGTTGAGAATGAGATCTCTCACATGATGAATGATCTAAAAGCTTAAAACTTATCTTATGCATACACTTTATTAATTTGTTCCGGGTTTTCGGAGCCTGGATTAATTTGTTCCGGGTTTTCGGTTGTAAAAGGCTTATTGATCGTCTGCCATTTATGGAATTTGGTTATTCCTTTTCGCATGGTTGCAGTCTTTTTGTAATTCTTTTGTGGCAGATTTTAATAGAAGACAAGTTCTGTATGCAGTAGTAAAGTGTCGAAAACATTCGTTCCCACCTCAGCAATTTATGCAAAATTATTTTCTTGATATATGTAGTATTTGTTAATAAAGGAGTGCTAGGAAAAGAAATTCAGAGTCAGTAGCTTACGACTCTTTAATCGAGTCGTCATATTTAAGGCAGATCTTTGTTATTCCTTTATGCAATTGTGCTCCATTGAAGGTTTTCTCTTATGTTGTCGCAGCACACTTCTTAGCTCGGTGGTTTTCTACATAGTTCTTGTTACATATCTTGTGAAATTTACTATTTCGGTGGTTTTCTACATAGTTCCCTTTTGAGTAAAGGCTTCTAGAAGTTATTGTGAACACCATATTTTGTTTCCTATACTTAAGCCCACCCGATGCTATAAATACAGTAGTTTGAAAAATTATATATATTCTTTGCTGGCAATGACGCCGGCAATTAATATGTGAAGCATTTATATATTTACTTGCATCAGTTTAAATGGGAAAATGTATAATGTGTTTCCGATTGGTTTATTCTTACTGTGCTGTCGTTCGGTTATGTTTCTTTGAAGGAAATGCCATGTGTGTGAATATTTTGGATTGCATTGCAATTATGATTCTGTTGGGATTTTAATTCAGTATATATATATATATATATATATTTATTTGTTGAATAAAGAGATGAGTTTCACAAGCGAAAGCGACGAAAGGTTGGTTAGCAGTGGTGTGGATTCACCATCGTTGGATGAAGCCAACAGCGGAGGAAACACAGGAGGTCCTGCGCAGCTCAAGAAAGGCCCGTGGACTTCAGCGGAAGATGCAATCCTAGTTGAATATGTGAACAAGCATGGTGAAGGAAACTGGAATGCAGTTCAGAAACAGTCGGGACTTGCCCGCTGTGGAAAGAGTTGCCGATTGAGGTGGGCTAATCACCTTAGGCCAGATCTAAAGAAAGGAGCCTTCACTGCTGATGAGGAGCGCCGTATAATCGAACTGCATGCCAAGATGGGAAATAAATGGGCTCGTATGGCTGCTGAGGTGCGTCTCATTGTTTCTATATATGTTATTGTTCATTTAGTGGAATTGCTTCTGCCTTTTACATAGCTATGTTGTCTTGGTTGTTGATCACGACGCAATTTGTAGCTTCTACTCAAATTTGTTAAGAATCTTGAGCTTGATTTACCTTGAACTAACCCCATCAATAATTGTCTTGAGCACGTCTTGGGCTTGGAGCTCGAATAGCTACAAAAGTGCATTTTGCAACTGATATATCAGCTTATTTTTCGAAAACTTATGCCAAGAATTTTAGAAGTAAAAATAAAAGATGTGCTAGCCCATCCAACAGCCTCTTGAGCCCACCATAATTTCATTCTTTCATTACAAATGATAATCTCTCACATTTTTAATGTTGTGACCAATAAGATCAAAAAGTTGTCATCATGAATTATATATTATTTGACATGAACTTGTATCCTTTCCGAATTTATTTTGTTAGATTATCATTTTAATGGCTTCAAAAGTTGTATGATCAGCTGAAGTTCAACTAGTGTGATTAATGCCGAGCTTGAGTCAGGCTGTGAAACGATGCTAGTTGTAAGTTTAAGTCGAGAAATCTTATCAACCTTAACTTTGTGGCTTCTTTTACCAGTTATTTGCGTCTCTTTTTAACTGCTGTTGAATTGTATAGGGGAGGAGACGAGGAGTAAAGAAGGTCTACCATATACGATAATTATAACTGCCTAACATACATTCATTTGGATTTTTTTGAAGGAATATGGTTCCATTTATTTTGCGAGTTTAGGGTCTTCTGAGCAGATCTATACTACTGTAACTTCACTACACTTAAAAGACGACATATGGAGAGTGTTTGTTTAGTCTTTATAGTTTTAGGTATTTTTGTTGTGAGATATAAGAAATTGTGAATGTATTATAGGGAATGATTTTGTGTGTTTTTGTTGACTTTTATTGTCAAAGTGTAAATATTGTATTTTGGGGTAATATTTTTGGGAATCATGCATCTAATAAACACTAATAATAACTATCTACATTTGAATTTTATTATGAATTTATGCATTATAGGTTCGTGCATAGACACAGGGACACTTAGATAATATATGCATACTCCCTTGAAAATTCTGAGCAATGTAGTACTAACTCTATCACTCCAAAACATAAAATTGAATGAGTGATCGATATTTAAGTTTAAAAATTAGTGCTGGAAAAAAGTTTGCTTTATTGATATTCTTGAGAAATGTTATCCAAACTAACATCTTTGCAATTTATTTGTTTATCATTAGTTTTTAGTTTATGCAAAAGTTGTAGCCTACAACATAGCATTGCTTAGTGATCGTTGTGATGAAAACTTTTTCTTGATAAATGAGTGCAATGAGATCTAGTGTCTCCCAAAAAGCTACAGTGCTAAACTGTATATTTACCTTTTATGACTTCTTTCTTATCTTTGTTGTTTGTTTGTCTTGTTTTAATTGTTCAGTTGCCGGGGCGCACTGACAACGAGATCAAGAACTACTGGAACACCAGAATCAAAAGGCGACAGCGAGCTGGCTTACCGATCTATCCACCTGAAATCTCCAGGCAAACAATGAATGAGAGCCAGCAAAGTGACGGTATGAACACCTTGTCCACCAATGATGCCCGTCACCCCGACTTTATGTCCGTCAATGGCCTTGACATCCCGGAAATCGAATTCAAAGACTTGGAACTCTATAAGCCTACGCAGGCAATTCTCGATATTTCCACCTGCAGCTTGCTTGATCTGCCTGCAACCAGCCTCCTAGTGCCTGGACTAAACTCGAACTTGAAAAGACCGTTGCTCTCAGAATATCCGCCATCGAAGCGCCTCCGAGAATCATCGCCTTTGGATTGTCTGAACCCGGGAGTTATTAATGATTCTTTCTTAGGAGCGTATCAGTTCCCAACAGATGGTTCTGGGCATATCGGTCAGTCGTTTATGTTACCGTTTGATCATATTCCGACTACTTCTGATCATGCTTTGCAGACTAGTTTGTTCCCCGGCAGCCATGCCGTAATAAATGGCAACCCTTCTTCAGAGCCTTCTTGGGCAATGAAGCCGGAGCTCCCTTCACTCCAAAATCAAATGGGTAGTTGGGGCGTGCCCGCGCCCTCGCCCTCGTCGCCACCTCCATTCTGCGAGTCCTTGGATACATTGATTCAAACCCCTCCGAACGACGATCAGGTCTCGACTCTTAAACTCAAGAACAGTGGGTTATTGGATGCAGTCCTGCGTGAATCTGAAGCCAAGAAAAACTCCAAGAGTATCGGTTGTGGACAGACTTCCTTTGCTTCCGAGATGATGAATCCTTTTGCTGTGCCGGTCGGCGAGACGGAATGGGAAGCATACGATGATCGCCTTTCTCCTTTGTGCCATTCTTCTTCATCAATGTTCAGCGAGACCGACGAGCCTCATTCTGTTGTGACTTATCCAGGTCTGATTATTATTCTATATATTATTCTATATATATCTGATTCTGTTTCTAACTATATTTTTTGTTCTTGCAAAGGGTGTATTAAAGAAGAAAAAATCAACTACGTCGGTGGCCCGATGCAGTGTAGTGACCAATCCGTCATTTCCAGGCCCGATGTCTGGCTCGCCGCCAACAGATTTGCACCTATGGAGTACCCTACAGAAGACAATTCCTTGCTGAAAGATCCTATTATGGCATATCTCAATGATGATTTCAACAGGGATTGCAAGCAAATCGAAACAGACGCAAATTCGTCAGCACAAGGACATGGGCACGATTCTTTTAGCGCGCTGAATGCGTTGTCCACTGTCTGATATCCTTTAGCTGAAAGAGCTTTAATTATGCCGTACATGTTTTTGGACGATGTTTTGGATCTTGTGTTACTTTTGCTGCAAACGCTATATGATGGTGCCGACGAACACAGGTATGAGAGGCTTCGCAAGCTTATGAGTACCTCTGCTGTCTCCGGTTGACTCTCCTATGTTAAAATGCTTTTTTTTGTGTGTGTCAAGACATTGTGGATTCATTTGTTGTTTTCGGATATTGGATGTTGTTGTCTTTTTAACTTTGGTAAAGGTTCATTTTGCATTGGGACATATTGTGGTTTGTGCTGCTGCTCTTATGCTCTCACAGTTTTTTGATATTTGTTGTGTTCATATACAGCTTCTATTTCTATGTAGAATAGATATAAAATGGATGCAAATATTGCCGAATGAATGAGTTCTTATTGTCTTTACATTTTGGTTCTTGTTTTTGTAACTACTTACTAAAAGAAATTACCTCTTTTCACACTCACGATTTTATATAGTAAAAATCCAAGCAACGATTTTTAGGGCCTTGTTTTTGCATAAAACTACGATAGAAATTTACACGTCGCATACATCACATAGTTTGGATCAAGTAAAGATTTTGGATTTCTAACAGGCTACTGCTAAATCCATTTAGTTGGAAATTGATGATCTTTAAACAATACCCTCACACAGAGAGCTCAAAATGCTAAACAACAAAGGTTGATTTTTGAAAAACACCATCATTACCAAAATATACACGAGGTAGAAAATTTACGCCAATCCATTGAAATCATTACGGATCATAACTAGGCTTTGGGGTAGACGATGGTAATACCTTGTTTTGTACTCACAAAATTACAGACAAAGGAAGCTAAACACATCAATGATGGTCAAAAAGTTGTTCCATTCTATTCCAACTTTTTCCGGGTAAGTTGTGTTCTTGTCGGATTGGACTTGGCGGGGCAATTTTTTACCTAATAGTTAGGAGCTTGAGAGAAAGGTTTAGAGTGATTTTAGTAGTGATGGAAATTTCATGCAAGAAAAAAGTAAGGATGGGTAGCAACTGCTTTGAGCATTATACATGTCATTATAAAGAGTGAGGAATCAACATCAAGATTGTGTGGACCTAAGTTTGCCAATTTTAACTAAACTGAATAAAGGGAATCACAAAACACAAATGTGCTACTACTACTGCTGCTGTTGAACTATCACAAGAGATATTCCAAAACTATGACGACAATGACGATGGTGATGTTTCTTTAAGTACAATTGTTTTTGATATTCGCAATGCACAACCCACAACATATAATGCAGAAATAACAGGTACTAAGTGTTCTTTTTCTTACATAAAAAGAAAAAAAAAAGATCAGTTCAGATCATATGAGTTCAGATCACGTACGTTGTCTAACCCTGCGACCAGTGGTGTCGCCTCCGTCAGAGAGCTGAGCCCAGACGCTGCGAGACTTGGTTCCACCGCTGCTGCAATCCTCATCACAGCCAGCCACTGTCTTGAGAAGTTCTGATTGTAGGGCCGGGCAATTTTCTTTGAGGTATTCAAAACCATCTGACCGCATGACGGCTGGGAAAGAAAAGCAAGAAAAGTGGCATAGATTACAACAAGGCACATAGGTATACTAAAAAAACACTCCAGATATGATCAATGCTGCTTGACGACAGAATACATGCCCACAGTTTCTAACTAGTTTTTTCTTACAGCTGCGGTATTATATGCTCAAATGCTTGCGTAAATATTGGTAATCTGGAGATGATTTGGCATTTGAAGTAGAAAGCTGTGATTCTGAAATTACACCTCTCCATATATGAGTAATTTATATTAAACCTCTTCGCAAGCACTACTGAGTTGGAAATTTATATTAACACTAACTCTATGATAAATACCTGTTTGTTTCAATAAGCATTTGCTGAAATTGAATTCAAATTAAGCAACTAATTACTACCTCTAAGGGAGATGATAATAATGCACTAACAGTAGTCACTTAATTAAACAATGTTGAGCTGGTAGTCCCGCTGGAGTGGGACTACGAGCAATTGCCTACTCTCACCTTTAATTTCAAGATATGGTTGGATAACTGAAGTCATCTAACGGGTCTATACACTGTTTAATAGCTTAGATCTAAGATAATACTAAAAATAATAGGTACAGCACAATGAAGATTACTAATAAATGATACATTCTGATAAATGTAATAAAAGGATAAAACAAAGTAGTCCTATAAGATGGCTATAAGATTTCAAAACTATCAATATTGTGTGCAATAATCTTTGAAATTTGGATCAACAAAAGCAACGATCTAATATTCTCAAAACTTTTTATAACATAAGGAAAATCGCTAAAGGGTTTGTAATGTCAAGCATCTTTTCTCAGAAAAGAAGAAGAAGAAGGCAGGACGCTGAATAGCATGAACGGTACTACATGTCTTTTCATATTGGAAGGAAATGAGCGACAAACAAATCTGTTTCCCAGTAATTCTTCAACTAGAGACCAAAACAAAAAAGATCTTACAGTTTCTTTTGAAAAATCTTTTAAAGGCGATCACTACGACACTTTCAAAACAAAAGCTCACTGAATACCGCATCCAAAAATGAAAATTCATTACCACTAAGAAAATGAAACTCATTAATGCATAAAAAATTTCCCAATATAAACCCACAAGTCAATTTTATAATTTACCTGCAAGGTTCTCCGCAGCAAATCTAAGGCAAACAGCTTTCAACTGAATAGCATTATAGCGATCTGCCAAAGAAAGTATTTGAGTGACAGAGTTCACAGATATATCCTTGCAGAGATGAGATTCACACATTTGTTTGAGTCTTCCTAGATCATAACGATCAGCTGCTTCCAGCAACTTTGCAGTAAGTGTGTCATCTACTGAAGGATTCTGACATGAACTAGATTCAATCTGTGCATCTTCTATTAAGGCATCTCTGTATATAAAGTGTAGCACAGCCTGTCACACATTACAAAATTAGGGTGTCCAAAGTTAGGATAGAGGCGAAATCATTTTGGCGAACAAAATAACAGTTAACATAAAAATAACAAGACTTCTATAATAAAAAGGCCCATTTAGTACATATTACATTTCCTATTCAGAAAAAAAAACTATGAAAGCAACTGACCTTAAAAACATGGGGTTCCATATCTGACACTATAATATCTTCCTCATTACTGTGCGACGTTTCAAGAAATTCAGATCTAAATTTGAGGGAACGGGCTGCCAGCACCAACTTATGGGCATGAAACTTCTCCCCAGACACATTAAAGATAATATCAGAACCTTCCTTATTTTCCAGCAGCGTACCAATATGTGACCCTATGTCAGACTCTGGAACCTTAATCGAGTGCAACCGTGAGCAGTCAATAGCAGAAACCACAACACCAACAGTACAGTTTATCTTCAAACAATCATCTTTGAGATAGTCTGAATTTTCAAGCATGGCCCTCCGGAAGAAGCGTTTGTATCCCCTGAATATGAGTACAACATAAATTTCTTACTGGAATATCACAGCTGCTAAACCACAATCCAATACAGCTGAATAAAGAAAAACAGAAACACCTTATGAAGAGGACAAGGTAATTTAGTTATATTATCTGCTCCTGGAACCTAAATTTACCACAGCCACACAAAGACTTTGCTTAAGCTAACAGACAATAATAATGTTTCGACAATCAGAAGCTTTTTTTCCATACAATTTTTTTCCAATTTTGGAGCTAGATCTAGAAAATAATAGAGCAGTTACTCTTCTCAGAAGCGTAAGCTTCCGTAAGAAATTAAATGCAAATATAATAATAATAAATCTAAACTTTCCACTTCCTTTTCATCTTTGTTCCCAAATAAACTACGACGCAAACAGTGTGTTTACTTTGTGTTTATAGATTGATGTGTTTTTTTTTTTTTTTTTTTTAAATGTTAATTAGACTAATTAGTTATCTTAAGCAATCTTAATCTATAATTATATCTATTATACTATAATTACTTTTACTAATAGATTCTTAATATCATGACACCATATTTGGAGCGAAAGAATTAATATTTTGTATTGAATTATTAACTTTTGTGAATAGATAGAAAATATATAATACTCCTTCCGTCCTATAACTATGTATCCATTTTTTTTTTGCACGAAGTTTTAGAAATATTAATATTATATTGGAATGTAGTAGGAATAAAGTAAAAATGACTAAAATAACCTTATTAGTGTTGTGTTATATAAAGGTAATGACATTTGTATAATATATTATAAGTTGTAAGGATATTTGTAATGTTAGGTAGACAGTATAGTTACTAAAAAAAGAAATGGATACTCTGTTATGGGACAGACTAAAATGGAAAAATGGATACTTTGTTATGGGACAGAGGGAGTATATATTATATGGATGTGCATATATTGTATTTTTAAGTAATATTCATTGGGAATCATGTTACTAAAAACATATTGGATGAACAAACCCACTTAATATCTCCTATATATAGTATTTCCTCAAAGAAATTGGGAAAAGAACATTATACCAATGAAATCTCCATTAGCATCAACAACTGTGCTCTTATTTCACATGCCAAATTTGTTTCTTCATACGCAAAATTGATTGGTGTAGATTCCTGTTAACTAGAACAGTTGTAGCTTACAGCCACAAGAAAACTACATGTATAACTCTAATCTTATCAGAAGTACCATGTCATGTGGATAAATGAAATTTTCATTATTTGCATACTAATCAACAAAAAGTAATCATCTACAGACCATATTTGTTCTAAGTTCTAACTTTTGTTCCAGTACAAGTTTAGAATATAGACCTACCGAGAGAACAGTAAAAGACACGTGTGAAAAGGTAACCTAATTTGATCCTAACATGATCTATGATTGGGGACTTTCATCCACAACTTACCATTATTGGTTTTGTATTATCTACAACAATTAATTTAACACGTCATCAAGTAGTTTACGCTTTTCTACCTTTTTCCACAAAAAGCAACTTCCACCTAGTGTTTCACCCATCATCCAACGCCCTTGTTCGAAACTAGTCGTGTGTGATAAGTACATATGTTGGCCAAAAAAGAAATAACTCATAACTCCTATAAAAAAAACATTGAATGAATAGCAACAAACGCAAGGATGAATTGATACTCTTTTTGGAAGAAGACCTTCAATCTGAATGCAAACAACAGTAAAACACACAGCATCCTTCATCTCTTCTAGGTTGACTTTGCTGCATTCTTTTATAACTGTCCTTCACATACTTTCTCCTCACAATAGTTACAAGTAGGTGTTGTGTATATGCTCAAACTGTCCACAAACTTTGTTGTCCCCCTTTCCCTATAATCTATCTTATTGTGAATTATATATCTTCTTAGATTTGATTTGGTAAAGAAGATCATCTTCGAATCAAATATTGATTCCTTCTTTTCGTTAGATTATCTAGTACAATAGATGAATTTCAATTTCTTGTGTTGGGATTAGACTATGATCATGTAAGTTAAATCTTCAATTCTTGTTCAACTACTTCAGTTGTGGTATAATCATCACGCACACGCACACCCGTGCACACGTGCGCACGCACATGTGTGTGTGTATATATATATATATATTCCAAGCACTAGCACACAAAATGAAGCAATCATATCAATCTAGCAGCCAGGTGGACATAAAATCAACTTATAACACGCTGTTGCCTTACATACAGCACAAGCATACATGGCAAATATAATTAAATAAATCAGGCAAAACATAAAATTGAAAGAGAAAGAGCTCACCACATGCTGCCCCGGTATTTGAGAGTGTAAGGTCCGCTCTCAAGTGACCTATCGAAATGGCTATGGACTTTGTGCTTCTCCTTCCCACTTTGATCAACAAGAGTAAGCTCAAACAGCGCTCGAACATCCGTCCCCTCGCTCGCCAGCGCAATGAACACCGAGACGTAAGCAGAATTGTCCTCGGGATTCTTGCCGTCGGGGTAAAAGTAAATAGCCCATTTATACCCGCCCACCGTGAAATCCTCGCTGGCGATATGCTTGCTGACGCCCATGCCTTTCGCGAGCGAATAACCCTGGATCACGAAACGGTGCGAACCGTTTATCGTCTCGGTGACGGATCTAGAGCTGGTCGGCGAGGCCAGGGCGTTGTGATTTTGATCCTTCTCCGGCATATCGGGCATAGTTCGAACCGGAATTCTCCGTCTTCCTCCCCCGATTCTGAGGGCAACGCAATGGGACGCCTCTGCGCGCTCTATGGACGGATAATTCGCGAGCGATTGGGGAGGAATGGACGGGGAGAGAAGGAGGGATGGGAAATGGAAAGGCCCAAGTAGTCGGTTAGGGTTTTATTGGGGTCAAAATTTGTAATCGAATTTGGGGATTTCTGAAATTTAGGGCATCGAAAGTTTTGGGGGGTTTGGATGGTGACGATGGATAGACAGACTCACAGACAGCCATATGATGATGGATTACTTATAAATTGTTGGGCCCATGGTCTTTGACGTTTCAAATTACTTGTTTTAACACGTGGATAATGATGATTGGATGATACTTGGACACAAGAAATAGAGTAAATAATATCGATTTGATTTAGACGTTGTTCTTGTCAAATTAATTTGCAGACTATTAATATTAATTTGATTTAAACATCGTTCTTGTCAAATTAATTTGCAGAATATTAAGTAGAATTATAAGTGTAACAGCAAATGGATAAAAATTATTATCTATAAAATTAGATTTACTTTTTATATATTAACTGTACATTTAAAACCAAACATATTAAATAAATACACTTAGTATTATTTCGTAGTGTTCTCTTTTTATGTTTTTGCTTTTTTTTTTTAATAAGAATAAATATTCAACTTAATATGTACTATCTTTATATATTCAACTTATTAAGTCCACTCAGAACATGAAATTCAACGTGACACAAACAACGCATAATATCAATTATTATATTGTAATATATATTTAACGGATATATTGACGACATACAATATTAAAACATACACTGTATAAAGACGGATAATATGTGAATTAGATACAAATATTAACAAAATGTTTCCGTAAAACATTTGATACAGGGATATGTCTCATACAACAATAATTTTTAATAAAATAAATAATTAATGTAATCTAAAAAAGAAAATTGACCAATAAAATAATAATAATAATAATAATAATAATAATAATTCTCGAACATACACACAACCATAATCTTGGATTTATATGCTCAATTTTAAACTCAAATTACAAAATCAAATGGTATAGAAGACATGCGCGCATCTATTTGATTCTTCCTCAAGATATAGGTATAAATATTTTGACTATACAAAATTCCCACATACATTTAATTCAATCATCATCATTACAAAAAGGAAAAAAAAAAAAAAAAAACATAACAAGATTGAATCTTGGCCATACCTACCTACCTACCTACCCACCCAGACTAAAAGTCCAACAATTCGATAAAAGAACTCTCAAATCATCCTTCCTTCGTATTAAGTAAGTAGTAGTAGATCCTATCCATACACAATACAATAATACCATATAACCAAAAGCAAGCAACTATTTTATACCTACCTCCAACGAACAAGTTGGTAAACTTCTCATTCTCTAAATCTCAAAGTCATATTTTGAGAAGAGCAAGATTTATAATTGAAGGTGGAAGAAGAGACACTGCACCTCGTTCCGGTTTCGAGTACTTCCGGGACACTGCCTTGAATTTCTCATCTTTTTCCGATGCTTCCGAGTGGAAACTCCCCAACATCTTCACACACTCCCTATAGATGATCAAACCATCCATCATAACAAATTTTCGAAATCTATATATATGTATATGTATATGTATATGAACGTACATCAGTTCATCCTCGGCGTAGCCTGTGTAGTGCTTAAGTGTCTCCGTCCACAGGGGGGTCCTGTTGAGCGTGCATCGCGCAGCGTATACTGCGGCAGCCGAGAGCTTCGAGGGGCTATACTTGATGACAGTCGAGTAATCCACCAAACCGAGCTCCGCGTAGAAGAATGCCATGTTTTCCATCTACACAAGATCCGGAAACATTGTCAAGTTAGTCGACTAAAATTTGATTGGAAAAACAAGATTAATCAATCGATCCTTTTTTACCTCTTTATCAGCTGGAACTGAAGCTTTTATATACCGAATTAGGAATACGTATGGAGTTGGAACTGTTAGATACCATTCCAGCTTCCCCAGGATCATCTTCTCCATACGAAGCACTTGCTCGCTCGTGTAGGCATTGTCCGATATCTCTATGAAATCGCTGACCATCGGAGCCCAGATTTCCTCGTATTTGCAAGCTATCAACATGGCGCCAATGCCGACCAGCTGGAGTTCCCTTCTGGGGACAGTTTTAATCGAAAGGACACGATCAACAATGTTGACAGTAAGGTAGAGACTCTCCGGCATCAGTTCAAACTTCCGGTGGACTTCAATCAGCCAGCCCACAAGAATGGCTCTCATTTTGGCATTGATTTCCAGCTGTCCATGCATGTAATCATCGTTGACGTAGCCATCTTTCTACAATCATAAAAATGAAAAAGTGAAACTTTTAATCAGCCGAAACATGGGGTTGATTCAGGGATATGGTTAACGGACAACAGTACCTCTGCAAGCTTGTAATATTTGTGCATATCCTCGACATACTCCACTGCCGCCAATTCGTTGTTTACATCAGCGGCATCAATGTCCAGCGTCAGATCATCGGGCTTGTTGGCAATTCCACAAGCAGCCTTGCTTCGAGCAGTGAGGGTTGAGGTTAGTGATTTTCCAGGCTTTTTTAACCTCACATTTTTGTCCCTCTTGCTGCTTCCTGATTCATCGGAACTTATTACGATCACTTCATCTATCGTCGGCTTAACTGCATCGCTCTTCATAGGCACACCAGCATTCACCTTTTCAGCCAATAATTTCTGCATATGGTAAGAATAATAATAATCATCATCAAAACTGTGAGTGAAACAATGAAACCAATATATCTCAAACAAGCAGCCATGCTTAAAAGTTTACCTTGCAGTTGTTCTTCTCTGCTGCTGCTTGAGCATTGTCCAGTAGCTGAACACCGAAGAGCCTGAAACACAGCAGCAATTGTCGAAATTCAGCAAAAAAGTTTTACTAGAGGGTGAAAATCTTAATCATGGGAATTTGGAGAACCTTGGGCCAGGGCGGCTGACCGGATTCTGAAGCTTCCCCTCAATGCCGCCACCTTGCGGCGGCACCAGATTTCCGATGTCCCTTAGAACCTTCCTGGTTCTGCCTTCAGCTTGCACATTCTTCTGCTTCACTCCTCCTGGTATCAGATGAAAGGTTCAGTTGTGCACAAGTTTTTAACAACTTACTTTAATGGAAGCAGTTTGCAATCACAGGATTTTAAAACTAGTTTAACAGACGCTCTAACACAGTCAACGAATTTTAGAACAGAGACGGTGCATCACATTGATGTAATTAAAGCCAAAACAAAGAAGCAGTCAAAGAAATGCACATCTATCTGTCTATCTATCATGGACATAATTCTCTGTAGATTTGAAAGTAGACGAGATCAACTTAAAACTCTGAATATCATGAAAACATGGACGAAGATTCGAAAGGCACAGTAAATCTTCACAAATCATCACCGAAATCTCAAGACGGTTTATTATTATTATTTAACAATAGCAAATCTTGAAGAACATAAGAAGCATAAAGGAAATCACAAAAACCCTAATCGATTTCAAAAAATCCCAAAGTAAAATTCTCCAATTACCCTGGGGATTCTCAGGAACAGCAGCCTTGGAAGCCATTTCTCGATCCAATTCCTCTTCTCCTCCTCCCTGTTCTTCCCGATAATCGCTGTTAACACCCAAAACACCGCCTATACTCGCCCAGAACGACGACAGCAACACCTGGAGACGGCCGTTGCGCGGCTCCCCTTCTCGTGGTTGGTTTCCAGTCGCCACAATGCAAGTTAGATTCTTGTAATTTTTTCTAAGAAATCAATCAATTCGATGCAGTCAAGGCGATGATCTTTGATGGGAATTGGAAGAAAGATTGATGAGAGAAAGAGAGAGAGTTTTAGGCGCGGAGGAGCTGTGGTACATATATACGTGTATATAAAGAAAGACGAAGAAGGGAAGGGGGCACTCAACGGTCATATTCTTTAAGTTGAATTATGGCCGTTGGATTAATAGATCCAACGGTGGTATTGGGTTGGGGAGAATAGAACAGTGGAGCGTCGAGGATTTTACTAGCCGTTAGATGGAGGGAGGAAGGAAGAGAAATTTACCGTTCGTGGGAAGTCCTTTTGAGATGATTTTCAGAAGCCTTTCCTATTTTCCGACAAAATGGCAAATTACAATTTCAAACTTTACTGGATTTAAATTAACTGCACCACTACACTGGCTCTAGTTGGGCCTATCACTGGACATCTGATCCAGCCCAAAATCAAGCTTTTATTTCCTTTTATTTTTAATAAAAATAAATAGGGATATGAAATTATGTAATGATATAAAATTTATAATATAATATAATATTATAAAAAAATAATATATTAATATATACTATATCATTTCATAATTTTTTACGTACTCATGACAGTGGTCTAATTTATATACTAAAATAATTAATATTCTATTTACTATCATATAATAATTTTACAATATAATATATATATTAAAATGCGAGATAAATCCCCAAAACCAAACAAATACACTCCACCACTCATAGCTCATAGTTCAAAAGTAAACTAAGTTAAATCTCACTCATTCATCCAAAAAGTTGGTGTCAATAATAATGTCATGGTGTGTTTGATAACTTGATCTCAATTTTAATACTACAATTCAAGTATTATTACTATTATGATAAATAGTATTCGCAAATCTCTTTTTCAATTTAATACAATATCAAAACCAACTTAGATTCAAAATTTCACTATTAATAAAACATCAAACCTGTTTTAAACCACATTCAAACAAAACTGAGGCAAGAAAAGGAGCAGGAGCCCCAAATCACTACAACATAATGCCATTACCGGAAGATCGGTGGCAAGAAATAACGGCCTGATTTAAGCAACAATACATTCCAAGCGAGCATCAATTATGAAGACGTGCAGGCGCCATGGAAGGGAGCTGCAAAGGGAGTTCTAAAGCTCAAAAGGTCAGCCTTGTTCAATCCAGGATGGCCATTTGCTCGATGCTCGGGCGGCATAAATGTTGTGAAGTAACCAGGCAAGTACTCTGCAGATTAATGATGCCAAAGTACACGGGATCTTGCTCATTGTGCAGTGAAGAAATACAAAAGAGAAAAGCCTTTTCTTTGATGTTCTCTGTATAGTTTTGTGAGAGTTTCAGGTATGATAGAATACCTACCAGAATTTAATAAGTAAATAAAATGTATTCTAGGCATACTGATAAGATCACAGTGGATAAATTTCTTTCAAAAATTTCCGGTATTCAATCTTGCAGAAACTATTGATCCAAGATTGTGCTGTAAAATACTAAAATATCAGGCTATGAAATAATAACGGAGGGAGAAATTAGCAATGAAATGCTTCGGCGCACACCTAATGGTAATCGCAGGCTGTAAAATACTTTTGATGAAATAGTTCAAGTAAATAAATGCAAATGGTGACAAATAATACTCCTTACTTCTCCCATTCAGGTTGCTTTGCTCCACGTGTAGATCAAACTACCTCACGGCATGACATCTATGTTTGACTTCCGCCAAGTCCTGAAAATCTGCGCCCACACTGATATCAACGCCCTTGGGAGTAAGCAATGAAGTTATACCCAACAGCTAAATTAGGTTCATAAGTACAAAAACAATGTCAGATTAGATCGGCACATTGAAACAAACCTGGTGCTGGCTACTGTGGCCAATGCTCAACTACAAGCTGGATTAACAAACCCCACAGTTGCGACAGGCAAAAGCCCGGTTGGTAGTGAAATGTAACAATGGTCACACCGGCTCCAAGTCTATCATCATAACCTGAATCATTCCATCGGAATATAAGAAAGCAAGCAAGTTCAGCACAAAAAAACAATCTGAAAGCAAAATATGCAAAATTACATTTCATAATTTACCTTTGTACTTGTGAGAAGATGGAGGATGCTAGACAAAGAAAAAACAATACCTGCTTAAGGTTTACAAAGACTAATTTGCATCCGCTCAAGCAAAGAATTAAATTACAAGAATGTTGAAGAAGAAAGTGCAGGCTAAACTGAAATGGAAATTAAAACAAAGGAAATTTAGAATTTCGAAAAGATCACACAATTTATACAGAAACCTAATTAAAATAAAAAGATCTTAAATTCTGCCTAGCTACAGTCTGTCTAACTATCTACCCCAATTAGTTATGTCCTAGGATCTCCTAGCAAACTTGTACACATGAAATTTGTACAAAATGGGATGATAGCAAAGTCAACTGTCTGATGTAATGGTGAAAAGAGATTCGGATTATCGTATTCATCCTTCTGCATCATAATCTTCCACTTCCTCATCCATTGCACTGTTTAAGTTAGCCAGTTGAATAGGAGTTACGGCCATCATTGCTGCCTCATCAACAGACCATCCAGGAACATGTACATGTTTTGTGTCGGGCGATGGCATCTTGGAAACAGCCGAGGGGTTTTCACCTAACTTTGGAGTGGAATACCCACTCTCATTTAAGTCAACATTGAGGTCAAAATTCATTACCGGTCTATCTGCTTCCTTTACTTCTGTACTTACTGAATCTGAAGCACATCTATCATTATTTGATCCCTCTAAATATTCACTTTGATTCTCATTTTGCTGGTCAGACAGATCAGGATCATCTTCAAATTTTGCAGATGATTCTCTTTGTAGCATTCGACTACCCCTGCCACGACCTCTGCCCCTGCCCCTGCCTCTACCCTTAACCTTGCCTCCCCCACTGCTGGTGGTCTGTCCAGCCTCCTGATGCAATGAATGAGAGCACTAACAGATACAAAGAAAAAAATAATCAAGATCTTAGAAATCTTTCAAGTTATATGCCAGGCAATTAAATATTCTTTAAGAATTAATACACCTAAATATGAACAAGTGGAACCAGCTGTATCAACAGAATACAAACTGTAATCACATCTAATACTCTGGTCAATTGTTTTAGCAGTAATAACAGAATTAGCGAAATGACGTGGACCACATCCACAATTGATGAGAAGCCTTTCTTTTTTTATAAGTAGAAGCTCACATTAAAAATATTAAGGAAACTTCATTTGATAATTAATTAATGAGTGAATATGACAGAAAGTAACATCTTTTTAAACACTTGTAATTGGAAACCTTTCAGGGGATCCAATATAAACTCTACTATTCCAATAATTGCCGATTCAATCTAATGGGCTCAAAACCATCTTACCATGCTTATCCTTGTAAACTCCTTATCATTGTTGAATTCATCTTCTGAAATCTTCCTGCATTGAAGAGTCGGTAAGGGCAATATAAATCTGTATCTTCAATTTCCTTATCACTGAAACAGAGAGTTGTGTCATGATTTTTCGAACCTTCGTTTTGTAGTAGATGTATCCTCAGAAGCTGCATCAGAAGCAACCAAATCTGGAACGCTGCTAACTATGTCCTTTAGAAAATCAAATTCACTAAAGCTATGCACACATTCTTTTCTGCAAATTAAAATGGTAAAGATAATAAATAAAAGGCCGGCTAGACAGTAGACACAACTGTGTACATGACCACTGCATGTAGAAACCAATTAAAGCATATTATAAGATTATGAAACACTTACAAATGAAAAGAATTAACAGTTTTTGCTCCCTTTCTAACAGTGATTTCATAAGTTCGGTCACATAGATCTTGCAGAAATAGTTCCAGAGCTTTTGCTGAATGATAATCAAAAACAAAAAAAAAACATGTAAGTGGAGGGAGAGAAAGACACGTACATCTAAACCAGAAAAAAAGGCAGAAAAGCCAAACATTTAGCACTAACATTATAATGAAATTACATACAAACTAAAAGGGGTACAGCCATTGCAATCTTCCCCACATCCTCATCAGCTTGCATAATCTTCTTAATCCGAGGCTGCAAAATGAATTTTGAATCATTCTATGAAAGAAAAGTACCCATCAAGATGCAAGATGTAAGTCACAACATCAGGTTTCCCAAAATTTTACAGGTGACAGATGAATTCTCACAAATCAAATCCACTTCAAACATCCATACGCTTTAACTGCTCCTCGCAGCATGAAAATCTCCAGCTAAACCATGAGAAGTAGAAAGCCATATGTATACAAAATTAAATCAGTTTTCTTGGTGGCAAGAACCGAGGTCTAATCATTTCCAATCAATCATAATTCTGTTGATTCAGGGCCATTGTTTAGACTCTACAGACATGCTTTAACAAATTGGAACATAATATTTTCCACTAAAGTTAGAACAATTCATAATCACATCCCTTTAAAATTTACCAGTATATCCACTGCTGATTAACAAAAAAGTAACTTATACAAAAGGTTCCACCCTTAACCGAAACAAAGTCCAAAACAACTGGGATAAGAAGACAATATCAACCTCCTTTTCAATTTATCTAGAAATCTTACAAAAAACCCAACAAGCTAGCTCAAATAAACTTCTCAGTAACCCAAACGAAAAACAGTTCAATCACAACAAATAGTATTTTTACAAACAAGAGTGCTGGCATCACACCTTCACAGTTCACAGTTTCATTAATTTCAACTTTAGATAAGGCTTAAACAGGCCGGTCGCATATCACTTTCAAATAATATCAAATTACATTAGAAAGAAGCAAAAATAAACAATCATACTACGCCACCAAACTGCTTAAATTAAACAGAGTAGAACCACCGTCTGGAAATTCATCGAAAACAATATCAGAACCCTCAAGGAAAGCATAGAAACCAAAAAACAACGCCAGAAAAACGATTACCGCGGGAAAACGAGTATCGAGCTTCTTCCTCATGACTTCCAAGCCACCAACAACTCCACTTCTTTCCCAAACCCTAGCTTAACACAAACTCTTGTATAACCAAAAACAGCACCGCTCACACTCGAGCAAAACCCAAAAACCACTCAAGTATCACGCTTCGTTCGCGCACATCCGTTTCCGGCTGGATATACACGCACGCAAACACTCCACCACCACCTGCAACGCAAGAAAATTCAAAAATCGTTACGTCTTCGCAGAGAAATCCTGCCTCACACAACAACATCAACATGAAAACAACAAATATGTCAATTTTAACTCAGCAGATTCGACTTTCTCGGACCCCTACCCACGCGATTACCTTTTTCACTTTTTGCTCAGTCCAACTTCGAACCCCTCCTTTCTTTTTCGATTTGGCATTTTGCAGTTTATAATCCCATTCTGCTTTTTCACTATCAAATCCACTGCTCCGCAGCTACTGTGAGATCATATATTCCACCAGTTATATGCGGACACGTGGCAAAGAAAATACCAATGGGCCGTGCCTGGGGGACTTTTCTGAGTCGTGGCTGTACTGGATCGTAGAGTGGAGAGTCACCTTTTGACTTATTGGTATATGCATAAAAAATTATATTGGAATAGCAAGAACAATAATACATTTAATGTCACCTTAAATTTTAAGTTTGTGTTCTTCTAGGTTTTACCTATATTTTTACAATTTTTTTTTTTAAAATATCAAATTAAATAATTACTTTTTATTTTATATTATACTATAAATTTATTTTAAATTAAAAATATCATATAATATTTATTTATATAACACCAAACAACTATTCAAATTCAATTTTTTACTATTGAAAATCCAAATCCACAAGCAAACACACCCTAATTTGATTCGAATTTAAGATTTTGATTTGAAATTTTATTTAAATAATATTTTATAAAAAAATAATATTTCTATGTATTAATTTTATTTTTTTATTTTGTCCATATAATTATGTAATTTTATTTATAACAAATAATTTTTCTACACTTCTTTTTTATATTTATTTACAGAAATATCACAACTATCCATACATTCAATTTATAAAAACTTTTCCTCTTAATTCTTTAATTTATTCATATACTTTTCAAAACATTCTTATTTTATATCATAATAAATCAATATAATATTATATTTATTAAAAATTCGTACTCAACCCAAATAAATATGTATTTGATTGAGATATTTTAAACAAGTTTTTGAATTCATATGTCGATTAACTATAATATATGATTAAATGTGATTTTTGTGTTGTTCCGTAAAATTCAACATTGTACTCAGGACACACAATATATACATATAGTACATGATAGGAAGATCTACCTTACATAAATTGTGTTAACATGATAAAAACACATATGAATTGATATAATTTCATACAATACATACTAAAATTGATTTCAATATAAAAAATATATTAATACAACACATGTACTCCCTCCGTCCCGCCTTTTTGTTAAGGACACGGTATTTTACATAGTATATGTTATTAAATTATTAATAATAAATTAAAATAATATATTATTATTTTTTATATGTGTAGTATTGTTGGTATTTTAAATATTTTTACAATTATATTTCAATAAAATATATGCAATATGAATATCATTTTGTAGATAATAAAATTTTATATAATACAAATGAATAAAAAATATATTTATTTATTTATCATTATCGTAAATTAGTTTTACAAAAATTAGGAGTTTTAAAGGTAGATAAAAATATTTGTTAATTGAGGAGACATATAGAAATAAAGGAGTTTTGAATGGATCTTACGTGTAAGATGTTAGAAGTTTAATTAAATTGATTTATATTTGTTAAGTATATTTAAAATTGATAAACTTGTCAAAAATGAAAATTGGTCATCTTTTGTAAAACGTACCAAAAAGAAAATTAAGTTATCTATGACGGAACGGAGGGAGTATAATTTATTTAACATTACATACATTGTGTTAAGTGGAAAATGCATATTATTTGATTGTTAAATATGTGCTAACTAAAAAAATGTTTGATTGTTAAATAATACTTCATCGATCTTGCAGAAGAAAATGAATATACTTTTGAAAAATAGAAGTAATAAAAATAAACATACAAGCACATAAAAATTATAAATTGGCTAAAATACCAAATATATAACGCGATTATGTAAAAAAATTGAACATAATTTTTAAAAGACGAAAAGAGTAATAAAAATAATTATAAAAGCACATAGATAATATATAATTTAATTTTTGATATATAAATTGGTCAAAATAACAAATATATAGCATCATTCTCTACATATTATAGCAATGTTTCCCAAACAAGTTCAATATTATGTAAATATGGCAAGTGACTCAGTGAGATTAGTATAATTAGTGTGGTTTGCCTTGTCAATTATAGTTTGCAGTACTGAATTTACTAAAAATATTAATAATAATAAAATATGGTAAGTGAAGAAAATTACTATAGAAAATTTCGATTCTAATCAAAAAAAATATTAAAGGGTTTGCATCTACTAGCATTATATTGCACAAGTTTGCTACTCCAACCCCTTTATAATATTTATATTATTATATCATTCGATAACTCTACAATAAATCATAATTATACATGGCAATTTCAGGTCTGTTTATTTTTCGTGTCGAATTTATTCGTCTTGTTTTTATTTCATGTTGGGACAGGCGCAACCCAATTTCAAATCAGATTTGGAAACTCCGGCACAGCCCGGTTCAAATTGTGTCGAGTTGGGCTGGACGGTCCGAATTTTGAAATTTATTTATTTTCATAGTTAAATTATATTAAACTAAATATAAGCAATTATGATAACAATAATATTTTATTGATAAAAAGTTAAAGCTAAATATAAAATACAGTAATTTTTTATTTTATTATGTACTTAAAAGATATTTAAATTTGAAAAAAAAAATATTGTATTAACTGTGTTTGACCAGACACATTCTGATGAAGTTCAAGCACGATCCGGAGTTTCAATCATGTTGGACTGGCCCACCCTAAAATATTTTCAAATTTATTTTTTCTGTCGTGCTCAAATCGAATTTTTGAATTGTACTTATTTTTTATGACCGATAGCAAACACGCGTAACAAATGCAAAATGATTATAAAACTTCAAAGTAGTTTGTATTTATATAGGATAGTCAAATCAATGTATTGGTTGGCTTCCAATAAATAAATTAATGATATAACAATTTAACTTTTTAGGTGAAACAAACATTTATGTCATCTAACACAATGCAAATAACAAAATAAACATGTATATTACTTCTCCTTTTTTTGTTTTTATTTTAAACCCAATTCTATATTATTTAATCCGTATAAATTTTACTAAAAATATATTATTTGTTTCGCAAAATATCATATTAATATATTATTTAAAATAAATTTCAAAATTCAAATCAAAACTAATGTCGTTGTTTGACCGTTCGGCTCCAGGTTATCTGTCATAGTCCGTCTCATGTTTTCGAACCCCTAGTCCATGTACGGTGTGTTGATGGCTTATGTCTTAGTACATGTACATATTCCACATAATTATCACATATTATATGATATACTCATACTTATTGCGGGACGGCCTGTTTGGGCCTCCAAGCGAACAGAGTCTAGGCGCACACGCGACAACCTGTTTGGGCCTCCAAGCAAGCAGAGCCTAGGCACCGGACATATTGGTTTTTGAGCACGTTACACTAAACACATTAATTGTTTACTCAAAAAATCGATCACCAACAACTTATTATATAAGTTTCAATCCAGTTTTATCGACGAAGATGTAGACACCATACACTATTCAATCTATGTAAAAAAATAAAATAAAATAAAAATGTAACATGCACACCCTAATGCCATACTTTTGGTATGAATTTTAGAAATACGAGATGTCTTGATCTAGTATTAAAAATATGTCATTTTGTAGAAAAAAAGTATCTTCAAATAATATATTTGTTTTTTTATGTCATTCGATGAATGTTGGATCGAACTTAAAACATTTAATATTGAGAAGAAAATTGAGTAGAATTGCATATAAGTTTATGAAGTTGCGAGGTAAGAATGAATTGCATTAAGACTAAATTTATATTAAAGAAAATAAATGCAAAAGAAAAATTAATAATAAAAAATTAAGATGTATTGCGGATGAAACACATTTTGAACTTGTGAAGTAATAGAAAATGGGTGTTGACTAGGAGAGGTTAGCAAGATCGCGAGTAGAGTTTGCGAATAAAATAAATTTACAGACAACGGAGGTGATAAGTAATTGGAGAGGTACTGAACGGAGAAATACCCTCCAGTGGGTGAAGTGCTATTGATATATGTATAGATTTTGTGTGAGAGAATTCTGCGTAAAAGTAATCACATAAGACTTTTACTCACTAACTGCATTTGTGTTTGCTATGTTTTATTTTTATATTATTTTTTTATGCTACGAGTCATTCTTTTCGATACATACGACATTTGAATTAATAAATTTGTTCACTAATCACTACCTATATTTTTTAAATGAAAATTGCAATAAGTTACTGCTTTAACGAATGATCGACCTAGTAATTGGATATCCTTTCCGGACCCTTATGAATATATTATATTAGATCATGTGACTAATATTTGTTTTTAACCAATCCTTGTGGAAAGTAGCTCACAAAGCAATTATCTTATGTATGTGTCACATAGAAGTGTTGACGAGATGAAAAACAATGATGCTTTATTCATTTTTAAGGAATAAAACTCGTGATTAAACTATAAAGACAACAAAATTATCTTGGTACTAGAAAAAGTAAATGGGTGGGTGGCTAAGCACGCGACTAATGTCATGAATAGCGCTAGCCGCCCGGAAAAACGACTTTGGGTAATTACAACTTGAGATCTCATTGCGGTTTGGATTGACAACGAATGAGAAAACGAATTATGGAATGATATGTATTGTTACAATGACATATATTAACTCAGCACTGACAAAGCTTCTAGATAGTTGGCAATTGTTGACACCTAACATACAATTAATATTTTGATTCTCAACCGTCCAATTTATTAGATGAAAAAATTGTGTGTTGATCTTCCTCTTTCGATGGATTGAGGTAATTGACTTTTTCTAGTGAAAACTAAACCAAAGTTTATATGTTTACTAGATATAACCAATTATGGCTAGCGAGGTAAAGCACGAGCTTTTCATTTCGCGACTAGACATTGCAGCTTGTGAGTTGCAGCAGAATTAGGTTTTTCAAAATGCAAACTCATTTCAAAATTCATTGTTTTGCAGCTAAAAATTATTTGAAAATGCCAAAGTATATCAAAATGAACTAAAATACATTTTACTTGACATTTGGTACAATTAAGCGCATAAATTAGTCAAAAAAATCATCATATATACTTATGAAAATCACCAGGGGAATATATTCAAAATTATTGTTATCACACACTAAAACGATTAAATGCAATGAAATTTTATCGTTTAATACTGATGTTTGAGATAACAAATGAGATAAAACAACAAAAAAAAACTCTTCCAAATGCATTGTGTTTGTTCACTTTATATATATATATTTATTTATAAATGTTTTCTTATATTAAGTATAAAGAATTATATGAATAATGTAAAAAAATAATATTTTATGTTAAATTATTTTTTTAATAAATAAAAATAGTATATATATTGTATTAATATATATATTGTATTTTTATAATATTTAAGAATCGTACCCAAAAAATAAATTGAGTAAATAAACCTCAAATTATAAACCTATTATGTATCACATTCTAATTATATTTTACATTAGAAATCTTTAAATACAAAATAATAATAGTAATAATAACCTCCACAACAGTAATATTTTAATTAATATTAGGCAAGTAACATTATTACAGCTTTTGTATTAATTACTGAAATAATAAATATAATTACTTTGTGAAATCTTATTTATTATTTGACCATAAGTAATAAGAGGAACAAATAATAATTATCACAACCTCATTCTAAATATCGTGAATGGGATAATCATCAATTCAATATACATATATATTGATCTTAATATTTATTTTAAGATAAAAGTAATTATCATTCATAAAGTATAAAAAAAATACTCCCCCATTCATAAAGTAAAAAAAAAAATAAATTACACGTTTGAATCATATTTAAGTTTTTTATTTTTTTTTAAAAAAATTAATTATACTAATTAACTATTTTAAACGTAATTTATAGTTTAAAAAATAATTAATAATTTATATATGTGAACAAACTCTACATTGTATTAAAGGACATGACAAATAATGCATTATGATTGTAATTTATAATATTATTTTAATAAATTATATAGTTATACAATTAATTAATAAAATATTTAATTAAATATAAAATAATACTAATAAGTTTTTAGTATAAATATTATTTAGATAAACTAATCACATCCATTTAGATGAGATTAATTATTCTTAATTAAGGTATTATCATAACTAACTTTAACTAATTTTGAATTTCAATATATTAAACTAAATATATGATTAAATTGGATAAAATAATATTATCCACCGTAATCTTTCATACTAAACAACCCCCAATTTGATAATATTTACTAGAGACATTCACTATTGAAATTTATCTTTCTAATTCACTTTTGAAATTTAATCTAACACCATTTATTATAAATAAAATATATATATATATACATGATAAAAATTATAAGTTTACTATACATGTATAATGAGAACATAAAAATAATTGTTTCTTCAGTTACACGAAAATATAAAAAGATGTATATACATATATAAAATATTGTGATAATAATAATTGGATTGAATTTTAAGTATGTAAAATAAAATACTATTTATTTCAAAAATTCCAAAAAAGTTGTGCTTTTCATGCTTGTACATTACGAGCAAGGACATGGCAAGTCCTCAAGGTACAATCAGGTGCAACACCAGGAGTACGGGTGTGGCACTTTCCGCTGCTTTGGCTGTACGTCGGAAAATCGATGAAATTATATTTATTTATTATTTAATGGAATAAAAGAAAATAGGAAAAGCTAACAAATTATATTGACCGTCGGATTGGTTTTCATGTTGAGCCTCGCATTACATTATCCCTCTCTCCTCTACATCTTGTCTCTCTCTTTCTCTCACTATATATATCGCCTTCTCGTTGTTTCTCTCTCTATATATTATTTCCCAATCCACCATTTTCTATCTTTCTGGAATCCTCTCTGTCCGAACGCGTTCTCTCTCTTTCTCTTCCCGTCCCCCTCTCTTGCACTAAATCCAATCTTCCTCCAGCGAGGAATTGAGGACGCAGCAGAAATCTCCTTCGATTGTATCGATCCGTAGGAGGTTAGGTTTTGCTTGCTATGTTTGCTTTGTTGTTGATTCAATTTTGTTGAATGATGATGGATTATAGCTGGCTGGGCGGTCGATAGATAGGATTGGGCGGGGATTGATTTCTGGATGTTGGGGTATTTGTTGGCATTAACTTTGAATTGGCGGAGTTTGCCTCTGGATTTCAATTTGGTTCTGGGTTGCTGTTTGGGCGTAATTTTTGCCTTTCGCCTTTTGCTGTTGCTTTATTTTTTTGGGTTCGGTGGTGTTGTTCTGATTGGTTGATCTGATTGATGGTGATTGTAATGTGAAGTTTGAGGCGGCCACTGTCGGTGTGGTTGTTTGATCTGAACTTTGAAATTTGATTAGGTTTTTTCAATTTTATTTCGCCTGGTGGTTCCGTTTTATGAGGATTGATGGTCTTACATCGTTGGGTGTGCGCGGACTTCTTGGATGTGTATCAGTTTTTGTTGGGGGAAGTTGAATTCGTGTTGCTGGTGGTGGTATTGTTTGGGGGTTTCGCTGAATTGGATTGTTGTGGAGCTATGGATATGGTGTTAGGTTTTGGCCTGCCCATGGTTTGATTTGTTGTTGTTTAGATTCGGTGTTAGGTTTCAATGCTGTTAGAGTGTTGACCTCAGGGAGATGATGCTTGGTTAAAGGATTTTATAAATATGATTCGATAGGGGATGAAGCTGAGGACACAACTATTAACTTCAAAAGATTATGTCTTAATAATGTGATATGAACCCTACGAAACAATAACACATGATGAAACTGAATTCAGTTAACGTCACTCTTGAGATAAAATCGAATTCTGGGAATTTGTTGTACTTAGTCATCCATGCTTTTGCTTACCCAGTTAATAGAGGTTTCATGAGTCTTAATTCACATTGATCTGATATTATGTTAAATAGTTTGTTTTTGTCAACATAAATATCTGAAGAGTAGGGATCCAGTGATATTTTAAATGCAATAAGATCCCGAAATTCTGTTTGCAACTGTTTTGTTTCTTTTGCTTCGGATCTTGGTGATGCGTGTTAAGTATGCTGAGGTAGACTACATTTATTTTTTTGGTCAAGATCTAGGGTTCTTTGGAGGAGTCATTATGCATACTGGAAAATAATTTGCATTTGTTTGACCAAGATCTAAGTTTCTTGAGAGTAATACCGTGTTGATATGCATACACGTGTTCTATATGCTAGATAGCCACAGCTAGGAGTCCTGAGAAGACTTATGTGGCCTTTACTTCTCACCAGTTCTGTTGTTAATCAATGAGAAGTGAGAACATAATTGGTACCTTGTTGATATATGCGTACACGTGTTCTAATGCTAGATAGCCACGAGCTAGAAGAATTATGTGGCCTTTACTTCTCATCAGTTCTGTTGTTAATCAATGAGAAGTAAGAATATAGTTGGTACCTTGTTGATTTATATGCGTACACGTGTTCTATATGCTAGATAGCCACAAGCTAGGAGTCCTGAGAAGAACCATGCGGCTTTTACCTCTCATTAGTTCTCTTGTTAATCAATGGGAAGTGAGAACATAATTTGTATTTGCCAACTGTTGTGTACGACGAAATAGCAATTTCGATTAATTTTGTTGATTGCAGGGCATTAAATGTGGCTTATTAATGATGATGTTCATTCTTTTGTGTGCTAATTGCTCGTGAGGTTAGGGATAATCTACATTGATTCACATCCTTTACTGATCAGGAATGAAGGAAATATTATTCTGGGAAACATTATTAGATCTAGGTTTCTTAGTTTAATATGCCTCCACGTGTTAATAGACGGCCATAATCTTCATATTTATTATGTGAAATTCAGTAAGCTCAAATTTGTGCCCGGACTTTAAATTTTTTGTTTGAACATTACTTAATCGACAGCTGGAGTGGTTGATTTATCCTGTTCTGTTCTAAAAGCTTAGCCATTTTATGTAGAACAGTTCCGCCTGCATTTATGTTCTTGTTGATTGGATTTGTATAGCAATTATTAGCTACGACTCATGCTATACTTTTGCTGTGATATTGCAGAGGACTTGAGGTTGATAAGATGTCTCCTGGACTCAGGTCTAAGCCTAAAGACAAAAAGATGGTTGCAAAGGACAATTCGAAAGCTTCTTCAAAACCCGCAGGTCCAACCATCACAGCTAGTGGCGTCCCGGCTAGTGGTTACAATCCTCTCTCGGGAACATTTCATACATTTGAGACAGCACCGATGCCTTCAGTCAGCCAAGTTCATGGGAATGGTCGTTTTCAGAACATAGATGATGCAGATGATCCTAATGGGAATACACCTAGTGCTGGAGTTGAATGTGACTCTGTATCAAATAATGACAGCTGGTCTGGTGAATCGGAGGACCACAAGGAGAAGGCCCCTCAGCCCCAGCCGCGCCCAGAGTTGGTGGTGCCTGGAGCTGACAATGACAAACGGGAGAAAATAAGGTTGAAGAACGAGAGGAAGCACCAACGCCAGAAGGAGAGACGAGCTCAAGAATTGCATGAGCGGTGCAGTGGCTATCTGATGTCAAGGAAGCTGGAAGCATTAGCTCAGCAGCTTGTGGCAATGGGTTTCTCTCAGGAACGTGCAACGATGGCTCTAATTCTGAACGAAGGTAGAGTTGAGGAGTCAGTGGCGTGGCTTTTCGAAGTCAGTGAAGAAGACAAGCAGGCCGAACAGAATATTGACAGCAGTGGAAATTTGAAAATAGACATATCTGAAGAACTCGCCCGCATTACAGAGATGGAGTTTACGTACAAGGCTTCCAAACAAGAGGTGGAAAGGGCCATAGTTTCGTGCGAGGGTGATCTAGATAAGGCTGAAGAAATGGTAAAATCTCAGAAAGAGGAGCCTCCAAAGCCTGAAGAAACCGGAGATCCTCCTTCTGTTGTGAATCCCAAGCCACCGATGGTCATTCAGAACCAAGTAAGAGTACAACCCAAATCCAATCCATCTACTGTCATGCAACAGAAAACAGACGAAAAAGACTTCAACTACACCAGAGGTCCGGCGAATGTAGGCCCTACTATGAACCACAGGACAAAACCTGTCCAAGGGTTGAACAAGGTAGCACCGAAAATCGATTGGGTCAAACCGCAGCAGATTATGCTGGCTGAAAAAAGATGGGCTGCAGGTCCGAATCCGTCTCCACCCTTCCCATCAGGACCACCTGTGCAGCCGTCGTTTCCCCCAGCCAAGACCGAAGCCCACAATGTAGCTGTTGGAAACGAGTTAAAGAATCTGAAGCTTGGATCGATGAAAGAACCTGTGACAGTCATGCAAAGACCTCAGGCTGTCAGCGTAAAGCAGGCCTCTCCCGGAACAAACCTCAGCACTTCTCCTCCTCGAATGACTATGGGTTGGTATCCTAATTCAGTCGAAATAGTGAAGCCCCCGGCGACTGCATCACCTGCTGCTATATCAAGAAGCCTCAGTCCTAACAGCGTCTGCTCGAATCTGGTCTACAAGGAGAATTATTACCAGTTGCAGCAGCAATTCATGCCCAGCAATACGTCGGCGGCAGATGCCTTCTCAGCAACCGCCCGAGGAAACGGTATGCGGGGCCGAGTGGGTCCATCTCCAGCTCTAGCTCCACCGGCGTCGCTCGGGCTGTACTCCGGAATCGGTGCCAACAACCCATCTGGTTCATCTTCTCTAGCCGACTGGACAATGGATAAGACGACGCCACAATTCGACTACACAAGCATCGACTGGAGTGTCGGCACTCGGACATTGTTTCCGAGGGCCAAAGATATGAGCAATGGATTCCGGGGCGGTTCGAACTACTCGAGGCTAAATAGTGCGACCGGTCCCTTCGCATTTGGTTTGGGCATGAAGACGAACGTGAGGCCGGCGGCGGTCCTGTCCTCCAACGCCACCAGCGGCACCGCGGCAATTCCGATTCCAGGTCTGCAGGACAGCGGGAACGGTGGCAGCGGCGGTTCCGGCGACCCGACGACGACGGCGGCGGATGGTGGGTCCCGGGATTGGACGTCTCCGTTCGAGGAGAATGACCTCTTCACTATCCCGAGACTGTTCGTTTCGTCCCCTTCTTTATAAGGTGGTGAATTAGTGAGATACCATTTTAACAATAATGAAAAATCAAGATAGAAAGAAGATCAGACAGTCACAGAGAGGGAAAAAACAGACTGCAAAATGTACTGTGCTTGCTTGCTTGCATTTGGTGTTTGGTGGTTTCTTTGATGCTTGATGCTTGATGATGATGATGTTTGTTATATTCTTAAATCTTAAGTCCCAAAAAGCATCGAATCCCCCTAGGTTATCTTAGTTCAAATGCACTGGCCTTTCTTTGGAAGTCTTCACTCACCCAATCTTGAGGCCATCTTCCCTTTCATTCGAAAACGGGGAAATTTCGATTTCAGTTTGGGATTGATCCTGTGCAGTAGAGGCAAAGTCGAAGGATTTTTCATCTTCATTTATTCTTTCTCCCTCTTCTCTCTCAACCCTTTTCATTTCTTCCTTCCCGTTCTTCTCTCTCAAGCCCTTGGAGATCTATTTGGGATTGACATTGAGACATTGTCAACGCTGCTGATCAAAGGTGAAATTTGAATTGCAATTCGGAGTTTGAACTCATGACCTAACGGTCACAAGTTCACTTCCCACACCCCGCTAAGTCATCCCTTAACGGGACTTAATTGTGTTGGTGTTTAATCAAGTGGTTGAAGGCCACTGTGTATAATTTATAGAAGGGAAGAAAATGAGATGAAGACACAAATATAGGCCCATTGAGTCTTTTCTTTTCTGAAAAAATACATCATAGTGCGGAAGCAGCTTGGTCGCAGCAAAACAACTTTTAATATTTATAAAAACATTGTGTGTTCATTGTTTTTTGAAATTCTAAATTAAGTTGTGTAGATTGAGGCATAGACAAATTGAGACATTTTGTGGAACCATAATATCGTCTCAGTATTGTCTAACATACATCTATAATATAAATTTAAATTTGGATTAGCTTAATGCATCTACTGTCAAAATTTAGCCCAAAATTATATGCAAAGTTTTATATAGATTTTAAGCCCAGCCCAATTTGCTTTTTTTTTTTTTTTTTTTAAATATATATTAATAATCAATAAAATAAAAGAAAAAAGAGAATATGCTTCCACTGATATTATCGCTAGGGTTTTTGACAGTAGGCTCATATAAATAGTGCCTTGAATTGGGTCTTTATACTCTTTCCGCTGAAGTGCTCGGATTATATCTGTGAATTGTGTCGTCCCTCTCTCTTTCAAGAATGGCTGTTATTTTCTCAGATCTGCACTCCGAGTCCGGTCTTAAGGCTCTAGAAGAGTATCTTTCCTGCAAATCTTACATTTCCGGGTGAGATATGATTGCCTTTTGATTTTTGTATTGTTGATTGCTATTTATTTATCTTTCTGCAAATCTTACATTTCCGGGTGAGATATGATTGCTTTTTTATTTTTCTATTGCTGATTGCAATTTATTTATTTTTTGTTTTGTTTTGTTATTCCATTTGTGAAATTGTTTGCTTTTTATCTTGAATTGCAGAAGTCAGTTGACGAAAGATGATGTGAAAGTCTATGCGGCTGTTTTGAAGAAACCTGACGGTGATCTCTACCCCAATGCTAGCAAGTGGTATGAAGCTGTTTCGGGAAAGCTTGCTTCAAGGTAATCTGTGGCTTTTGCTGTTGAAATGTTTTTAATTTTCAAATTGAATAATTATTAGTTTCTGGGTTTATATTAGATAAACTTTTCTTTTTTTTTTCTTTTTTTTCATACCTTGTAAATTATTGTTTTATTTTAAAGTTTGAATTGGCTTGTTTAATTATGCCTGGCCATGATGGTTGATGACGTAGTTTCCCTGGAAAGGCTGTTGGAGTAAGCATCGGAGGCAGTCCAGCCGCCCCTGCCGAAGCTGCATCTGAGAAAGTTAAGGTAGTTACTCACATGTTAAATCTTGATTATGTATACTTTGTATGCATTGAAATACAGGGTTTATAGATGGGATGCGGGAACTTCTATAATATATTTTGTTATTATTAATAAATGAAATTTAGAAATTTCTACGGTTTATTAAGTTATTATTACATCGGTACTACTGCCACTTGATCATGATTTATGAGCATATGCCCCAAATTCTCTTTTCAATTGATATATAATTTTGTTCTCCTTGAAAGTTAATATTTTATTTCACATGTTTTGTGCCTATGCGATATTTATATATTCTGGTTCAAGCTACATAAATGTGTGATCATTCGGATATGAATTATCACACATGCTTTAACAAAAATTTCTGGTTGCAACACGACAGGAATGAGGGACCTGCTAGGTTGTTTAAGGTCGCCTTGTTTGAAATTCCCTTAATTGTTTGCACTATAAGTTGTTACTGGTTTTTTGGACACTCTTGTTTGGTGATTTATTTTAACCTTTGTATTTATGGCTTTGTGCTGTTGTTGACCAGCCATGTCTTTGTTCCCAGGAGCCCGCCGCCGAAGACGACGACGATGATCTTGATCTCTTTGGAGATGAGACTGAGGACGACAAGAAGGCTGCTGAAGAGAGGGCGGCTGCTGCAAAGGCCTCCACGAAGAAGAAAGAGAGTGAGTTTAATGCTTTATATTTAATAATTGTTTTCCAAGATATATATATTTTATCGTACTTGTTGGATTCCCCTCTAGGTGGGAAATCATCGGTTCTTTTAGACGTAAAGCCATGGGATGATGAGACAGACATGAAGAAGCTGGAAGAGTCTGTTCGAAGTATTCAGATGGAAGGCCTGCTGTGGGGAGCATGTATGGTTTCTAATTTATTTTTTGTTGCTTTGTAGCAGTAATTGACAATTTGAATTGGCTGTGATTATATGTTTTGTAACACGTTTATATGTTTTTTTTTTTAAATGTGCAGCGAAATTGGTCCCTGTTGGTTATGGTATTAAGAAGCTGCAGATCATGCTCACCATAGTCGATGACCTTGTCTCAGTGGATTCACTGATAGAGGAGCAACTCACGGTGGAGCCTTGCAACGAATATGTCCAGAGCTGCGACATCGTTGCCTTCAACAAAATCTAAGGTCCATGCCCCTTTGAGCCTTCTATTGGCCGTAATTTTGGATTTTATATTGGGTTCTTGCATGAAGTTTGTGTTTCTTGTGTCAAGACATTGGTGATTTTACTCTTGTTTGCCAATCTATTACGGTATCATTGCCTTTGATGGATGGAATGGGATTCTTATCATGATTTAAATGACTTGTAGTGATGACCAAAAGTGTTTTTATTTATCTTCGTTAAATATTGGGTTTGTTTGTTTAGTCTTTTAAAGCAAAGTAATTTTTTTAAGATATGGAGAATTTCGTAGATGATATAAAAGATAATATTTTGTATTGAATTTTTTATTTTTCGTAAAATGAAAGTATATATATTATTTAGAATATGCAGATATATGTATGTATGTATTGTATTTTTCATTAATATTTATCTGTGAATGGAAAATCTGATAGGTGAACAAAGCATCATTGTGATGTGTAGGTGTTTGAATGATTTATATAAAGCATACAATATGCGCTGATGAATCGTAATCAAATAAAAATTGAAGTTTCATAACAAAATAAATTTTAAAAAATATTTTCAGGCAAATTTCATGTATGTTTTTTAGATATTTAATAATCTGTTGTTTAAAAAGCATAGCAATGAAAAGGAAGAAAATGTCTCTATTAAGTAATGATATTTGTATAATATAGTGTAAATTGGAAAGGTATTTATTATGTTAGGTAAGTGGTTGTTTTGTGACGGAGGAAAATGAAAAATGACAACTTTTCAATGGACAGAGGGAGTATATGTTTTTAGATATTCAATAATATGCTATATAAAATATAATTGGTCTTAAATCAATACTCCATTTCAAATAACAAAGCCAATATTATGTTGTCAATATGTTACTTTTATCAATTGAAATATAATTTTAGAGATCACTAAATAAAAATTGAACTTTCATAAGAAAATACATTTGAAAAATTATTTCTTAGATTGTACTTTAGACAAACTTTATATATGTTTATAGATACTTACTACTGCATTATATAAAACATAAAAATATTAAATTAATCTGTAGTATTACTTTGAAATATATATACTTATTTAAGTTTTCCTATATAAATTGATATTAAATTATTACTAAATTTACAAATTACAAAAATTGCTGAAATTAATGATTACCAAAATTAAATAATTTACCAGCTTAATCCCAAAGGGTGTATAAATTGATTGAGGAAACACTTCACTTCAAAGATATCACTGTCAAAGACACAAAATGAATTTTGAATCATTCCATGCCATGAAAGAAAAGTATCACTTCCTCCACATGATTCGCATAGTGTGATTTTTTCGTCGGATCTAATTTATAGGGTATTAGATTCGGTTGAAGGTTTACTCAGTGCACATTTTCGAGTAACGACTACGGGTTCCCCGTCATAAAAAAAAAAAATCGATTATGTAAGTAAATAATATATTATATATTATGTTAATGTGTATATATATTGTATTTTAAAAATAATATTTATGGAGAATTATGCCCGTGAAAAATACAATGCGAGCAAATTGCATATATTTTTATGCATTTTATATTGATTTGATAAGCTATATGTGTCTTGCTATAATGATTCAACCGATTTTATTTTATTTTATTTTATTCATTGTGGACGTGAGATTAAAAAAATGGAGTTTTTCAATTTTTCTTTGATGACAACGGCTTTTTACCATTTTTTTTTTTTTTTTTTTTTTATATGCATCCAAATTTCCAAATGATAAAATTTCATCTTTTGAAGTGAAATTTTCTTCAAACATTTTTTGTCGCATATGACTATATATCCTGAGAGACTATATCACATTTCTGATTTCAGAAATTTGTGATATAAGTCATATTTTTGTTCTGAGTGGCTTCCCTCCGAGAACTAGGACAACTGATCTAGAGAAGCTGCCGAAAAATATCCAATGATAGATTTGTGATTAGCTAAGTGAATGACACAAGTCACTGATAATATTTAAAACACTTTTTCTTGCTCTTGAGGCTATCAACTCCAATAGTTGTTTGTTTACCGTTCTTGATGTAAAAAATACTAATTTTCTTACAAAATATGTAAGAAATAACAACAATAACTATTTCAATATTTTTCTTTTTCATAATTTTCAATAACTAATAATACATCTTGTAAAAGATTTACAAACTGAAAATACAATTAATTATTTAAAAAAAATATAAAATATTTTTAATTGTCATTGTAAGTATAAATAACTAATACTAAACAATTATTTACCAAACAATTTAGTACAAGTATTTGATATATTCAGCTAATCAAACCGACTAAGTAAATCAGCTAACAACTAAAACTAATTATCAAACACTATATTACCTAAATAAGGATGGGTTATGGTCTTGCACAAGTAAAATATAAAAATACACATGTCTTTATTTTAAACAATATGTGTATTTGTGGTAAAAATATATGTTATTTGTTTATAATTATAACATCAGTTGTATAATAATATATCATATGTTTAAATCAACTCTGCATTTGCTATACGAGATTATATTTAGTTTGCATTTCTATTATATTAATATAAATAATGTGATAATAATATTATGTGTTATTTGGTATCATATTTTACAGTATAGTAAAATGTTTAATTTATTAATACTGTAGTATCAACTTTTCTAAATAATTTGTCCAAAATAAATAAATCATCTATTATGAGAGGGATAGAGTATTATTTATTATTTATAATAATTATAAAGTTTGTTTATTTCTTTTTATTTTAAATTCAAATTTATACTATTTCTATAAAATATACTCTCCTATCCTACTTAATATACAAATAAATTAATATATATTTTTTATAAGTATTTTGTCCACTCAATTTTTTTTTTAATTTTTATTTTGACTGTCTATTCATTTTTTTTTAAATTTTATTTAAGAAAAATATATGTTCCACGTAAATACAAAAATGCAGATACTTTATCATCACATAATTATTTATATATAAAAAAGTAAAGACAGAATCATTTTTTAAAAAATTATAAGAGTAAAGATTTTAAAATAAGTTTACACATATTTTATCATCACATAATTATTTCTATATTAAAAAATAAAGACAGAATCACTTCTAAAAAATTAATAAGAGTAAAAATTTTAAAATTAGTTTACATTTTTATGTGACTAATAAATTACTACTCCGGCCGTCCTCATATTGTGTTAGAATTATTTTAAATATAAAAATTTAAAATAAGTATAATTAGTAAATAATTAAAAATATATTAGTAAAATTAATTATAGTATAATATAAATAATTATAAATTTAAATTAAAATAACTTATTATATAATATAAATTTAAAAATTATAAATTATAAAATTTAAAATATAAGTGAAAAGAAATTATTATTCTCTATTTTTGAAAAAACTTGTGTTTTTGTTTTGTAAAAAAATTAGATATATTTTTTAAAAATTAATATATTAAATATATTTATTATTTTATATGAGCTACATATTTTTTTATATCCAATATAAAAATATTCACAAAAATCTCTTCTTAAAAAAGTATTTATTTTTTATATAAAAAATGTAAAATAAAATATAGGTAAAGGGAGCTTTTAATTACTATTAAAATTATAAAAGTAATTTATTGCGCAGTCAATCATTCTGCATTGGTAAGAAACGTTGCAACCCTAGTCGTACCTTTCTCTCTCACTCTTCCCGACTGCTCTGCCTCTCCGTCCGCCGGCAAACTCCACTCCACACATCCGCCGCCGCCGCCCCGCCCTAGAATTTAGCCTCGCTCTTAATATAAGATATCCAGCGCCGCATTCTTCTGCTTTGGTAATTCCTTCTTCAGTGCGGTTCGTTCGAGAAATTCCTACCTCTTATTTCACTGTATTTATCCGCAGATTAAAATAATTATTCATAGAAATCATGGGGACGGGAAGAAGGAATGAGGGTAGTGGTGATCGAATAGATAGTCCGTGCGATGTAGCCGGCGCTCCGCCAAAATCGCCGTGGAAAACTTCCGCCGTCGCTACCCCGGCGGTGGAGGCTGATTCAGAGTCGTGGCCTGCACTCTCTGACGCACAACAAAAGCCTAAGAATAATGGACCTCTCGATCCTAACTCTGCGAATTCGCCTCCTTTGCTGGCGCAGGACGAGGATGATGCTTGTGGTGGTTCGCCGGCTGCTGCTTCACGGGTAGGGCTTGTTGCTTTTCTCGTTTTCTGTAAATTCTATTTTTGTGCGTTAGTTACCATATGTTGTTGGTTTTACTGGCGCTTGAGATTCACAGTTTGTATTCCTTTTTATGCTTGTTGTGTGTATTCAAGATGACTGAGTAATTCATCACTTTTTAGGTTTTTTAATTATTGAAATGAGAACTTTTGAAATCAAGGAACTGCTATCACATAAAAAGGTTCTTGTTTAACAGAAGAAGATAGGAAATGTTGTGGATATTATATGGATGAATGCTATTCGAACTTGGATTGTATTCAGACATTTATAGTGTGTGCATGAGTTAATATGGATCAGTGCATGCCAAAAAGGATAGTGAAGTGAGTAAGATCTGTTTTGAGTGAATCAAGCAAAATGATACCCACTGTCTTCACACGTTATGCTATTCATAGAGTTAGAAAATAATAATTAGTTTTTCCCGATTCTCAAAACTTACAAAACCATTGATATTAACACTGTAAAGAAAGATCTGTTATTCATTGTCAACTTTTCTATGATATATCAATACATATAAACAGAACAAGATGAGATGCCTGCTCTTGGACCTGAGTTCAAATTTTGTGAATAAAATTGAGGCTGCACATTTCTCTTAGAAAACAACTATTTTGTTCGGTAAAACCTTCTTGTATTCATATCCCATATTTTTTAGCGTGAGTACTGAATCCTGATGCACGGAATTATGGTTTTCAAACTCTCAACTCATTCGGTTACAAAATCACAGATATTTTGCTTTGCTTAGATGCTACTGTGACATTTTTCTCCTTTTTGGTTTTCAAACTGCTATCTTGGATTGAATTCCCATGCTATGGGAAAACGGCTTGACGAGCTTTTATAAGTCGGAGGCGGCAAATGCTGTTGGCAGAAACTTTATTGTCTGTTTTCTATAGAAACTTTTGGTTCTGTTATCCACTACAGAAATAAATACGCATATATATATATTCAAATTAATGTACTGGGTATGGAATGTATTAAAATATTAATTATAATTCGACAAGATTCAGATTCACCTGCCATTTTCTTTCCCTATGTTTTCAGGCTACAGTTGAGCAGCAAAAGTTCCAGCCGCGTGGTAACATCAAATCTCCTCGTAGGCCGAACAATACACATCAAAATAAAGTTTTACCCAAGCATGGTCCAAATGTTATGCCTCCATTTCCTGTGCCTTTACCCTATTATCCCCAAATGATCGCTCCAGTTTCTCATGCTGTGGTTCCCATTCCACTGCGAATAGCTGTCCCTGGATATGCTTATCAGCTTCCCCCTGGAGCGCAACTGGTGAGGCCTGGTATTGATCCAGCTCAATCTTTTGTTCCTCCAGTAAGCGGAGATTATCAGCCTTCACCAGGCTCTGATTCAAGTGCACATGATCCAAGTTCTACTGGAAGAAGGTCAAATACAAAAGAACAAGGTGGCCAGACGAACCCTGCCTGGAACACACAGCGACCAGTTGGTTCTAATAACTTCCCCATGGAACAAACTATGAGGCAAAGACCACTTATGAGGCCGCCAATTTTTGGACCAGCTGGCTTTATTGAGGGGCCAAGCTTCTCAGGTTTCTAAGAATGCCATATGTAAAATTGATTTAATTTCTGAAAACTAGATTTTCTTATCTGTGCTTGACATGCCACCCTTTCATTTTACATCTATTGTGCTCTATTCTAATGCATTAACAATTTCATCAATACAGGTCCACCAGGAGCAATCTATTACCATCCTGCTGCACCTCCAGGCTCTGTAAGAGTGCCTTACCTACCATACTTAGTTCCATATCCTTTAAGTCCTGGATTTCCCATGCCACCTTCACCTAATGCAGCCTTGAGAGCTAATGTTTTGAAGCAAATTGAATATTATTTCAGGTGAGTTATCGGAGTGCTTAAGTTATTATATTTATTTTTTATTTTTTCTGTTAAATCAGCTTTCACATAATGCTGCCCCAGGAAAAAAAGTGTGGTTTGAACTTTGAACTACTTCAATAATTATATTAAATATGCATTTTTGGTGTTGTTACTATCTTGGTTATGCTTCCGTCAATTTTGCTGGTAATATGCTGTTTACCAGCAGGCAGTTTTGTGTTTCATTTTACAATGATATGATTGTTTCTGTGATGGGTGCTCGTAATTTCCGTTGGAGCTTGTTGATGTCTTGAACTCTTTAATGTGGAAAACAACTTTGTATTCAAGCTATAATTGAAACACGTCTACTTTTGCAGCGATGAGAATCTGCAGAATGATTATTATCTGATTTCATTGATGGATGACCAAGGATGGGTTCCAATATCAACTATTGCCGAGTTTAAAAGGGTAATAGTTAAAAATTCCCCTCTTCAACTATATCTTCTTCTTCTTAGTCTGTTAACATTTTTATTAAATCATGAGTGTCAGGTTAAAAGAATGAATGTGGAGGTCTCATTTATCCTTGATACCCTGCAATCTTCAAACTCTGTTGAAGTGAAGGTTTGATAATTTGCTCTTTGTGCATCCTTTAATCAGTTATATCATTACACACAAAGTTTCTTGTGCATTTCATTTCTCCTTGTGTTCCTGGCATAAACCTAAAATCTTCACTTTTTATGCTTTTTCAATCCCTCTAGGGTGAGAAGGTGAGAAGACGCAATGAATGGGAGAAGTGGATTCCAACCACCCTGAAAAAAAATGAAGTTACAGATGCTGTGGAAAGGGATGACCATAATGAAAATAAAAGGGATAATTATGATGGCTTGCCATTGAATGAGGATGCTACAAAACAATCAATTGATAATGATATTGTGCTAAGTAAGAATAAGGCTCTTTCAAGTGGCGAAGCACAAAAATTTGCTCCAAGAGATAGTACTTCAAGCATCAAGTTGGATTCTAACAATGATAGGCCAAAATTTGCATCCATCTCACAAGAAGATGATTCTGCCAAGTCTGTTGCCCCAGTCAGCTGTGAAAATTGGCAATCACCCGCACCTTCAAATCTCAAGAGCAAAAATTTGGAGGACTCTTCCAATGATTATTCAAGCACATTTATGCTTGATGAGGAGCTGGAACTGGAGTATAAAGAGGTTATGACTGATACAGCTGGAAGGTATTTTAGATTTCCTGTTGACATGGTTTACAAGGTTCTGTTTGGAATGTTCATTCATGCATTTTTTGTTGGTGCATACATTTTTATAATATCTTAACAAGGCTGAAGCCCTAAAGAGTTAAGTTTGGGATTCATGCATTTGTCATGCTGATCCGGAAATTTGTGTCCAGAGATATGTTTTGCAGAATGTGCAACATTTTTAAAACCGAACTGTTGGAATCCAACTTGCTTTGGTAATTAAGTATTTAGGTTTGCGAAACCCAACACAGTGATATCTCACGATCAACATACTTAATGTAATTTTGCTTTATTGATGATTGGTTCTTTGATGTGAAGCATAGAAATTTAGCTTAAATCACATCAACTGAGACTAATGGCAAAAGGAAAACAAAACCCAATGAAAGGTCATGAGCCTGACAGTTTATGTGTATATATTTAGACTAGAGCTTGCCAGTTTTAGAATTTAGAAACAGAAATAGAATAAGGAAATCTGTATCATAATGATTTTCAAGATGAATTTAGAAATATAAGTAGAATAGTGTGGTTATTTGCTACCTTTAATATATAGGGAGGTTGAGAGTATTAACACACCCTACCTCCAGAGCCTCATGAGAAAAACGATTTACTGCAAGCATAAACTGTTTTGAAACAACTCCATTGTTATCATATCCAGGTAAAGGCCACCATCTATCTAGTTCAACCTGCCATCTAATCCTTAAAACATCTTGGTCATTGCAGGGTGGATGATGAAGATTACGAAATCACTGGTCATGATCATGCTGTTGATAGGCTTGTAATTGTCACTCAGGTCAGTCTATAAACTGTTGGGTGGTTTATTTGAGATTTGCTGCCAGACAACATCTAAATTGATACCAGACAATGTTCTGATGCTTATGGATGCTCGGTATATTATGTACATAAATGTGATTGCATTCTTTCAACAGTTTGATCGCCAAAGTTATGACCAATGAGATTTTATGCTGCAGAGTTCCCGAATAAGTGAATCAGTTGATGAAGAATCACAAGCCATATCTTCTGAGCTTGCTTCTGCTATAAGTGATGGGCTCTACTTTTATGAGCAGGTTGGCAGATTGTTCTCAGGATCTCTGTCGAATGACAAACAAAGGAAAACTAATACATATGTTTTCATTTATAGGAACTAAAATCCAAGCGGTCTCATCGCAGGAGACATAATAAGCCTATTAGTGAAAACAGGGATGATAACTCTAGAAATTCTGCCAACAGTCCTACTGTACTGGACATGAAGCTTCTTGATCATTCTGCTGGAAAGAGTAGCTCTGAAGGTCCAGAAAATTCTAATTCTCAAAGGAAGCACAACAAAGGCAGCTCAAAGCAGCAGATGCATTCCTTCCAGAAACAGCGACTTTTCTACGGGAATCATAAAGCTCATGGAAGTACTCGCAACTCTCACAGGGTTGTCACTGAAAGTCCACCAAGCAATGCAGTTGGTTTTTTCTTTGGTTCCACACCTCCTGATAGTCACGGGTGAGCATCTACATTTTCTGCTCCATTCTTCTCCAACAATGCTTTATGAAATACGTTCACTTTTTCTCCCAAAAAAGCTTCCCAATTTCGTTGAAATTAATGAGAGTTGTTCGCTTCAGTTTCATAGATTAAACTTGTATATCCTGCTCTTGCTTACTCCCAACTGTCAACCTGCAGGTTCAGGCCCTCGAAGTTGAGTGTGTCACCTCAGAGCCATCTTTCAGGAAGTAGCCCACCAGTTGGGTCGATACCAAAATCATTTCCGCCATTTCAGCATCCAAGTCATAAACTTCTAGAGGAAAATGGTTTCAAACAGCAACTGTAAGTGTTAAGTATACAAGACTCAATTTTAGGCTACAAATGCCGGTGTGCTTGTTTGGTTACTCATGGGAAGCATATTTGTTGGGTAAATTGTTTCGACCTTGGTTACGATGATATAATTTATGTATCTATGTGTAGAAAGACACCATATAAGGCTGCTAGTGCAGGCGTGCATGTGTAGATATCGATGGACATTTTCATCTGTCACTGCAATTGGATTGAGCTGCAGACCGAGCATGCTCAAATAATTGACTAGTTTTTATCTAGGTTAATAACTTTTCTTCTATTCAGGTACAAAAAGTACCATAAACGGTGCCTCAGTGAACGAAAGAAAATGGGCATTGGTTGCAGCGAGGTAATTTTTGGTATTATTATATTGCTGAATTTTGTTATTATGATAAAACATTCCATCTCAATAAATTACACACCAAATAGTTAAACTATTACCCGTACGACTCTCGCTTGCAGGAGATGAATACACTTTACAGGTTTTGGTGTTATTTTTTAAGGAACATGTTTGTCCCTTCGATGTACAATGAATTCAAGAAGTTGGCTCAAGAAGACTTTGCAGCTGGTTACAATTACGGAATGGAGTGCCTATTCAGGTTTTATAGGTACGACAGGCTTACTCATCTTATTAGATTCATGAAGCATCTCATTCTTCTTATGATTCATCCTCTCGCAATTAAATTTTCTTGCTTTCTTGCTTCAGTTACGGCTTGGAGAAGGAATTTAAAGAGGATCTCTACAACGACTTCGAACAGCTGACGCTTGATATCTACAAAAGAGGCAACCTTTATGGCCTAGAGAAGTATTGGTAATCAAACATCCACCCCCTCCCTCTTATAAATTTCACAATCGAGGCTGGAAAAATTGGTTAATTATCATTAAACTCCTGTTCATGTATTATACATTATCTGAAGATTTTTTTCTACTGTTGTGATTGGCAGGGCGTTTCATCATTACCGTGAAACCCGAGACCAGAAAGAGCCGCTGAAGAAGCATCCGGAGCTGGACAGACTGCTGAAAGAAGAATATCGGAGTTTGGATGACTTCAACCGCGCCAAAGCCAAGAATGCTGCTGCGGGTCGACAAGCAGAGGCTCCTTAATTAAGGTGTGTTTGTTGTGCCTATGCAAAAGCATGAACTGACAGAGAGAGTATGAAATCAAGTTTTGGGGAGAGAAATTCTAACAGGATGGCAATATATATATATATATATATAGAGAGAGAGAGAGAGAGAGAGAGAGAGAGAGAGAGAGAGAGAGAATCTGGAATTGTGGTGGTCCATTTGTTTTGTTTTTTTATCCAGCGCAGATGGATTGGGTATTTTAAGGATGTTGTATTTTTGTACATTAACTATAACAGCAGGGTGCCTGTGCCTTGGTTGCTTTATAGCCCCCAGCCTGAAGATGATATATATATATATATATATGATCCAGATCAACACCACAACATACCATACCATATATACCAGACCCTGTGTTCTTTTGGATATTTTGTTCTGTTTTTTCAACAAAGTTTGTACTTCGTATTCTGTGGGGTGAGTAGTATTTAATAGGATAAACTTTCAACAAAATTACTTCCGATAGTACTTAATAAATGTTTATGGGTAAAAAATATATAGTACATAATAGTTCAACAAATTTTTAAGTTCAATATATAAAGATTTTTTATAGAAAAAAAATTGAATTACATGGAGTAGTATTTTCTCTATTAGGTAAAAATAGTCAGTCCGGCGCATATATTTTAAAAAATACTTTAATGAAAAGTAATAAAAGTAAAAAAAAAAAAAAAAAAAAAAAAAAAAAAACAGTTGAGTTTTATTTTGAAAATTCAATTAAGAATTAACCGATGATGATGAATAGAGAGTTTAATAAAAATAGTAACGGATATGATAATCAAATGTAAAAAAATAATTTTGTCAAAATTAATAATAACCTAAATTTAATAGACGCAAAAAAAAAAAAAAAAAAAAAAACACAGAAAAATGAGTACATTTAGTGAGGAAGTAATTAATTAGATTTTTTTTTTCCCCTTTGATTTAAATTTTAAAATAAAATTTAAATAGTAGATACGACACATCGGTTAAAAACAGATACATACATATCTAACAATGAAATCTAGAGATTTGAATCCACTAAGATTTGGCTTTGACGCCATATGCCATGAAGCCACAAATCTATCAATGCTGGTGCCCTATAAATACCGCCTTACAGATTTCACAAACCCTAAAACCCTAATTTCGCTATCTATCATCACCTTCATTCAATTCAATTCATTTTCATATGAATTCTTTCTTCCTCGAGAGTGAATTGTTACTAATCAGCTGTTAAATTTCATTGGAATGGAGAAAACAGCAGCAGAGGATACTGCGAATCGTCGTGTCACCGGCGAGCATCGCACAGAGGCTGCGATCGCCACGGCGGCGGCGGCGATGGAGGAGGAGGAGCGTGGCGGAGGAGGTGAGGTAAGAATTAGAAACAATAATGTTGGTGGATCCGTACAGTGCAAGGAGTGTCCGCGGAGATTTTCATCGGAGAAAGCGATGCACGGGCATATGAGGATGCATAGAGAGAGACCACAGCGACGTCGTCCTCCGACGACGAAGAAGGAGAAGAACAACCCTAGCGAGGTTCAACTACCTCAACCTGCGATTGCGAGCAGGAGAATGTTGACCGGTAGTAGTTCAGATCATGGAGAGCAACGACTCTCGCCGGATGTGGAGAAGACAGCCACCAATTTGATGCTCTTGTCCAGAGGCGCCGTTTCAAGTGAAGAAAGACTGCAGCTCAAAATCATGACTCTCAAATTTAGATGGATCTTTAATAATAATAAGGATGAAAATAATAATAATAATGATGATGATGACGACGACAATGGTGATGATGATGATCCGCAGGAATCACCCGTCAAGAAACCCAATGCAAATTAACAGATTAGAGACATGAAGCAGAATTAGGGTTTTCAAGTTATTATTATTTATTTATTTATTTTCATTGTTATTTTATTTTTCAAGGAGATATTAATCTCTACTTGATTAAGAAACAACACTTGCAATTGTATACTCCCTCCTACGTGGTAATTTAAAGTACGTTTTTGTATATCTTATTTAAAAGTATTTATTTTATATTAAAAAAATAATTGAACATTAATACTAATATATCTTTAATTTAAATTTAAATTATAAATATATGATTAGCATGTTTTGAGACAAAAAAAAAAATAAATAAATAAAAATTGAGAACCTATCAATAATAAGACATTGAGTAAATTTTTATTTTTGTTTGAAATCACTATTATATTTACTTTGATGTAATATTTGTATGTAAAATATAAAATTGATGACGATAATATAAAAAAGTATTTTATATTAATAATAACTTTTTTAATATATATAAAATATATATTATATATATTGTCAATGTATGTATATATATTTATTTTTTTGGTAATATTCATTTGATAATAGTGTGAGAAACAAATTAATTTTGGGCAACACGGACATACTCATAATTTTGACTATTTAGTTTTTTTTTTTTGATTTTTTTTTCTCATAAAATATTCCATCAAATATTTTTTTATATCAAATCCAAATCAAATTTTTTTCAAACTTATCAAAAAACACACCCTTAATTTATTTCAATTCTATTTCCAATTTTTAACAATTTCAATAAAAAAAAAAAAAACGGACCACTGTTTTCTTTTCCCACTTATTATTATTATTACTATTATCATTATTATTTATTTTAGTTTAGCAGCCAATTTTTATTTCAGTTTTTGTTCAAAGAGATAGGCTTCCCTTATATAGATGTTTTGCTGTTTAAGAATTTTGATTTTCTTATATGTAATAAAAAACTAAAGTATTTGTAAATAAAAATACTTATTTAATATAATATATATTTTTAAAAATTTACTACTCTCTTCATCCGTTACTATTTTCTATTTTCGTTCGTCCCAAAACAAGATTACTATTTTCTAATTTAGTAATTGATAACATTATAAATACCCTTTTAACTTACAATATATTACAGAAATGCCGTTACTTTTATATTACACCATACTAATAGGGGTATTTTTGTCTTTTTGTTACATTCCAATATAATATTAATATTAAAAAATCTATGTGAAAAAAACAAATATCACCCCTCCAACGGGACGGAGGGAGTATAAAAAAATTTAAAAATATATATTTATACAAACATAGTCTAAATTTTTGTAAGCCACATTTAAAATTTTCTATATTTATACTCTCTCCGTCCACACACAAAGTAAATATTTATTTATTTTTTTATGTAAAAATAATGATATGACATAAAGTAAGATTATTTGTGAAAAAGAGTGAGTTACTTAATGAAATATTTACTTTGTAATTGAACGTTTGAAATATATATACATTGTAGTCGGAGGGGGAGAATATTATTTAAAAGCTCAACTCAAATTTTAAAAAAATAATAATAATAACAAATTTTAAATTGTCACTTTATATCAAGATTTAAAAAAAAAATAAAAAAGCAAAAAAGTAATAAATAAAATAGGTAGAGAATCTGATCCCTTCATATAATTAAATAAAAATATTAATAATATATATATATATCTTGATATATTTGTTGTGTCTATATATATATAATGGGCCGATGCTTTAGCTTGGTATTCGCCGTTGACGCACTCGCAGTTCCGTGTTGTTTCTTTTTCTAACATTTCTCGTAGAGTTTGTGATTTTTTCTTAGCATATTGCCTGCGAGAAAGACCTATCAACGAGAAAAAAATGGCGGATCAGCTAACCGATGAACAGATCTCCGAATTCAAGGAGGCCTTCTCTCTGTTCGACAAGGATGGCGACGGTCAGTGCTCCAGCTACATGCGCCTATTTCTTATATTCTTCAAATCGTAGATTTACTGTGACGCTCGTCGATCTGAGTTTGATGCGGCGGTTATTTGTGGTGCCTTTTGTTGTTTCGATCTGTTTTTTTTAGTAGATCTGTTTGCTTGTTTGTGGCTGGTGGATTTATTTGTGACATGTTCGTTGTTTTGATGCTTATGCGAGTGTTGATGCGATCTGTGATGATTTTGCGCGAGAGTTGTTAGATCGCGGGAATATGTTGATTCTCGGGTGATGGTGTTTCACTGCGTGTTGATGCCTCTTGTGGTGACTTATGTTGAACACGTTTGATTGATTCTTTTGATACGAGGTGAATGCTTTCCTGTATGAGCTGAGTGGACCTGATTGGTGAGAATAATCTGATTTTATTGTTATCTCTTTTTGTGTGTGTGTGTGGTTTGTGTTACATGAATTGATTCTCTCCTCATCTGGCTGTGCTTCAGATGCGTTTGCCTGTTGCTCCTGCAATGATGTGAAAATCTCGTGTTATGTATTTGTTTCTGAATTTTTCATTACTTGAAAATGTGGTTTGGTAATGTGTCCGTTTCGTGGCATTCTTTAAAAAGTGTACCCTCAATTTTGTGAGTAGTGATTTTAACACTAGCATTCCATTTATGTTGTTGTATATACTTTTTTGGATAACTGTGGATGTGTGTGTGCCGTGTTCTTTAAGCCAGTGGTGTCTGGCATTGCTGAAATGTTTTTCTAGTGTTTTGTTAGGGGATCTATCAAGGGCACTTATTATACAGTTTCAATCTTAAAAAAAATTCTCCGTCCAACATTGATGGACAATATGGGTGTGGTTTCTGAATTTAGAGCTTGTGAAATATTTATCATTAAGCTCTTAATTGAGTTATACTATTTCTCTCATCCATGGCTTGCTTATATGTAAATGACAAAAGAAAGTCCTTGTATGGCAGGTTTGATTCTGTTGTGTCCTTCAGAAAATTTAAACACATTTCTTTTGTGATCGTTACCCTGCAATAAATCCTCAACTTATTACATCCATTTCTCCTGTTTTATAGTTTATTGTGACTTCTCTAACAGGTTGCATCACTACCAAGGAGCTTGGGACTGTGATGCGCTCCTTGGGACAAAACCCCACGGAGGCAGAACTTCAGGACATGATCAACGAGGTTGATGCAGATGGCAACGGAACAATTGACTTCCCTGAGTTCCTGAACCTGATGGCGCGTAAGATGAAGGACACTGACTCTGAGGAGGAGCTCAAGGAAGCTTTCAGAGTTTTTGACAAAGATCAGAATGGGTTTATCTCTGCAGCTGAACTTCGCCATGTCATGACAAATCTTGGGGAGAAGCTAACTGATGAGGAGGTCGACGAGATGATTCGTGAGGCGGATGTTGACGGCGATGGGCAGATCAACTACGAGGAGTTTGTCAAAGTCATGATGGCCAAGTGAGATCAAACCAACCCAAAACTAAAAATTTTAAAAAATAGTAAGATTGAGTCTGTTCCTGCTTAGGATGTGCTGCATTGTTTCTTAAACTTCCTTCATTAGTGCATGCTTGCATTCTGTGTTCTCTCATGTTTTATTGTTATATTTTGGGCTGTGTTTATGTCTAATTTTCATCTACATCTTCCTATTATGAACCTCTGAGCATTTGGACGGCGTCGCACTTAACCTCCTCTTTATTTATTAAAACGATGACCACTTTTGTGCTATTCAAATTTGTGACTGTTGTTGATTATGTTATGTTATAATTTGATGATCTGTGTTCTGTCTCTTTTCTTGGCATTTTGCTCCTGTCTTTACATGTGAGAATTACATATTTACATAACCCTTTATAGTGAAGAAATCCACTTATCTGCTGTTTTTATTTTTCATGTCCATCAGATATAGTAGGCATGTGTGACTGGGGGGGCTGGGTTGGTAGGGGACTGAGGATCCCAGCTCCAACTTGGACATCTGTATATATATATCTTCATCCTTATCCTTACCCTTAGAAATATGTTGAAGAAGCACTTTGTAGGGACATGAGATGAGATGAGATGCAGAGAATTATGATAGAATTGGTGCATAACAATGTTGTTATTATGAATAATAGTGATGATTCAGTCCGAGGTGGTAATGGAGTGTGATGTTCCATTACTGTACTGAATGCAGAATGCGAGAGTGCGGATTCGACTTCCACCTTGTGTCCAAGAAAAGCCCCAAAACCAGGAGAAGACGGATCTGGATTGTTAAGAAGATTCGTCGTTGTCGGATCCTATAAACAGACAAACATACACAGACGCACACAATCTCTTTTGTTTTTGTTCTTGCTCTTCTTCTTCTTCTTCTTCTTCTTTACATATGATAATGATCAAAATAATTTTAATTGCGTGCTTTTTTTGTACTTTACTGATCAGATCCACATACAACTAATTATTCATACTACAGATGATAATTGAAAGATCCAAAGATTGGATAATTATTTCATGCAGTAAGGGCCATTTCAGTACCACACAGAAACAAACACCAAACCCATTTATATATCAAAAGCTTTATTCCTGAATTCATCCATATATATATATGATTATGATTATGATTATGATTATGGAGTAGGTGGTCGACAGAAGGGCCTCAAATCGAGGGGAGACTGGGTGAAGCAGGAAGTGACGCAGCCGAAGGTCCCGGAGCCGCACCGCCGCAGGCACTGTATGGCGGCCAACCCCCGGCCGCACTCCCCCACGCACGACACCGCCTTCTGCCCGCACCCCACCATACAGTCTCCCTCCGGCGTCCCTTGCCCCTCTGCGCCGCCCAATACCATCGCCACCACCACTATCGCTGTCACCAGAACTACGCGCGCCGCCGCTGCCATTTCTCTCTCTCTCTCTCTCTCTCTCTCTCTCTCTCTATATATATATATATATATGTGTGTGTGTGTGTGTGTTGTGGTGATGGGATTTGATCAGATGAGATGAGATGAGATGAATTATTTATAGAGCAGTATTGTGTACGGTGCATGGCATTGGAATATTAAATTAATTGATTATGTTGGCGCGGAACTGGAACTGGAACTGGAAGGAGGTTTGGTTTGTTAAAAAGTAGAGTCGCGCAGTAGCAGAATCTGTTTTGGCTTTTGATTTATTTGCCGCCTTCTTTTTGTGTTCTGCCCTTTACTTATGATAAACCTCGAAATAAAGATGTAATGTAAGCACCATTTTTCCTTCGAATAAGACCTTCTCTTACAATTATTTTTTCTATTCTCTTTATGATTATCTTCTTTTTAATTTTTATTACAATAGTATCTGTTGCAATCACTTTCCTTATTATCTGTCTTTTCACTTTTTACTTTAAAAATCAAATACCTTTCTCATTGTTTTTTAGAAAAATATAATACAATTATTTTCAACAAAAATAAAAATAAAATTTCGATATCACCACATTTTTCTTGATAAAATATTATATAAACATATTAAAATTTTTCCTATTTTCAAAATTCTTCGAAACTATTTCCACAAACTTTTGTTTAAACAAAGAAAAAAAAACTTCAATTATTAGAATTATAAGTGAAACAGATTGATTCTAAATAATTAATGGTGTCACATAGCACATTAATCTCAATAGTCAATTAATATGGGATGACATATAATATATGATACAAACATATGCATATGCTAACAATTTATATAACTGTATTAATTCAAGTCATTACTAATTACCTATATTTTATGTGTTAGATTGGGAATTATTATCATATTTTCACTGTTGAATTTAATTATTGAAAAATATATAAATTATTTATATAATTGTATACCTAAAAAACATTTACTAAATTTGTAAGGAGAGAGAGAGTAGATATACAAAGAGGATTGTCTCTATCTGTAACTAATTCTACATCCATACGAAAAATGTGACTAGCTTTGTCGTTTACTAACTCTTATTGGGCTTGGCCAATATGAGTGACTATTCTGGGCTTCTCTTTTTAATGGGCCTATTTTGAAATTATTTTTTGTCCTAAATTTAAATCCAAATAGGCCCATTTGCATAGATTCTATGAGTGCTATTCATGATTTGTATATTTTAATACTTTAATATTTATTTCTAAATGATAAGTATTTTAAGCTTTTAACCAATATAAAATAATAATACCGAGATGCATATCCTATTGGCCCAAATCACGTGGTCCATATGTTTTACTTTACTGCATTAAATTATTCACTTTTGGACCAATCAATTGCATGGCTTACTCTAGATTGAGATGATTTATTTTCTGAACGATCAAATTAAATAAAATACTCCCTCTCCCTTTTATTATGAACACTGTATGTATTTTGTAATATTAATTTATATTATTTTCTGTATAAATAATATCGTTGGTATTTTAACTTAGTATTAGTATTATATTAACTAAAATTAATTTATAAAAAATTGAGAAGTTTTAAATAAAAAAAAAAAAAGAGGTCATGTGGGGAACGGTGTAAGGTGAACCGTGGCAAGCTAACGCCATGTTTGTCTCAGCAATTTGAAACAGTGTAATGGATGGATAATTTAGACTTTAAAGCTGAATACAAAACAAACACGGCCTTCCAGTCAGTTGGTACACATGGAAACGGCGTGACGGACAGTCACCCGCGTGCGGTTTTGTTCTGTGGAAGCTTCCAGAAATTGAATTTTCTGAGACGGTTATCACCATTCACAGATGAAATGACTGCTTTGCAAAAAACAACTGATGAGGGTGAATTCCTGACGCTCTCTGCGTCTTCGTTGCAGTTTTCCTCTCCTGATGGCCGATTAGATGGATTTGGATTGACTGACGTCCACTTCTTTCGCCTGCTATGAGGGTCAGCCTTTGCCGAATCATCATTGAAGGTCTTTGGAAGGTTTATTTGACCCATTCTCCCTCGAAAAGCCACTTTAATGATACTCACTCACTTCTAAGCTTCAATCATGGCATAATTTTATTATTTTTAATGTATATCCACTTTTTGTGCTCTCTTATCCGCTGGCGAATTTATGATTCAGCTGTTGATTCATTATTTGTGTGAGCACAGTTGCTTTCTAGCGTGGCTATATATATGTATATTATATCTGTGTGTGTAGACATTTGAAAGTGATCTGCGTGCGGAAACTAGAGAGTGTTTCTATTCTGAGGATTTCTTCACCAGAATTGAAGGTATGATGTTACTTTTGGTTATACTGATGAAGAAAAGGTGTGCTGTTCCTTAATTATATTGCAGCCTGATGTCCTTTATCTGAGTAACGAATTAAATATCCTAATGTGGAGTATTGAATATTTAAAATTTCTTTCAATGGATAGGCAGCTGTCATCAACGATTCATATGCATACACACGCCCATTTGTTGGTGGTGTGACTTTTCCCCATCTTCCAATCCATTCCCATTTTCGACAAAGGGCTCTGTCACCACTCACCTGTGTTATCTTTAAATTCATTGCTTGCTGCAGCTGATCATTTGTTGATTCGGTCACTTTATCCATGAATCACATTGTACAAACTACCATGATTTAGAAAAAGATAAGAAAGGAGAAGAAAGTCGAGAATCTTGTTTAGTTTGAACTTTTAGCATATTAATGCTTATTATTTTATGTTATGCTCTGTTGAGCTGAGGCGCAGTCGCATTGATGATCTTAATTTCAAGGTTTCCGATTTCAGAAAATTGTATTTGCAGATTGCAGAATAAGGGTGCCTGATCTAGAGGTGACATGTTGCGTAATAGTCAGTCCAAAATTAAGCGAAAAATCGACAAGTATGAGATCGGCAGGACGATTGGTGAGGGCACATTTGCTAAAGTGAAATTCGCTAGAAACTCTGAGACAGGGGAACCTGTGGCCATCAAGATTATTGACAAGGATAAGGTTCTTAAGCACAAAATATCTGAGCAGGTTATTCTTCACCTTCTATGAAATACAAGTCTAAAGTTTTCAGTGAAAGTTGTTTACACTTTATAGTTTGTAGCTTGTTAACTCCCTTCCTGGTTATGGATTCGTGCAGATTAAGCGGGAGATATCGACAATGAAATTGATAAAACACCCCAATGTTGTTCAATTGTACGAGGTATTTGTTTTATCTGTCTCTCTTACAAGCCTACACAAGTTTGGACATGTCTCCATCAATTTATCTTCTTGCCGTCTTTTAGGTGATGGCAAGCAAAACCAAGATATTCATCGTTTTGGAATTCGTCACAGGAGGAGAGCTATTTGACAAAATTGTAAGACAAGAATGTGCTCCCATCACAAATTTTACATTTCCTCTATCATGATTCATGATTCATTCCTTTCTGAACTAACATTCAGCCTGAATCTACTGAAATGATATCTTAATTGTTAGTTAAAGGTTATTGTTCTTATGGAAATAAAAATCTGTGCTTGCGAAGGTAAACCATGGAAGGATGCGAGAAGATGAAGCAAGAAAATATTTTCAGCAACTTATCAATGCTGTTGACTATTGCCATAGCAGGGGTGTCTTCCACAGAGATCTAAAGGTAACCGGTGCGACTTGTCGACTATTCTATCCATACAGAATTTCACAGCATCTTATACTTATTCGCCGCTGTAGCCAGAAAATTTGCTCCTGGATGCTGCTGGAAACCTCAGAGTTTCCGACTTCGGATTAAGTGCTCTGTCGCAGCAAGCAGAGGTAAATAAGCACCATAATCTCCAGTACAAATGAATGAAATGAAAACATAACTCTTCTGAAATTGATTTGGCAGAACGATGGATTGCTGCATACTGCCTGTGGAACTCCAAATTATGTTGCTCCTGAGGTAGTTAGTACAATCCACGTATATTTATTTACTACCGTATCTAATTTCTTGCATGATCGAGTTGATGTAATGAACATTTGCATAGGTTCTCAATGATCGAGGCTACGATGGAGCAACTGCTGACTTGTGGTCATGTGGAGTCATACTTTTCGTATTGCTTGCTGGTTACTTGCCTTTCGACGACAATAATGTTATGAACCTATATAAGAAGGTTGGCGTTTCTTGCAGTTCATTTATTTGTATGGTTGATCCATTTATACTTTGGATCACTCAGTGAATCAATCTGGTCTGAAATGAACAGATATCCATGGCCCAGTTCACTTGCCCTCCATGGCTTTCCTTCGGTGCAATGAAGTTCATCACTCGGATCTTGGAGCCAAATCCTCTCAAAGTAAGGAAACTGTGTTGAACACAATGAACTTGTGAGTTATTTAGTGGATTAGTTTCAACAGAATGTTCATTACGGTTGTGTTTTTATGTTCCTGTCTTCAGCGTATTACGATCCCTGAAATTTTGGAGGACAAGTGGTTTAAGAAAGATTACAAAGCTGCAGTTTTTTATGAGAAAGAAGATGCAAATTTGGATGATGTCGAGGCAGTGTTTAAGGATTCTGAGGTGAGTTTATTGTTCCAATCAGTGTTTTACTAATGTCGAATTTTGATTAAAGATGTGAGAGAAGCTCAGGCAAGTTTTGGACAGGAATTTCATGTAACAGAGAAGAAGGAAGAGCAGCCAACTGCAATGAATGCTTTTGAGTTAATTTCAATGTCGAAAGGCCTCAATCTGGAGAACCTAATTGGCGTGAAAGAGGGATACAAGAAGGAAACAAGATTCTCGTGTAAGTGCACAGCAAATGAGATAGTGAAGAAAATTGAACAAGCTGCAAAGCCTCTCGGTTTCGATGTGCACAAGAAGAACTACAAGGTTAGCGATTGTGAAAGTTTGGGCATGCTTCTTTTCATGTGTTATTTTTGCATAATACTGTTTCTGTGAGTGTCATCCTCTTCTTGATTTGATTATGTTATGTTTGTTCCAGATGAGGCTCGAAAATTCGAAAGCAGGAAGAAAAGGCAATCTCAACGTTGCCACTGAGGTATGATGATATTGAGTGAGTAGTGAATGAAGAGTGAGTGTTCTGATCTGGATCATAAGTGTGTTATATTATGTTGTGGTTATTTATTAGGTATTTCAAGTGGCCCCGTGCTTGCATGTCGTTGAGGTTAAAAAGGCAAAGGGAGATACCTTGGAGTTCAACAAGGTACCCTACCCTACCCAACCCAACCCAAATATATACATATATATACACACAAACTTCTTGTGATTCTTTTGAGTTTTTATCCAGTTTTTTAGTACTCTAAACTATATATACTTTTGCAAAACATTGTACCCAATATTAGTTAAATTTGAGTTCGAACCTCCAAATTTAATTCAGGCCGAAACCTTGTTTTGTTTCTTTGTAAATTGTAATGACAACACACACACACACACAACCTTTCTTTTTTTGTTGTTTTTTATGCAGTTTTATAAGAAGCTTTCAACAAGCCTGGAGGATGTTGTCTGGAAAGCTGAAGGAGAAGAAGAAAAAGAAGAAGATGAAGATGAAGAAGATGATGATGATGATCAAATCAAATGCTGTAGCCAGAGTGTCTGACTGACTGACTGGTTAGGTTATGTTTCACTTCCAGTCTGTCAGTCTCAGTTTCTCTGTGTGTGTGATTTAATGTAGATTTGTTAAATTGGTGGTGCTGTTATTATTATTATTCATTCTTTTGTTAATCTGGGCTTGGCTTTTGTCCCATTATGGGAATGGGTAGCTAATAAATATTAGTGCATGTAAGAATAGGTAGTCTTGTTGTGTTATTACATTGTTTGTTGTCGTCCCAGCACAACAATTCAATTCAATTCAATTCAATTGTGCATACATGTATGTATTAATGTATATTTGTTTCAGGAGTGACACTTACTAACCAGCTGTGTATTGTTCACTTGGAATATTGACTTTACTATAAGAAATTAATAATGGGATTGGTGAGGACATGAACAGAACACCTCATTTATACAAGATAATTAACATATAGTAACCTGAAAATGCATAATCAATCATAGTAACAATCAAGAGAAAAAAGGGTAGTTAAAATAATACAAGAACCACAACGGTATAGGTATACACAGTCACAATCAGAGCATCATCAAAGAAATACATTAAAACCCAACCCAAAAAAAAAAAAGAAAAATCAGATCAGATCAAGGCAACTTCTAAAAAAATGCCTAACTGACACAATCACCAAACCAAGACATCATTTCAAAGCATTGAAAAAAATCATAACAATAAATGCTTACCAATAATACACTAAAAATTGCTTATGACTACAATTTATATATATATATATATATCAAGAAGATCCTGTTGCAGATCTGTCGTCTGGTCCACCAAGCATTATCTGTTAATCCATAGTTATGGAGGAAGGCTGTTCAGAATTATTTATCTTTTTTTATTTTTTTTCAATATAGGAGCGCCAAAACAAGTGAATTATTTGAAAATGAAAAGGGATATATATTTGGTAAATCATATAACGCAAAGGGCGTGTTTCTAGTTTAATCCAAGAAACTATTGATCCATCAAGTTCAAGGTTTGGATGATATACTCACATTGCAGTCAAATGCGAACCTTCGAGCAAGCATGATGGCGGCGTTTCTTTCTCTCTCGGATTCGAAAGCTAATATGAATGATTCCCCGGCTTTCGCTTGCCAGAACACGGCCTGAGCCGCGGCATTTCCACCGCCTCTAATCCCACAAAGCTGACGGAAATGGAAAAACGAAAGTTTTAACAACCATCGATGAATTTCAAGACTGTAATGCCGCAAAATACCTGCATAGAATTGGAATAGTATTCCTTGGTTAACGTTGTTTTCCCTTTGCGGAGTTTCATTCTCATCTTTCCCACGTGCAATATGTGGATGGACTGGGACGGGTGGTCGACTCCATTTGTCTGTAGAACGACAACCTACAAGGGGATTTGTTCATCAGAAGTCGATTTGCAGAGGTTCTTGAAAGCCAAGCCAAGGCGGAAAAACAGTACCGTGAATTCAGTGTCATGCCTGCGTACCAATGCTTCAACGTAGTTCCCCAATCCAGCAGCTGTGTGGTCGAATGTGTAACACATACATTAAAGTAGAAAACATAAAATCGATAAAAATTTGTAAATTCGTCACACCTGGATCAATAGGAGCAGAGGTCGTCACAGTTACGGTTTTCTCATTGATCAGAATATTTGCTTGCAGTATTCTCCCAACGTCAAAGGGCTCCGGCGCATATACAGATTTTGTGGCCCCTAATGTAGTGTAAAGCCAATCGTGTAGAAATGTAATTTTATGATTGATTTTTTCAAGTCCATCGTATTCATTTATGCATTTTTGGCACACCTCGAGCAGGAGGTATTATACAAGTTATTTGCATTTAGTTTGATACTACCGTACCTGATATGAGCTCGTTTTTTCCATCCTCAGATGTCGAGCGGTACCACTGAATAGTGCACTCAGAAAGATCTGGAGCATTGTCGGAGCATGGATATATTCGTAGGTACGAGCCCAATGCCACCGTGCCATCGATTTCGTACAAATGGGATGTGTTTTTGTCCCCCTTCTTGCTGATTGACAGCTGCCAAGATGCGAAAAGTACATTCAGAGATACGAATATATCAAGAACTTATTTCAAACAAATAGTTTGCAGGTGGGGGGAACAACCTCTTTCTGGAGGCGCTGGGAGTGTTTGGACTTCTCTGCGAGTTGGATCCTTAATGCGCGAAGCTCATGTTCCATGTCCATAACCTGCAACAAAGATGGGAGCCATGTAAGAAGAAGATTTTGTGAGAAAGGGAGAATTTTTTTTATGTAAAATCCAATGTCGTAAAGAATCAGGACTTGGCGACGTTACCCGACTAGGCTGGTGGAGCATTTTGATTCGTCTAGCTTCTTGAACCTCCTTCATCAGCTCGTCCAAGTCCTGATTAATAGAAAAGAAGCCAAACATGGGGTAATAAATTTTTTCTGAACAGACTATGTGGTGCATATATCTTGTCTTTTTCATTTATATTATAAATGTGAATGGAACATTCTCGATAGGACCTGCTTTCCTGATGCCCTCGACATTTGTTCATGTTCCCGTAGGGACTCTTCCACTCTCTGTACGGCCGCTCTCGCATTCTCAATTTCAGCCCGTGCAAATGCCCTCTCTTCATCCACGAGCTTTTTAGCATCTTCCGAAGCCTGCAAGAGATCATATGTGGATGACAAATAGCGTTTAAGTCTTGTCGTAAAAGACAAACTGCACTTTTCTCCTTCGTATTTATAAAAGTGACACACGTCACGATTTTACCTGCTTTAAGAAACTTGCAAGCCGTTTCACTTCAGCCTTTTCCTGAATTAGCTCTCCTTCTCTCTGTGTTAGTTGAACGGCTAAAGCTTCAACCTGGAAATGTAAATGTATTGACAGATGGCAACAGATTGTCCGGTATGAATGAATACAAATTCTTCTTACTAAGTACTGGTCAAATAAAGAGATCACTCTACCACAACCATAGAATTAATTATCAATGGCGTGGATTGTCGAAAAGTTTGGACAATAACTTACCATAGCAATTGCGTCCTCCACATCATCTTTGTTTTTGCTCGTTACACGTCCTCTCAGTGCTTCAAGAGCATCTCTGAGTTTCTTCAGAAGGACGTGCTTTTCCAGCGAAGCTGCCTCTTTGAGCTTTGCCTGAAACCAAAATGTTACAACTTACCTCAGATGCACATATCTATGAACATATATTTTCTCATTTTCACGTTATTATAAAATTCGTCTATTCTATGATTATTCAAGACTTAGCTATACTCACAAATCATTATGCTATAAACATAAACATCAATCTATTATCCAATCATACATATATATATATATATATATAAAACCATGAAAACAGACCTCGTCGGATAACTTAGTAGCCGCAGCTAAGCCCTTCTCAAATTTACTAGCAAGATCACGAACAGAGAGGCGCTGTTGCTGCTCCAGCATCAGTGCAGTTTCTCGAGCAACCATTTCTTTGGCAGATAATGTGGTGGCATCTGCCTTCACCTCCACAATCTCATTGTTTGCCCCAATTTTATACTTGGGGAATCGGCTCGAGGCGAAGACCACATCAGCTGACACTGGAGACACAGCATCCTTTTGCATTGTGTAACTGAAACCGCGGCCAAGCCTAGTCATCTTGTAGTTTTCCTACAGCATTTGTCAAAAATACCGCCATTAACATCACTAATTCTAAAAAGGCATAAACAAACCCTAGGAATAGCATTTTACCCTCTCTAAGATGGAATTCAAAACGAAGATAATTCAGAGTAATTCAAATCTAAAAGGAAACGCAAAATGCATATCAGGATCATTTTTACTCGCTAGCAATTCCGTATCAACGAGAAATCTAATAACTCATAATCAAAACTACCTAAGAACACAGGAAAGTCATTAACCATACGAAGATCGATAAAATGCTGGGGCAGTGATTAATAACAAGTGTAGAAGACAAAAAGGGAATTCAAAACCCTAACAACCATTTTACAGAAAGCGCAGAAATCGAAAAAACAAAACGAAGAAATTACTCACAGATGATACACAATAGGATAAATTTGGTGCGATTCTTCCGCGTCGAAGTTTGGATCGGCAGCTAGAGCAGTTGAATGTAGAGTGCGAACGACGGGTAAGAAGGTAAAGGGGAAACTCTTGTGGCTTTTTGAACGACAAAAGGCAAACCCTCCCCCCTTCTCTCTCTAAAGTTGCTGTAGAGCAGAAACAGTGATACACACAACAAATCTTACACTGTACTACTGTACACTTTCAGCGTAGCATATACGTGTAATACACGCAGTCTGTATGTATGCATATATTTGTACGTATCTATCAATAATGAACAAATCCATGTCCCTCTGGAAATGAATATTTTCTTTTTTTTGGTGCGTATAAATAAATAGTATTTTATATACTTATGTATATATTATATGGTATGGTCTTAATTTATTTCTTCTGTTTTTATATATAAAAAGTTGATAGTTGTTGTGTTTTGTTGATTGTAATAATAATAATAATAATAATAATGTTGACGATAGCTAGCTGTATGAAGTGCAGACCATAAATTAGTATTTAATAAATAAGGCTCACTTATGTATATCTATAAAAGAAAAGTGAGTTTTAATAACCAATTCATTAATTATAAATTATTACTTAGAAAGTGTTATGTGAATGTGATTGATTGTTGTATACTTGTAGTATTTGCTTAGACTGCAAAATTTCATTTTTAAATAATGTAATGGTAATGGTCCCATCCATTCATTTCTACACTAACACTTGTGTATTTTCTATTTATCTTTTATTTATTTATATCATTTTTCTATTAATTCAAAATTATGTAATAAAGTTATGAAATTTGGGCTTAGTTCAACCTCCATATATTATAGTATGATGATAATGATGGGCCTTTCTCAACTACCGCACGTACGTACATAAAATTTGTGCGTCTTGCGACTCTTTGGGTTGATTGATGATACCTGTCCGAATAAATATGTGTATTATTTTGAAGTTTAATTTTTACTTTTTTAAAAAATACAATTATTATTGATATAATTCTTTATATAAAATATACTACTTAGTACTAGTATTACTTATTCTTATAAAGTATTCTATTGATATTGTTATTTAAATAAAAAATTAAATCAACTTAAAAAAATATACTCATATTGAAAATCATTATCAATCCACAATTTTATGTTGGACTCAAAGAAAATAAAGATTTCTCCTAATCAATTAATTAACTCACTTCTCCTATGCTCTAATTTCATTTTGCTCGTTTGTATTTTTAATTATCATTTATATTGAATTTTGTAATTTATGGTCAGATTCAAGAGAGACAGCACTCTGTCCCCTCCCAAATTCAAAAGACACAACCCTCAAATTATACAAACACACCCAATGCCTGTATCTGTATCTGTATCTATTCATTCATTCCATGACTCATAAAATTTGATGATCATTCATTCATCCTCAAATTTACAACATATTTTTACAGACACAAAATTGGTAAGGTTAAGGTTAAGGTTATAACATAAAACAGAAAAAAAAAAATAAAAATCATATCTCATCATCTCTCACCTGGCTGACTGTCTTAACGCATTTTTGCCCTAGCAAACATCACACCCGCCAACAATCCTACAAAACAAAAACCAAACTTAGTCTCATTCTCCAACTTCAAATTCTCCTCACAAACACAACACAACACAATACAATACCAAATAATATGCTAGCCGAGTTTTCCAAGCTCGTCGGGACTTTGAAAAGCAGAATGCCGGCAACAGACAGAGGGATCTTATTCAGAGACCCTACAAGACTGCATAAACAGACAAATATATCAACCAAGATACACAAAGTCGATCCAAAATGTGGTAAGAGAGCAGCGATCCGCAGCTTACCTGTACGTCGTAGCTCCCGTTTGATGGAGAAACCACATGGAAGTGAAGCTGATAGCCAAACCCAAGAATCCACTGAATGTCATTACCAGCCAGAAACTGGGCAATCTCAAAAGTGGGCTGTCCCGACAAAAACAACCAGTAAGAATTTGCGATGATTATTGCCATCATGCATCATTCTCTTTTCATTTCCAACCAACCAACCAAAATCAAAAACAATATATTGAACCAAATGCTTACGTTTGTAAAAGGTAATCGACTTCATTGAAGGCAATGACAAGGAAAATTCCGAGAGGTAATGATAGGCTATTGTTTAGCATGACCATCGAGAATTCATTCAATTCTCCGGATTTAGTGACTTGTTTGGCAGTATCCATGATCCTACGCAGACTCAACTGCAATAAAATCATTTCCATTTCGATAGTCAAAGGCTGCATACTTTGTAAACAAAATTAAGACCGTGATATGAAGTAAACTCATCGATTCTGATAGTCATAGCCTATGACCGGAAAAAATTACTCACAGAATATGATGCAGTCAAGAAACAATTGAAGAACTGCCAAGTGTATCCAATGGCATGAAATGAGAGGTCCGTGAATCCGCCCGATATTGCTGAAATGATCTGCATATAAAAGTGCACAACCTTCATAGGCAAATCCAATTTATCGCATAATTGTGAAAGACTTAACAATAGATAATAGCTAGGATCGACTGCAAATGTTCTAACAAATGCCTGTAACATGGCTTTACCAAAATTTAAATTAATAGACTAGAAAGGGTATACGTCGTACCATTAAAAAAAGAGCAGCCCAAACGCTGTTATCATGGTGCTTGTTGAATAAATACATTTCACCAACAGCCGTTATAACATTCGTAACATTCTTTAGGACAGTGACCATTGCAACATTTATGTACTTCAGACTGAAAATGAACATAGATAATGCGTGAGAAACATTTTGTAGAAGAAATTATTTAAACTTCGACTCCATACAATTCTTGTTAAAAGACTCAAAAAAAGTCAATTATGTTCACATTATGCTAACTGACAGGTAAAAAGGAATATAATCAACGAGGAGAAAACCATCAATAGACAAATAATACAGCATGAGAGTATTTTCATACAGATTAATCAAATGACCATAGCACACTGACTGTTTGTAAGTTTTGAGCAAATGTGCAAGAAAAAAGAACAAATTTGGAAGGTGATAGTAGTACCTGAACATGCTAGTGACAAGCATCCCAACGAATATGAAATTGACCGGCAACCAGACCTTGATTAATCTCCATGTGAGTGGTTCCGTTGTAATCACACCAAGTAAACTCAAAATTGAAACTACTACTACTGATACAAAATTCTGCCAGCATGAGATAGTACGTCGTTAGTACAGATATTACTGACTGGTATTCTGTTGAAAATGAGTGATGAAAAGATTGGTATTGATTGTTGTAGAAAAGTAATCGCAACAAGCAAATGAGGATATTATACAGAAGGGTAACCTGGTACAGCATCAAAGATATTCCAGCATTAAAGTCATAACTGGAGAGGACATACTTGTTAACCAATATCATGCCGCAGGAGGAAAAACAATAAGCGATGCCAGATAACAGGGCCTGATTCTGTAAGGAAAACCCTTTTCGGGTTCGAATTGCCTTCTCGGTGTTCTTCTCTAACCTCCCATTTTCTAAATCAGTCTCATGATTATTACTTGGAGACTTCATCCCTGACAAAGACCTGGAGATTGCAGATCATGAATCAACTGTTATCATCAAAACAAGTGCAAATAATAATTAAAAAAATTGCCAGTGCAGCATTTAATTCAATTTTGAAGTTGTTTGGTAATAAGAAGCTTTCAAAAGTTTGAAATTTAACAACTAAGTAGTTGCTTGTGTATGCCCTAACTGCCAGCTCTTCGATCATCAAATACTAAATATGCAAACAATCCAAAAAAGCCAACACTTTGAACTACAAGCAAGATGAAAATCCAATTGATTGTAGACAACATTTGCTTCACATAGTCAGCTATTTTTTCTTTTTATCTTTGGGCCTGAATAACAACAGGTACTCTTTCTTTTATCCTAAGCAAGGATGAGGAAAGCAATAAAATGGTCTTTTTCAGCAAACATCGCACTCTCCATCTTTATGGTCTTATTGGTAGATGAAAGAGTAATTGGTGGCTCACTGAAATACATCATTTGAGGCCAGGAAAATGCATTACATAAGGTCTAATATTTTGAGCCAAAAATTTCAGAATTTCGACTCATCAAATATTTCTTCAAACTTTCCATATCTAATGAAAACCAACATCAATTCATAATTGGTCGGTTAGATTGAATATTGTTTACTATGTTTTTGCTGGGTTTCATGTTTCAGTTTCAAAGATGTTTGTAGGATCACCATAATGAATCTAAAAACGACAAAAGGAAAAGTACTCCTGATCATATCAAATTGTCCAATTCCTGATCAGCAAACAATTGAAATGTTACATCAAAACTAAATCAACCGGTCTGTCAACGTGGCATCCAAACATGAACTAATAGCACATGTATGCTGCTATGCAAATCCAAGAAGCTAAAATCTGCTAAAAGAAAGGAAACAAAAACAATACCTGCTGCCTAATTCTCTTCTAACTGGACTCGAGACTTGATCCCACGAAGTGCTTAACTGATGGTTTTTCAGGCTCCTTTCACCTCTCGGCGATTCGATGTCGATGCCCAAAGTTATATTGCTCCTCAAATTTGGTTCTGAAAATTCTAAAGAAGAACCTTTGGGCAGTTCCCTACAATTAGAAAAAAATAAAAAAGGGAATAAACATCAGCTGTAAAACTTGGTGGGAATTACTAAAAGCTCAAATAGAAAACAGAAACGAATCCAGAATAGAATCGTGCAGCAGAAATCCCACCATAAACATTGAACAAGAAGTCGAAAACTAATCAGAAGAACAACAAGAAACAGCCAATTTATCTAACAGTAACTTACGTAATCGCCAAACTAATTCTCGGAAAGGAAACTTATAAATAGCAAACAATTCGGAAAGATCACAATAAACCCATGTTGTCTGTAACTAATCAAAGAAAGGGAAGTGGTCACTACTTCTAAATCCCTAAAAACAAACACAATCATCCATCAATAAGCAACAAGCTTTTCGAAACATAGCCGAATTAAAATATTCTTCTGATTGCATCACACTCAAAAACAAGGGTAAGAATAAGAAAGCAACAACCTTTGAGTCATCTATCTATGGCAAGAACAAGAAGAAATGAGCGCGTCCCTCCAATGTTCAAACTATTGAATCCTTTCGATCAAAACCCAGATGAGCTAAGCTACTTTTTCGTAGAGTACAATATATATCATACTCGCAAATTGAACAAGAGAGAGAGAGAGAGAGGAAAAGTCAACTGAGTGGGAATTTCAGAATTTTTATCATTACATTCTAATATTTATACAAAACAGATATTCCCGTTTGAGCTTTTAATTCAAATAGATAAATATGTAATTTTGCCCTCCCAATACGACGCCGTATCTGTGTCATAACTAAAACGTTAGCCTTATTACATTAATTTAGGCTTTTGTCACATGCTTAGATTCCTTTATTACAAAGCCGCCATTTATTTAATGAGATACTGTTTGTCATTTTATCCCTCAAACCCTTTCTTGAAAATAGATGAAACCAAGAACAGGGAGGGCATTGAATTGAATTGATCAATTATTCAATGCTTGAAAGGGTCAATAGGCAGTCAAGTTCGGCAGATATTCAATTCAACCATAGTTTTAGGGCACTTTTCTCCCATTTAGGGTTGGGCCAAGTCCAAATTATTAGGATTTAGGACAGTGTCCTGTCCTGTCCTATTTCGAATCTGCCTTTGGCCAACAAATCCGTGTGCTGTGATTTCAAAATAAATTTATAATCAGAATCATTCCTAGCCTAGCTTCCATCAAGTATGATTTCATAGTGTGCATAGATATGATTATATCGAGATATCTCGCGATCTCATCGATACGAAGCTGGGTGATCTTGTTGCCGAGAAGACGAGGTCCGAGCTTTATGCCAAATCTCAGAGCAGAAAATTAGCATACAAGAAGTCCTTGGCGAATTTCCTAGTTATAGCTTTGATGAATCCAAATGTCTAGGCATTTTGCAATAATGATTGTTTTACAAATGCCGGGGACAATGTACCTTGTTTTTCTCCTTGACAGGCCATTATCAACTTACCTAGCACGGTGACTTCTTTAACAACCCTTCCGTTCCTATGGAATCAAAGAGTCCAAGATGGGCGATGATTCGCGGTTAGCCTTTAGTCGTTGACCATAGGCTGCAATGAGAAGCGCCTCGGCGCGACCTACATGACCCAAATATTAGATGCATCAAGAATACAATGAAGACTTGCAAAAGGCATATTTGCTCCAAGATCGAACACAACCCAACAAAACCACAGTAAATATTCATTCCTATTGTAATTTTAGTTCCATGATTTAAAACTTATCATTAATGTCAACTTTTTGATAATTATAGTTTCCTATAAGCAAGAATGCTGAGATGTTCTTCATTTCCCAATGCCGCTAGGATCTATAAGTGGAATTGACTAATAGTGAAGCTCTAATGATTTTCTTATTTTGAAAAAATGTGTTCAATCATTTGATACAAGAAGCTCACCATGGTCTTTTTTCCGTTTGAAGGAAGACGAAAGAGCAGGAAATAGTTCGGAAGCGAGCTGTCTGCTATCATCCTGCTCATGTGAATGAGACCACCATTTCTTACTATATTGTTAAAAACAGATGTGCTGGTAAAAAATGACGAAAGACATTTTCAAGATGTCACTAAAGATATGAGCCAACCTTGGTCGAGCAATTTCCTGAAAGTTTGAATTCAGCCTTCCACAAGAATGACGGGACGGGAACAACAGTATATCCTGAGGTAACAAGGATTCCAATCCAAAGTCCATATCCAAATCCTCCACTCCACCATCCCTTCCAGCAACGAAAGATAATACCTCAGAAATCATTCCCAGAACAAAACCAGAAGTGTTGCATACAATTTTATTTATCTATTTACGAGGCACGTAAAATACAAAACATTATAGATTTCACATTTTTAAAGAAGGAAAAACAAGCAATTGTTTGATGGAGATGCTTCAACAGAGTAGCACTGAAAAACTAGAACACGTATATATGGAATATATGAGAGAAGCATAACACTCTCGATGGAAATTTTAAATTAGAAGAACTAACAATGACCAGTTTTTCTCAAGGGAGAGAATCCAACCTGCTTACCATCTTGAGGAAAAGGAGTCGACTGTTCTAAATATACAGTGGTTCCTGAAAGACAACAAACGCGGTAAATTATAAATCAGAGTCAGAATTTGATGATATTCAAACCCAAATACACTATATGCAATCTTCACATTCCAAATTGGACGTGGGATAAACCCACCTTCCAAGCCATTAACTTATTTGCACAGGTAGCAGAGAAGCAAGCAATATAGACCCGAGAATCTGCCTTATTTGCCTTCACATGCCATTAATTCATACTAAATTCAACCTTCTTTAGCAAAACAAGACTGCAATATTTGAAAGTATCTTTAGAGGCTATTTCTAGTTTTAAAATGGAGTGATGAATCTACAATTGCCGCTACTTTCATGATGTTCAAGTGAAGTTATCTTGGAAATGTGACATAGGTATAGTATGTACCCATTGGAGCATCAACAGTTTTAAGCAACTGAATGATCGATCTCACATCCAGGCGCTTCCTAACTCTTTTTCCAACCAGTATTTTCAAGTGAGGGGAATCAAATACCTACAAAATAGAAGAAGACAACAGCTGTAAGGAACATGCCAACAAACAATGAATAACCTAACGAATTTCAAAACCGTTTCAATGCAGGCATTGCAAATGGGTGTTAGGGTTTAAGATACGGCAGCTGCCGCAGAGCAATTAGATTACAATTATTATGCACAACAGCAACAGCTCAGTGAAACGATACCTCCGCAGAATTATCCGGCTTCAAAACGGCCAAGGCTCCGGAAAGATCCGGATCTATTCCGATAACCCAACCGGAGTCCGCAGTGGCGCTTCCAGAATCTTCCAATTCTCGATTTCCACTATTTTCTGCCGTAGGGCAAGAGAGGGACTTCAGCCAGTTCAATTTCAGTTGTTCTCCATCTAAATTCGCATTTCTACTCCTCCTTCCATTCGGCGATGCAGGGCTCCGCGTCGACGGTTCCGAGATTGTAGCGGTTTCCGGCGCAACTGGTGCTGCAGAGACAGTAAAGAGCTTGAATGCTGTGGGAGTGAGGCGGCGGAGGAACGGCGGAGAGAGCTTGGGGGAGACAGTGGTTATCATCAAACGTTGGGGTTTTGGAGGGAAGATTTGGATACGCTCACCCGCAAAAATTTCCATTAATATTTCAAGAAACAAAGGATTCGTGTAAGAATCAAGAAAGACACGACATTTAAATATCCTTCTTTATGGGCCTCAATTTGGGCCTAACTGCTAATGGGTGCAGCCCAATAACACAACTGCTCAACAGAAATTGAAGAAATTTATTTTTTAAGAACAATTTATGGGTCTCACTGAAGATTAAAGATCGAATTTCGTTTATCTTGACAACATCATGGCAATGTAACTATTAATTTTAATAGTAATTTAAATATAACATTTTCTGAAAAAAGATCGAACTATTCGTAGAAGCCATTTCATATAACCAAATCTTCAAATATTCCCCGTAGATCGACATTCTAGTGATAAATTTGATTTTTCAGAGTCTTGAATGATACATCTAATGGGCGAACTCGATAATGTACATGCGCTGAGTCTAGCCTCAAGCATCGACCTCTCTCCCGCTCTAAAAATTTATAAGTTTGTGGATCTTAAACACGCACACAATCCATCCACCAATTTTGTCCTGGTAGGGACATCCAACCCGCGATAAAAATTATGTACAATAGTTGGCTATCGGTGTCTCACTCCAATACCTGCGTCGGCCAGAGCTTCTCCCACGTGGAAATCTCGTCATTGCTATGTAGTTTTCTTATCCCACCATAAAATCCATCGGTTTCATTTCCTTCTTCCCGGTGATCCTTCCGGTGTACAGTCTTCATCCTCCAACGCGATCCTCGCATGTATTGGTTGAACTCGAGAACAATAGTGTCTGTTTGAGCGAATACACAACAAGCAATTGTATTCCATAAGCTAGAATAAAGAAATTGCTAGAAACAACTCATTTAGAACCACTCCAAACAAGGCCTAAGCTGTATGAATGCTACGAGCAGGTTGCGTAACAATCTACTCATCATCGACCCCATGAGAAATAAAAATGATCCAATAAGCTTAGAGGGATTTCGATGCGACAGCACAAAGAAAAAGAAAAGGATGGCCGTCCAGCCAATCAACAAGAAGCAGGAAAGCATGGCGACTGACTAGAAAACAGACAAAGATGCAGCACATAAAGATAGACAAGAATGCACCACCAATAGTATCAAGAACAAGAATCATTTCAATCTCCACATACCAAATGGATGTGACGAAAAAGGGGGAAACGATGAAAAAGAAAAGCATGTTTCTATCAATGGCTGGCCTCAGATGATCCACCGATGCACCACTCATCTAATGTCGGGACAGAACATAGCAAAACTAAGGATGAGCTGTTGTGGAAATTGATCGTGCGACCCCACGTGCACAGCAAATGGGAATCATACGATGGCCTACCAAGAATATACATACTACTAGAATTGCATATAATATATACGATCATAGAAGCTCATACGAAAGTAGACATAGCCAAAGTGTATTATCTCGATGAAATTACTTCTAAGTTAAGAACCTACATAAGGATAATAACATGATTCAAAGATAAATTGTGTCGAAATATGAGAAGAACTCACCGTTATCGCCACACCGACAATATTGGGGGTTCCGGTCGCATGTTTCCAAGTGGCCTACGACGCCATACCACCAACCTGCTTGTGCAAATGTAGAACATATTCATCAGCAAGGATTCGATCGTATCTTTGATTCGATTTGGTGCTTTGTTTTTTTGAACTTTTTTTAAAGGTAATGACACTTGACCTAACAAGAATGGCTGCCTAACTTTTATTTGAATCTTTAAAGCACGTGTGGGATGATCGAAGGTTAGTTGCCAAAAGTACAACAGCGAGGAAGACGATAGTCAAATATGACGGTTTAGTGGATTATCGACTTTCCAAGAAGGAAAGAATCGGAGGAATATTCTTAGGTGAGTAAGAAAATTTTACATGTATGGAGTGAAGTTGTTATTACCGTATGGGAATTCCTTGTTTCGTCGCCATTGGATTTCGATCCGATCGCCTGGTTGGAGCTCTTTCAGGCAATCGGAGATATGGAGATCGTGCGGTGAAGTTTCGACCGGAGGTGCTCTGAGACGGTTCCACGTCACGCCGGTCTCTATCGCGCTCATTCTCCGACCGTGCGGCGGATATCTGTGAAAGAATGTTCAATTCCATTACAACCTAACCGAAGCTAAGGGAGAATTCGGATTCAATGAGTCTGAACATGTTTGTATATGTGCGTCGGTGAATGAGCAGTTACCTCGCCTGGAAGGTGTCGCTGCGGCGGTCGTAGCGGAGCTCGGCGTCGTAGCAGGACAGCATAAATCCGATGTGACCGTTCTGCGAAGAAGATGAAGCTAAATTAGTTCGTAGTCGAACAAACGGCGGAGAGTCGAATAGGAATTGCAGATGTAAGGAAATTGAAATTGAGGAAGCAATAATAACCTCGCGGTTGTAGACCTGAGCGGGGAACCAAAAATCGCCGCGCTCGAGAGCGAGATACCAGGACATGACAGAGTCCGGCGGGGGGAAATTGGTTTTTCCGGCGGGATTGGAGGTTAAGCCGGAAGATCTAATCAATGCGAGCGGCCACAAATGGATAAGGTAGTCGACCAAGGCGACGCCTTTCTCCCTCACGCTGGCGGATCTTCTAGAAGCTTCTCGAAGTAGGTTCCATTCTCGGCGCGCGTTGGGGCTGATGATACTGCCCCATTTGCGGCGGAGATGGCCCTCCCAGAGATGGTCTCCGGCGGACATGCCGCGGAGGGCGGTGCAGACGGCGGCCATTCTGCAGAGCCCCTCCGATGGAAGCTTCTGGAGAATGCACTCGAGGACGAGATCGGGGAGGTCGAGGAAGGACGGCGGCGACATGTCCGGCGCCGGCGCGGGTTCGGATGTAGGATTTTTCTCCGGGAGCGGAAGCAGTGAGAGGAGAGAGGATTTGATGTGGGTGAAGAGAGAGGAGAGAGGATTGAGGAATTTCATGTCAGAGAGAAAGAGGAGGAAGAAGAAGAAGAAGAAGAGTAGCAGTGATTAATGACGATGGAGACGAAGAGGAAGAGAAGCATTTATTTAAAAACAAGTCCACCCACAAATACGTATATATATACGTACATTTGTAACTATACGTATCCACGACCGTATTTCTACTTATATGTGAGATCAAGATTAGTTTAGGATATTCACTCAGGATGATACTGTACTGATCACTTTCACGTTACCAATTTAATGGCACCAAATTCTTTGTCTTTAAAATGACTTAGGGAGTTTCAGAAATAGCATTTTATATATATATATAAAAAAAAAAAATGAATGTATTTAATTTTTTTATATAGTTTCGCAAGTGACATTGGTATAAAAATAATTGATTTTTACAAAATTTGTATAGTAACATGATAAGAAATATATATAAAAATAAATATTTGATATAATATTTATTTTATTTTTGTATATTTTTAAAAGGCGAAAAATATAAAATAATAAAGATTGAAATTTAAAAGATATATCTAAATCTAACTAAATATTACACTTATACTATCTATTTGTATTTATTATGACAAATGTAATTAGTTTATTTGTTGGAATAAGAAAATAAAAAATAAAAAAATTGAAACAAGGGATTTGGCCTCCAATTTAATCACCTCTAATTTGAAAAGAAAATTTAAATTAGTAAGGTATAATCTTTTGTGTATTTAAATTTATTTCTTCAATTTTTGTATAAAAAAATATTATATATTATAATTAGTGTTTATTTTTAAATTGAAATATTAAAAACTATTTTAAAACACATTCAATTTTTTTTAAAGATGTACAAATAATTAAATAAATAAATTTGATGTGTTCAGGATGCTAACTTTTTTTTTTTTGGAATAAAATTTTAAATATAATATTTTATAAAAAAAATTGATTATTTTATAGAAATAGTTATACATAAATATTAAATAAATAGAATCTGATATTGTACTAATGTTAATAATACTCCTAAAATGTAGTATTTTTATTGTTAGGTCATGCATTAAAAAATTTGATATTTCGAAATTTTGCCTGCGAATTCAATATTATCAAAAAAAGGAAAGAAAAAGAAGAAAAAAAGAAAAGCATATATACTTTTAAATAAATTTTATAAAACAAGAAATAAAATAGGAATATAAATGAATTTGATCTTGTATCTTTTATACCAAATTCTGATTTTTTACTAATGTAATTTAGCTTTTCCATTTTTTTTTTCTTAAAATATTTTATCAAAAATTATTTTAATATTAATTTTTTTAAAAAAAAAAATAGCTTAAAAAATAAAAAACACACCGAAAGACGGCCAAAAAAAAATTTAGCACGCAATATGAAATTAGAAAATAAATGGGGAATGTGGTCTTGTCTTGTGGGGTGGGGTGGGGTGGTGTCGTGTCGTGTCGTGTCATATCATTTTATGTCCACCCAGCAACACACTAGTAAATAATACTCCCAAACATTGTGCTAACATTTATGTTTAGAACGGAAATTTAGGTGGGAAGTATTAAGTATGGTAATTTGAGATAATTTGGATATTAAGTTATGTGATTGGAGAGATAAATGATTATTTATTTTTTTTATTTAAGTAATATGATTGGATAAAGGGAAATGTATATTAATATATGTATAAAAATATTATTAATTATTTTTTAATTTAGAAATATTGCAGTAAGTTTGAAACAAACAAAAAAGAAATGTTGCGAGAGTAATAATAATAATAATAATTCTGCCAGCGTGACTCAATATTGATTGGCAGATGAAGATCCACAATAATCATATCCACATTACTAATGTCATTTTTTTTTATGGGTTTTCCTTTTCTACCTTCGATTCTTTAGGATTCGTTTCCCCCTGTATGTCAGAGATTGATATATTTTGTTATATAAATTTCTAAAAAATAATAGATATAATTTTTATTCAATAAAAATAGAATTTATAATATTAGTAAAATATCATATTATTTTTTTATATAGAAATACTAAAATATTTTTTCCTTTCTAGATGTGAGATGTTGCAAAGAAAAAGGTATTTTAGTCTCCAATATCGAATATTGCTGTCACCTAAAAATATATTCAATTTTTTATTATATCTGTAGAATGTTCTTTTTTAAAAATTCATACTATTTTTTAAAATTTTTGTTACTATAGAATACAGAAAGTAACAAAAAATACATATTCATATTAAAAAATTTGTTCAAAAGTTTGAACATATTTTTAAGAAGACATAAATAGTACTTCATCCGTCAACTTACAATGTTTACATATTTTTATTTTGAAACGTCAAATTACAAAGTTAATATTTCATTAAATACCCTACTTTTTTCCACAAATACCCTTACTTTACATCACATCATTACTTTTTAAAAAAAAAATAAGGGCAAAAATGTCATTACACTACTTTTAACTACTTATTATTAAAATACTGTTATTTTTTAAACACCGCGCCAAAAATAAATCTAAACTTTGTAAATGGACGAAAAGAGTATAAAACATACAACTATGACGACAATTTTATATAAAAAAAAAATTAATATAATTTTATATGCGACTGTAAATATTTAATGTTATGAATTTTAAAAAATAAGAGTTGTGTTTACTTTGTATTTTTTAATTGATGTGTTTTTTAAATTAGATCGTAAAAAATTATATTAACAATATAAAAATAATATTTTATATTAAATTGTTGTTTTTTTAATAAATAAAACATATATTATATATATATTAGACTAACACGTATATGTAATGTATTTTTTAATAATATTCATAAAAATAATATTATTAAAAAAATAAAGTGAACAAACTCATATATGATGCATACACAAATTGAAACCATGAAATGTAGACACACTTAAACAAAAACATTTTTGGTGTGTTTGACATTTTTAGCTAGAATTTGGAAATTATTTAATTTAAATAATTATCTAATATAATAAGAATTTATATTTACTATGATCATATATAAATGTATATTTTTTAAAAGTAATATAAAGTTTGAAACTTTTGAGAAATAATTAAAAGTAAAAATAAAATAAAATTTGTGTAATATTTTGCATGAAAATATATTTTTTCACTCAATATTTCAAATTAAAAAAAAAAGTATATTTGATATAATAATTTTTTTGAATATGCATATTGAAAACTTCAATAAAATGTATAGTCTGTGTGTTTACTTTATATAAATTTATTACTCAAAAAAACACGTGGGGGCGGCGGAGGTGTGAGCCGCCTCCGGCGCCGCCGAAGTCAGTGGCCGGGAATGGAAGTCAATGATTGACTAATACAAGAAGTTTCCGGCGAGGTTCTTTATTTCCTTTACTTAAGTTGACTGAGGATAATTTTATTTAAATAAAATACAATATACTAGTACTAACAAAAGAGTGATTATTGCTGCCTAAATTTTCTCAGGCTGTGGGAGGATAATAAAATCACCCGTCCCGGTTGGTGACAGACAGTATCACTTTAAAGATCTCTACGATCACGGTCGGTGATATTATCAAAGATTTGGGTTTGCTGGCAGGTCACCGCAGTGTTATAAATAATAATAATGTAGTAATAACCTTATCTTTTAGTAAACATCGGAGCTATATTCTTTTGTTGATTTTACTATATATTTTTATTATTTAGATTTTATTTTATTTTTTAAATATAAAATTAAATAATATTTTTATATTATGCTATAAATGTATTTTACATTTAACATATTACATTAACATCTATTTATATCACATCAAATAATTATTTAAATTTTAATTTTTACAATTCAAAAATTCAAACTTAAAAACTAAAATCCACGAATAAATACACCCCATCTGTTTTATTTATTACAGAAAACCTTTTTTTTTTGTTAATATAAATTTTACACAAAATATCATTTTTGTTCAAAGTTTATTTGATTCTAAATAAAGATCTACATTATGCAATTTTTATACAAATAAAAAATAAAAAATATTTTAAATAATTCTTTTAATAAAACAAATAAATAATTGATCAATTATTTATTTCTATGATTTTTGAAAAAATCACATAACAATTTATCTAAAAAACACTATAAATAAATGATTAATCAATTATTATTTATTTTATTCAAAAATTAATTTAAAATATTTTTTATTTCTTTATTTATATAAAACTTACATTATTGAGTTCATATTTACAATCAAATATCAATTTTAGACAATAAAGTATTTTGTGCAAACTTTATATTAACACAATTAAATTTTACACCATAAACAAAATATAGAGTATTTTATACAATTTTTACTGAAAGGCGACGGGTTATTATAAAATTTACCCTAATAATATACTCCTCCTTCCGTCCTAAAAGATTTGTCTTATTTTTCTATTTTCGTCCGTCCCAAAACAATTGTCTTGTTTTCTTATTTAATAGTCGTGGTCCCCACTTTATAACAAAATTATTCATATTTTTCCATACTACTCATAATTATTACTCTAACATACTCTTTAAGATCCTTTAAAAAGCAAGGGCATTTTAGCCATTTACATTCTACTTTATACCTACTTTCAATTAAATACTATTATTCCTTAATTTTTGTGCCAATCCTCAATAAGACACTTCGTTTGGGACGGAGAGAGTACAATTTTTACTGAAAGCGCGGCTCTTTTAGTCGATTTTAATATGTCACGTTTTTGTGTCTAGCGCTTTTGCTTTTGTAGGTTCAATGTGCTCAAAAATCTGAAAACCAAACAAAATACTACTCCCTCCGTCCCACATATCATGTCCATGTTGTCGTTTTTGTCCGTCTCATATACCATATCACTTTTATTTTTTAGAAAATGATTACACACTTTAATCTTATTTTAAACTTTTAAATTTTTTAAAAATTTTTAATTAAACTAATTAGTTATCTTAATCTTAATTAATAATTATTTATATTATCGAATAATTATTTTCACTAATATATTTTTAATTATCTATTAATTATACCCCTCCTAAAATAAGACACGGTATATGGGACGGAGGAAGTAATATTTGTAGTTAATAATAAAGCGACTTTACAACGGAAA